CCAAATTCAAGTTTATGCTCTCAACTTTCCAAAGAGAACCGTCATTGACATAGTGACAAGATTCTGTGACTCCGTGATGATAGTCACCTTTGGTTGTCATTCACTATCTAAAGATTTCAAAATTTAGTCATTTAATTCATCAGTATCAAAAATCTTACCAAGCCTAGTGAGATGGTTGATAATATGAGTGAAATGATTTTGAACGTCAAAGATCGTTTCTCCTTGTTGCATTCAGAACATCTCATATTCTTGAATCAATGAATTTTTCTTTGCTCTTCTAATATCATCAGTACCTTCATGGGTTACTCTTAACATTTTCCACATTTCTTGAGCACTCTTACAAACTGAAATTCTATAAAATTCATCAAGAGTTAAAGCAGATAAAATAATATTTATAGCCCTAACATCATATTAAACTTTTCTATTTTCTTCTGTAGTCCATCTTGAAAATGGTTTACGTACCTCTACTTCATTTTTAGTAATTTTTAGAATAAAAGGACCATTTAAAACAACATCCCAAACACTCCTGTCAACAGACTCTAGAAATATTTGCATTCTAACTTTCCAAAAGGGATAATTTTGTCCCGCAAAAAGTGGGGGTCTGTTGATAGAAGCACCCTCGACAAAAGTTTGATTTTGTCCGGTCATTTTCAAAATTATTTGAAGAACTATTAAAACAAGCTCTAATACCACTTGTTGGTATCGTACAACGGAATGATTGCGTGTAGGACAAAACCAAGAGGGAAGGTGAATTGGTTTAGTTATAAAAATTAGGATTTTTTAAATTTTTCTCAAATTTCACTGATTAAAATGCTTGTAAAATAAAGAGATAAGAGAAATAAGATTACACAGTTAATTTATACTGGTTCATATCAAAAGACCCTACGTCTAGTTGTTAATCACTCTAAAAGATGATTAACGTTGTTACTATAATCACATTTTACAACAGATTACAAATTGCAAAAGATAAGGATTAGAAAACCCCTCTCTTGAGTCACACAAGAGATGAACACCTCCTTTGAATCCACAAAGGATGAACAATAACTTTTCCTAGAAACGACACAACGCACTATCCACACTAGATTTCTAAAAGCCCATTTTTCTTCCCTACACAAAGTTCTCTTGCAATCACATCTCTTAACTTTTGTACGAAAAATGTTATTTGTTCAGAGAGCCTTAGAGAACCTTAAGTAGAGAGATTTAGGGTATGGGGAATAGAAATTTTCGAAAATAGGAGTATTGAAAACAGGTGCATCGAAAATAGGTCCAAATTCAAAATTCAAAAATCATAACAGACGTAGATAATCGATTATCTTAAGTGATAATCGATTGTCATAGAGTCATTTTCGCAGAGGAGTAAACTGGGTCAAGATAATCGATTATCCTCTGAGATAATCGATTATTCCAGAGTTTTCAAAAACAAAAAATAACTGAGATAATCGATTATTCCAACAAGCTTTTTAGAAAACAGATTTCAAGCATGAGTGATAATCGATTATCACATAGTGGTTATGATAAAATTGAACTTTCAGAGGAAGAACTATGTGTTGTCTATCTTGGACTTTAATTTTACAGACTAAAAAATGATAAAATAGAGTTATTATAAGTAAATACAAATGATTATAAGTCTTCAAGACTTGAAGTCTTTTATTCTTGAATCATTATCAAAATCTTCAAGCATCATATTCTTGTATGTTCAATTTATTAGATTGTTAATTTAGTTTTTAAAGTTGATGTTATAAGTTTTAATTTGGTTATTCTAGGGATTTTTTTTTATGGAATGAAAATGAGTTATATTGACTCCATGATAAGAATGTCAGCAATAGAGTGAGATAAGACATCAAAGGGAACACATGAGCCAAAGAATTCACTTGTCTCTTTCCATGACAAACACTAATGTTTGGTAAGATCTGGAGTCAAATATAACAGACAAGTACCTAGCCGTTAGCCGTTCCTGCATATGTGACTCAGTCAATAACCCAAAAGAGAATCTAAGTTAGAAAATAATCTTATCAATAAAGATTCTCATAACTTTTAGATTTTTAAGACATAAGAAATAAACTTTCAGCTTTTTAATACCCATGCCTACCGAAGATATTGAGCCTTTTAATTATAAACTTATGATTAATATTAACGTAAAACGTTTGTTATTGATTACCAATTAACACTACCATGTTTTAAAACTTCATTATAACAATGGTCTGAATTATAACTTTAATATATTAATTATAAACTTTAATTTTGTTATTATTTTCACTTTAAGAACAAAAGTAAATATAGGATTAAGTATGTTTTCATTCTCTATATTTTCATGTGAAAATGAAAATAGTCCTCTGTCTAATGAGAAATAATATGACTTATTCATTATTTGACACGTGTAATTATTTTAAAAAATAAAATTAAAATGTGTCAAGCTTTTAAAAGTCCTTTAAATCCACATTTATAACATTTAAAATTTATTTAAAAGAAATTTAAACTTCTTTGTCATTTATAAGTCATTTAAACTTTTCTACCTTAATTTTCGAAAATGAAAACCCTAGCTATGGTATACCACCGTCCACACCGCCGTTGTGCACTACCGTCGCACTGCCAGTCGAACCACAACGAACCGATGCAACCCTCGAACTTTAAAGTCACTTTGACTTTATACAACCTTTATAGAGAAATGGGAAGAAAGAAAGATCTTTAGTGTGTGGCGAGAAAAGAAGAGAGAAAAAAAAATATATGTGACGAGAAAAGAAGAGAGAATAAAAAGTAGTTGTGACGAGAACAGAAGAGCTTTGGTGCATGAGAAAAAAAGAAAAGTTTCTACTTTTTAATTTCTTTTAAATAATAATCTCGGTTGAATAATTTCTATTTTTTTTAAATAAGAGTTTTGTTTTTTTTAAACAATTACACGTGTCAAATAATAAATAAATCATATTATCTCTCGTTAAACAAGTCACCATATATTTAACATCGTTTAAAATAGAGACATATTTCAATCATTTCAAGAGTATAGAGATAATTTTTATATAAACTTTGACAAAATGATTATTTCCCATTTCACATTTCACATGAAATTACAAGAAAATATAGAACACCAATGAATATTCTTTCAATATACTTTCATTTCAAATAACCCCTCTTCCTATCATTTATTTTATTTAAGAAAAAAAAACTCTATTATTCGAAGAATAAAGACATTTATTTTTAATTGTACACTCCTGTCAGATTTATTTTTACATTGTATTATAATATCAGTTCAGTAAGTATTTTATTTCATCCAATGCTTAATATAGATTTATACATTGCACTACTCAAAATTTTCTTATAAAATTCATCCAACTTATTTCAAACATATTCTTTTGTTAAAATTTATAGTACACAAATTAAAAGTAAGTATTTTTAAATTACGGGTTATTTAGTTTGTCTTTTCTAATTCCACATGTCAACAACTACCAAAGAAAACTTTCAAATGTTAAATACTACAAATTTAAATTTTATTTGGTTTATAGAAAATCCATCCAACATATTTTCAAGCATATTCTCGTGTTAAAATTTATAGTACAAAAGTAAAAAAAATAAGCATTTTTTTAATTAAGTCTCATTTAATTTTCCTTTTAAATATCCAATGTCAATAAATACAAAAAAAAAAATCAAGCGTCAATTAACATCATTATCATATTTTAAACGTAGTGCCCATATAATAGCTACTAAATACATATTTAAATTAATGTGATCTTTAGGAGTTTTAAACTAAACCAATTCTTGTCATGTGGAATTGAGCTGAAAAATTTGATGCGATTCAACTCATTTTCATGTCTTTCGATTTTTTTATCCAAAACAGAAAAAATAAATTTTACTTGTCTACATCAAATACCTGGATCAATTAAGATAGTCTCAAAATAGTTTCAATTTAACAAATGATCCTTTTGGAGGGTATATCAATGCAGTGTACCCCAATGCACACATCAAGGCAAAAACCGAGGTTGCTGGTTTACAATCAAAGAGAGTACTTCTGTTCTTAATGTAGCTAGTAGCTTGTGATATCATGTAGCCATGCACTATTCACTAAGCAACTTTTTCTCCTTGATTAATAAGGTGGCACACATTGCAGTTGCATGTCTCTGTCATCAGCTTTTATAGGTAATAAGGTTATAAATGAAAGCCAAAATCATCATGTCATGTCAACTCCTACACTGGTTGTAATTCTCATCAACAGCTAATTATGATTACACTTCTTAATGAACTTCTGCCGACACACACTTTGGTAACTATCATATTATGATGAGGAAAATGGGGCATTTGCATGCTAACATCTCATGCCAGCAAGTGTATATTATGATTTTGTTAAAAATTAATATAGCAGAAGCACAACAAGCTGATCACAGTTTATGGCCTCTTCATATGTTCCCTTAATCATTCATTCATTGAGCTAGAAAGTTAGAGCTGTACTAAGGACAAATTAGAAATTTATCTTCATCAAGCATGGTGTTTGAGCAGTATGATTGATGATATTAATACTGTGATTATTGAAAAAGGATATGTAGGTGTAGTCTAGGTGCTCAGTATTTAAGATCTTGTTGTAACAACTTTAGTCTATCATGGAGAATAATATTAATACCATAGGGTCATAGTGGACCATGTAGCTAGTTACTCCATTGTAATTCACCAACTGTGTGAGCTCCTTCGGTTGGAGGACATTTAAAGCATTCACTATGCAGACAATGAAGGAAACTCCTCTGAACTTTTGCCATCCTACTATTTATTTTTGAATGATTCCAAATCCTATTATAACATCTTCCTATTACTCCTACTTTCCTTGAATGGTAAATATGAAATACTTTTCAGTTTTCTAAGACATTAAATATTTTTTCTTAAGAGAAAGATTGTAAGAAATATGCATCACCCCTTTTTCATTTGTCTTATTAGTAGGGAGAAGTGTCGGTTTGGCTGAGAGTAGAGGCCTGGTGTACCATATATTTGCTTAGGGAAGAGTATAGGCTGCTTCAGAACCGATGTTGCAGAGGCTGCCAAGTGCGGTGTACAAGATGAGGCTCTTTTGGTTTCTGGTTTTCTCATCATATCTTGCTATAGCATCCTCTGTTGTGGAAGTTCAAGGCATGTATTTCGGTGGCTTGTAACTACTTGTTAACTTAGATCGTATTATGCTGCCTTTACCATGGTTTATTGTCTAGTTTCCTTTTCTGTATAGAACTTTTATTTTACTTTAATTTACAAGAATATTACTTACGATATCTATTAAGAGAAAGCAATCTGCAGAGTTTATTTTCAATATTAGAATGAAATTCTGAATTTCATATTGACCTTGCAAATAGTTCAATTTTCAGATAATGATCCAGGCCACAAGAAAGAGGACATGCAGCTTAATTTGTACCATGTGAAAGGTCATGACTCCTCTCTAAGTTCCACATCACCATTTTCATTCTCTGAAATGATCAGAAACGATGAGGAGCGTGTCAGGTCTCTTCATTCCACACTAGCAAACAAGGAGGGTGTCAGCTATTCTGCCATCACGTCCTCTTCTGATAAATTGAGGGGACCAAACCTTGTGAACACACCTCTAAAATCAGGTTTATCATTGGGTTCAGGCAATTACTATGTGAAAATAGGACTAGGGACCCCTGCTAAGTATTTTAGCGTGATTGTAGACACTGGTAGCTCCCTCTCCTGGCTCCAGTGCCAGCCTTGCGTTATTTACTGCCATCAGCAGGTTGACCCTATTTTCACTCCTTCCACATCCAAGACCTACAAAACTTTGCCATGCTCATCTTCCCAGTGTTCCTCTCTCAAGGCCTCCACACTAAATGCTCCAGGTTGCTCAAATGCAACTGGGGCTTGTGTGTACAAAGCAAGCTATGGTGACACATCTTTCTCAATTGGTTATTTGAGTCAAGATGTGCTAACCTTAACCCCATCAGAGACACCATCAAGTTTTGTATATGGCTGTGGTCAGGACAATCAAGGGTTGTTTGGAAAGGCTGCTGGTATTATAGGTCTTGCCAATGACAAGCTCTCCATGCTTGGACAACTGTCCAACAAATATGGCAATGCCTTCTCCTACTGCCTTCCCACATCTTTTTCTCAACATAGCTCTTCCCCATCAGGTTTCTTGTCCATTGGAACCTCATCATTGACATCATCAACATACAAGTTCACTCCCTTGTTGAAGAATCCAAGGATTCCAAGCTTATACTTTCTTGATTTGACAACTATTACTGTGGCTGGAAAGCCAATAGTTGTTTCTGCCTCAAGCTACAATGTGCCTACCATTATAGACTCTGGCACCGTAATTACAAGGTTACCTGAAGCTGTTTACAATGCATTGCAAAAATCTTTTGTGACGATCATGTCCAAAAAGTATGCACAGGCCCCAGGATTCTCCATATTGGATACCTGCTTCAAGGGGAGTGTTAAGGGAATGTCTACAGTGCCTGAGATTGAGATGATTTTTCATGGGGGTGCTGGCCTACCACTTGAGCCTCATAACTCCCTTATAGAAATTGAGAAGGATCTTACTTGTTTGGCCTTTGCTAGAAGTTCTAACCCCATTTCCATTATTGGAAATTACCAACAACAGACATTCAAGGTGGCTTATGATGTTGCCAATTCCAAGATTGGATTTGCAGCTCGTGGTTGCAACTGATCCCAAACCTCCTAAGCAGAGCCTACAATTTCATTACATGTTGTTTGCAAATATTTGCTTTAATAAGGATTAACCAACTTTGATTAGGCACCTAATGCATCTTAGTGAGCAAATAAGAGAAATTAAAATTATCTGCTCACGTTCAAATGCGGCGCGTATAGCTGCATATTATGAAATTGTTTTGCAACTTCTTTCAACCTTTTAAGTCGAAAAAAAAAAGAGTATATATATTGTTTCGAAATCATTGTTCAGTTTGGAACAATAAAGTTGCTACTTTACTTCTTTTGATTTAAGAGGACCAAACATGTGAACAAATAAGACCTAATTTATTTTAGTACCATTTAACTTTAAGCAATAGATTGAACCTCATTATTGGGCTCAATAGGATTTGTCCAAAAGTGACTCATTATAACTCTTATGTTTTGCAATGATTTTACAATCCACCTCAATATTCAACCAATTATTTTTTTATTTAAATGATATTTATTTGAAAAAAAAAAGTATCTTTATTTTTCTATCTCTTCTAAACCCCACTCTATAAATTAGGGTCAAAAGCAAAAAGATGTGATATTGCTTATGCTACAATCAACCTAACCTGTGGAAGTGGATTTACCATTCTAAATCATGTGTCACAATGAATGTAACAATTTATAGAGTTATTCATTATCAATTCCCTAAAATAATGTTAATAAACTTTATATTTGGTAACTTCTTAAGGTATGCGTCAATGCATGTTAAAATAGGAGGACTAACATAGAATAAATTAAACTTTTACATTTGACTTGGTTTATAAGTCTATAAAAATATAATTTGTGATCAATTAATACCAATATATATATATATATATATATATATATATTGTGTAAAAATAAATATACTAGATTTTATAAAAATCAAGAATAACTTATTTTTATGGTATAAACATATTTAAAGTATAACCCAACAGGTTCCTTATTTTAAAATAAAACATAGGTTTCATTTTTTATAAGCTTAATTATAAAATTAATTCTTTTAAGTAGATCAATAGGTTTAACCTTCTAAAAAAATTATATTTGATTACGGGATGTGAATATAGATTCTAATTTATGAATCATTTTGGTTTGTTATGAATTTGAATTTAATTTTTTTATTATTATTTTATTTATAGGTTAAAATGACTCATTTAACTGATGGATTAGTTAAATAGATTTGAGATAAATTATAGTAAGTTGATATTTTTGTGTTTTGATAATAATTAAAATAATTAACATTTTGAAACATCAAATTATAATATTTATATAAATGTTTATACATACATACATAGTTATGGATTTTTTTATTAATTTGTTCTTCTGCATTGAAATTTAAAATATCAGTTAACCCCTCAAAAGCAAGACACCACAAACTTATCAGTATTTTCAAGATTTTAACCCCTCATCTCATTAGTCATCAGACACCAACCTTGTTGTTGCATAAAAGCTCAATCTCATTCCCTCATGTATTCAATCTGAAAATTTGGTAAAAAAGTTTTCTTTTTTCTTTCTTTCAGTTTTGGTGCCCTTAAAGTTGCTTGCAGGGGGCATAGTAACTGTAGCATGAAATCATACCAGTCAATTTAATTGGTAATTGGGAAATCACGTATGAACAGGAATTGGTTTAGTTGGGCCTTGAGGGTCTACGAGGGGCCCATACTCTGCTGTCCGATTTCATTTTTCTCCATTGATGGTAACATGCATTTGATAGGGTAGCAGTAGTACATATTGCGTTGGCCACACTGCGTGGCAGTGTACAAAGACTATGGTGCCATTATTTAATACAAGTTTTAGGTGCAAAATTCAAACTTAAAATGTTAAACTAGTGGTGGGGTCCACCCATAATTTGATTGTCAAATGATAGGTCTCTTGCAGCTTCCTCGTGCTGACCATCTCCAAAGTCCAAACCTTGAATTAAATCCAAAGAGAGGGCAGAATCAGAGGCAGAATTGAAGATGAACAAGTGATGCATCCAAACCCATTAAGCCAAGTAAGTTGCTACATATGAAACATGATCACATTATTTGTGTCCTTGTTAATGATCATGGTCAGTGATGTTGGCAAAAAAGCTGTGCATATTGTTAATCCATGTTTGGTCTTTCTATATGGAGAGAATAATCTTTTGCGCAAAATCCGGATAGAAAATGCAGCTAACATTGAGCATTGTGCAATGAACTTAAATTTATGCATACATGGCAAGTACATTAGTAGATGGTATCATAGCACTTTTTAGACCTTGAATAAAGAATCATCATGATTGATTCTCCTCCACCTTGGTCTTATTACGATTTCACAAACAATTCCCAGATCTCAAGTTAACAAATTGAAGGCTGGCTCCACTTGTTGTTCAGGCTAAGCATAACTGGACCCAATTACTAGATATAATAAGAACATAGTTCCAACACAATGGTGCAGTTAGTGATCAAAGGCCAGTATTTAAATTTTAGGCTTTAGGGTCTGCTCGTTGTAAACCTAATCAAATGAGATAAAATATCAGGTAATAAAGATGTACCCTAGTGTATTGCTGGATTTTGCTTTTCATAGCTGAAAAGTGAAAAGTCTTGATGTCTAAAAGTGCCATGCTGGATTTTAATTTCATCTTAAAGGTTTCTTGCTTCAGGTTCTGACCACTGCTTGTTTTATCAAAGGCCAAAGCCTATACAGATTCTAATTTAGAGTATCCGTTGATTCAACACTTCTGTGACCCCAGTTCTATATATTTTTCAGGTGCAAACTTGAGGTTCGGCACCAACTGCTGGTAAGGATTTCCCATGTAATACTCTAAACTCTAGAGTTTTCCTATTTTCTTCTTATGTACTAATCTAAATATATGCCACTAAGACAATTCAGTATGTCATGGTCTCTAGGAATTTGATTCCATTTTGTAAATCTCCGTTTTCTATGTAGTGATTAGTGCAACTCTTGTTGCTTCTGTCTCCTTTGTTTGTCAGGTGTGCCTTATCTTTATACCATGGGGTGTTTCTCTTCAAAAGTCATAGCTAGATCAATTAGTTTCCATGAAGACAGAAAGAAGAGATCACAGAGAAAAACTAATGGTATTCCGTTGTTGGAAGATCTAATCATCTCCTCTGGTGGCAGTGATCGGTACCTTGCTCTTGTCTGTGCAGCTAACACAGTATCCAACAAACTACACTCTGGGAGTCTTGGTTCAAACACGTCCTCAAAACTGGCCATTGAGCCTGTATCAGCAAGACTAGATCAAGGAGAAGGGAAGCAAACTGAGAGAGATAAAAAGAACAAGTCTAAAAGTTGGCATCAGTTTCCAGAGCATATTGTGAACTCTCTTGCTCAGGAGAATTCATCTGGTTTTGAAGAAAAACATGACCCCAGCTATAAGGGTGCTGCGCGAAGCAGGAGTTTTCATACAGTGGAGGAATATGATGATATGGTTAACAAAATATGGTTGAGCGAGTGTCACACAGATCAGAAAAGTGAGTTTAATGATGAAGAAGATACTAGTTCAGGGAATAATACAACTCATCATACTGAGGATATGGATTGTGTCAACAAGAGGATGCAAGCACCAAGCTTAAACAAAAAGCATTCATTGAACGAAAAAAAAATAGTGAAGGAAAACAACAACTTGAGTACAGCATCAAAAAGCAGCACAGTAGCTCCAACTCTAAGGAGCCACATACCTATTCCAGGAATTAAAAATGAGGAAGTGATTCCAAGTCATAAAACAAGCATAACTGAGAAGGGAAATAAGAGAAAAGCTGTGGCAAAGAGGCTAGAATCACTTAGAATCCCTTCCAATGTTGAATATCCAGCCATTGCCAGTCTTAGAGAATGGCTTCCTGCAGGTGGAATATACTCTCCTGGATCCTATGTCACCCCAAAATTTGGCAGTTATTCTACAATGGACATTAGGAATGAAAATGAGTCTAGTGATGATTCTATCTTTAGTCCAGAGTTGGTGTCTGCCTTTGAACAATGTATGCAAAACCTTGAAGCAGAGGAAGAGAACATTCTGAAACAAATTGTAGAGAATGTGGAGGAAGAAAGTGAAGCAAGTAGCCCCAAGAAAGTACACCGTGGTGACACTCATACTTAAGGGGAATTTTGTTAATAACGATAAATCAGACAATGTTGTCATTTCTACTCCTCTATATTTTTCACATCTTCTATGCCTGTATGCATGCATGTGAATTTCCACTTCACATTTTTCATTCGAGAGGATTTTGGGAAGAGGTGCCAACAATTTACATGGCAGTGAATATAAAATGTACGTTCATTTCATATATGCTACATCCAATGCCTTGACCATATTTGTATATCATATCATTGGTAAAAAAAAATTGGACAAAATTTTCATTGGCAAATAAGTAACATGATGCTTTTGATTCCTGTAGAACTTCAGGAACATGCAGCCCAGTTTGATTTAATATAGGTGAATTTTATGACTTTCTCACCTTATTCAGTATAAAACAACCACATTTTTGCATTTTCATACACATGTCCTATAGTTACCTCGTCATAAAATCTGAACCAGTTCAGTGCTAACAGGAGTGTACAATAAATAGATTGTTGAGTTTCCTAACCAGGCATGAGAATCTGTAGACCTTGGACCATGCACTAGCAAAGAACTGCGTCAAAGTTAGTCAAGTGTTCTTAGAAACCCTTTTCAACAATTTTACTTAGCAGAACAATTTTTAGTACAATTTAGGATCCTTCAACAAGCACCCATGACAGCGGTTTATTTTGTCTAATTACACAATATTATGGTTTGATCACCGATTGCAGTTGAATCAAAAGCTACTGTAAATATAAACAAATGTTTATCATTAAAGTATGATTTGTAATTCTTCCTCCAATAAAAGTTTGACTTGGACTTTTGCAAATTTTTTCATTAGACTTGTCCCAACCCAATTCATCCATGATAAATTGGATTGAATTGAGATAATCGAGTAATAGATTTTTAAAAATAATATTGATTGTTAATTTTTTTTAATTTTTAATTAAAAAAATTATTTTAAATTATTTTATTAAAATTTTTAAAACATTTGTTAATATTAAAAAATTTAATATAATAATTAAATTAACTAATTAATATTATTTAATTATTTTGATTGGATAAGATAAATCTTAAATTTAATTATTTAAGCATTCTTTTTATTTAAAAGTTACTCTTAAATTAAAAGTAAAAGTAGGAAATAAAAATAGTAGTAGAAAATATTTTCTATTTTATTTTTAACATAAAGCACCTTTTAAAATATAAATTATTTGGTAAAGCTTTTTTAAAAAAATTGATTATGTTTAAAAGTAGTATCTTGTAAAACAATTATAAAAAAGCATCGGTAAAATTATTTTAATATTTTAATTTAATAGAAATAAATAGAATCATTAAAATCATTTTTTAAAATATATATATATATATATATATATATATATATATATATATATATATATTAATCAAGGAAGTTGACAACACAAATCACAATAATTAATTTATTGTATAATGTTTAATAGTATTTTAAATTAAAAAAATAAGAATTTATTAAAATCAATAATAATAAAGTAATCTTGAGAGTGTGTTCAAGAAAATATAGAGAACTGCATAATAAAAAATCCTCCAAAAAGAAATATAAAATATAGATAAACATCAAAATATAAAAAATGCAACAAAATAATTAAAAAAAAACATTAAATATGCGCTTTAAAGAGTTCCTAAAAAATTCTTCTACTGATTTTTCTAAAAACTCGCTTTTATCATTTCTTCTAACAATTTAAAATAATAATAATAAAAAAGCATCTTCTAATAGTGTTTAGCCCAATTTTTACTGTTAAAGAAAGAAAAGGGAAAAAAAAAGTGAGGTTGAATAGTACTACCCTAGTCCACGTTATCAAACTTAGATCAAGACTCCAATGTTGCCTTGAAATTACTTTGCCTGCCTATATCCCAATTTAATTCAGATAGGGTAAGCACAGATGAACTCCATTCGTAAAGGGTTTGATCATATCCTCACCATCCATTCTGTGTATAGTTACCCTTTATTCTATCCCTCCTAACTCCTAAACTTTCCCTTTAACCTATAAAGAGGTATTAGCAATAAAGTAAGCATATTAAAGATCCTCCTCACTCTCACTGTTGCATGCATTCTTCAATATAGAATGGGAATAAGCAAGCTACAGATGATTGACTACAAGTGCATTAACTAATTCTCAGTAACATTTCAACCATAGAAAAGGCACTCATAGCTATCTCTACCCTACAGTATATAGCACATGTTACCAAAAGATAGATGTGGCCAACCAAAGGTAGTAAAATGAGAGTCAAACAACGCATTTATAGATCCTCTGTACAAACTTCCTTCACTTTATTGCCATCCGAAGATTGAAAAACAGACATTGGCAGTCAATGTTATTTAGCATGAAGGTGTACATCAAACAACTGTAACATCCTCAAGCCATGCTCTACACTGTATGATGAGGCAATCCATCAGTTTTTCTTCTTTTGCTACGATGGTACCACCAAACTCATTCCTAAACACTAGACAACACAACATAGACTGTAGGTACTTACAAGGTGTAAGATTACAAATTTACAAGCAGTCGAGATACATGTAATTTCTGCGTCGATTGAGCTGTAGAAGGCTTCCATAGGTTCGGTCCCAAACACCTATGAAGAGTGATTCTGTATCAGGGCTAAAGGATACACCAGAGATCTCCCCAAAAAAATCAATCTCCTGCTCCTTTTCAAACCCATGCTTTGCGTCATAGACATGCACAAAGTCAGCTGGCTCTGCCATCGCCATGAACTGTCCATCAGACGTGAATCGTATTGAACGAATAGCTCCAAGGTTGCCTTTAAGAACAGCAACAGATTTTGACAAGTTCCGAACATCCCAAACACGACATGTTTTGTCTTGGTTTCCAGTAGCAAATATGTGCCCATTAGGATGCCATGCAGATGCAAATGAGAAATCCAAATGTCCATGTAAAGGTGTGATAGTCTACAAAGACAGCCAAAATTAAAATTAGATATTCACAACTTGTGACACTTGGCACATCCACCCCACCCTCATCCCATTCAAGAGAGTCCTATAAGAAATACAGAAATAGGAACCTATAACATAGACAAACAGAACATGCCAACCTTTCCTGTTTGAGAATCCACCAGTAACCCTTCTGGGTTGTCACCAACAATTACAAGTAGTTTCCCTTCAGGGCTTAATGAAGTATGCTGCAGACAGAATGGAAACAAATTCATATTACCATTTATGCCATCTACCAAATAGACATTAAATCATATTTTCCACCACTATCAGAAGGCATCCACAATGCACATCAAACAAGTAAAATTCAGAATATATAATTAGAAACCAATAGGGACTAGAATTAAACTGAAAATAAGATGAAAATCAACCAGAAACTCTGATTTACAAAAGAAGAAATCCAGCCAATAACATAAAAAGTGGGAAGAACAGATATCCAGCTGAATTCTCAGACTCTTCCCGCCCTGGCGAGAGCCACTAAACCACTTTGCAAAACTCAACCCCCAACTTATCTCATCATTGCCTAATTTCCCTCTCCAATCCCTTGCAGCCCATTTACATTTCCTTCCACGATTTCATCCTAATTAACAAAAGCATGTTTTCCTCTCTTCTCATATACATGTATGTCTCCTTCAGTCCCACCTTTACCAGTCCATTTCTTTTTTTCTTCTTTCTTAGATACATGTGCAGAAGGCCCAGACACCTTTATTCTCAATTTTATCACTCTTTTAAACTTTAACCGTAAGAATCTACCCATTATGATACTGTTATGTATTAGTGAGGAGTTTCTTCTAAGATAGATATGTGAAAAACCAAAATAAGCGTTGAGGTCTTAAAATTGACACCAAATGAGGGATTCTTCTTTCTTTACAACATCTATAATTTTTAGGTTGCTCATCCACGTATTATTACTTCTAAGTTTTAACACCAAGTTCAAAACATAAACACACCCACTTCAGCCTCAATTGACCAGAAATGGGTACTCAACATTCAAGCTCACACAGAAAAAAATTATTTTGCAAGCAATCTGTACAAATTCTCGCTAAAAGATGGTCAAATGGTACCAAAATGTTTCCCCAAGACACTTGGCCAGGCAGTCAGAACATAAGATAACTAAAGTATCTTGTCAAAACTATTAAAAACAGAGAAAAAAAACAGTAATAGAAAAGTAAACAAGGTTTTAAAAGCTGAATTTCTACAAATTCTTCAAAGGAACTAGATTTCAAGGAACAACCAGATGATATTTCTGTTTGACAAATAAAATTATTAAAGCTGATTTTTAGGAAAAAAAATTAATGGTGGCTTACAAAGACTAAACAGTTCAACAACTATAAAGCTACGGTTAAAATGCTAGACCAGAACTTTGCAAAACAATAAAAGTTTTTTTTTTTTTTTTTTTTAAAAAAGAGGAAAAATATCAACTCAAGCATATAATCCATATCAAATTGTAATCAAACATTTGTTCAAAAAGAGGAAAAAAACACAATTATGTTTTTCCCCTTCTACCCCCTTGTCATTAACTTGTATCCTAAAGAAGTGCAAACCTAGCAAAGTCATGCCAATTCTAACAACAACCACGCCTTTTTTACCCATAAAAAAGTCATGCCAATTCTCAATTTGTCAAAAAATCCTAGCTAAAAGCATTAATCATGTCTACACATCAAAATATTGATAATAAAAATGTCATTACACATATCTATTATCTAAAACATGGAAAAAGTGAAAGTACTTACATTTACTGGCCAAGGAAAGGAGAAATGCTTTGAAAGCTGAAACCTCTCCATATCAAAGTCTCTAACACCAGAATCATTGTTTGAAGCCATGAAATGAACAGCTCCACTGAAAGATTAATCAATCATTAGTAAGCAGCCCTATTTGAGGATGGTGTACAGTTGTTACTAATTTAAGACCCAAAAAAATAAACAAAAATGATAATAAGAAAGCAGAGAATAGAGACCTTGGGTGCTCATAAATCTCCACAGCATTTGTAATTGCATTGTCCTCATAGGTAGTTCGGGTACAAAAACTAACCCCAGGCCGGTCTAAGTACTGCAGGACATTAAGATCAAGGGAACTTTTAAAAAAAAAATTGAAATTATTCCATTATATTAAACAGTTTCAATTAATCATATTAAAACAAATTAAACAGGAACTTGAAAAAAAGGTTAACAACTATCCTGTATAATAAGTTGGAGTATTAGAAATAGAAAAGTAGAAAAGTAAAAGGTTTAATGCATTTGATGAATAATGATTGCATTAAAATACTAATCATTTATGAGTAAAAAAATATACCTTGCAAATAAGTTCCCCTTGAAACCCTCCAGCAATCAACAAGTTATCACGTACTGCCAGGGTACTAATTTGTGTCTGTGTAAAACCTTCCAAGAGGCTTCCAGGATGTTTCTATTTGCCAAATACACATTTGAAATCTCAGATGCCTTTTTCTAAGTGATGTTTTCAACAAAATAAAATAACTATGAAAATTAATACCTCACAGGGAGCTACATGCCCTGATACATTCAAGACTTCAGACCTCTTAGAACTTAATGAAGACCAGTGCACAATTGAGTAATTTGAAACAAGATATACATCATGTTTTGATGTTGACCAAACCAAATTCCTCAACTGCAAATTAAAAATTAGAGTTTTCACAAAATTGTTACTAATAGTATTGCTTAATCTAAAGTTCCACAAAAAATAGAAAAACAAAAAATATAAATCCCATATAGTAGAATCAGTTATCACAAAGGTGTACATTAAGGTACGAGTCATTCCACAGGAGACAAGATGATAACATGGAGTGTAAACTAAACAAATCTTATTGCATCCTCAAGTGATTAGAAGTAACGAATTAAAAAAACCAACATACTTGGAAATGAAGTATTGTTGACTTCACAGATCTAGTGTTTTGCCAGAAATCATAATAATTTCCCCCTTTATCTGTTGCTTTGCATTCCTGTAGATGAGGAGAAAAAGGTCTAGGGTCAAATGACATTTTCAAAAAATGAAAAATCCTCAAACACCTCCAAACTAACATATTTACCTTCTCTGACATTTCCCCTGATTGGGGTATATTTTCATAATTCTTGTACTGCTCTAGTCTAGTTTGTCTATATTTCTCACGACTAATGCTCAACCTATCCCAAGGTATACCTTGGATATCCTTCCCCCTCCTAGCTTCAGCAGCAGTGGTATCTGTTATTCGGTTTTCCTGCATCAGGGAAACAAAGCCCCCATACCAAGAGAGACGCACAAGAAAATGAACATATATGTCAACAACCACATTGAGTTAAATATTAATCATGTAAACTAAAGTTGTCCCATAAAACCAGAAGGCAGCAACTATATCTGCAATAATACACAGAAATATGTGTGCACACACACACAACATTGAATAGGGTTTCACAGTTAAAATGAGCAAACAAGGTTTTGCTTATGAGAAACCAACCAAAGGGTCATATTCGTAGTCCTCATCATCATCCGAATCTGATTCACCAAATGCTCTGCCACGAAAATACATATCATCTTCTACCTCCGCCATTTCATTATCATCTGCCGCATACTCCATTTCATCACCATGGTATTGAGACATGTTTCCTGATGCCGTTCGGATTTTTGACAACCGATATCTAGCAAAAAGCAACTGTACCAAGGTGAGTTGAAAATAAATCAAGTGAAAGAACATAGACATCAAACTCTATGACCTAGACACCACATATACTAAGCTTAAATTTTACAAAGAATACATAATTCAAAACACCAAATTCTTTACATCATAGTAGGCACAACAGATACTATTGATTCAATTTTACAGAGCAAAGAACACCGCTTAAGATATTAGCAGCAAGAAGAACTTAAAACAAACCCTAAAACCAAATACTTTCTTTTCTTTAAAAAAGTCCCATCTCATCTCCTATAGCTTCAAACCTAAACTAAACTGACAAGCGAAGCGAGAGCAGGAAGAGCTTAAGAACAACATAACATTAATTTGGGCAAATTTCGATTACTCCAGGAGATAAATTGAAACATGTACATACATAACAGAACAAAAAAATTGTATTTATTTCACTAGATTCACAAACAACAAATTAAAAGTAACTAACCGAAGACGAACTAGCAGCAAAAATATACAATAAAAAAATTAACGGACAAAAAGGATAATTGAATTACAAAAATAAAAACGGATGAAGCAATTGCAAATCATTACAGAAATAATGAAAAAGGGGCTTTAAGGGTTACAAAAATGGAACCTTTAAAATCTAATTTTCTGGGTTCGTGAATCGAAGGGAAAAGCAGGTCCTTGTGGTTGAGAAGTTGTTGGATCTTGTTGATAAGGACCTGAATCGGATCTGCGCATACAAATGAAGCAGCTTTGCAAAATATACAGATAATAACTGCACCTTTGAGTCTGTGACTGATAAAATCAGACACATATTACTCTGTAAGATTTTCTTTTCTTTTTTTCTCAAATATTTTAACAATAAAATAATACCACTGTCTCCCATATCAATATCTCAACAGGGACATGACACAATTTCACTCTCTTCTCAATTATCTATTTCGATTTAAATTTTTAATATTTATTTTATTTAATTTGATCTAACAATTATAAATACTTTGTTTATGTTTATATGAATTATTAATTATATTTTAATTTAGACTATATAAAACATATCCAATTAAGAATTGTTAATGAACAATATTATCATAAGGCTTATTTGTTTGTATTTAAAAGTAGTTTTTAATTTTTAAAATTAAAAATTGTTAATGGGTTTGTGTCACATTTTTTATTATATTTTTATAAAATAGTACTTTTATTTATAATTTAAAAGTGTATGTTTAAGGAAATTAAGATGACATATAACATAACATCGAAAATGTTATAAAGTAACATTATTATATTTTTATAAAATAATATTTTTATTTATAATTTAAGATTATATATTTTAGGAGAGAAAAATGCTTTCCTTGTCTTATAATATTCCTATTTGGTCTAATGGCTAAGGCCAAGAAACCTGAGTTAAATATAAGTAAATTTCAAATTTTTAAATGATATTATTTTTAGAATAACATTGTCTTTTTTAAAAAACATTTTCCAATAAAATTTAAAAAAATATTTTTATTCTATGAAAAGAAAATATTAAATATATGTTCATAATTAGGAAAGTGGTTAATGTTGGTAATAGTAGAGAAAGTAAAGGGAAGAGGAGAGGCTAAAATTGTGGAAGTGAGAGCATGAATATGGGTGTGTGTGAGATGCATTCTGTATTCTGCAGCACCGCCGTCGCACCTAACCTCTCCGGTCGCCGGAGCAAAGGTCGCAACCCCAATCAATTACGCGCCAAATCCTCCCTGCTCATTCAAAAACAGGACACCCAGCTCGCAGAACCCTTCTCCGACTCCGTCTCGCGCCGCCTCATTCTCCTTCGCCATGCTAAGAGTTCTTGGGACAACCGCTCTCTCCGCGGTAATCACTCATTCCCAATTTTCACCTTTATACTCTCAAACTTTGTGTAATTACTGAGAACACGGCCTTCTAAATTGGAATGGAAATGGAGAAAAAATGTTATTGCTTCTAAGTAAAACAGCTGGTGGGTTCCTGCTTGGTGCAATTCTGTGGTCAAATTCTCGAACATCATTATCTTACACGTGTGAATAATGATGTTTTGGAACATCCATGCACCCACGTTCTTGGAAACTCTTTCTTTAAAAAAAAAATTGGCTTAAATACTTGTTTTGGTCAATGCAAATATTTCAACTTTTAGTATGTGTACATTTTTTTGTTTATGATCCTTGGTTCTTTGTAAATTTTTGGTTCTTACTGTAAGTTTATGATACAAACTATCTAATGTTGTCACAATGTCACATCAGTATCCCTTTAAGGTGGGATTGCCACAACAGGTATGCGATTGTGTGATAGAAGGATAAAAACTAAAGGTTTTAATATGGATTAAACAAAAAATATAGGGGACTAAAAGCAAAAGGTGTTATATTTGCCAGGACAAAAGGGTGTTTAAACCTTCCTTTTAAGAATTTGAAAGGAAAATAAATAGAAAATTGCATTTTTTTGCAGACCACGACCGGCCTCTGAGCAAGTCAGGGAAAGAGGATGCTGTTAGAGTTTCCCGCAAGCTCCAAGAGTTGGGTTGGATTCCTGAACTTATCCTGTCTAGGTTAGCAATCTTGTGGCTCTTGTGTTGTGGCATTTGATTTGTGGCTCACTGGGATCTGCTTTTTGAGTCGTGTATTGATTTCTTGTGTTGCAGTGATGCCGCACGGACTAAGGAGACACTTAAGATAATGCAAGAGCAAGTGCAGGAGCTGGTGGACGCTGAGGTTCATTTTGTTTCTAGTTTCTATTCAATTGCAGCTATGGATGGGCAAACTGCAGAGCACCTTCAAAAGGTTATTTGTAAATACTCAAAGGATGAGATACTTACTGTCATGTGAGTATCTACAAACTCCAGCCTTTTAGGGTGGTTTCTAAATTTTTGTCTTTGTATTTGAAGGTGGAGATTGATGATTGATGGTACATTAGAAATGTCGGATTCTTTTTTTTTTCACAAGCACAACCTATTGACAAAAACATTGTAGTTATTATCTATACTTTAGTTGATGGCATATTTGTACATTAAATTTGCTATACTTGGGAAATCACACATGGATTTCAAATACAGAAAGTCATTAGAGTCACATTTCACATTTTCCTTTTTCATATTCATATATTAATTTCTTTGAAGTATTTGAGTGGTGTTTTTGGACTTCTTCCACAATGAGGACTGAGATGCATATGACTCATCTGTTGGTTGAATCTTGCTTATGATTACCCTACGTGGATAGGTGGTTGTTATCTCAATCATGTAATATAAAACCTATACTAAGCAATACAGTTAATTTTCAAGGATTCTATAAGGAGCCTTTATTTTTTTGGATAATATTTAAGCATTTTTCTTTTTAAGAAACAAAGTTTGATTCTTAAAAACTAAGTTTTATCAGATCTGATGGGTGTTTGATCATTGAGTGGTATACAGGTGCATGGGACATAATAGGGGTTGGGAAGAAGCAGCATCAATGTTTTCTGGGGCCTCCGTGGAATTAAAGACATGCAATGCTGCACTGCTTGAAACTGCTGGAAAATCTTGGGACGAGGTTTGATTTCATTACCTTGCACAAAACTGCATATATGTATTTTCTTTCAAGACATTACTATCTCCCATCAAATATTAGGTGCTACCTATCAATGTTTACTCCCTATTATACTTTTATGAAATTTAGTTATTCTACTAAAATATTCATTGGGGAATCACGCACAAATATTTTATGGACTTGTCTTTTGAAACTATTATGTGCTCTGATTAACTTCTAATTTAAGGTCAATTCATTTTATGTACAACAAGTAATTAAAGTGATTGCAGACATACATGGCTAAGATTATGCATGCTCCAACCATTAGAAGTTTGATGTATACAATTGTTGGTACATGGTCAAATATGGGCCATACAGTAGGAGCTTTAAGCAGGTTTATGTCAAATCTAGGTCAAGTTCATTGGGAAGCATTTAAGTGGAATTTGAGGTATCTACTATGAGGCACCATATTGAAGTGTATGTACTTTAGGAAAGGAGCACTAAATGTACAAGGCTACATAGATGCAAGTTTTGGAAGAAAAGTCAATCACTTATCCGTACTACAACTGTTTGTTGGACATTATAGATACAAAATATTGTTGCTTTATCCACTATAGAGGCTGTGAATATTACAGTAACAAAAGCTAGTAAAGAGTTTACATGGCTTCAAGGATTGTTAACAAAGTTGACATTCATTGAGTAGAAGAGTGTTTTGCATAGAGATAATCAAAGTATGATACATCTAACAAAGAATTCAACATTTCATTTTAGAGGAAAGTTTGTTGGTATCTATTCTCACTTCGTCAGATCTTTGCTTGAGGATGTGGTGCTAACATTGAGAAAGATCCTAAGAAGTAAGAACCAACAAACTGATGTTGTGCTATTAGTATGTTAGAATAAAAAATTTGAAAAGGTGTTGCATTGATCAAAATGTAAAAACAGATTGAAAGTAGTCTTTGAGTGGGATATTGTTGAATGTGGTCATACAAGCCCAATAAAATGAATGAAGCACATCATTCTTTTGTTGAGAAAAAGAAGGAACACCATTATAGTATTGGTAGCATAAAATAGCAAAAATAAATGGGTGAAATAACTTCCCCATTCATGTATAAATACCACCTGCTATAACTACTTATTTTCATACCAAAACAAAAAGAGAAAGACTTTAGTGAGAGAAAAACTTTAGTAAGAGAAAACATTAATTTAGTTATTGGGTGTAATTGGGCTGAGTGTTTGTAAACACTATTTTTATTTTTTTCCCTTGATCAATTAAAAAGTGTGCAACAACCTGGAGATGTAGGCATAATTAGCTATAATCCATTATCAATTTTGTGTGTTATTATTCTTCATTTATTATATCTCTCAAAAAATCAGATTTAGGAAATTTGCTTAATTTCTCAACAATTGGTAATGAGTCATACCTAGGACCCATAATATTTGAAGTGAACGTACCCCACATTCCATGGATCACAAATTGTGATTTCCCAATAAATGAAGAAATGATACTCTATCTGTGCTTCTTTTGATTAGAATATGTGTATATTATTATGTAATAAAGCTATCCATCCTAACAACATAAGCTTTTAGTTTAGTAATGATTAACGTACCTCTGGGAATTCTATTCCCAGTATTTATCCAATGATTGGTGATTATTCATGTGTAAAATATGGTCAACTTTGTTTCACAGGTGATTAATGGGTAAATATGTCTCACAAGTGGTTAATAGTGGCATGAAATTATTGAAATATTTAATGGTGATTAATGTTGCTTCAGAAGTGGTTAAGAGTAATGAATGTATGTATACAATTATCTATCTCTACTAGTGGACTAATGGTTAAATGTCACACAAATGGTTAATAGTGTCATGAAATTATTGAAATATCTAATGGAAGTTAACTTTCTCTCACAAGTGGTTAAGAGTTAATGAATGTGATTGTATACAATAATTAATTTATACTTCTGGTACTAATGGTAGATATACCTTACAAGTGGTTTTTAATTTCATGAAGTTATTTAAAATGTCTAATCTTGGTTCACTGTGCCTTAAAAAATGGTTAATTGTGTTGGGTGGATGATTTCAGTGGGACTTTCTTCTTTTTCCTTGGTAGAGTTATTCCTTGACAGTTTCAAGTTGCTTTTATCCAAATGCAATGTTACTGTTCATTGAAAGTGTATGCTTTTCTCATGTATGATTAAGTATTCTTTGTAGTTCATAAAATGTTCTGAGAGTATTTTAGGGAGGAAACATCTATAATTTCACTTGCCGAAAATGTTTAAATTTTTTTCAATAGTTTACAATTATTTTTAGAGGATTAAGTGTCTCTTATTGATTAGAGATTTGGGAAATCGGTAATAAAATTCTATATGTGACATGCATGCTATAGTAGTTTGGGAAATCACCTTATAACATCGAACTTCCATTTTATTCATTAGCACTGACGATGGGTTAGGCTGCATTGTTTAGCAACTTCCTTGTATAGCTGTTAGTTCCAGATTTCCAGTAACTTCGGGCATAATGGAGAATGTCTTTTCCTTGTGGTGATCACTCCCCGGAAATTACTCCTTCCCCTAAATCTGTTAAAACTGTGAGCCCTAATGTGTTAACGTAACTGTAACCCGAGATAGTTAGTTCTTGCTTCCATGAATTTCTACGAAGTTGTTTCTTAAATTTAGTGGCTATTATGCTTGACACTTGCCCCCAAAAGAAAAGTTATTAATAGGATTTTACTTTGAGAACAGGCGAATTGTGTTCATTCACCACACAGCTCACTTTCTAAATTTGAAGTCTTAGAAAAGGAAAGCGAGCTTATAAGTCTTAAAAGTTTATGTTAAAAAGAGAAAAAAACCTTAATTACTTTCATATCTTGCAGCAGTGCAAGGGTTTCTTTAATATTATATTAGCTTTCAAATGGTAAAAATATCCGGTTTTGAAGTGACAAAAAAAAGGTTTATCTAACTTAGTACCTTACAGGCATTTGCCACCGCAGGATTTGGTGGATGGAAGCTTCAGGGCATAGTAAAGCCGAGTAGCTAGCTAGCTGTTGTCATTTTCCTTGCCGGGTGAACTTACAAATAGACATGCAAGAGATTGGAAGCATCAATACTTATTCAAGGAAACCAAAATGCCTCAGTAAAGTGAAGGCTACAGAGCTGATGACTTCGGAAAGCATGTACTGGAAGATATGATGCCAAACGCTTCAGTTAGATCAGTTTAATTTAGCAGCTATGAATTGTTTACATGGTCATTCAAGATGCTACATTGCTGAGGATAATGTGCAGGATCTCAATGCTTCATTATGCTGCTTGGTGTTGGGCATATGTTCATTGAAGTGAACTCATGCTGCTCAGTGGTTGTTGATTCGTACACAACTACAGTGTTCAAAAGAAAAAAAAAAGTTGCTACTGTAAATCATTTGCTGTGGAAAAAAATAAATATTACCCATTACTTTACTCCCTTTTGTACCGCCTTCTCTCTCATCTTCATAAAAAGACTGAAAATTTATTTTGAAATACCAAAATAGTATTGGTTAACGATCATCAGCAACCAAAAAGACAAGAAGCCTTGGCTTAAATTTAGAATGACAAGATATTTTATCAACTTGTGCTAATTTCCTCTTGTGGAGATTACTTAAAATGATTAGGAAGAGTAGGCTGCTCTTGTGTTTCAATTGAGATGCTTTGTTTAACAAAAAATGTCGTTAGAACATTTGGCTTAAAGTCTCTTATCTAAGCACTGTTAGTTTTTTATCAATAAAAAAAATATACTTTTCAAGTAAAAAACTAGCAGAAAAACTGAGAACAATTATATTACATATCCATTTTAACAACCTTTATCATTGGAGTGGAGTGAATTTTGTTTCAGCGTTTTTAAATTTATGTAGTATTGCATTATGAATATTCTAATTAGATAGCTTCATTTTTGCATATCAAGAATTCAAGATTGATGACTCCAATTAGAAGAAAAAGGATGCGTGGCGAGGCGAGAGGGGCCTAAAAGTATAACTTTGAAACTAAGCAGTTTCATAAACTTAAGAAATTTGTGTGGTCAGCTTCACCTGTGACAACTGTTATATTCTGCTGATAATTTCTCTGTTTGTGTCTTTGGATTACCTCAATTTTCAAATCAGATACTTTTAACAAATTCTGTCAATACACTCCTATGCATCATAGGATTACGTTATTCACTGCTACCAACATTGCTATTTACAACAATCCAATATGGAAGGTTGTTTCTGCTATCAACTGATTCTTTCTTTGCTTGTGCTTTTGTTGGAGCATAATAAAACAAGAACAACTGTAAATGCAATTATCACCACGAAAGTTACACTTCCTTGAACCAACTTGCTAGCTTATCCACGTAAGCAAGATTCCCACTAGGGTCAGTTCTTGCAACACTAGCAATGTTTTTGAAAATAAAATGATTAATCAATGTTCAAAACCAAACAGTAATTAACGTGTTAAATGTTAATCACAATTTGCTTCCTAGGATTCCCCAGTAGTAACTTTGCTCTGATGCTTCCTCAGCAATTTGCATCAACTGTATAACCAAAGTTACTGATGTATGATTATGACATTGGTTTATGCTTCATACAGATGAAAATTCCAAGTGGACCCTCTTTGAGAAAAGGACAAAGCAAACGGTACCATAAAAATATATAAAAAGAGAATTTTTTTTATTTTTTTTTTGAAAAAGGTTATAATAGAATAACATGCAATGAAAAAGATGATAGTTTAAGATAGTATAATTTTTTTTAACTAATTGTAATAAAATGTATGAATACACATCTAAAAGAAATACAGAATAAAAAACTTCATATCTCTCTCTCTCTCTCTCTCTCTCTCTCTATATATATATATATATATATATATATATATATATATATATATATATATATATATATAATATACTTTATTTTAACTCAAACTAAATATTGATAATTCAACCACTCTCTCATGAACCTTCGTTGATAGTTAAAGGGTAATACTAATGTATAAACATATATTTTAGTAAAGTTATTAACTGTCATTTAATGATGTTTACTGTTTCTTATAAAGTTATTAAATGGTATCGAATAAACAATTAAAATTAAATATTGACATTTTTAAAATAATTTTGATTTAATTTAAAATTAAATCAAGGAGAAGAAATTGAAAAAAATATTAATTTAAAAAATTATAATTTGAGTTGAATGAAAGAAATTGATTACATAATTGTAAGATATACTGATGTAAATTATAATCAAAGATTAAAAATGCTTATAATTCAATTTACAAGTATTTATTTTAACTCAAACTAAATATTAATTATTTATTTAATATAGTATTCTCGTATAAAATAATTATTCCATTTTTATTTTTTTTATCACGTGATGTTTAAGGCACAAACCAAAAAAGAAAAAAAATCATGATTTATAATAAATTTATTATTTTATAGTAATATAATTTTTATCTTGATTTTTTTCTCCGTCAATAATTATTCACAATCATTAATTATTTTCTATTTTTTAATAAAAATAATTAAAAAATAAAAATATAATTAATATAGTATTAAATTTTATAAATGGTAGATAAATAGAAATTTTTTTCTAATATAATAATTTTATGGTGAGCATTTAGTTTTTCATATGAAGACAATAACTGTCATTTAATATTTGAATTGAATATGCTCTTCAAGTTATTAAATATTGTAGATGCTATAAAGTGTATCACCTTTATTGGTTTAATATTTATTGAAAGTATCCAATTACATAACATAATATAACATACTAAATTTGTCAAGATTTCAGTAGTTGATGTTTAATTAATGAGACAGACAACCTCAACATGAATCAATGAATGAATAAGAAAGAAAGAGAGAAAAGGTGCAAATTTAAGGGAATTCCAGCTGGTTGCTTCAGATGTTCTCTCTGTTTTTGATCTTCTCCTTCATTTCCTATCTCCGATGATTTCTCCTACTCAGTAAAATCCGAAGGACAAACCAAAAACAACCAAAAAACTTTCATTCCTTCTCCCTTTCGCTTACTCTTCCGATTGCCATTTTGCTTCTGTTTCTGGGTCATACCCTCTTCTTCTTTCTGGTAAAGTTGTTTTTTTTTTCTTTCCATTTTTTTCAGATTCAGAAGGCATGTGCATTGTTATTCATGAACATGGTGATTGTGGGATCTGACAAGGAATTTTTGTCCATTTTGTTTCATATTTCTGCCTACATTCTTCGCTTGTTAGTTGTTTCATCAGATTTACCATTTTTGTTGCAATGTATGGGGCTGTTTCATGGGACTCACGTGTATGCTGTTACTCTTTTTTTGAATTTTTTTAGCCTTGAATAAAGTTGATGCAATGATGATGGGAAAAAGTGGGGTTCAAAAGGAGCTTTTGTTTTGGTTGGAAATTTATGGCTTACTGTGCTTTTTCATGTTTTCTTTTCTGGAAGCAGCTTTTGTGAAAAAAATGATGGCATTTGATTATGGAAATGCTTTTATTTTATTTGTTTTCCTCCCCCCATGGAACCAAACTGAAAAATTTTAAAATGTTTTGTTACTGAGTTTTACTCTATCGCCTTATGATTCAAAATGACACCTTCTTAGAAGGAGTTGGTATCTGTTCCTTACAGGAATGGTTGTTCTTGAGTAATGTCTGTCGTTATAATCCAGGAGTAAGGTTCTTCCTATCTTGGAGGATCGAGATAAGGAGGAACTCGAGTTTCGTCTGTTTCAAAAGATGGGGGTGAGTTGACTTCGAACTTCTGAGAGGCTCCATCCTGGTTGTAATCTTATGAAGTGGAGCTTCTCTGAGATACATGTTGAAGCAAGATGATTGAGCAATTCATCAATTTCATTATTCGGCCCCCCAGGTATTACGTTGTTCTGTTTGTAGGTGGCTTATCATTAATTTATTTGCATTACAAGTTTGACTAATACGTAGCTTGTGTTGTCAGTAAGGACTTGTGTGTTCAAGCTGGTAGATTCTTCTTTTTATTTGATTGAAATTGGATTTGCATTGTATTTTTTAACTAAATGCCCCAATCATTTCAGGCAAAGCTATTGAATTACTGCTGTTTCTGAATTTTTTTCTTGTATTCAACTACCCAAGTGCCCCTGCTTCCAATGGTCTACTTGTGGTTATCTATTCTCAAGTAAATTGAATTACAGTGTCAGTGTATCTACTTTTTTAAATATACAGGGCCGAGTATGATCCAGATCAGTACCTATGGGAAAAGGAATTCACCCTTGCAGGAAGAACATACCAACGGCAGGATTTGGAGGCAAGTATGGACATAGTTTTGTTAGATTCAACTACTATAGTCTACTTTTAGAAGTTACTTTATGATTACAATTTACTGCAATTTTTTGAAAACTAGATAGATTGTCTTCTTTTTTTCTTAAACCTTGCAGCTGAAGAATTCCAGAGGTTATACCTTGCGGTGTAGCCATTATCTACCCTCACCTTTTCCTGAAGATATTGCTCTTCCTTGTGTTATATATTGCCATGGAAACAGGTATGTCAACTTTTATGGATGCTGCTATCACTGCAATAATCATAAAGACCATTTTTTTAACTTTTTTTTTTTTTTCAGAATTGCACGCTGACTCAATTATTCTCTATTTTGATATATATGTACATGTACAATGGTACAGTGGATGTAGGGTTGATGCCAACGAAGCTGCTGTTATTCTTCTTCCGTCAAATATTACTGTTTTTACGCTTGACTTCTCGGGGTCAGGCTTATCTGATGGAGACCATGTTAGCCTTGGCTGGCATGAAGTAAGTTACCTCTTATTGCATGTATTTATTTCTTTAATTAGTTTCCAAAATTGTATGTTTATCCATCTTACCAAGTTTCCTCTTGAGTATCTTTATATTATAGCTTTCATGAAGTCAACAATGCGACACATGTATACACTTGCATCAGTTGCATGCTTATCTGTGTACATTTCCTGCAATGTTTACTCAAGTTTATGTTTCCTGAGACAGAAAGATGATCTCAAGATGGTGGTGTCACATTTAAGAACCAACAAACAAGTATCTCGTATCGGTCTTTGGGGACGATCAATGGGTGCTGTTACTAGGTATTACGTCTTCCAATCAGCTTGTTTGATTTTTAACAATGTTAGTAGTTGTATAAGCCTCATATATGAGAATCTTTATTATAATTTATTTCTCAGTTTGGTTTGGTGTGGTGTAGCCTTCTTTATGGAGCTGAAGACTCTTCTGTTGCTGGGATGGTGTTGGATAGTGCCTTTTCTAACCTGTATGGTCTGATGATGGAGCTCGCTGATGTCTATAAAATTCGACTTCCAAAGTTCACTGTACTTGTCCTCTCTCCTTCCTTACCTTCCCCCTCTCTCTCTGTATGTATGTAATACTTCAGATTCTACCTTCTCCTTTGTGATAACTAGTAAATTTGGCATCCAAATAAAAAAGTAGGATCTTCATTTGGTTACCTTATAACTTTCCTGGTGTGATATGATATGAACCTATAGATTGTCGTGGTGCATGATATCTAATCTGATTTTTTTTCCTGGTTGCAAAAGATTTGACTATTGCATTGCTATGAATCACTCAAATGCTGTAAATGTAATGTTTCGTTTTATTTAAGAACAATTTATCATATAGGTTCGTTAGGAACCAAGAATTGAAAATAAGAAAGGAAAGAAAGCACGAGTGGATCTAACTGTTAAACTCAGCATGAGGCCAAAACCCTGCCTCCTCCTATTTTCGTATAAATACAATTTAATTACAATGTCAATACGATTTTCAGCTGACTAAATCTTCTAAACCGGCCATATATATAAAAATTTGAACATATTATCCTAATCAAGAGAATAGAATAATAGTTACAAATAGAAATAAATATATAATCCCCCATATAATTTGCTTTGTCCATTAATTTTATTGATACTAAAATCAATGGGCAATAAACTTGGTTTTTCTTCTGGACTGTAATATTCTGGGCATTTGAAGATTTTACTGATATCTTTCACAATTAGGTTAAAATGGCTGTACAATACATGCGGCGGGTTATTGAGAAGAAGGCGAAGTTTGACATTATGGACCTGAACTGTTTACTGGTATGGATTCATTCTACAATTTTTTCATAAAGGCCAACGGAAGTTTTTCTTGATCTGGTCCATTTTTGAAATTATAGAATTACTAATGTAAACTTAATTTATCATGTATGTTTTCACCTGATTTGGATCCTCTCCCATTTATTGTTATCAAGAGAGATGTTGTTTACTAAATTCTAATCATTCATTGCGCTTTATTACTTAGTTTACCATTGACATAAAAATAAACTAAAACTATGATATGAAAGAAGTATGGGGAACATGCGTGCCTGATTTAGTGGGTTAGTTGGTTTTTATTTCAACCGTAATAAATGGTAAGGATTTATTAAACAGAGCATCTTTTAACAAGAAACAAGATCGAAACCGAATCCTATTTTCACTTTGAAATCTTACATGTTTGGATTCACTCAATTCTGACGGAGAGAATTCACAACTTTATTATCCTCTAATGAAGATTTTCTGGCTTAACAAATAGTTTAGTCACTTCTTTCATGACTATCTTAATGCTTTAAAAGCTTACAGGTTGCACCTAAGACATTCATTCCTGTTTTATTTGGACATGGCATTCATGACCAATTCATTCAGCCTCACCATTCTGATCGCATCTCTGAATCATATGCGGTATTCCTCAAACCATCCGGCTAATGTTTTTAAAAGCAATGTGCAGTTTTGCATTCTCTTGACAGAAACAATATATCTAAGTTCTAACTTGTGCTCTAAATTTGTAGGGAGAGAAAAATATCATAAAATTTGATGGTGATCACAACTCCTCCCGACCACAGCTCTTTTATGATTCAGTTTCCATTTTCTTCTACAATGTCCTCCGCCCTCCTCACATTCCCAGAGCTCGCAAGCATGACAGATATTTTGATATAGGGGATTTGAAGATCGGTCCTGCTGTGAATGAGGTAAGTAGCACTTGAGAGAGTCTACCAAAAATGTACCTGAATTTATACTGTGTCAAGAATGCAGTGAACTCAAACAATGATACATCAGCAAACTGCAAGTGACAGTAACCTGTAATCAAAATGGAAAAAGCAAAAGAAAGGAGATGTAGGCTCATATTGTCTTAACTGCCTAAAACCTCTAAAATTTGAGATGTCAACTTCCATTTCACCTTTTGAAAATATTAGCATGAAATTGTATTGTGTAGATATGTATGCTCACTAAATTAAGTTTTTTCATGTGGATGTTATTTGAATAACAAATCACTAATTTGCTCTTGCTTTCATTCTAGAGCCTATTATATGGGATACTCTCTAATCTACAGTCTGTAACTATTGATGCTGCAAGTTCATCTTCCGCTCTTCCAAGAAATTTAAACTCAAACACAGCTTCAATTAGAAAACTTATTCCCAAATTTGCTCCAGTAAGTAACTTCTCCTGTATGATGGTTCTTTCCATTTGTCTCTGTAATTTTGATTAAAAATCTTTGTTCTGTTAATTCATTAATTGCATTTGATGCAGGAGTCCATGATTAGAGAGGAACTAATACATGGAATTTATGAACCTGGCCATGATGACCATGCAGATATGAAGGTGATTTTATCAAGGACCTTCTCTGAAATTAAGAAATTATTCAGCAGCGCTTTTTCACATCTAGATCACACTATTTTGGTCTGGAGAGGAATTAGTTGCTTTTATAATCATTTGCTATCCATTGCATTAGTGGTCTAAAATTCCTTTCCAGATCTTGACTCTATATTTTGTCCTGAAATGGACTTTTACTGATTCGACAGGATGAGCAAAATGGCCTGACTGAAGATTATTACTCATACACTAGCTCAACTAGAGAAAGCTGGGGTCGATGTTCTTCTTTAGTATTCAGCGATGAAGAATCTTGTCCAGATTACAGGGATGATGATGATGCTTCTGAGGTCTGTCTGTATCGACTTGCATTTCGAAATGCACATAAATATTTCATCTAATAATTAATTGATGACATAAATGATTTGGAAGTGATGCGAGAAAATTATTTTCTAGTAACTTGTCTACTAGTTTATATGACGGTGCTATACTGTCTTTGCTTCTTGTGCTTTGAACCTGTTTGAATAAACTTTTGCAGAGATACTTACAGTAAACAGTACCAAAAAAACACTTATAGCAAAAGAAAATAAGAATATAAAGTGAATTGAACTTATTTCTTACTAAAATCAACTTAATTAATGCCTTAACTTGTATTGAAGCTCCATTATCTAACTTTTCTAAAAGTTGAGGTGCATAAATTGATTTTAACTTATAAGAGAATATCAATTCACATTTTCACCTTGTCAAGAAGTTTATCAAAGCAGGGCATTATTTGTAGTAAGACTATTTTAGTTTCTTGTAGTTAATACATTGGCATGGTTATTATGTGCTTCATATGTCTTATGATAGTGAAAATACTCTTGAAGGTATTTGCAACACCCCTTGGAAGTCTAAGAGAAATATCTGCAGACCCTAAAGAAGAAGAAAATGACCAGAAAAAGAAGAAGAAAAAGAAGAAGAAAGCTGAAAGATCCACAAAGAAGCACAAGTCTGACAGATTTGAGAAGTGGGAATCCCTCGGTCGAAAGCTGCGGCTTTGCATTCTAAAGGGATCTGCAAATCGGAGACCAAAGGCCTCTTGACTGCTGTGTTACAAAGTTAGCTAACTACATGTTTTCATAACATCAATGTAAGACACTGCTATATTTAGGCACGTTATAAAACTTAACTTGTTTGTAGGTTAACTAGTTTATTGACTTGATTCTCTTGTGGGAAATAATTCAACATGTATTTATGCGCAAATGTTGGTTTCTCTTTCTGCCTCATTTACCAATTGTGTTGTCAATTGGGTCTTTTAAGTTTCTTCTATTTCTGTTTAGGTCCCTCAATGTTCATTCCATTCAATATTTATTATTGAAAGAACATCCATTTTCATCCTTAAAAGATATAAAAGGTGACAGGTAGATCCTGAAAGAATTTTGGTAATATTCAAGTTTCAAATAGTTTGTAACCCTAGAACATATTAGTCCTCGTAGGGTCAGTTAATAAATTTGATAGTGTCGTGAACATTTGTCTGCTAAATCTCAAGATTTCATTTGCGTGTGCATTCTCCTCCCTTCACAGGTAGAACAAGTAGATTCTATGTTATTGGACTCACCCTCAACCCTTTTGCAGTGACGTGTACAAAGTTAAAACCAACCCTCTTCTTATTTCCCAACTCAAGAAAACGCAGATCTTTTCTCCATACATAACAAAAAAAAGCAACTTTTTTGGCTCACAATTCGGCTGAATTTCAGACCAAGAGGGGTGCAGGGAACTACTATTCTAAAAAAACGAGGGGATTGGCGATTCAACCATGGTAAATGTTTAGACAAAGACATTGTTTTTATTTACATAATTTTTTATATGTTATGGATTGATTAATCCAAAATTTTAAAAAACATTATATATTATATAGATTCATTAATCCGATTATTTTTCCTATTTATCAATTTGAGTAGTTTGAGGCCTAAGGTGTGGATTTTCTTCCAACACCTCATAAGTATACTTGCAACGCACATTTGGTGGATAAAAAAATATCATTTTGAAATACTTAATATATCTTTGAAAATGTTATCCAAAATATATTAAAAATTTTCTAAATTACACAATTCAGATAACAAATAAAATCGTGAGCAATAATTTGGAATATACAAGTATCAAACACATTCGGATTATACATTCTGAAATTTATAGTTAAAAAAAAGGATAAGGCATTGTAGAAAGAAAAATATTTTGAACTGATATTTTCATTGAGAGAAGGGTAAATTTTCATATAACAAATAAGAGGGGAAAATTAAAAGTTTTAAAAAATATGATGGTGTAGGAAGAAAAACAAGGAGAGGAAGAATAAGAAAAAGGCTCTAAAGTGAATTTTATTTTGCTTTAATTTTATTGGTCCAATATTTTTGATGTAAAATTTGACTGCGGGTTGAAAAGTACTTAAACTAGTTATTTTAAAATTTTATGAAATTATTATAAGAAAATAATATTTTTAGTATTTAGAAAAGTTTCAACTATAAAACACTAGAATTAATTGACCTAATCTGGCTTCCATTTCCTATTTAGGTGCCAACCGGGCACTTCAAGCATTTTTTCTCAAATTTCCAACCTATTGTTTGAGGTTAATGTTTGAATTTAAATTGACAATAGATGTTATCAAGTAACTTCAAGGTATTAATCAAAGAATAAGTGAAAAGGTTTTATTAGTTTTTCTTAGATTTTCTTAATCAATACGTGGTTCAATAATTGTTGCACAAATAGTGTAGGAAGAAGAAAACGATAATTAAAAATGGAGATTACACTGGGAACCCGAAATGCCCCATAGTCTAAGGTTTGAAATTGGAAGAATACCTCAAGACTTTTAAAAGATTCCCTTCATTTTTTATGATGAGGTTTTGTTGGACATCGTTAAATAATTAAAAATTGAAAACGGCAAAGTTAGGAGTTAGAATTGGAAATGAATAAACGAACTGAACTCAACATGTTTGGTCAAATTAAACCAAGAGTGCAAGTAATTAAATTAGACCTGATGCTCCAAACAGCTAAAAAAATAGACAAGAGAATATTACCATGCACACTTTTAGATATTACATACTTAAAAATAGCTTTAAGATTGATGATTAGCACAATCAACCACAACAAAGGTAATTTTTTGCGTGTTAGAATATACCCCAATGCTAGATCGCACAGTGAGTTGTATTAACCCCACCATAATCTTCTTATAAATACCATGATGAATAGGTTTATGGAGCAAATGACAAGATTCTTTCTATTAACTCAATTCAACTTAGTTCTCTAAATATGAGTAAAAGGGAGGAATCTTAGTCAAGTACTGAACATTTGAACTGAAAAGAACCTTGGGAATCTATAATGATCAGGTTCCCTTGTCTACGGAATACATATGAAACAGAAACTAAACTTATAAGGAAGATAGAATGAGTCCTAGAACACAACCTACATATTACACCAAATCATAGATTACTGCCACCAACTTTATCCAAGTCCTCACCACTTCTGCTAGGCATACCCAATGAAGGATCAAATTGCTCTTGGCCAAGAAAAACACTGTTTGGTGGCTGGTATGATGACATGCTTGACTCCAGTATTTGAAGTGGAAGCACCATGTCTGGTTTAGAATACGATCCATCCATGCTTAGTCTTTGCTTCTTGGTTGATCTCTCCCCTTTAGGACTGTCAGCAGGCGAACCAACATGGCAACCAGAATCTGGTGTCAATGGTTCATGGCGTGAAGAAAAAGATTCAATTGAAAGACTCTTTGCTGGGACACGGTCTTTGGCAGCCTTTTCAGGGTCCGGGGTAGACGGGTCAGTCTTATTATCAGGTTCTTGGCACACCTCGCCTGGAACCACAGCCACAACGCCAGTGTCAGGTGCCTCTGAAAGAACGCCACTGAGCCGCTGTTGTTCTTCAATTATCTTTTTCAGGTATTTACCCTGGGCTTCTATCCGTAACTGTAGCTGTCTCTGAACCTGGTTCATTCACATCAACATACAAAATTACTAGCTTGGCATCTTAATTACAAATAATTTTCATCAGTCTGTTTATTCTGTCTGCACTTGTTCAAAATTGAAAATTTGTAAAGTTGAATTTCAAAGCAGCAAATACAAAAACTTTAAACTCCATTTTCTAATTGTGAAGTACAGCTTGAGCCACTGAAGTTTCAATCTTTCATCATGAGATATACAACATTTAGAATGGTACAACCTAGAACTTGGTGATTATATAACTTATTTGAGTAACTGGCATAAATCCAGAGAGAATTTAATATCATCAGTTATTCTCACATGATTACGTGAAATAGAAATCATAATTACAATCAGCTAATATTGTGAAGTCACCAGATCAGTTCAAATAGGAAAATATACCTCCAATTGTTCATGTAGTCGTTTCTGCACCTCCATTTGAAGCTTTAGTGCTTCAGTAATCTGCATCCCACTGCAGACAGATAAACCCACAGGTAAGTTATTAATCACTTATACCACCAGAACTCATCAAACAATATCTTTAGAAAAAGAGTTACATTCTCCATTAAAAATTATGAGGTATTGAATACATATAAATAGATTATGTGACTCAGGATGTAAAAGTAAAGTATTAATGATGGTTAAATCCCAGCACAACGTGCCTTAGTGACCCAAATAATATTTTTTTTTTAATTATAAGCGACCACCACCTTGCATAGCATATGTATGAAATCCCAAATGTAAGGGGAAAAATAAGAGGCAGCAATACTCACGATGAACCATCGAGATTGGACAACACATCCCCTGTTTCTTTCTTGTCAGCCTTTTTCCCTTCTATTAACAAATTTAAAGTTATCATATCAAAGAAATCTAAAGGAGAAATCAGAGTAAAATGAATGCTTAATTGACTAAAAATAACAACAACAAAAAAAAAAAAAGAGTCCTGAACATGATTTACACAAACAATTTAAAATTGCAAAAATCAGATAGACATACCATCAGAGGAGGAATCAGGTAAATATTTTGCTAGTCGGTATTTCTGTAAGAAACAGACAAAGTAGAATGAGAAAAAGATTTACAGAGATAATGGACATCATTTTAAGAGGCCCTTTAAGTGCACAGTACCTGTAAATGGCTTTTGACATGGTAAATGGTCAAGCCTTGTACACCCATAACTCTGAGGACACCTTTTGGTGTGGCACCTAGGAAAAAGGAAAGTTAAATTTAAACATTTTTATAAGGAACGTTAAAATTATCCATAGAAGCTTAAAATACTCCCTAGCTAACAATAGGAATTCTAGCCAACATAAGTATACAGATGTAAAATAGATGAGAAATACTCACGATCTGGCCCACCAAGTTGAGCCACAGCATCAACAAAGCGCTCGTGCAATTCATGTGTCCACCGTAAACGTTGTTTTGAGGTGAGATTGGAGTTGTTGCCAAGATTGTTTCCTCCATTGCCAGGATCCATTGCACTGCCACCACAATCTATGTGCTCACCATGAACTAATGAATTACCTCCAACTAAACTTGCACTAGGAACATTCTTTGAATGATACATTTGTCATTTATCTGACAGCAAACAAATAAAAGTGAATATAACGTAATATGGAAATTAATTCTAACATTGTCAACTTGCCTGCTTATTGAAGAGGCTTGTGAAAAAATGATGGAAGAATCAGTCATCAAGGCAGACAGACACATAAATCCACGGGTTCCACAAGATAAAAGCAACCTTTTGAATTTTCCCAGTTCATAGTGAATACATTTCTTTAAGTATTACAAAATTAGCACGTTCTGATCCCAATTCCTAATGTGAATCAATTCATTTCATATTTGGTTCTATCGAGAATTTACATTATGTAAGTCTCTCACAACCAACTTTTCCCATCGTCATTAAAAAAATTTACACAATGGATCTTTTAGAACTCTCATGCAAACCTTAAAAAATACTCCCCAACATCCAACAAAACCTCTTGATTTCCTTCTTCAGGTGTGTTCCAAGGAAAAAACTTGAGCCTCGTGGAAAAGGCACACTGTTTCCATGTCTACATCGCATATTCAAGTGATTCTTAGCCTAAAATCATCTAATAAATAAGTTAAATTTTTGCAGTGTTTTTATTTGATGAAAGCACCATAGAAACGCAAATCTACTGAACTTATAAGCGATTTTTAGCCTAAGTAAATCATATATATGACCCTTAAAATATCGCCCAAATTCTAATACAACTATATAATCAACTGCAGTTTTGCAGGTAAAAATCGATATTGCTCGAAACGAAGAACACAAAAAAAGAACCCACCATAATTTAAGGCAATCATTCATTACCTAGCATAGGTTAAACCCACCCAAAAATGTTGGGAGAAGAAAAAACTTGCACTCCAACAAGGCTGATTTTTCCATTTACTAAGAAATTGATAGAGACATCATTCTTATTTGTAGAGAACTAAAAACTCAATATCATTATTGCTGCTTGCAAAAGAATTCATAAATCAGATGCAACCTAATAACATCAGCAAATTGGAACCCAATGTCAAAAGTTGACTTATTTTCATCGTGCTAACACCTCTGAATATCAATTAACACCATCAAAATCGACGATTAGACACTTAACACATGGAAGAGAAAACCGGCAGGACTCTCACCTTGACTGAAACAATTGTAACAAACCTACAACTAGTAATTGGGGGTTCTGGCCCCACATGAAGAACAACCAAACAACTCTCCGATGAAGAAAAGACTGAAAATCTTAAACCATTCAGACCAACTCTTTGAAATGTCCTATTTCCCGCACCAAGCCCAAAACTTTAAAAATGGGCCAATAGAAAAATTAAAGTACAAAAATTTAAAACACGAACTTGAGGCCAAGGCAGAGACAGTAGCATCATTAAACTGAAGCTCAACCCAAACAAACCAAAAGGGTCACCAAAAATGATGAAAATAAAAATCACAAATGAAAGAAAACACAGAAGCACAAGCTTCAGAGACTGAGAGAGAACGAGAGAGATAATTCAGAGAGCACTTGAAAACTGAAATTGAAAGAAGGAATAAAAGGGGGAAGAGAAATACATACTCAGATCTACAAAATCCAACGCACACAAATTTTCTCCCCCCTCCAATTTCGGAGCTGTGGGACGCTGTGCTCTGCGTTATTTCTCTCTCTCTCTCTGTTTCTCTCTCTTCATGCACAGTGATGCCCTCCAATGAAATTAATCGTTTCTTTAGGGGGCTGCTATAATAAATCATTAAACTAGTTATTAATCTCTTATTATAAAATAAAAATGTAATGAAAAAAAAAATCTAAAACTAATTCCAATCGTTTTTGTTCTTATTTTACATAACATTATTGGTAGAATTAGTTTAATTAGGATAGAGTTTTTAAACTCGAAAATTCTAATCATGTAGTATGATATAATTAAAAGTTATTAACTTTTAAGTAATTATTTGAAAAAACATTTTTAACGTTATCGTATTGTCATTTAATGATACATGGTTATGTTAAATCATTCAAAGATTTGTATTAAAAACATTTTTTGATTGATTAGTAATATAAAATCAGTGTTGTTTATTCATTCGACTTAAGAGAAATAAATTATCAAATTTTATTAGTAATATATATATATATATATATATATATATATATATATATCAGTGTTATTAATGGATAAAATTGATTATTTAATGGCATAAAAAAAATATTACATAAACTTTTAAAGCAATAATAAATTAGCATTTGGCACTTCTAATTTAGAGATGAATTTAATGGACCCAATATTTGTTTTAACTACTAATTTTTTATAAAAATAATTCTTATATTTTGAAAACTGATAAAATTAAATTAGACTTTTGACCATTCAACCGGCCAACTTCTTTTTCATTCTTCAAATTGTCTTTTCATTTTCCGGTTTTTGTCCACCATTGACTCTTTTTTTTTTTCATTTCTCACTGCTATTACTAACTATTAGAGAAATCAGATGAATTAATGATTTTTAAAAAAATGATAATATGTTTTGAATTTTGTTTTTATAGGAAAGAAAATAAGAGGTAAAAGAAACTGAGAATTGTTTTGATTATTAAAAATGAACTATAATATAAAGACAATTTTAGCAATGATGATGAATAATTTTTTAATTAGGTGTCACATTTAAAACAAAATTTAATAAGTTTTTGTCTCATCTTTTAGTTTAAACACTTTAATTGTGATTATGGGTTGTGATGAGATCAATCTAATCATATGTTTTATCTCCTATACATAAATTAAGTATTCATCAAAGCATTATTGAGTATTGTTAAATGTAATATTTTTTATTTATTCTACTACTAATTTTCGATTATTTCTTAAAAAAATCAAATAAATTTAAAACAAATTAAACTTAAATGTTCATAATTTTATTATACTAATTAAAAATAATGATATGCTAACTCAATCCAATTAATTTAAAACTGAAACACCTTAAACCTTGTATGATGAAAGAAAAATATGATATTATATTAACAGTGTGGTAAATTGGTATGGTTGATGAAGAAGAGAATATAGAAGAGAAGAAAACAAAGCTGGTGAGGGCATAGTCACTGAAAACAAGGTATGACAATGATTCCCTTTGTGTGTGTCTAGGTTTGATCAGTTTCCTCGACCTTGTGAAGTGTGTGGTTAGTGAGTTTTATGTGGGCATCGTTGTTTTGTTTTGAACTTTGTTTTCTGTTTTGTTTTATTGGGGGGTGATTGCTTGGTGTGAGTAGGATTGATATGAGGGTGAGAAGTGAAACAATGAAATAATGAAATAGTTAATGGTGGATGTTGTGAACATGACAACAACAAGTAGCGTTGTAATAAGCTAAGATGGAATCTTCCTCCTAATATTCCCTTATCCTTTCTTCAACCAAAAAAATAAAATATCAACAAATCATTTTTCTTCTCTACTCTCATCTCCATTCACCAATTACATTTTAAACCACCATTTTCATCGCTCAATATTCATTTTATTTTACACCTATTTTGAAACATACTCCGGTAGAATGGTCCTATTTCTGTTGCTACCTTCCCAACGTTCTACTACGGCTTCATTCACCAATCAAATGTTGCCAAATCCGATTCTAAATTTCTGTTTGGTCAATTCATATACTCTTCTTAACCAAACCCTTTTACTGTCAATCAATTTCTTTTATTTTTTTCACATTTAAATTAAGTTTATTAGGATTTAAGGGTATACATTCTTTAATAACCACGCCAACTTTTTATAGTTGAAATCCAGCAATTATTATATTTATTATTCTTTTGAGTGTAATGTAGAAGAGAAAGTAAAATTATAAAAGAACCAAAAAGAGGAATTATCGAAGCTTTTAATTTGACTGTTATTAGGATTTATTTCTGAGTTAACAAAATGTGAAGGTTTTGCGGCATTAAATGGAAACAAGACATTGAAGTCTCACATCGAAAAGTAGGATGATGTCATTGTTGTAAACGGAATTCCAGTTGGAGCCAATTAGAAGGATGGATGTGGTCTGGTGGAGTTGTTGAGAAACTCGCTGCTCATTCATTGATCGTATCAACTAATCATCCAAACCCAAATCAATAATAACCCTCCACGTGTCTCACCAATATCTATTTCTTTTTCCATATTATTTTTTATTTTCATATCATATAATACTAATAATGACTTTTTTAGTCTAAAGTCATCAAAAAATGAATTATCTTCAAAAGTCTTCATTTCGAAGCTTGTAACTTTTGAAACCTTGTTTCCTTTACTCAATTTATCCAACTTGATTAGAATTTAAAGTAACTTTTGAAAGTCCAGGACAAACAATTCTTTTCTCCACTCCATGGTCTTCCATCAATGTATTCAACACCATTCCTCAGAAACACGCTGCACACAGCAGTTTGCATCTGCATCACTGAGTCTATGAAATAATCAACTTTTTTTGTTTTTGTTTTTTTAAGAAACAAGACAATTTGGAGCACTTGTCATAATCCACCTCCCACTTGCATGATACAACCAATGACAGTTCTGGAATTGCAATTTGAGCTGCAGTTTTCATTTCATTTGACTAACAGGCCAAGACTATGCCCCAACATGTGCATTATAATATATTGTCCAATGCTAAAGCCACATTAAAAAAAAGTACGTAATATCATCGAATACAGCAAAAAATCACTCAGGAGGCAAGTAACAGTACTTTAACAGGATTGGCGAGGAAAATATTTTGTTTAGGGAGAAGCATGGATCATAAGTCAAACCAATTAAAATTTTTCTTCTTATTGGATCTCCTAACTCTAATGATCCAAATATTCATGGTTTAAAACAATTGTTGAAAGAAAAGTAACCGGTGAGGATTCTACAACATCAATGTAGCTTTTGGAAATTCAACGCTTCTTAGAAGTGTTCAAGAGTTTACTAATGACTCCACTTATTGAGGAGAGAAGATCATACCCTTTATTCAGCATGATGTAATGAGTAATAGGAATCCATAAAAATCATCAAAACACACAAATTTTGTATAGTCAAAGCTAGTTTTTTGCAATGTTTAAAGCCAGAAAGAAGTTTGAATTTACAAAAGGGTAAAATTGATTCCACCTATGTCTCACTACTAACTTACAAGACATGAAGAGTTCAAGTACCTATAGAGAAAAAGGAATGAATGAAGTTCAAAGGTATATTATGAGAGGATGAACCATCAAGTAGACCTTTCATCCCTACATGCCATACCTAGTTATTCCCTGAGGATGATTACCTTGGGCCACATTGATGGCCTGAGTTCTCATCTTAGCTTCACTCCAGATCAATGGTGCTGCCATAGAGTCCATGCCTAGCATCCTTCTTTTCCCCTCACCTGGAGATCCTTCTAAAGTCAATCCTCCAGAACTTTCATGCGAGGTTAAACAACTTTCAGTTGAACAATCAGCCCTTTGGGGTGGGACACTCAGTGGTATTTCTTCATCCGGAACATTCACTCCGGCCACCTCAGCTGATGGCAAGGAGTAAAATCCAAGAGGATCAACCAAATTACCTCTAGGTGCTTTGCTTCCAATTGCTTGAAACTTTTGGCTCTCAGTGTCTATAATTGTAGCACCAATAAATTGATCAGCCAGCATTTTGCAAGCTCTTTCAAGCATGGCCATGTATCTCCTCTCTGCATCCTGACGAATCTGCAAGTGCTTCTCTGCCTGCAGTGTGATACTTGCTCAATTAAACTCAATATATGCACACGTATGATACCATACGACTAAATTACCAATGTGGCAAATAGTTTGTTAAGCCATATTGGAAGCATAACTTTGGATTAGGAAAATGAAAATTACCTCCACTTGCAAATGTAATTTACTCTGCACTTCCATCTGTGCTCTCAATGCCTCCTTGATTTCATAACCCCTAGGCATAAAATTAACCACTCCTTCAATATGGTAACTCAAATCCATTGAGATATTTGTCAGAAGAAAAATTATTATTTATGAATTAATGAAAATTCTTACTCGTTTGTATCCGACGTTGGCAACTTTGGAGAAGTGTTATCAGTGCCAGGGCTTTCTAAAAGATATGAACCTGATATTCCTTCCATAAGAAAAGTCAGTTTGAGGCCAAAACAATAACAAAAAAAGCTTATAATAAATTACTAAAGTCCTGGTAAAGTTTTTTCCAGTTTAAGAACTTGTTCGTTGTGAAAGAAAAAAATAATAATCAATGTTCAAATCCAAAGAGTAGTTAACACATTCAGCATAAATTAACTTGGTTATCCAAATTTTCAAAATTAAGCTAGTTAGCTCCCTAATTTCAAATATGCCCATCAACAATTTGCTCCCCAACTGTAATTCTGCACAGACAGTTCCTCATTGGTTGTATCAACAATATACCCTAAGTAGGTGATATATGATTATGGCATTGGTTCATACTCGGTACAGATTAAAAGTCCAGGTAGAACCCCTCTCTGCGGAGAGGAAAAAAGAAAGACAACTACAGAACACATTGGACAGGCAAACTCAGATGATGTGAACATAATTGATCCAGAGAGGGGAATGATAATCATACCATCTTTGCATCCTTCACCCACATCTTTCCCAGATTGCTTACCAAGCCTGTATTTCTGCAATAGAGAAAGAAAGGTTTCATTTTTGGGTCATAGCCTGAGTGGGCAGAAAATCATAAAAAGAATTAAAGAGACCTGAAGATGACTCTTCAAATGAAACAGAGTCAAACCCTTGACATTCATGGTCCGCATGATTGCTTTTGGTGTAGCTTCTGCAGATAACATCCACAACCTAGTCAGAAAATGATATTGATGATAATTTATGCATAAAGACTTGTAGATAAGAAATGGAAAGTAGGGTTAAAATTTAATAACTACTTTGCAAAGAAGCCAAGCCAGTTTCATTTCTAAACTTCGGCGGATAAAGAAGGCAACTATATTGAACTAATATACTTTCAACTTGGACACCTAATGAATTCATGGAGAAGTAGCTTGTTTTGTTATAATTGTCAGATGCAGAGAACAGTAGCTGGTGGTTTGGGCTGAGGATGTAATATATCACAGGCACAGTCACAAACAAATACAATTATCCAATGACACAATGTTTTACTGTGAATCATGTTTATAGATAAACCATTGACCTCTAAAGTCTTCTGAATCATCTTCCTACAGTTTTTCTTAGTCTCTCTTTATACCATTCATCTGATTTACTCTCCCTACTATCTACATGTCTTCGCAACACATACCCAAACCAGTGACAAGATTCTATCAACGTTCTTCCTAATGGATTCATTCTTAAAATACATAGCATAATAAGGATGCCAATTATAGATGAGTTGAACCCACTTAACCTGGCAAGTAATTACAAAGGAAAACCTGAATTTGACACTACATAAACTCATTTTCCTGCAAACACAACATGATTGATCCAATAATGAATATAACATCACGTCATAAACCCAAATTGTCACCACTGGTTGCACATTTGTCTTTGCAGTTACGATTTAGTATCTTTACAACCAAAGCTAGAAACTTGTCCAAATCTTATAGCAGTAAATTGCACTGAATGAGTATAAATACGTCAACATTATAAAAACTCTCCGCCTATCTTCTCTTCAAATTCGGAAACAAATAATACCATCATTTTGGTCTCTTTAACATAAAAATTAAATAATCCTACCAGGAAATAAGGAAAAAAATTAACATTGTTGTTCGTCTCTTTTTGTTTGTTAAATAGCAATCTACAAGAATGTTTATTTTAATTTTCACAATAAATATCACATGTACCATATAATGTGAATTGGTAAAAATGCTAGCTTTTTTTTGACAACTTATAGCAAAATCATGTTGGCTTTGGACGAGTTTTGCCATGTTTACGAAACAAAACCTCATTATTGGCAACATTCACAGGAGTTTCCCTAAAAGAATATAAGTACTTATGGTGGTTGGTGGCTTGGTAGAAAACCCAAAAATGCTATAGTTACATAGTGCATTATTGAAACAGCGGCATCATCAATGAGGAAATTGAATGCAACGAAAAAAATTTAAGAGAAATTGTCAATCCACATAATTGGTAATTGTTGTAGTTCTAAAACTTAATGGAGCAGGAAGTGGAGCATAAAAAAAGATTAACCGCCAATTTGATCCAAGAAATATAAATGATGTCAAATAGGTCCTCGACATCAGTTTGGTCCCAATCATTTTTTAACTAGGGATCTCAAAAAACTCGTGAGGATCAAATTGATTTTCCAAATCTTTTGAGGACCAAAAATAGGGGTTAATTGAAATAATTAATGAAATTGATGGAAGAGTAAAAATCAAACATGGGAGTTATTATGAAAAACAGATCAAGATTAACCAAAAATTCTTTCCGAGCTTAATAAAACAGTAGGATTACAAACATAAACAACTTGAAGTAATTCATTAATAATAATATAGATAGAAGGAAAAGGAGAACAAGAACACAGACAGCTCCATAATTTCAAAGAGATTTCTTAACATAAATACTTTTGTTGGAATCAATATACCTAAACTCCCTAATTGTGCAGCCTTTAGACAAGGGTGGGTTTTAGACTTTAGTGAGGTTAAAACATGAAATTTGGTTCCTTAAACAATGGATCTATTATGTTATGGCTGTCATTGCAAATTGCAGCTCTTCAAGACACTAACACTGAAAATCTTTACATTTAACACTATAAAATCAATTTTAAGGAGTAATATCTCTTAATTTCCAAAGTTTCCTTTCAATTATTTGAAAAGTGAGTATTACACTATACAATTACCAAACAAACCCAAGGTTTTAAAAATTCTTTTAATATCCATTCTCTTAATATCAATCTAACCCAAATGGGAATTGCATTGTTCTTCAACTCTTATAATTAATGTATCTGTTAATGCCACATTCAAGTGTAAGATCAACACCATTCAAACCACTTTTCTTTGGCAACAAAAGTTCCAAGGTTGACAGGTATTAACAAATTGTCTTTTCTTTCATTCATTCATGAACTATGTATATGGCACTTTAGCTTAGTTCCAAAATCCAAACTTTAGCTAGGTACTTAATTTTTCAAAAAGAAAATTAATATGATCTTACAATATGGTTGCATCAGGTAAGGGAAACATGGAGGGAATGCACAATGATAATAGATAATCCCAACCAAAAGGACAAAAATATAATGTAGTGTTTATCATATTCAAAAGGCTAAAAAACTAAGATGTGGCAACTAAATAGCTCAATGAAACCGTTGTAATAAACTGAAAGTCCTAGATCTAACATTCAAAAAGCTTCAAAGCTATGTTTGGTACCATACATGTTCATCAATATGCCAACTTCATTGAACTAATACTGCCTATACCTGTACAGAAAAATAGTTTCTAAATATACTTTATGATGTTAGGAACTTAATACCAAGCGAAAAGGGGAAATAGCCAATCTTTATATGCACAAGTGTCAAGCATTTATATTTCAGCCACCATTTACAACACGATGGTTGCACATAATCATTACTTGCGCGCTGTTTCTTTAAGGCAAGCATCCCGCCCTCCATCTCATCATTCAACAAAGCATCGGAAAGTGCTGGCGGCTCCACCACTGCCATGCTCCTGCTTGACTAATTCAACTCAACATACCCTTCCAACTGCTTTCAACCAGTTTCTCTAAACAAATGCTTAAAACTCCCAAGTCAACCATGAGGAGATTCAGCACACATCAACAAACGCTGGGCACGAAATTGAACTTTGAACTCTTTGAAATACAGCTCTCTCCAACAAGTTTTATACTTTGTGGTCAAACTCAACCCACTGATTGACAAACTCATTCAAACAAAACAGTCTCAAGTTAAATTTTCCACTCAGAAGTCAAACAAACTAACACATAGCTACCACTAATCTGCTCATGAACGTATTCTTCTCCACCTACATTGTTACAACAAGTTCTACTCGTCACAGTCCACATGCACCCTAAGCGAGACCAATCACTCTATATCAACATAATTGATAACTCCAACTCCAATTATGAGAATTTACAATCAAGACAGGAGTACAATCATAAACAAACTCCACAACACCTAAGACTCGAAACAGGAAAGAGGAAATAACAGTCCATTTCCCTTGATCCCCCCCCCCAAAAAAGGCAAAGCTCTCTCATTTCATTTCGAACAAAAGCTTCAAAGGCATCAAACGCGGCCAATACAAATACTCTACCAAATCCATCCCAAATAAAAAAAAAGTTTTTTTTTTTTTTTTTGCAATTGCCATAAGAAAATTCAACCAACTTAGACAAAGAAAAAGTGAGAAGAGACTCACTACTTGCTCCCCCAAGCTGTGAGACAGCATCAACGAAGCGTTCGTGCAAGTCCTGAGTCCAACGAAGGCGAGGTTTGGGATCAGCAGTGAGAACGAGACAAGGGTCTCCCTTGTGAGAGTGAGAGAGGTTGGAAGTAGCAGCCTGCATGTCATCCTGGGCCACAATCCCATCATGGGGGTGTATGAGCCTCGGGTACATCCTCCTTCAATGGGGGAACCCCACCAGCCCCAGAGACCAGAGTTGGAAGATTTTTCAGAGCAGGAAGGGACAGAGATCCGAGACGGGGTCAGTACCCATCTGGGTGTGGGTGAAACTGAGAAAGGGGCGATCTTTGGGTTGGCTCGGAGGCGAAAGATGATGATGATGACGGTGATGATGAATGAGATGAAAGTGAGAAAGCAAAAGGGAAAACTGAGTCTGACGCTGGCACGCCTTTCCGGGATCTTGTCCCTTTCTGGTCTTTTGAGTGAAGAAAAAAGGAAAGAGAAAAGAGGGAGAGTTTTTAAGGGTTATTGTCTGTGCCTGTGGGACTCTCTATCTCTCTATGCCAATATGTCTACGTCTATTATTGCTGTCTCTTTCTCTCTCTCTCTTTCTCATTCAGTTTTCTGCCCATGTCACTCTCTTGTTTTACACTCATTATTGTACTCTTTTTTTACATTTATCTTCTTTTGGAAACAACTCTTCTGGACTGGTTGGTTACAAATGTGGACAATTTCTTAAGAAAGGTTCTAACTTTAATTACCTCAGCCTTTGTTTGAGAGAGAGGATGGAGAAATAAGAGAAATGAACATGTAAGAAATTAAAAGAAATAAAATTTCTTTGCTTAACATTAAATAAAGTCAAAATACAAAGATAAAATAATTTGGCTTCAATTAAATATTCACTGCATTTGAAAACAACAGTTTGTAATATTTGTTTATTACAGAGATATTACTTTCTATTTATCCTTTTTGTTATCTGTAAATTAATATATATATATATATATACATATATATATATATATATAAATTAAGTAACTATATAAAGTAAAAATTACAAATATAATTAACAAAATAAAATTATAATTATTGTAAGACCAGTATCGGATGAACATCGACAAATTGATTTAAAACAAAATTCATTTCACAAAACTAATTCTATTTAAATTATAAATTTAGAGTAGAGTGATTTATATCTGGATGTTTTTATTAATAAAAAATCAGAATATTTTTTTTATTTAAACAACGGTTATCTAAATTTTAACTTAGAATCAATTTCATCTACTTTGACTGAATTTTGTCAAGTTCAGAAGATGTTAAAAATGGAACTTTTCTTTATTTTTTTATTTCTATATATAATTAAATAACTAGTGCAATACAACATTAGAGATTAAAAAATATTTTAATATTTTAATTTTTGGATTAAAAACAATAAAAAACAATATGTAAAAAAAAAAATCAATGCAAAAAAGTTTAATAATAAAAAAAGGTTAACAGTTGGTTTTGTTTTGTGGTCTGGTCTGGTTTGGTTTGGCCATTCTGTAATGTAATCTTCTGTTTGAATATATCATTATTCTCTTTGCATCCTTATCCTTTTATAATTAAAATCCAGAAATTTTTTTTTTTTCAATTTCAAAATTGAACCAAAAGTTTTTAAACTTAAAGTTAAAAATAATTCAACAGTCTTTTAATGATGCCCATTTTATTTTAAATTTTATATTAAAAAAAGAAAAAAAGTTCATTGCTTTGCTCTCTCAATCAAGGTCTGAATTAATTTTTGAAAGCTCAGTGGAGGAATCACTGCCACATTGTGGTGAAGGAGATGAAGGACCACTTCACTTGTCATGTGTCAAAATGGAATGTGACTGTGTCTTATTCATATAAGAAACCCAACAAAACAACTTCATCATTTCCCAATTTTTCATACTTTTTTTTATCATACCAATTTTCATCAACCTCCCCTTTTTCAATTTTTTTGTTTGTAAACTTTTTCTCTCCATGAAAGGTTTGATTTTTAGCTTCTGTTATTATGTTTTTGTTCTTCCCTTTACATATAAGGATAAAAAAAACTTATTATATATATATTATTGTCCTTGTTCATGCTTATTTCATTATTCTATGAGCAAAACAAAACAAAAAAAATTAGGTGGAGTTCACATGAATAAAACAATAATTGAAGTATAAAATTACATAGCCAGGTCACCAATAACGATTAACTTATTTGAGTTAGTTGGGTTTTAATAAGTGATGATAATGTGGTGATATTTTTTTATGAAAAAAAAATCTTTATTTGAATTATATATCAAGTTACTAAGAAGATAGTCATAAATTGGGAGTAGTTGACTCAAAAAATAAAATATTTTTTATTTGAATTATCAAAGTCATGGCTTCTGCAATGGGGAGTAGTTGACTCAAATACTTATTTAAGCATGGATAATCATTGCACTGTTATAAAATAATACATATAATGTAACATTCCATTTTAGTTTTTTTTTTTAATCTTAATCAATGTTCAACACCAATTCTTAATGTATAATTACATTTAAATATTCAAGAAATAACTTTGTTGTTTTTTGGTTGTGTTAAATGGTTAATGAATGGATGAAAATATATCAAAAGTTTTGGTTTGAAACAAAAGAAATGAATGTATAAAAATATATGAAGGTGTTGAAAACGAACGAATCCATCAATTAAATAGAAAAAGAATCTAAAAAATTTTAAATTAATTAAAATCAAACAGCTTGATTTTAAGTAAGACAATCATAAATTAACTCAAATCAAACTGAAATTATAATTTTAAAATATAAAATGATATTTCTTATGAATAAAATATTAATTTATTATAATTTAAAATATATTATTATTATTCTTATTTAAATTAAAGATATATATATATTATAATATTTTATAAAAACATATGAATAATTTTTAATCATATCTTTTTTATTTAATAATTATTTATTATAATATGTTTAATAATTTTATAATAAATAAATTGTCTAAACTAAACTACACAATATTAATTTTATTTATTTTAAAATTATTTAAAACCTAAAATAAAATCAAATTGAACTGCATTTAAATTTTATATTTGATTTAATGTCTTTTTAATTCAAAATCAAATCGTTTATGTGATGTCCACGTTAAATTCTTTACCTTAAAAGGGAGAAGAAAAGACTCAGAAACAAGTATTCACATACAAAATGACATTATTGACTTCAATTAAACAGCAGTGAGATTGTTTAATTAATAAATTTTATTTATTTTCTGAATTTTTCAATTTGATGTTTAGTTTATATTTTTTATTTGGAATATATATATATATATATATATATATATATATATATATATATATTCCAAAGTGGTATGTGAAAAAAATTTATACATGATTTATATTTAATTATTTGCATAGTTTAAAAATCATTTTTTAAATAATTTTAATATTATTTAAATTTTTATAAAATGGTTATTTTATATTAAATTAAATTATATCTCAATTTTATTTTATCTTTATATTTTATTAAATTTATTTTAAGGGTACTTTTATTATCTATTAATTTATTCTATTATTTTATTTGTCTAAAGTCAAATTAATTTTATTAACTAAAATTTTTTCACTATTTTTTTTTACTTTTTTATTTGTTTTCCCTTAATTTAAACAACAATAAAAAAAAATCACCCGTTCAAATCTACCCTTCATCAAAATATTGATCACTAATTATAAGTTAATATCATACATTTTATTTGGTACACTTATATAGAGGAGGGATTTTACATGAACAAAATTTTGAACAGATAAATCATTTTCTCCATTTTGTAGTTTTGGTTATTTTCACGTTTCGACAGTAAGATATACTCTGATTATATGAAGTGTTGTTGAGGTTTTGTAACCAAAATATTGACTGGGAATTGTCATATACTCGAGGAAGTTAACATTCAAAAATATTTATATATGTTTTTGTGTATTATAATAAAAGTAGAAATTTATGTTTATATCATTTTGGTATTGTATGATGTTCGTATTGCATAATTGTAAGTACAAATGAGTTATATTGTAGGATATTAGAATGAAAAAAGATTAAAAAGCGAGACAAATCTCATTTCTCAAATTAATTAGACCTAATTTGTTTGAGTAAAGATAAGACGGTGATAATTAGTTCAAATAAGAGTCAAGTTGACTTAATTTTTGTTATTTTTGTTCAAGTGAGAGTTAAGTGAGTTTGAATTTCACTTAAATAAGAATATTTTCGCTTAAACAAATATATTTTTACTTAAGCAAGAGGGGACAAAACTGATGATGTTAAATTTTTGTTCTAAGTAAAATTTTAGGGTGTTTTTTGTCCAAACTTTTAAAAATTATAAAAAATAATTTTGAAGTCCAAATTTTTCGTTCCATGTATTCAAATCGAAACCCTAGAAATAAGAAATCTAATGAAAAACAAATTAGCTAAAATTGATATTTACAAAGAAAGTTATGACTAAAAAAGTTGACGAATATCAAATTAGAAAAAAGGACATGTGATGAATTAGAGATGATATGATATTATGTGTTCTTTATAGTGAGATATGCTTGTATATACAAGGCTAAGTTAAGTTTGGGATATAATATGTGATAAACTGAAACATGTGTAGTTGTGAATACCCTAGAAAGTATTATGTGATGTTAATACGGTCTCAATCAAGTAAACTATAATATTAGTAGGCGAGAAACTGATAAAGAATTATAGATGACTTGTCTTAAGATCATGAGATAAATATACCCGGATGAGTAATATTTATAATAGTCCTATTCTATGGCTTAAAAAAAATTAGGATAATATTTTTAATCAAACGATACAATATCGATATAATTTACAAATATTAATCTCATAATATCATTATCTGAAAAATATTTACTAGTCAAATATAATATAATATGATAAAATATAATTATATATTATTATAGGTGACAAATTTAATGAATAATTATAATTTAAATAATTAATTTATCTTTATTTTCTTATCACAAAGACAAATGACATTGTAAATAAAAAAATATATTTTAATTTAAAAAAAAATATTATAATTATATATATATATTTTAGTATGTTGTGAGATAATCTTATATTTTCCTTATATATTCAGTAATATGATAACAACAATTCTAGACCGTTACACAAACAATTAATAAAAAAAATATTTTAGTCATCAATAAGATATTATCATGAAAGAGTTAGAATTTGAATACTGAGCCCCACAAAGGAGCCCCGGCAAGCATGGGACGTAGTCCTCCCAAATACGGTAATTAAAAAATATAATTTAAGATTTATCAATTAAATTAATTTTTTATTTTATTTTCGAGGAATTAGATTATTGATTTTGAGAAAAGAACAACGTGTGAAGTTGCAGTTAATTTGATTTGTGGCCTTAAACGATCACATGTGGTTGGTTGAAGATGATGATGCGGTGCTATTTTAAATTATTATATGTAAGTAATGAGTACTCTTTTTAAGGTAATGATTAAACAGAAAAATATATTAAAAAAAGTGAAAATAACATATTCTATGGGAAAATCATATAAAGTATTTTTAGTTTTAACTTTTCTATAGTCACCTAATAATAATCATTAGTGAATGCTTTTACATTTTTAAAGCAATAGTTACCGATTGCAGATTTTCTTTTCTTTTTCATTTTTTCGGTGGAAAAGAAAACTTTACAAGCAAAAGAAAAATTCACCTGGAAACCCATTTGGGTTAGGCCTTGTTTGTTTCTCATTTGCTAACGTCTTATAAGTCATTCCCTCAAAACCATTGCTTCAAACTAAAAAAATTATAAAAGAATTTAAAAATACCTTGATCAAGTTTTGAAGCTCAAAGTAGAATGTTGCAACAAAGCTAACAAATTTCAATAATCAAAGGAAGTTCCGCGATTGATTGGGTGGTGTATATGAAATTGCAACCACAAATGAAGAACACAGTAAACACCAAGAACAGCCAAAACCTGATCCAAAGTTTTATTATCAATGGTAAGGACATATCACTAACTTTAAAACAAAAATATGTAACTTGTGTGTGTTGCTATCTACAAAGCCATTTTAAACAAAAAGAAGATTTTGAATAAGGTTTAGCCACTGTTTGACAATTTCTGCTACGGTTCATGCACTTTTGCTGGATGATGCTGACATCTAAAACAAAATCCAAACCAGATTCATATTTTGTTCAACAAAAAAAAAAAAGCATTAAATATTATTTAGGGCCCAACCGGGTTCGAACCGGTGACCTCTTGATCTGCAGTCAAATGCTCTACCACTGAGCTATGGACCCGCTGATGAGTTTCTATGACTTACTTATATTAGTTATAACGTACTACTAAGTTTTTATTTGTTTATTTATTTATTTTTTATAAATGTCATAAACAGTTAATATGCAATAATAATATAAACAAATGAGTATGACTAAAATAAAAATATTATAAGTATTTTAGAAAATATATTAATTTTCTTGATATCTTCAAAAAGAGACGATAGAAGTAGGCCTGTGAACTTATTAAAAAAAAAAAACATCATTAAATAAACATGTCACATTTAAAGTGATTTTTCTTTCTTATATATATATTTTTTCTGGTTGTGTAAAGAAATAATCTTTTGTATAATCTTTTCGAGTTCTATACGATTACAGGTCTAGCTATAATAAATATTGAAGACAGTAGTAGAGATGGCCTAGAACAAAATAGCCTCAGAGAAATGCATTGATCTACAGAAAAACAATAGTTGCAATTTCAAAGTCTATAGCCATGCAAATGTTTGGCCCATCTTCTGGCCATGTAAGGGTCGTGAAAATCCCAGCTTTCAACATTGCTAGTCCTACCACCACCACCACCTGTGTTTATATCCCTCACTGTTTCTTCACCACCTTCTGAAGCTTCATCTTTATGTTCTCCAACACCTACAACAGTTTCCCCTGTCCTCCTAACACACTCATCAATTTCACCTTCAATGTAGCTATATTCCACATACACATGAGTGCAGTCACCAAGGTCTAACAGAATCCTTCTTTCTTCTCCACCTCTTATCTCTCCAATTCTTATCACTCTGCCACTGCCAACTTCCTCTCCAGCCCCACATATTCTCAGCTGGATTTCACGCACAATGCCTCCCAGCATCTTCGCCAAGAACTCTTCAAACTCTTGTATGACAAATCCACTAGAAGTGCCAAAGCCAAATCCGACATGAAATCTATGAATTGGTGTAGAAGGTAGTTCCATGCTTATAGCATGGTATGGTCTTGTAGGATTATCTGATAAGTGCAGGATACATGACTCGGGGTTTTTGTGCACACGATCTTCAAGTATTTTGATGCCTTTCTTCAACCCTTCAACTGGATCAGCTTGCCCCATGTAGAACAACCGGTCAATTACTTGAAGGGCGGTGCGCTTTCCATAGGATGTCATGCGTCTTAAGGGGAAGACACGAGCCGCAGCTGAGGAATATGTAACTATGGCCAAGCGGTCTATCTGTCTGAGGGAGAAAACCACAAGAGCCATTGCTTGTTTGAGAAGTCTTAGGTGTGGTCCATTTGGACTAGCAACCAAGACCAAGTCAGTGGCTCGTTCATGGGTCAGTTTCACAGAGAGGTAGGCTCTATTGGAGGAGGGGCACATCATATAAGGAGTTTGCATTGGTGGAGACTGTAGCAGTGATGAGGAGCTGCAAGTTAAAGGGTGGCATGATAGATGGCAAGGGCACGAGGCATGTTTAGTCACTTGCAAAGCTGGATGGTAACTGGTTGGTGCATTTGGTGGAGTAGGCACAAGAGAGAAACACAGCTTAGGACTGTCAGGTGTGTCATCAGGTTCAACAGGATCATCATCATCATAGCGTGCAGAGCGTAGAAGAGATCTGCGATGAACGCGAAAGGTGGCAATGGAATCATCCAGAATTCGGAGAATGGGATCACTTTGGTTGGTAGAAGTAAAAGGACCACCAAGGTTGTTGTTTAGGTTGCGAGGGAGCTGGGTCCAATGGGCACGACAAATGGGGCAAGTGACACTACCATGGCGGACATTGGAAGAGATGCAGGCAAAATGGAATGCATGAGAGCATTGAGCAGTGAATATAGCTTGACCTGGACTACTTCCCTTGCTGTGGTAACTCAGAGGATCTAAACATATTGCACACAAATTCTGCAAACAAGTAAGACAAAGCAGGTGAGTCAAACGAACAGTCTAACAAGGAACAAGTATACATTTATGAATGTTAGGAAGAAATACAATAATACATTCATTATTTTGACCAAGAAAGAGGTGTGTTACAAATTGACCAAACAGAGTCTGGAATAAATGAATGAAGAAAATGAATGTTATACTGCAACAAAACAAACCATGCTTAGTTTGCTTGTTCGTTTGTTTGAAGCTTCTAGTTGTATAGAGATATATGTACATAACATATAGCTCCCATATTTTCAAACAGAACAGTACCGAGAGAAGAGATGAAAAGAATAATTCCCATATTTTCAAAGTGATATCACATTGTACTCATTTTGAGAAGAAATTAATTAGATTGCGATGATATTGTTGACTTTTGTAATGATTGTTATAGAAGTCATATCTTTGATGATTTCTAAGTGGTGGATAGAAAAAAGTCTTTACACTGATAATGAATCAAAATCAAACTCTTTGCAAAATAACAATAGTATTGAGTAATTATTAGTTTTTCTGAAGGGTCTTTTTAATGAAAATAAAGTGGCATACAGACAATGTTGTAATCAAACCAGATGAAAATTGAAGAAAATACATAATATTTGTTAAATCTTATCACTCGGGTGGTTTTGCATGCCAACATCCATACAAAAATGCATGATTTAATCAAACTTATCACTTTTTATTATTGGATTAAAGTAGAGACATATACAGTGAAAATTTTGGTACATTAAAAATGAGATTTCCCACTCAAGTGACAATGGATTGTGTTCATCACAAAAGTTCATTCCCTTCATGAGGAAGCTATTGGAAGAAAGACATGTGCATAGCCATATATAATAGTCCAGAGAGGTTTTCACGACAATAGAAGGAAAAGTATGATCATGCATGTAGTGGCAGGTGAAACTTCCCAGCGTGGGGTCTGCATTTAATGAATTGATTCTTGGCTTTAGTAATGTGCCATGTGCAGGGTATTCACATGCCAGTATCCTCTATAAACCACCTTCGGTGTTCTATATATATTTCAGTACCAAAATAAATGCTTTAAAGCCATTCGGCCAAATCACAGGACCAGAAAAATAATAAAGCAAAAGGGTAGTTAAAAAGAAAAATTAAGCATCAATTGAACAAAGCAAGAAAAAAAAAAGAAAAGAAAAAATGTTCCATAAGGTCAAACTTTTAGGTTCATTGGATTCCGAAGTGTTAGAAAGCAATAATAGAACGCAAAGATAGAAAACCTAAGAAAGAATGAAGTACCAAAATGTGAAGTAGCTAGAAGTTGAAGAGTTACCTTAACTCTTTTAACCTATTAATTCATTAAAAATAAAAAATACTAATAAATCTCCAAGTTACCTCTGTAGAATCGACAACGTTAACAATTATTAATTTCCCAATCAAGAAAAATGAAAAGTCTTCTGGTGGTTTAAGGAACTAAAAGTGGATTACCTTGCCATGAAACTCATTGTTGATGTTGGTAGTTATACCAGAATCTGTTTCTTCTATTACCTCCCCTGGGGAATTTTTTGTTCTTGATGGAGACACAAATGAAGAATTTGAGGCCTGCAAAAACACACAAAGCAATAATGGCATCAACAACCACGACAAATTCATAAATAATCCAAGTCACCCCCTGACCGCTATCATCACAAGTATTATCAGAGAAAAACAAAAGGGAAATCACAAAAATCAAGTAGGAAAGAACATTCCCAAATCCAAGATTTCACACTCCAAAATCGACAATGGATGAAGAGGGCCAACCAATTGGACACCAATTTGGCAAAATTGCAGTCCATCCCAAAATGCAGATAAAGTTTGAATCTTTCCCCAAAATGCAAACACCCAAAGAAGAAAGAAATGCAGAGTGTTGAGAAAAGGGAAAGTGAGAGTGTACAGTGGCAGATAGACTACAAGAGGTGTCAATGGAGACTGGATCCACCAAAGCCTTTCTCCTTGAGAAAGAGCCACATGCATAAGCTGCTGCCACAGCCACCTTCCTTGCTGCTTCTCTCAGCTTTGAAGTCCCTCTTCTTCCCCCTCCTCCTTCTCCCATTCTCTCTTTTCTTTTCACTACCTCAGTTGTTTGTGTCAAAGCTTACAGTGTTCGAGAGTTACCCTCTGAAGCTTTTATGTATTCGTGTCTCTGATGACAAGTGATGCAGAGGAACAGATGAGAGAGAGAGAGAGAGAGAGAAAGAGAGAGAAAATAAAGGAGACAAAGAGCTCTGCAAAATTCAGCAATGAGCAGCTTCGGTTGCCGTCGTTGCTGTTACTTTTGTAAGTCACTATTATTATTGTTGTTGTGTTCTTTCTTCATCAGCACCACACACACACGCTTATATAACATAAGTACATTACACACAACTGCTTCTAAGCACTGCCATCCCTACACCATTATTATATTTGGCTATGGTCACTCACATTTACCAATAAAAAATGAACCCCTTTTTGTTTTTACCCTCTCACACTCTTCACTTCAACTTCAAACCAACAAGCACCCCAATTTCCATTTTATACTTCAATCCGTAAAGATAGGATTTTTATTTTGTGTAAAGGATAATATCGTAATGGTCTTTTTGAAAATTAAGTATTGTATTTGTTGAAAATTAATTTTTATTAGAGGACTGAAAAAAAGTTAAATAATGCTGAATAACTGATGTGTATTTAGGAAAGAGTGAGTAATTTAGAATGTTGAAAAAAATTATTTGATACATATTGAAAAAGAGTGTGAGAACCATATTTACTATTTAGGGGAAACAACAATATTTTTGTTAAAGATTGTAATTTGATTGCTTTGGAAGAAAATTTAACTTGGGTTTGACAGTTTCTATTTGAAGTCATAGAATTAGGTCATACGGGTAACTTATTTTCCATGGGAAACAGATGAAGGTAAATTTTAATTGATTAGCACCAAGCATCAATGTTACTTGCACTTAAACACGATATTTTAGTAAACAGAAAGAAAGGGTGTTGAAATTGATGGAATATCATGAAATGAGGAGGAAGAAAAAGGACCAATTTGGCCCTTTACAAAAACAATGATATTATGGGGTCATCCCACTCAACCTAATTGACCAATACTAGTTGTTTACAGCAATAGTGAGATCCCTCCACTTGGACCACGCTTGTATTTTCATCAATTTTTTCTTCCACTTTCTTTCCAATGTTTATTGAAAAAATTACTACAGTTTTGAAAATTTTATGTGTGCATCCAGTGTGATAAGTTCATACACTTTTTGAGGAAAAACAAAACATTTTTATGGCCCTAAATCTAGAGTGTATGCAGTGAGCGCTTGTGAAACATAATGACAATTTATGAGATGAGTTCAATCATGACGAGTTTCCATTAGATTTAAAGCACTTCACCCCACATTCCACACAGGGAGCTGGGTCCACTAGTTTATAGCACTGTGACACATTTTTTTTTCTTCTTCTTCTTTTGCCCTTTTAAACATAGTAGCAGCAGTGTAAATCTTTAATATTGGTACCATTTTTCAGAATGCGTTAGCTACAACTTAGAATCACTTTGGCACCAACTTGTTTCAGAAAATAAAAAGAATGAAACTTGTGCATTTCCTTCACAAGAGTCAAGACACAGATCTGATTTGCTGGCAGGATTGAAAAGCAAAGCAATGGAGAGAGTAAAAAATGGAAAAAAGAAAGAAAGAAATGAGAGAGAAAAAAAAGGGTCAAAAGGGTTCCAAGAGGTGGGGAAAATGACCGTTTTATTTGAATTTAAAAGGGTCATGGCATTGATCCATAATAGCTTCCATTCTTTGGCTTCTTTTTTTTTCTTCTGCTTTTCCTTTTAGAATGTAAATAAACAAATGTGCATTTATTTGCAATGCAAGGTTAGTCAAAGGAAGAGACGAGAGACTAATAGGCTGGCGCCAAAATGCTTTTCTTGCAGTGGTTGTATTCCACTTGTCTTCTTACATGGGCTGCATTATATGTCTCTTTTTCCTTTTTCTACATTCTTGTTCTTTTATAGCTCTTACATATTTATTGTTTAGCTTCTTAGGTTAGATATGATAAAAGGGTATGTTTAGATTCATTTTAGGATGAGTTTAGGATTGGTCAGTTGTGATTTTTCATTGATTATTATGCCTAGCATTTAATTTTGAATTTTGCTCTTAGTCTCGTTGGCTCATGTCATTTTATTTGTTTCATGTATAGTTTAATTTGATTAGACATGGTGAAATAAGTGACCAGTAGTTCATGTGCTTATATTAAGAATTGTTTTGTTCTTCTAAGTAAAATTGTAATTAACCAGAGAATCCAGATTCTGAGTCATTCAATTCATTGATATGGTTAAGCTAGTTTTGGATTTTCTCATTTGATCAGCAAAGTGCCAAAAAAGAAGGCATAGTAATTGTGAATGAAAAAGAGAAGGGGACTCAAAAGGGATTATTCTGTTGTAGTAGCTTCATGTGTGCTTTTGGTGCTTAGTTTCTTTCATTCTCTTTGATCTGAAAAAAGGATAAGTTGTCCCATTGATGATTAAACCGCGTTTGAATCATAGGTCTTCTTTGAACTACTGCTCTAGGTGACCATCAAATACCTCTTTGCTCCTTTTACCTTTTTTTTCCTTCCAAACTCTCTTTTTTTGTGTCCCAAAATACCAGAAGAGGGTCCCAAAATATTACCTACATATTAGGTGACTGTGGTAATCTATATTCAGGTGAGATAAACACCATTAAGTAGCTATATTACTAAACAAAAAAATCGAAACATAAGCATTTGAGTAAAGGAAAATATATTCCATTCCTTTGAGTCATGTTTAAATGACAAACGTCTCCCTCTTCTTCTTTTAAATAATTTAGTCCATTTTAGTGTAAGTGAATTTGTTATTAAAAGTGAATAATCATGAACAAACCTTAATTTAAAGGGTTTTTCCTTTTACAACTTTTAAGGTCATGGTTTGAATCCTGTGTTATCAGTTTTTGGACTTTAGCAGATAAAACAATATTTTGAATCATACTATCTTATACATTTTGAATTTTTTTTCAGAATCTTCATTTCACCTTTTAAGGTCATAAATTTTGTATTGGAGATTCAAGACTGACTGGATGATGGCGAGAATCTTATAAGATGAGAAAAAAATGACCCTAAGAATTAAAATAGATTAGATTAAATTATAGCAGGTGACATCTTAAACTAAATATATCAGGGTTTTTGGATCATGATCTTCACGAAACTAGGAGGGATTTTTTGAGTATAAGTAATACACTAGACAACAATTTAAGCAATGAGTTAAGAAATCAAACGTGTACAGAAATTATTATTAGGAGCACAATCGTATTAGCATAGCAAGTTTGTGTCCACGTACAAATGTTATCATTTTCTTTTCTGTCGACAAGTTATTTGGAATAGTTGGGTGGTGATGATGCTCCTCGTCACATGCTCCATGCAAGACATATAACAAGAAGACAAATGACAAAAAACCAATAATTCAAATTTAATGTCTAAGAGCTAGTATTGAGTTGTCCTGGAAATCAATCACACTAAACTTGAATGTGCTAAATTTAATGCAGATTCAGGTTTAGTCATTAATTGTGGGGCATGGGAAATGTATCAAAATTGGATATTTTGTTTTGAAAGCAAGTTGTTATAAGAGAGGCAGAAAACGATGGATGCAACAAAGGAAAATAATGACAGTACTGAGAACTTAGGGAATCTCTTTTTGTGAATGACATGGGAAAGCTATTGGTGATCCTCTCTTGCTTCTCAAAAGAAGGTAAAGGGGAAAGTTTCCTTGTGTCCGCAAAAACTTGCTGCTTGCTAGCCTACAAAGAAGAAATATGTCTGATTGCTTGTTCAAATAGTTCAGTTTGACCTGGTCAAAGTACAAGGGAGTTGAACTTGGGTTATAGGAACATGACCTTATTTGGAACTTAATTCAACCTTTTCAAAATAACTTTGGCTTTTATAAGTTCTTTTTTAATTTGCTTGGTAAAAATTATCAAAATCATTTTTTCAATCTGTTTAACTAAGCTTTTATGGTAATTTTTTTGTCATAAGTACATGTAGAGTTTATAGAAATCTTCTGTTTCACTGAAGAAGCAAAGACTGGGGTTACATAATTCAAAAGAAATCATGTCGTATGTTTTATGTAATAATAATAAGCATTCTATTAAACTGTTATGATGCAGCTTGAGCACATGTTTTAATCTTATTCCAAGATGTTGCCGTCTCTAATCGTATCTTCTTTCTTAGTCATGAATAGTTTTTCCTCAATACATGCACCATATTTCCCGGTGGTTGTTAATAGGTCAGGTCACAAGACTCACAACTCACAAGATGCCAAGATTTGGCATTTTCTAATTGTTTGACGCCCTCGCTTTTCATAGTCCATTAATCATAATGCAACATCGATTTCACGGTCACTTCTGAATCTTTTCGTTCCTATCTGTACCACTACGTAAAGAAAAAGAAGGAGTTATATCCGCAGCTTTTACAAATCTCATGATTATAACAGAAGGGTAAATCATTAGCTTATTTGAATTTGATTTGGATAATGGAACTGAACGATCAGCAACATTTTCACTTTTTACCTTTTCAGTTTACTCTATACTTGTGTGTACTCTCCTCCTTTCCTTTCAATAACATCAAACACCTTAACTTGACTTTTGTGTATCAAGTTTGAATTCTCACCTATTTTGTTGTTCTTGATAAATTTCTTATCACTCAATCATTTATATCAGATGCAAAATGGCACACCAAGTTTGAAAGAACTAAGCAGGGGCATTCATGATAACGCACAATAGAGTATACATTTTTTATCTTATAACTTCGGTTAGTCTTTAATTAATTGAGAACTAATCCACTAGCAACAAGTTCTCAGGTGTAGAACCCATTTCCCTCATCAAATGTTGAAGATTCTGTTGCAACAATCTGTAAGTTTCCTCAATCTGGGGATGAGATCTTTCCCCAGCAACAAATACATGATTTTTCCCTTTTATCTGTATTTGACTATATCCTGGAATTTTCTTCAGATTTCTCTCTTTCATTCTTTTCCTAACTCTTGCAAATTCATCCCACTGACCCTCTGCAGCATATGTATTGGCTAGTAGTACATAACCCCCTGAACAAGATGGCTCTAGCTCTAATAATTTCTCACCAATGGAATTTGCTATTGCAACATCCCCATGAAGCCTGCATGCACCAAGCAAAGCCATAAGAATAGCTTCATCTCTCTCGGAAGGAGGAATAGTGGACACTACACTCATTGCTTCATCCACAAGTCCTGCTCTACCTAGGATATCTACAAGGCAGGAATAGTGCTCAGCCTTAGGATTTAAATTATAAGTACCATTGATTGAGTCAAACAGTCTTCTACCTTGGTTAACAAGACCAACATGGCTACAAGCTGATAAGAGTCCCACAAAGGTGACCCCATCTGGCTTAATTCCAGATACTAGCATGCGTGCGAATACCTGCAAGGCATGGTGGCCATGTCCATGATTTGAATAAGCTACTATCATCGCAGTCCAGGAAACTACATCTTTTGACTTTAGTAGCTCAAAAACAAGCCTGGCTGAGCAAAGATCTCCACTTTTGGAATAAAACGTAATAAGTGCATTTGTAAGCCATGTGTTGTGCTCTAACCCAAGCCGTATGACCATTGCATGAGCTTGCATGAGTTCCCCCATGCCATCACAGGAAGTTACTACGCTAGTCATAGTTGTTTCATTGGGCCTAGAGCAAGATCTTAGCATCAAAACAAACAGCCATAAGGCTTCTGCAATATCACCATTCCTTGCGTAGCCATCTATCATCGTGTTCCAACTCCCAACTTTCTTCTCCGGCACCAGGTTGAAAATCAGGCGAGCTTCATCCATGTGCCCCTCATCAACACATGCAGTGATCATTGCAGTCCATGCAGCCATATCTTTATGAGGCATGAGATCAAAATACTTCCTAGCAACTTCAATCATCTTGTTTTGTGCCAAACCGGAAACCATAGCCGTCCATGAAACATGATTCCGATATGGCATTGATTCAAACAAACTTATCGCCTCATTCACTCTATTGACCCTCAAACAACCTGAGATCATGATGTTCCAAGAACGAACATTCCTTTCAGGCATTTCAAGGAAGAGCTTATAAGCCTCAGCAAAGCATTCATTGTCAAGATACGCCTTGACCATAGCTGTCCAAGCTATGATATTCTTTTCAGGCATGAGATCAAAATACTTCCGAGAATGCTCCATCAACCCATTGCGAGCAAAACCTGAAACCACTGCAGTCCAGGAAACCACGTTTCTCTCAGGCATTTGATCAAACAAGTGCAAAGCCTCGTCAATTTTTCCATAAGTGAAATACCCAGAAATCAAACTAGTCCAAGAGAATGCATTCCTTTGACTCATACTATCGAAAATCTTACGAGCATCATCCAAGCGGCCAACTTTAGCGTACCCATCAATCATCGCGGACTCCGCAACAACGTTTCTTTGCAGCATTGTTTTGAACACTCTTTCGGCTCCAAGTAGGTCCCTGTTCTTCAAATAAACGGTGATCATGGAATTGTACGAAACATCGTCTCGTATAGGCATTTCATCAAACAGATTCTTTGCTTCTTCGAGCTTGTCGTGACGCCCTAGAATCGTTATCTCCGCATTACGTTTGTGAAGTGCATCATTCGAAGACCTCGGCGTTAAGCTCAAATTATTGGGCATTAAGGGGGTTCTGGGGTTTGAAATTCGTGCCCCATCCAAAATTTTCACCAAATCCCATTCTGGGTCACTGGAAATTGAAGCTTTGAAATGCCTCAGGAAACGAAAACTGGGCTGACAAATACTGCGGTGGTGATGACATAAACACATGATGATCATAAGCACTATGTTGATATCGTGGATGCTTATCGATGGATATATATATCATCATAACTTTCAAAATTTGATATAAAAAGGTAACTAACTAGTTTAGATCAGACTTCATTTCCAAAGAATAGAAATAAACAGGTTGAATTATTTATAAGGTTTAAAATATTAATGTGAAGATCTCTGTTATTTCTTCTCTTATTTCCCAACATTTATACAACATAGGAAATTGTGATTGAATAGAAGTATATGATTTTTTTACTTGCTTTTCCTTAACTACTAAGCTAACCTTTGCAATGATGATTGTGGAAAATGAAACAAAAAGGTGTTTACATACAGATCTGTATTCATATGGAACAACCACATGCAGCCAATTATTGTAAACGTTATGATGTAATAATAGCAAAGGATGAAAAAAATATGAGAGAACATACACATGAAAGACAAAAATGAAAACTTGAGAAGAAAACAGTAGTAGAGGAAACCATATTTGTTGATTGTCTGTGGTAAAAGGTGAATTGTGATCTAATAAAAACTCTGCTATGTATATCAATCAAGAAGTGAATGTGAGTTTTGTAGCAAGGAAATTGGGTGTTTTGTCTTAGTTACCCAGGTATTCACCTGACACACAATCACATACTTTAATAATTTGGAAAGGGAAAATGTTTTGTTTACATCCTCTCTCGTGTAATCCCTTCATTTAACATAATTGGCAAATTTTTATTTGAATGTGTTTAGGTGGAAGTGATGTTGGACATTGTTCTTTGATAAAAGAAGTCAAAGACTTTTGTAGGATTTTTTAAATATATTTTATATATAATGTAAAATATGATAAAATATTAAATTCTAATAATATTTGAATCATATTATTTAAATTATAATAATAATAATAATATAAAACATTTTTTTGTTATTTTAAAAGATAATAAAAAATCACTTAATATCTAATTTAAATAAAATATATATTGTCGTGTTGTCATTGAGATTGAGGAATAAAAATTGGAAGGAAAACTAGGTTAGACATAGATTTGAAGAGAAACTGAGGAAATGCTATTGCGGAAGAGAAAATGGGTTGAGAAAGAAGCAGGGTGTCGCCATTAAGAGTTGTCGAACAATGCGTGGTCACCGTTAGCTTTTAAGGAGGAAGATCTGAGCTTAGAAAAGATAGTACTACCATTAGTCCTTGTGCGGAAGAACGAAGATTTGAAATCTTTGTGTCGAATTGAAAGTCGTGTGGCGATGGTGTCCGCCATTCTTGCGTCGACGACTTCTCCAGCACACGTCGCACCGATCGCCTCATTCGATGGTCAGCGAGAGTTTGACTATTTTTTGTTGGCCTTGCAATGGCCTAACATTTACTGTCTGCGCGCATTCATTTGTTGTCCCTTTAACGGTTGCTACAAAGGGTAACATAGTGAATTACACCACCTTTTCCTTTTCACTTTTCAATTTCAGATGTTCCAATGGTTTGATTCTTAGGCTTCATCTTTACATTTTTTACTCGTACCTTAAACTTAAAAATGTGGAGTAATTAATTCGTTTGTATTGTGCCTGATTGGTTGAAGTTGGACTTTTTTGTTGTTATTGTTGATGATGATAATAATAATCAATAAATGAAATGAACTTTTGTTAGCAAGATCAAACTCTAATTTTGATGCAGAACAATGCCAAAGGTAGCTAAACAATTGCGTCTAAATTTTATCTTTTTTTATTTAGAAACTTTTATGAAGCACGTGACGAAAGGCTCATGTTTACATTTATGATTGCGGCCCCAATTCTCCAATAATATTCACCGTCTGTGAGTATCAGATTTTCAATGTCGTATTATTGTGGTGGTGAAATCCTTATTGCTTTTTGTTGTAGTGAATTTAGACCTCATGGAATACTTATTGCTTATTTTTCTTCAATTTTGATGCTTGCATTAACTATTTTCTGAGTTAATTTTTTCTTTTGAGATTATAGTTCTAAATTTAAACTGTTTGGAATTCTTGTTGTTTATTTAACTTGAATTTCACTATTTGCATTGACTATATTTTGAGTTAATTTGAGGTTGTTGTTATAAATTTTGATCGTATGAAAAATGTTGAACGTACATTCGGACGCAATCAATCCTTCATTTGACACTTGTTGACCCATGTTGACGTTTAAGTTGACCCCTCCACTTGGTACGTGGATTAAATAGTTGAGGCTGAATTGGATGCAGTTGGACATAACACACACGGCGAATATTGAAGAAGACATAACACACGACAATAGGCAAAGCAGATGATAATTTGCCAACTGAATTTGAAAATTGTCCCGATTCTCGGACACTGACAACAATGAAGAAGAGTGAAACCTTTTGCTTGAGTGGAAGAGTTAGGGCAGTCCATTTGATCAAGGGGAAGAGTTTGGGCATGAGAGGAACAAAGTAGAGTGAAAGCATTTTGCAGGCGGAAGGACAGAAAATCAAGCGATGACGACACTGAACAACAGTTAGAAGAGGAAGCATGAATCATGGTGACGATGACGAACATCGCTGACCTAGACTGTATTCCATTGATGGTAAGAGAACTATAGTGAGTCGTGGTCAGGAAACTAATTTGGTAGGGGGAAAAGCAAGCTTGAGTCACGGTGATTCTGGGACAAGTATTATGTTTTCCAGTGAGTTCAGGTGTCCTGTTTTTTACGTATGGTTGAATGTATTGATATTTTGAGAAACATTTTGGGATTAGATTGCATTTTGGGATGTGTACAAAATGGAAACATTTGTGTGCAAGTGAAATATTTGCAGAGACATATATTTTCTACTTTAAGTTTAAGTAAATGGTGTAATGGCCACTTTAAGTTTAAGTGAATTCTTTTTTTGTGAAATGTTTTATTGATTGATGCATGATGAATCTTATAAATTAACCTTTGCAACAGAAAATTGTTCTAAAAAAAATGTTGATAAGCACGTTTTGAAAAATTTGTTAGAGGAATAACCTTTGCAGCAAAAAAATGTCAGCACCATGTGTGAGTGAGATTAACATTGGATTTTATGGGAATTGTTTGTGTTTAATATTACAAATAAATTGGATTTTGTGCTTGGTTTTGAAGGTTAATGTTTTGTTAATGTACCTATTATGTTTACCTTTAGGGTTAAAGGCTTACCTTTAGGGTTAAAGGCTTATAATCAATTATATCAAAGTGAAAAATGTGTTAAGATGGTTGATTATAGGAACGATTATAGTGATCACACTCATAGAAAAGTGTGTAAATAACTTGTTTTGTTCTCATTATTTTAATAATAATAAAAAAGTTTTTTATACCATTTTATAAAGAGAAATACGTAATAAAAGCAAAATATTGATGACATTTGTTCCATTATAATTGAACAAAAGTGTTTGATGTAAAGGAATGCCAATTAGATAAACGAGGTGTTGATAGTAGAAATAGTTAAAGACGTTGAATGATGTAATTATTTTTAAATATGATAATTTTTATGGATGAAAGGAATTAATGTCTTATATTATTAATTGAGGTAGAGATGTTTTTTTAGAGTGGTGATATTTTTACAACAAGAAACCATACTCTTCAAATAACTCACTTTTATTAATATAATAATTTATAGAATGATTTAATAAAAATAAATTAAAATTATTATCATAATATTAAAAGAGAGTTGTTTACTTGGAGTTATTTGGATTTGAGTTGTCAAATTATCATTTTCTTTTTTTTTCAATACACTTAGATAAGGAGAATGAGTAAGTATTTATTTTTTTAATAATTATATTCATATAATATATGATGTCAATATAACATGATATTATTATTATTTTGTTGGAGGATCTTCTTTATTATGTATGGTACTTACATTGATAGTAAGAATATACAATCTATAAAAGCTCGAAATTGGGTTGTGTTTCTGGTGGAATTTTGATCGATTTCGATTTTTAAAGGATTTAGTTCTAACCAAATTCCAACCACGTAGATTCTTTTTACTTAGGCTAGCAAACGATTTTCAATCGAAATGTGTATGAGAATCGAAAATCATGATGTTTGAAAATACTAACAACGCAACCTAATGTGCAGATTAACAATCGAAAATGTTGTTTTTTGGTATTTTGTATTTAAAGCACTTGAAGTAAAGAAAGCAGTAAAATGTCAAATCGAAGAGCAGTACAAAATATAAAGCTGCGAAGAAATGTAAAATGCGGAAACCTCAAATTTGCATTAAGTGTAAACAACAAATAATCGAAATTGCGGGAATGTAAATAGCAGAAAATTGAGATTGCATAAATGTAAATAGCAGGAAATCGAGATTGCATAAAGTGTAAATAGCGAAAAACTTAGATGCATAATCTTAAATAGTCAGATAATAAGGAATCGAAAGTACATTAACTTAAAGTTACTTGAACGTAAACTGCATCAAAGTAAATAACATGAACATAAATTACCAGGGAAAGTAAAGAAAGCGATAAAGGCAGTCAATGAAAATGGAAGTCCAGATCGCCAGAAACTTCATGATTGCGTCGTTCTCCTGTAGACTTCTCACTAGTATTTCTGTTCTCTCTGTCAATTTCTCCCTTCTTTTCCAGTCTTCGCTCTATTTATAGAGCATCCTTCAAGTAACCTCCCAAGAGTGGTTAATACCACTATCACCACGATCTTACGTGCCCGTTCCTTTAGTCTTACCATTTTAAAAACTGCACTCCACGTTCTTGCGTATAAGGGAACTGCTCCTCCTTCGATTTCTGTTGCGGTTTAGAAACTGTTTCCCACGTTCTGTGTGTGTTAACCGCTCCCTCGATCTCGATTTCAGACATCGAGTATTTAAAATTTTGCTTTTGATTCCCCTTAATTTTGTACTATTCTAACTTCGACAATAGGCATCGAAATTTGTTTCTTCGATTCTCGATTTTAATTCTCGATGTACTTTTATCTTTGTGGTTACCAACTTTTACCAATTTCATCGAAAATACGTTTTCGATGTCTATTACCATTCGTATGGTTTTCGATTTTTTCTTTCTTTCGTTTTTCGATCCCTTTATCGATTTTCCATTAACAGAGTTGATAATATGATGATATGAAATTTTGTGACTTATTAATTTCATGCAAATATTAAAATTATATTGAATATTCTTTGTTGATATTGTTAGTATTTTATTTTGCTTGTAAAATCTTGGTTATTTTGTTTTACAATAGTTACATTAAGACATATTATGTTTTTAGTCTATATTTTTTAGAAAATTCTTATATTAAAATTATATAGGAATATTGTGATCAGTTTGATGAAAAATTTGAATGAAAAATGTTTAATTAAATAATGAAAAAAAAAAAGATAAACTTTGACGTTTAGTTAGACAATACCTATTGATGACATGATTTGTGAATTGCTATACAAATAATTTTGTTAATTTATGACATTATATTGATATGTATATCATCTATTACCTTGAATAAACCCAAACATTTAAGAGCATGTGTTAAAAATAAAACTTTGTCAATCCAAGAAATATATACCGTCTACAAAAATCATCAACTTCATTCTTAATGTGGAGTTGAATTAGTTTAGCAAAAATATATAATAAAAAAACATGTTGTCCGTCAAACAATAAACATTTTTATCAAAATAAATTTTCTATGTAATTATAGGAAATCTTAAAATAAAACAAACATCTAAAAATATAAAATATATTACTCTATCTAATATTCTAAAAGGACTCATTTTTTTCGTCTCTTCTACTACTTAACTCAAACAACAATACAAACTTATATTTAACTTTACACCAATTTCTAATAACAACTTAAAAGAAATGTCTAAATTTTAATTTTACAAATAATTGAAATATTATTATTGGCTTTCCAATCTTACATTCATATTCATATGTGCAATAAATTTATATATGTACAACAAAATTAGAAACACATAATGATTTCTACTAATAATATGAACATCCATCCTACAAGTTCTTAACTATTCATCTGATCATATACTGATTGTGAACAAAGATTAAAGCAAAATAAAAACATATCAAACATATAATCTTTATTAATATGAAAACTGTACTTCTTTCAACATATCATATTTTTTACGACCAATTACCTTCTTATTACTTTTATAAATTTTAAATTAAAGTATACATGATAATATTTGGCATTGATTTAGACTTAGAATACCACATTTCAATGTTGTAACTGTTTCATACAACATTGTGGTCTGTAGTTAGTAACAATAGAAATAAATCCAACGCACTATATAAAACATATTAAAAGTGCTTTGCACAGTTTCCAAATCTCCAAAACATATTAAAACATGAATTAATTCAAATTTCAAGAATGAATTTTATATCAACGTCAACCTTCACACAGTACAATTTCCAATATTTTTAAAGAAATAAGTAGCAAAGCAAATCATGTTAAACGTTTTCAATGAGCAAGGATATGTAAATTGTAATCCTCCTAAAATAAATCCCTCTATGAAAAAAAAATTGAACAAAAAATACTAATAATTACTAATAATCAACAAAAGTCACTAGCTTCACAAACAGGAGTTGTGTTACATCGTTGTTAGTTGACCCCCTTAATTTTTATTATAATAATTTTATATTAATATTAAAAAAATTTACATAGTTTGTGGATAAAAAATATAAAAAAAAACGGGAAATGACAATAAAATATAAAAAAAGAGTGACACTTATAATTTAATCAACATGTGAGTGTTTTTATAATAATAATTAAGAAAATAATATTAAAAATATTAAATAAAACTCTTTTACTTTTTACTCATCTTTACTTTCTTTCAATATGTTTAAATATATTTTTTTTCTCACTTTCCATTATATCATCCAACAAAATATAAGAAAAAAAAATTACTTGTTATGTTTGTTATTAGTTTTCATTGTTTTTCAGTACCCTTCTTACTTTCTTCCTCTCGGATTCATCAACAACTTTTTCTCACTTTTACGAATGTGAGTAAGTACCAGTAATTTTGTTTGTAGAGATTGTCGTTTTGTTTGTAGGGATTCCAAAATTTGTTTACCCACTTTTTACTCTTCTTTTCACCTTCCACATGCTCTTTATTACCCCTAAAGAAATACAATGAATATTTTGTTGTGTTTATCAATAAAGTTACACAATTTTTGAATTCTGGATTGAAACTTATTAGATTGTATTTTTAAAAAACTCTTGTTCACTTTTTTGCCCTTACTATAATTGCTATAATCATAAAATATGCTACTTCATGATTCAGTGCAGCTATAAAATGTTGGTCGTATCCTACCTCACCAGGAACAAAATTTATGAAAAAATCAATAATAAACAGAACTTTCACTTTCTCACTTAACAAATTTCCTCACTCAGGAAAAACCAACGTAGACCCTGCATCTGTGCATGAATATTTATGCTCCCAAGTCTCTTTCAACACTTTGCATTAGTCTACATTTTTCACTTTTTTGTTGTTCAATTTTGGGCTACTGTGACTCATATTCACACTTTTACTTGCTCAAGAAAGCCCATCACAGTGAGACACACTGACTCATGATATGTTTCGTTAATGTGATCCTGGTGAGAAACCACCCCCATAAAATAAACAGTGGGATCCACCACCACGTGATAACAAAATATAGTAGTTGTTCTGGTGCTGAATTATCATCATTTCTTTGCATGCCCTATTGGATCACAGATCTGAATATGGGACCCTGCCAACATACGTTTTGGTGTTATGCACATGAACGTTGTTTTAATGCTTTCTCCCCTCAAACCTACTTCCATTTTATATTCATAGTTAATACAAAGCATGCACACTTCAGTGACCGTATCTTAATTTATATTCTCTCCTACCCTACTTCTACTTTCCTCCATTTATAGCAACATTTCTTAACCATTGCTTGCCATACTTAACTTGCAACCTAAAAGAGAAAACTCCTGATACTGAAAAGGTTAAGAGGCACTACCCAACCCACCAAACATGTTGTCAGTGGAGCTCAGTCTTATGATTATATCCAACAACTTTTGTTTCTAATTACCAAAAATCATTTTTTTGTTTTTGCATTGTTTTTGTTTTCAAGAGTTCGTATGAAATAAAATGAAAGTAAAAGCCAATAAAAGTGAATAAAAATTCTTGTTTCATAAATAAGCTTTTAGAAACAAAAAACAAAACCGAGGTCAGGGTAACATCTTTGAAATAAGCAAAAACAAAACGTTTTCTTTGCTAATTCAAAGGCTCATAAACCATTTGACCAAGATTTTATGTTGTAAAACTACTGAAAGTTGAACAAGGTATAGTGTCAACAACCATTAAAGGAAACCATGAACAAGAAAGAAAAGGAAAGAACTAGCCTCTTCATTTCATTTACAAGTACAGTACAGTTAGTATTCTCTGCAGGTTTTTGCAAGTCCAAAAAATACCAATGTAAAATTGGAACACGTATACAGAAAGAATTGTAAAGCTTTAAAAAATAGAAGCCCTACACAGATGGAACTGTAGACCTAAATGGAGCACTGCAACTTTGCAAATGCTGAGAAAACTTCAATGATCAAAAACTAAAAAGACCTATCTATGGATTGATGTTGCATTCTCGCAAATACACATGATTGTAGTCAACATGCTTTGTCCAATAACTTCGAAACTTGGGAATACTTATCTCAAGCCATGGTTTCATGTTCCCATTATAGTGTGCAACAGCAGACCGCTCAATATCCTTTTGGTTAACGTTGGGGTTGTAGCCAAGACCTAAGACATGCCAAGACCGGTTCAGTGGGAAAGTGCGTTTCCAGAATGTTATGAGACCCGGCGGCAGTGTTCCCAACTTCCATAGTTGTCTATCATGATTCTGCAATTCAGTTTAATTAGAAAAGAAAATTCAATTATCATGATTCTAGATATTAGTAGTAACTCAATTATTTTTTAACTAACAAATAAAATTTATGTTCCTAATCTAACATATGATTAATGTTTACTATCAATCACATGCGATACTTGCTGAAATGTAGATACTTGCTGAAATGTAGATAGATAGAAGCACATCACACACCAGATTCTGCCAGTTGTGGTACACCTCTGTGATGTTTTGCCTTTTCCATTCCACTAAATCAAATATATTCATACCATATGCCCAGCCACAAGCATGTGGGTCGAAATTCTTTGAGATAAGAGGATGTGAGAAGTTGAGATATCGATCAAATCGGTGAAAACTTTCTCCACAAGTTTCTACTGCACCATTTACATTGCCTTTCAAATCAATTGACCACAGATCAGTCAGATCCTTCTGCACAACTATGTCATCATCCAAAAACAGCACTTTGTTGAGCTTTGGAAAGATCTCAGGCAGATAGAATCGGAGGTGGTTCAAGATAGATAAATACTTTGGATTCCGAAACTTCAGATTTGAATCAGAGGTTGCTCGATGAGCCTTGAAGTAATAATCAATCATTGATTGAGAACCCAACTGCTTAAGAACAGGACTGTAACTTGAATTCAACCATGTAAAGTCTTCAATGTTTTGTACTTGAATGGTTGCCTGGCCTGGTGGATTCACCAAAAACCACATCCTCATAGCTGCATAATTGAGTCTATCAGTAACAATGTGGAAAACATGTTTTGAGGCGTCCTGCAAATTCATTAAAATAATATCAATATGAGCACGCGGTGTAAAAAGGAAATAGAAGTAATTGGCGCTTCCATAATATTGGAGCTTTTAGTTTGTTTATTTTGTGTTTGAATTCTTTATAAACTCACTCCAAAAATGAAACAGAGACAAGGTTTTTTTTTTACTCAAACCATATAAAGTGTAGTTAAACCACAGTACAGCTATACCATTTTTCTTCTATGTTTCTCAATGATCTTAGCAGCAATACAAATGTCATTAGAATTCTAAAAGTGTAAAGAATTTACCTTAGCATTGGTAACAGTTGAGTTCACAACAACAGCTGTGGCTAATATGTTGTCTGAAAATATGGCATAATGGTATAACTGGGGGTCTTCTAAATTCTCTTGATTAGGGAACTGTTGCTGAGAAGAATTCATGTTATGATACTCAGTTGTAAGGCGCAAGGGAAGACAATGAAGACCTTTGGGAAGTGTTTTTGCTGTCAATTGTGTTAAGAACACTGTCTGCTTCTTGAGCACGTGAAGCTGCTCCTCCGTTGTGTGGAGCATGGCCCTAAGCTTCTTCACAACAGCTGAACAATCATCTTGAGCTTGCTTTCCTTTCATCAGTGTCTGTTCCATTGCTTTCATTCTCTCATTTGTACTGCCATTATTATAAAGTTAGATTAAGACTGCTCAAATATACAGCTTAGAGCAGCAACTAACCTATTCATCATGTTTATACTAGTAGTAAGAGAAACTTAATGAGGAGGGTACAAGGTCAAGAATCATAACATAACAGGGAAACATGAAGACAGATAACATTTGTAAGTGTGAACATACTTCCTAGGTAAATCAGAATCTTTGCTTGCGTCCCCAAGTGTTCGTGAAACATCTTTTACCCGCAACCGAAGCTCCCGAGTGAGATGAGGATTGCTTTTCACAACTGGAAGGGAAAGAAAGACCTTAGCCTGGATAAGCTGATCTTTTAGCTGCTTTACCCTATAATCAGATGGTGTTTGATCATTCCGCTTATTGTTTTCAGACAATCTAGAACCTTTCAGGTTGACTTCATCAGAAGTTTTTGTTGCTTGCTCCTGCTTGGCAACATGTAGAAAGATACATCAAATGTGAAACAAAAAAGTCTCAATATGCATTGAAGATGGTTTTCCTTAATTAGAATGATGTAATTTTCTGGCAAAACATAGTTGTGTCTCAACGGGTAACACTGTACTAGTAACATACATATTTGTCCCCTTTCTTTGACTGTAAAAATAAAAGATATTGCACTAATTCAACAAGACTATGCAATTGTATTTGCACAGCACGGGGTTGCATTGCACCCTCCATAAATTAGTTTTCATGTCCTCTGCTACAAATGCACACAGTCTGGTCTTAAACGATGCCTAAAACATGAAGATATAAACATGTCTATATTTAAATTGACATGGAATTGTTTATCAAACTACCAAATAACCAGTTCCTTTTTGCAAATGAGAACAAATTATGTCAGAGCTATCAACGTATATGATAGAGGGTGAGCCTTGGCACAACGGTGAGAATGTTGCCTCAAATAATGAACCACCATTTTTCATCAGTGTACCGAGTCAGTAGTTAAACTTAAACTCTTGATAAGATGACCAAATTCAAGATTCAGAAGCACTGACTATACATAGTACTATATTTGACAGATGATGGACAACCCTCCATAATAAAAATATGCAAAACCTTTTTCAGCAAGACCAGAAACCAAGATGAATTTTCTTGCACAATTATCACTATTTACAACTTCCGTTAGAATGCAGAAGCAATATACACAAAAATGAACAAAGAAGCAGATAAAACAACATTAAGACAATATATATAGCGACCTTAATTTGAGGATCTTGAGTAGAAGCACGAGTTGATCTGGCAAGTTTCTCATCGTTATCATCAACATCAATAACATCTTCCCCATTTACATTACCAGTTCCATCACCTTTATCCAAGGACCTTCGTACTTGATTTCTTTGCCTAATTCCATCAGTCACCAATTTAATAGGGTTCTCCTTTAGAGGCTGATCTTCATTAGTTGTAGTTGACAACACCCTGGCAGATAAATGCTCCCTTGAATTCACCAATTGCAGGCCTAGCTCAACATGACAATGAATGATATTAATTAGATAGAAGACCCCAGAACAGAAGAGGAATAGGACAAAAATCCTCACTAAAAAAAGAAAATACCTCGAGGGAAATTCCTTCTGTTAGTGAAATCCTCCTCACTATACACAACCCTAAGAGGTTCTTTAACGGTTGTTGAAGTTTCCTGTTTGCAAAATGGGATATATCATCAATAAATAACAAATTATCACAGATTCGACACTAAAAAGAAGAAAAAAAAGAAGGGAACTATCAACAATACCTGCGGCAGCAGATTCAAGTGGCTAGAGTCTGCTGCACTAAAAGCCTGGCACAACAAAATAAAAGAAGATTCAGAAACTCAAAGATCGATCTCTCTCTGACCCTGACCAAAAGAACTCGAGAATCTTTTTCAAGAACATCACTTACTAAAGCAGTAACATCTTCAACAAACTCCTGTTTGTCTACAGAATGAACAAAAAATAACCCAAAGAAACCAAAACCATTAGCAAATAGCCAAAGCAAATGAATTCAGAGAAAGAACAGCAATCGAAACTCACTCGAAGGAGACTCATAGGTTCCGAGGCGATCAGTGTAGAGCACAATCGGAGCCACAACAGTAATGCACAGCAACAACAGCACAATGTTTCTCATTGCCACCATTTTTCTAGAAAGAGAAAAAAGAAAAAACAACGAGACCCTTTGGACAGAGATGAAGAAAACGAGGAGATAGGAGCCAAGAAGGAAACTTTCCGAGAGGAAAGAAAACCCACTTTCCCTTTTTCGCCGGTATGTCGGGAATTGTCTCTAAGCGTTAAGGATGAAATCAGTTATATTGAGAGAATAATAAAAAAAAAAAAACGCGTTTTGAAAGACTGCGATTTTTCTTTGAATGGCTTCTATTACCCCTCTCTGAAAAAACACATGTTCTCAATGTAGAGATAGAGAAACGAAGTTAGAGAAAAGAAGAAGAAGAAAAGCGAAGCAATGGCGGAGAAAAGGGGAAGAGAGAGAAGAAAAGAAGAAGAACAATGAGTGACACTTTTCTGTGTGTGTGTGTGTGTACAACTTTCTCTGCTTAACGTATTACTATTTGCTAACGGAAACTTTTTCTCCTACAAACAATCGCAATGTGATGTATCTCATTGTCATACATATTATAAATTAATATAAAATTTAATTATCACGTTTCACATATAAAATTACCGATTAATATTCACAATTTTAGTGAAACAAAATATCATAATCTACCATTTGTCTGTTAGACAATAAAGGAGATAAAAAGAAAAAGAAAATTAAAAATGATAAAGATTATAAATGGAAATTGATTATTAATAAAATTAATGGACACTTCCAATACCCAACATGTAAATTGAAAAGAAAAATATTATATGTTAGTTCATTAATTAATCTATCAAACAAAAAAGTTTAATTTAACGTCGAATTCAGATTTATTATTATTTGCCAAAAGTTTATAAGTTAGTTTGTAAAACTAGATGTATATATATATGAAATTAATTGTCAAAATAATTAATAATCAATAAAAACATATTTTTAAGTAGTCACGGTAAACTTGTATTAATTTTAATGATAAAATATTTTAGTCAAATAATATAACAGGGTGTATCTTAAAATAAATACAGAAAATGGATTAAATTACTTAAACATTTTTTTACCATACAAAAAAAATTCTTTATCAATTAATTTATAACTAATTTTAATTTTTTAAAATAATTACTATAAAAACTAATAAATATATCATATAGTATGATTTGTGAATTTACAGTATAAAAAAATTGCTATTGTTGTAATGTACGTAAAAGAATATATATTAAGATATATATAAATATAAATATGAGAAAGATGCGACAAGTAAAATTAATTAACTAATTGATTGATTAATTATTGTACGCGTGAAGTTGTTCTGTGTGGGATGCTTAGTTGGCCACTCGGAGGCGCGTGAATGCCGCTTCTGTCTCTCTTATTTATCCAACTTTGTTAATTATTATTTATTTAATTACTTATTTTGTGTTTTAAATCTAATTTATAAATCTCACAAAAATATTCGATTTAGTGTTTTGAAAACATTTTCAAAGCACGATACAATTTTTGTTTTTAATTTGCATAGTCTAACATATTGATTTTGTAGAGCATAAATTCACTGTATAAACATATTATCATTGAATTGGTTAGACTAAGAATTTAGTATAATTTAGTTAATTCGATTTAATTCCTTGAATGCAATTGAAATAGACGTAGAAAAATACTTACAACAAGTTCTTCTGTTGCCATTTGTGTTTTTTTTTTATTATTATTATTATTATCTTCCAACGATTTCAATCTGTGTATTTCCTTTGTCCTTACTAACATGGTAGCAGCTAGAAGTAACTTTGGCAACAATTTTTTATTTCACATTGAAAATAAAAATTGAAGTAATTAACCTTTCTTTTGTTGCCATTTGTGATTTGTCCAACTTACATCTCCAAGAAATTATTTTAAAAATATGGTAAGATTGAAGAAATGTAGATGGTAACATGAAGAGGAAAGCATATTATATTTTATTATATTATTATATACAATATACAATACTTCTTCCTCAAGTCACATCTTTACCTTTCATCAAACACAAAGAATAAAAAATCATGTTATGAAACAAACCATCTTGTTTATAATCACTACATTTGAAGAATATAATCACTCTGTCTACCCAAAAAAAGTGCAAAGAACAGAGCTAGTCAACTATGAACAGTTGATTGTACAATTGTTGGTTGTGGACAGAAAGTTTATTTTGTTTCAAATGAAGAACACATCCACACATTTATCATTTCCATTTTCGAAAATGTCTAAGCAGTGGTTTCACTTAGAAAGATGAGTTGTTTAAGTCAGATCTACAGCAAGCCACACTGAATCATTTTGAATGACTGAAATTAACCTTTTTCATGAGAAAAAAATAGCTTAAGCAAATTTGTAAAAGGTACGTAATATTAACTTTTCTAAATTTGAGTTTTTATTCATTGTAAAACTTGATTATTATTTTTCTTCTGAAAATGATTATCTATAACAAATGTTGAGAAATGATGGTCCAAGATCCTTTTGGAAATGTGAATGGATGAAAAATGCAATTGTAGAACACACTCTTCTGCAATAAAAAAAAGACATAAAAAGAAGAAAATATTGCTTTTTGATGATTCCTATGTATAAATTTTAGACAACCTTTGTGCCCCTAGAAAAGTCAAACATTACAAACATTTCAATATTGTGACTCCTCAAAACTACAAGTTCACTCTGTAATCAATATCATATTCTCTGAAGTTTTTGCTCCCCATGCTTAATTTGAACAGGACCATGCCATATATGTTCTACCATTGGTCGTCATCACTTTGAGATTGTAGAGGTTCAAATTTTAATATTTTATATTAGAATCTGTGGGTGAAATGCAATGAATGATAGTGGATCTGTACAACTGGAAAAAAATATCATGGATTTCATATAGAAGGTGTACATGTTCTGCACAGAATGAATAGTAAATGAAAAAAAATAAAAATTTGGGCTTTACTGACATTTTCTTCAAAGTGTGAGTTCGAATATGATATCAAAATTGCATCTAACATTGAGTAGAGCTCATACAATAACTATCATCATATATCTCCACAGTATTTTTTATTTCAAACCTTCAGCACTAATTCCAAAAACTTTTTTGAATTATGGACACAAGAATCCAGATTCTGTCAAAGAGGCTTATTGAGCAGAGAGCTCCAAATACAATCTCCATCTTCTGTTTCTAACTCCAACCCATTACTCTCAAATGGTTGCCACATATCCTCTGCCAACTTGGCTTCTTCAATATGAGCCATTGATGCCTCTGGAGTTACACACAAGCCATATTCCTCATAGAAATCAACATCATGTTTGAAAAAAGTGTCTTGGTGTTCTAAAGATGATGAAAAGTTGTCTTCAAAATCCAAGCATTGATCTGATTTGGACATGACACCATCTTTCAGCCAAGGGAAATCAAACACTCCCATTGCCAAGTGGGAATCCCACGCCTTCAAATAATCTTTCTCTTCCATGTCCTTCTTCTCCTTCGTGAAGCTTATGCCATACACATTCCTCTTCTTTGCATTGTCGTTACTTTCGGAAGAAGATTCAGTCTCAATTCCATCATCTTCTCGTGCTCTCTTATTCTTCTCCCATTCCATTTATATCTTATCTGTCAAAGGAAGATTCACGAAAATAAACATAATCAACTCATATCCAATACCCCTTTGACAAACTTAGTAATAATCAAACGCAAAAACGTACAAAACACATCCAAAGGTTGTACTACTAAGGTCAAAATTGTGATAAACAAAGGAAAACATAACAGGTCACAAATGCATGTGTTAAACAACGTTACTACAAACGTAAACAACAAAACCTCTTTTCATGTAAATAAATGTTTAAAGAAACAAATTAAAACAATTTTCTGGATGATTATAATCCTAAGAATGGTTGGTATTCGAATACCTGAGTCGATCGAGGGCTAGAGGCCAAGGGACAGGAAGGAGTTTTAGGTACGCATATCTATGTTTCAAGTTGGAACAGTAGGTGATGGTAAAGAAAAAAACTGATATAGACACGCTAAGCTTATTTTAAGGTAAAAGTAAAACCGTATCTTCCAACTCATAGAATAGAACACAACACACACAACAACACAACATTAATCAGTCAGTCCCACACATGCACACGTATATGTGTACATTTGTTTTACCCTTCAGTTGCGGTGCTATGTATCTACAATACCAACAATGTCATGTGAGAGGAGTTGGCTCCCCATTTTGCGTTCCTAATTTTGGAAAAGGAAAGACCACAAAAGTGAATCAAAGCAATACAAAAAATGTGCATCTTTGTAGCTTTGTTACTGCTCCACAGGACCAGCTAATCACGGGTGGTGGTAATGTGTTGCAACTTTCAATTCAACAGGTTTTCATGGTTTTGTGGTGGCAATGTGTTGCAACTTTCAACACAAACAACTGCATGTTTTCATGGTTTTATGGTGCTGATTTCAGGCATGCCAAATGACTGGATACATCATTTGACCCTGCCTGCGTTTCTCTTTTGAGTTTAATTTAACAGTTATTACATTACTTAATAAATAATACATAAAAAGGTTATTGACTGTTTTTCATAACCACACTATAATTAGTATTTTTACTCTCTGATGAGATCTCTGAGTTGATTGTAAAACTAATCCTTAATTCAAAACTGAGTTACAGGTAAATTTAACTACATTTATTAGATGAAATATTTACTTTGATTAAAATCTCTTGTTTTTACCTTTTTTTTTGGATTTTCTTTTTTCCTCACAGATTAGTATTTGTACGGCACCAAAGAGCTTGTGCTGCTTGCAGAGGTTGTCATGTGATTTCTGTGCTTTTGTCGTATAATGGCCTAGAATCTGTCATGGATGTTAAGCCTCACCTGCGACCAATGCACCAATCACTCAAACGATACGATAACCTGATGACATTGTATTTAGATGGGGGTGAAGACCTAAAAATCACATAAAATGCGTGAAAAATCTGGTAGCAACAAGGAGTTGCTTTGCTTTGCTTTGAATGAAAATATTAAGACAGTGCTAGCATGAGCAAATTAAGCATATTTACACTTTGCATTGTACCTTCCAGAGATTTTGAACTTAAATTTAGAAGCTGAATTAAATACAAATCTTTTTAACCTAATTTGGTTACAACTCATCGCAAGCTTAGTCTAAAAAAACCCATAAAAAGTTCTCTAATCCGAGTTTTATATGCACCCACTTTTTTGTAAGGAGATAATATTATTCTTGTCAATTTTATTTAATTAAGGTAAGATAAGTTTCGAAATAGTATTTCTAGAAGAATTATAGAACAAATAATCTGGGACTGTATTTTAAAGTATTATCGAGTGATAATCATCCGAAATATTATAGAAAAAATATATAAGTTATTAAATAGATAATTCAGAATATTATAGAAAATATCGTAAAATGAATAATCCAAAAAATTGTTTTAAAAAAATATTTTAAAATCAATAATAAATAACATAAAAAAAATGGAAAAATATATCTTGATTACTCGAATAAGATAGGGTGCTATTTTGAATTTATCAAATGCCAAAACATGCTTTTCACAGGTTGATTTATACTATATAATAGAGAGTTGAAAAGAAGTTATCTTAAAATATTACTAAGATTCTTTTCTTAGAACAGAGGTTTAGAATAACTCAATCTAGAATTTTATTTTTTATATATATTTTAAACCATATGTTTTAAAATAAATCACCATCTATCTTAATTATTTAAATATGAGATTATTTATTTAATATCAAATCATTTTAAATTAAAATTTAATAAAATATCATATTTTTTAATCTCAATTATTACAATAGACATCTTTTTAGTTGAAGTCACATCATCTAAATCAATAAAAAATATATAAAAAAAATTCTCACATCTCAAATGTCCATTTATATATATATATATATATATATATATATATATATATATATATATATATATATATATATATATATATATTACAAGATTTCGGATATATCACTCTATAACACTCTAATCATCAGTTCTATAAATCTTCAAAAAAATGTTATCGGAGAACATATGATACTTCACATTCAAATAAAACTTACCGAGAGATAAAAGAGCCAGTAACCTTCTTCATATTGGCTCATATAGGACGGGTAGCTTCTTTTGACAACTCAGAATATATAAAAGAGTACATCACTCTAATAAAATGCTATTGTTAATGACCAAAAATAGACTTGGGCAACAGTTAGACATACATTTTTTTTGGGTTATTTTAATATTTTTTTCCATTAAGTGGGGAACGGGCGTGAACTAATTCTATTGTAAGTTGTACGTATAGACTAGGCTCTGGCAAGAAACTGAAATGCTGAGTACAACTTTGAATCCAGAAGCACTAACATGAAATCTGGGAGGGAGGTCTCTACAGGGAGGATTCCAAATCATTAAGCATAAAGTTTACATAACTGGTAGTATTCCAAATCATTATCAGTAATTGATTCTTTGCAGACATTCACAATTTTTCTTTCGGACCTGAATCAACCCACATAAAATATCCTAGTAAAACAATGCATGCACTAAAGCCACTCCTAGGTTCTCAACTAGTAAGAGGCACAAAATCTTTTGCAAGGCCAACCCTGCTGTAGCAGGATGCAATGACCGGTCAGTACTTGCAACAGCCACTTCCAGCCTCAACTGCTACCTACCCTGGAGTTTTTCAAACTCCAATGGCAACTTGGACATTACTGTCATTGCAATGTTGACTTCTTTGCATGAGGATGTCAAATTTTTTCTTGTCCATCAAGGTGAAGTCTATAATGTCTCTCTATAAAGGATACACACCTGAAGGGGGCAGGGCAAAATGTAAAATAATAAGCATACAAAAATGTGAAACTATGTCACACAAATCAATTGTACCAAAACTCTAAGTACAGTGGGTTCACTTCATCCCCTCCAAGCTATCTAAATATCTATACAATTACAAACCAAAGTTGATACTTAACACTTACTGCACATATGATAAAATACAACAATGTCATTTACAGCTCAACAACACCGAGTTTATGACATGCATGAGAAGGCGGATTGTGCTCCCTTCCGAAGGGGAGGTAGTTGGTAAATTCCGATGATGGCCCAGTGTTCGGGAGACTTGATCCAATATTCGCTGCACATGTGCTGCAATCCTTGGATCTGCCGGGTTTATAGCAGCTGCTACATCTGTCATCCATGCCAATTTTCTGGGCGTGTCTGTATTCAAGTCACAGGACAACTGCTGTAGAAGAGACAGAAGTACTCCTTGGCTTAATGGCAATGGCACCATTGCCAAAATGCCAGATAAATCAACCTGGTTAGGAAAAGGTTCAAAATTGATCATTAGATAGATTATCATTCACTTTCTATGATATAATAATGCACACTACAAAAGGTGTTAACCAATAATGATATGCAGAGGTCTGATTTGATTTTGTTTTTGGGATAGTTGGAGTGACTAGCATGTTGAGACGTGAATTAACTCTTAACATAGTGTGTGCTTGGGTTGGAGTTTTACGCTATGAAAAATGGAAGCTATGAAAAGTAGTTCCAGCTTGGATGTGGATCAACGTTTGACTTGATCCGATGCCAAACCAAACATGAAATTAGACTTGAAAAGGGTGGGCCAATGCTCGAGGCTCCCACCTAATGCAGGGTGAGAAAAGTATATGTTTGGGGCTTTTCCCCTCTCAAGTAGATGTTTGAACCCATGACCTTCAGGTGACAAGGCAGCTCTCTTAGTTTAGACAGAAAGTTGGAGCCAAATTATTATAGGAACTGCAAATCCATTTCACATTAAAATTGTGTTCTTACTTAATTTTAGTAGTAACATCATCAAAATTTACAATTTTACCTTGGGAAAAAATAAAAAATGTCTACCAGTTAACAATGTTTCCCAAGAATCACTTAATATTTGCTTGAAACATACAGAAACAAGTTATCCTCACAGTTAAAAAAAGAAGAGGAAAAAGCTCCCCTTTCACTTGGTTTCATTTTGACTAGTTTCTAACCACCACTTCCAACAAAATGTAATGCTGAATAGCAACTCAAGGCAACAGAAGAAAGATGTGTCCACCATACCTGAGAACATAACCAAGAAACTATCGAAACGTCACTTCTATGAAGGGCTCCTGTAAATGCTTCCTCAAATTTTCCCTCACTAATCAACCTTGACAGTTCTTTGGTAGGATCCTCAGTCTGCCAAAGTGCAAGGCATGTCAAAATATGAAATATAAAGAACACTCATCAAAATAGAAAGATAAAGGAAAGGAGGAACTAATACCATCTCATGCAAGCCATTGTTGATTTGTGCTACAAAGGGATCCACTGTCACTTTGGAGTTAGCTGCAATTTCTAACAGTTTCCGCTGGCCATCAGCCAATTGTCCACTCAAAGTTTGAGTGATTGATGATGCTGAATTAATTGTATCCTGTGTAAATCATAACACTACACATTGAATGTTCAAACATGACCAACCAGACATTCAAGACATAAAGAGTGGAAAGCCCGCTAATAACATGTTTGACAAGGTAGTGAACATGGCCCACTGCATGACAGAATCTTGGTTCATAATAAATTAGCTTCTCGTTCCCAATAATGAGACAAGATTAAAAAAATCTTGGGGACATGTATATGTACATAAAAAGTAACTGGATACTTTACCTTGTAATAATAGCTGAGAAAATTAAGTAAAACACAGTTTTCAAAATAATCATAATTTTTCCAAATTACTCCTTTAAAAAAATTTCTTGAGGGGTAAACAGAAATGCATTACACACATCTCAAAGGAACAAATTAGTCAACCATTTATCATAAACACTAATTAAATTGCATCAGACTGGTGCCACATTGCTTCAAACGAAGGTGTAACAATATCTTTGCTAATAAAGAAGATACAAAATAGAAACCTTAGTAATAGAAAGGCAAAATAGAATCTCTGAAGGCAGGAAAAACTCATTGAAGGTATAAGTCATCCTAGTTGTTTTCAAAATAACCATCCTACACATACCCTTAACGTCATGGCTAGAGGAGAATGAGTAGAATCAAATTGCTGTTGAATAGCAGTTGTGTGCTTCGCAAGTCCATTCTGAAATGCGACATCAATTTGCTCAAACATAGCCTTGCAAGACATCTCAAATGCTGGAACGACAGAAGTTTCCAAACTAGTCTTAAGTCCCTCCTACAAAGTACAAGCAAAACCATAAGAAATGATAAATCAAACCCACCTACAAGGAGCAATCCCAGACCGTTTTGAAAGCAAACATATATAAACCCAAAATATGAAGAAAAATTGAATTGTACTACCGTGTGAAATAAGATATTGCAAGGATAATGAATAGTCCAGAAACAAATTAAAAAGATAAGGCTCTGAAAAATGTGTTTCAAACAATTAGATTGTACTGAAAGAATGATTGGATATTACCTAGAAACAAAAATATAATACATCTAGGTTAACCCTATTAAGGATCTGGCAATTTAAACAGCTAGCAAAATTATAGCAAATTTAAAATTCTAGAACCCATAAATTTTAAGCTGTTTGAAGGAACAACCAAAGTTGGACGTGTAATATGCGTGCATAATAAAAGAACACAGCAACATTGCTACAGCACAGAAATGGTCCAGTTGAAGTCAGGCTCAATCTAAACTTGCATACAGACAAATATTACATAAGAAATAATCAAATTTGACTATATCTTCCTTGTCCAAATAACAGTATGCTCGAAGTCACAGGAAGCTAAAATGGTCCTCCAAATGCTCATTCTAATGATATAAGACTACAAAAGAATTACTAAGACAAGCAGCATTGAATTCTTACCATTTGATAAGGATTTATGGTATAAATGAATCTAAATTTTCATCCAACCATAAGTGTCTTATTTTTATGAAGAGCACATATATGTGTCAGGTTGTCCGAGACTCCTAAGTATTTTCTTTCATCAATTCAATATCCTTGGACAATCAATAAAGTTGAAAGCTGCCAATTACTTATATTTTTCCACATGTTGAATATTTTGATGAATTTGACAGTGTTTGAAGCACCCTGCAATACCTTTTTGATAATTATTTTAGATTGATATACGTTAATGCACAGTATTAAGAAATATAACTCCCCATAAAACTAATAGCCACTATACAAGAATCTAAAGATTTTATACAGACCAAATTGGACTGCAAACCCTAATCAAACTTCCCTCTGCAATGCCTTTTTTCATCTCTTTAGCCTCCTGTTCAAAGCTTCTTAGAGGTTATAATCCAATATTCAACATGAAAAACATATGTCTGTTTCTCCATGGGAATGCTTTTCCACTTTTGTAAAAATTCTTAAGCTTACCATAAAGAGACAGGAAGGTAAAATGGGGTGATTCTTAAATTTATGATAGTTCTCAAAGATGCATTGTGTACTTGGCTTCCCCTCTAGAATCTTTTAGTATCTCATGTGGAATAGCGACACTACATATCATTCAGGGCAACAGCCACCTCACATATCACATTTCCAAAACTCACTTCCATCAAGGGGCACGACGAGTGGTGTTGACCCAATTTACGAGGTCTCCATTATTACTACATAAAGTGTTGATGGAACTAGGTCATCAGTTTAGTCCTATCAACACTCATCGTAGTAGTAATGCACACCCGCTCTAATGGTCGGTGTAGCAAGCCTCAACAAGAGGGTATACACTATTTGTTGTGCCTGTGATGGAAATGCAGTTTAGAAATATAAATATGTAGGGCTCTATGGTTGTTGCCTTGATTGATATATAGTGTTGCGACACCAAGATGGATACTAAGAGATTCAAGGTAATGTGAGGGATATGAAAGCCACCCCTCATTTTGTCTTGTCTCTTCATCGAAAGCTCAATGGGGAAATTTTTTTCAAGAAATTGAAATGAAAGGATTTGAAAATTGGAAAGCACATCAAAGGAGGACAAGTGACCATACTTTTTTCATGCTAGAATATTGGACAATACCTACCAGGAAGCTTTGAATCAGGAGGCTAATGCGATTAAAAAGGTGAAAGATGGAGCTTATTCAACTATGGTTAGGAAGTATGATAAGTATTTTTTTGCAGTTCAATTACCTACACAGAATCATTAGATTCATATATTGTGACTATTAGTATTCCGAGTTACATTTCATTTCACTATCTATGACATTATTTCTATTCCATCATCCTAGACATGAATTCCTAGGAATATAAACAGTTTCCAGCAGCCCATGGATGTTATGGGGTGTCTAACCCACATGGAGTAATGTGAGAAGCTCGGTGGAGTATTTAAGTGATTGGTTTCCTGCCCTCAACAACTAGCTTTTAAGGATGAGTTTCCTAAAAGTTCTTGGATATTTACCAATTGGTATTAAAGTTAGCTGTCAGTATCTCAAAAAGGATTATCTATGGAAAATTCTGACTCATGCAGGACTCTAATTAACAAGTTGAGTTAAGTGTCATTGTATAAAGTGTTGTAGAGTGAAAACTACCAAAAAGTCAGCTCTCAAGGACAGTATTATGATAGAGACTTGGGTATTATGGGGTACCTAAGTCCCAAATTAAGTAACATGAGAGATCAGTGGAATGTCTAAGTAATTGGTTCTCCTCCGTTAACAGCTAGCTTTTTAAGGGTGGGTTACCAAAGTTCTTGGAAACTTATCACATATACAGCAGATGATGTTACGCAAGAAGCACACGCGGACAGAAGTTCATAATCATCATGATAAAAATAAATATAAGAATGCAAAAAAAAAAAAAAAAAAAAGACTATAATAGATATTGCTGATTTTGACCAGAAGCTGCTTACCTGAAGAGCTTGCTTGCCAGAGGTTTGAAATTGTGCCTGTATCTGCCTAGCCACTATAACTTCAAGTTTTGAACCAACTGATTTTTCCAGTTGATTTAATGCCTTGTCTCCCACCCCCTTCTGTAGAATTCATGGCACAACCTCAGTCAAACATATTCAAGAAAAAATGGGCACTTTAGCACCAACAAATTTTGAAGGGGTAATACCAATTAAAGAACTATAATAGGCACATAAAGACTTCTGAAAACATTTCACTTTACCATATGACATGGCAACCACCTACTTAACAAAGTAGTCTCCGAAAAGTTGTAAATGAAAAAAAAAAAAAGAAAAAAAAAAAGAAGCCAAAAATAACCACAAACATATTTACTATTTGAGCAGTAGCACTTTTAAATGTTGAAATTAATTCACTTGAATTTGGATTGGGCCTAACTAAACTCCAAAAGGTAGATTATGAGGTGAGGTAAACCCAAGTCTTTAAAACTTCTTCTTTAGTCATATCTTTAGTTAATGCGAGATCTCAAAAACACATTTCTCATGTCAAGGATTGGACATCTAGGGTATGGAGATTGTAGGATTGTGTTTTATTTATTTATATTGCACTAGTAAAGTTGTATGACCAGGTACATTGCCCTGGAAAATCAGTGGGGCCAGGCAGATATTATTACTTTTTTGTTAATATTGCACTTGGATAGTGTCAAGTGGATTTTTGGATAGTTGAAGGTGGCCCAATATGATATCTATGATAAGCTTTGATGCTATCTTGAATTTGGGTTGGGCCTAGCTCAACCTCAAAAGGCTAACTCATGAGCTGAGAATTGTCCAAGACTTTAGTTCTACTTTAACCATATCTACAGTCAATGTGGGGTTTCAACAAATACAAACCTGAAATGTTTCTGTAATTGTTGATGATATTGTTTTCTCTATAACTTGACTTATTGAACGAGTAATGGTTGTTCCTATTGAAGACATTTCCTTCTTAATGATTTTCTCCAATATAGATACCATATCCTTGTTTACATAATTGGAGATCAAATTTGTTATTTGCTGTGTACGGTCTCGCTCTAACTTCTCTTGCTTTGCATTTTCTTCTTGCAATCGAGCCCACAAAGCATCAGTGTGAGCCTTGACTACTTTCTCCATGTTTCGACCCAAGGATCCTTCTAATCTTTTGCCTTCCTTAGTGACTGGAACAGAAACCATTGCATTCATCTGCTTTTGCATTTCTTTATGCATGCTTAACAACTGTAAAATAGGAAATGAAGGAGATTAAGAAACAAAAAATAAAAATAAAAAAAAATCTTAAAATAGCTCATTGAGTGACATGAATATATGAGAAGAAAAACTATATTAAACACACGAAAAGATTCCTTCCTAAGAATGATATAGTTTATATAAATGTTACTTTGGATGTGTGCAAAGGGGAGTGTTATCATTACAAGACATGGCAGTACAAAAATAGAAACAACTTCATGCTACAATTATATTATATCATGAAATCATAAAATGGTGGAGCTTATAGTTCATGTATTGCTAATCAATCTTTTGGAATAAATAAATGGAATAAAGCCAGGCAAGTTACAGAAGAAGAAAATTACAAAAAACGATCAGGTTTCACTACAGGACATATATTTCATTAATCCATTCTAAGGCTGCATATGCCACACATTGTATCTTTATCCCCAAAAAGATGCTTCACATTGTATCTAAACTTCCATCAACAGAAAAACTTTTCTGTCCCAAATTTGATCTTGATAAAGATAGTTAATAAAAATACCATGAGGTTACAATAAGAGCAGACTATTAATCTAGAAAACAATTAATTATGCTCTATTTGCGGCATACTGAACACATCACACTACACATAAAACTATTAATGCGTATTATACAAGTACAAGAAAAACACCATGTTAAAGTGAAGCCAGTGAAAATAAAAGTAAAGTACAAATGCAAATTAATAACCTGGCCCATCATCTCCTGCATAGCAGTTAACTGTGGTAAAGCAGCTTCCATGGATGATCCTCCTGAACTTCCACCTTGATCATTTGATGAATCTGTTGAGTTAAAAGGACTGGGAGAAGTGGTAGATGCACCAGACACCTGAGAAGTTTTTCCTTTTTGTCTTTTACCTTTCACAGAAGGTGCAGGTGATTGCACAGCAGTAGCAGTGGTTTCTGATTCACTGATGTTTGCAGGTGCATCCTTACTAGTGTCTTGAACTTCTTCCTCAACAGAGTTACAACTTTGATCAGGTGCATCAATGGTCTTAATATTATCGGCTTGATGAGCTCCCTCAATGTTATAAGTCTCTCTAGCCATCTGAATGCCTAGATCGGAGGCCTGAGAATAGAATAACTTCTCTTTCTTCTCAGCAACATTGGTGTGAGAGTCTCTCTCTATTTCACACTCAGTACTTTCTTGATGAGAACTCCTCTCCCCTACAACTTTAACATCTAATTCAGAGTTTTCTGTATCGCTACGGGCAACCACATCTTGAACATTCATACCTTGAGAAATATGTGAATTATCAGAAGGTAAAGCAGTTTTAGAGAATATCTCAGATGGAGTTACCAAATGGGTTGGGTGTTTGTATGTTGTTGGGGTATTAGAAACCACAGAAACATCATTTGGAACAACTTTATCATCCTTTCGCAAATTGTCACCAGATGCAGGCACATCTGCCATATCTTTTTCAGACTCCATTCTCCGTTCAGCTGAAGAATCAAGATTTGTCGGCTCACTGCTCTGGTCAGCAGTTGATGAACTAGTCTCTAAACTATTTGATAAATTTTTTAAACCAGATAACTTCTGGGACAATCTTGGACTCTGAGGAAGTGGAGGTGGAGCAGTTTGAATATGTTCAAAACCATTACGAGAAGGTAAATCATTAGACTTGGTCTCTGTTTCTGATATAGAAGCTTCAGGTAGAACTGAAATATTTGTTGAAGGCAAATTTACAACAAGGCTCGCAACAGGATCACTTTCAGAACTGCTATAATGAACTTGTGGCATATTTCCAGCATCCAGATTAGTGGATCCGTCCAAAGCATCAAAAGCACGTCTTATATTGGATTCTGTTTTCTCAAGTTCAATATTGTCCAGTGGTGGAGGCAAACATTGTGATAAATTGAGTCCATACTGTTGAATAGCTTGTGTTTGGACACAATATATCTGCACAATATGCTCTCCATCTGGTAAACTATCACTAGTTCCTGTAAGACTTAATATAGGCATTGTGACCGTGAACTCTGCAATGTAATCCATGCGGGTAGCAGTTGGATTGGATCCATACTCTATGTGCACAGCATATATTGTATTTTTCTTGGCATTTGCAAGCAGATACAAACCAGCACGGGGTAATGCTACAACTTGATTAAAGAATGCATCCTCAGGGTTGGTTTCATACGAACTTCTTATGTCTAAAGTTTGAATACAATGCCATGACTCAGAATCACTAGGCAATAGCCAGCCTTCCTCATTATCAGAGACCCATATCTTCACTTCCTGATTTAGTGGCCCCTGTGGTAAAGGAAAAAAATAAATATATATATATATAAGGAAATTAGTTTTGAAAGATGTGGGGGAACTTAACACCACTTCAAGCTGACATGGCTGATCAGATACGGATCCATGTTAAAAAAATATTATTTTTGTAGTCTTTAACACAGACAGAATTGCATTCTTTTGTCATTTTAGATAAAATACTTGAATATCATTAGTAGTGCTTTCCTTTTATAATTCATTATTGTTTTTTTAAAGGCTATAAATGATTGCTATTGCTATCAAATAACTTCATTAGTTTTGTATTTATACTGATTCAATTACAAGTGATTTGACAACTAAACGTTATTTATTAACTTTTACTAACAGGGAAAACTTATTGTGAACATTAATATATAATGATTGACAACTTGATTTTTAAGAGGTACCAATAAATATTCATGTTTCCTATGATGTATCAATATAATACTTGTCACACTATTTTTGTATAGAAATTTTTTTATTTTGAAAATAAATTTACTTAAATGTTTAATGTAAATTCAACTATAAAGGATTTTTGCAAAGCACAAGAGATATTTTTGATATATTTACAATAAAAGAAAAGACTACAAGTATTTACCGCTGTGATAAGAACAATGTGCTCAGGGCGGTGAGGAGCAGTCAAGAACGTCACAGAATTTACAGGTTTACCATCATGTGGTCTTAAAACAGCAAGTGGTGTTGCCTTACGTTCTTCCCATATCTTCACCTGTTGACAAAAACAAGTTATTAGAATTAAAAAGTAGAAGAATGATCATAAATCTTTCTTCATATTACCAACTTCAAGATGTAACCATTCAGCATCTCCTCCCGTGTCTTATTTAAAGCCAGGGAATTCGAAACCCCAACCTTTTCACTTATTAAACAAGTCTGAAATGGGATGAGAAAAACTAAAGGAAGCAATGAAACAAGGCAAGGATATAGAGACAAATGCAGACCGTGCCATCAGCTGATGCTGAAGCTAATCGACTCTTCATCCATTGACACATTGACAACTCAGTCACATTTCCATCATGCTTACCAACAAGATGCACCCCATCAATCAACTTATCAACAGAACATTTGAGAGGCTCCTCTGCAGAAAAATTTTCACCTTTTCCAGCTTTCATACTATCGATTTTGAGGATACGGTTTCCAATAGCAACAATTAAAATCTCCTGTAAGCCAAATTCTGACATTAAGATAAATATTTTAAAGGAGTCAAACCAATTGTAAGATGATAAAATTGAGGACCAAAGTTATAAGTCACTATTACTTGTTTGTGGGGATGCCAGCATACTCTTGGATGAACAGACTCGCTCTCTCCTAATATTTGAAGTGCGAGGATAACTTTCCCAGTAATTTGAGGCTTGTCATCCTCATCAGGGCCCTCGTTGATTTTCCATACGAATATTCTCCCATCAGTGCTAGCACTATGAACACAAGTATATTCAAGGGTAAAATAATCAATAAACTTGAAAGTCAGACTTGAATATTCTGAACTGCTTGAAGAGAAAGACCCTCAGCAGCTTTACTTATAGAGTGATGCAGTAGTAAAAAGTATTAATTAGAAGATCTGTTGATTGGAGGGATGAGACATAAATCAGATCCTGAATCCGAAACGAATCAATTAAAAACGAAAACATGGTATGAAAATAGATGAAACAAGGGAAGTAAATTAAATCTCAACAATGACAAACAAGAAACAGAAAAGGTATATTTACCTGGCCAACAGGTGAAGATCCTCAGCAAAGAATGCCATGTCTGTTACTCTCTACATTAATAGGAGATATGCATAAATTGGAGACGGGTACAGATTGGAAATTAAATAAAAGGAAAAAATAAAAAAAAACATCTCAAATGCATGTAATGGCATGAACACTAAAACTTTCAAGAGGTAGTGCATGTAGAAAGTAGCAACTATAAGGGTATAATCAACCTAATCGAACAGTTACCAAGTGTACACATATCATAATGGTGGTTAGAGTAAAGGATTCATAGGTTACGTATATTGTTCTAAGTATCGATAAGTACATAATCCAAACCAATTAAAAGAAAAGGCAAAGTCAAACACAAAACTCCAAAACAATCATTCTCAGACATCAAGAAAGCTCACATGTCTTGTAGTGTGTTTAAACAATACACAAGCAGCTACTAAAACTTGGCATTATAATCTTAATGGTCTTCCACATTTCTTAGGTGCATATTCCTAACAAAATTGAGGGAAAAACATATTCTCGTTCATTTTTAATTTTTTTTTTGTGGCAACAGACAACAAAGGAAGTTTATACACAAGCAAAGCTCAGTGCAAAAAGAATATAACTTCATCATACAAAACCTTAGTTTTTACGACGCCAGCTGAATTGTCCAAGGCACGAGACCACTAAAACACATCAAGCTTATTCAGTGTTAATGGAAAATGTCAAACAGGAAAAGGGCAAGCAACCCAATCACAGAGCCAACACATCAACTCCTCGCATCAAGAAACCACATTTGACTAAACAAACATCAGAAGTACTACATATTCATCATTACAGAAGTACAAAAATTAACATCTCATTCACAATCAGGCCAAAAGCAACCACAACACAACCCACCTGAGTATGACCACGAAGCAAGTATCTCAATGCAGTATTGATATTAAGCACCCGGATGGCCCCAAGTTTGAGTCCATAGCATATGTAAGACTTATTCACCGCAATTTGGCGTCCGAGCACAAGGCCTGGATCAGAGGCATACTTGGTGATTGGAGTGACTTCAAGCTGAGGCTGCACCTCCCCAGGCATCCTAACATCAATGTCATACACAGCATGCTCTCCAATCAAGTGGCGCCCCTTCGGCAGCTTGCTGCTGAGCATCCTGGTTGGAGTGGACTGAGGACTAGCCAGATTCACAGGAGACCCTGAGGGCTGTGTGGAGGGCAACCCTGAAGGGTTTGGTGGCACTGAAAAATCAGAAACCATAGGTGATGATGATGTGGCAGAAGGAGATGGGTACACAACGGATGGTTCCTGATTGGAGAGAGGGTTTTGGGTGCCCAACAAGGCCATGAGGCGTGCTCCAGTGGTCGGATTCGGGGATGAAGGAAGGTGTGGTGAGGAGGGAGATGGAGAGGGAGAAGGGGGTTGGAAAATAGGGGGTCTTTGAGGAGCATGCATTTGAGGGAGGTGGTGAAGGATAAGAGGGTGTTCTTGGTGTTGTTGTTGGTGGTGAAGGGCTGGATAGGGGAGAAAGTGAGGGTGGTGATAAGGGTATGTGCCAGTTGGTGGAGGGTAGGAGGAAGAAGGGGTAGGGTAGGAAGAAGGAGGGGGTGTGGAAGGTGAAGGAGAAGGGAATGATGGAGAAGAGTTCAAATTTGAAGGATTAGGGATAGAGGGTGATGCTGCTGATGCCGCTGGTGGTGATGGTGTCTTGAACAGCTTATTGAAATCAAAATGGGTTGTTTGTGGTTGTTGTTGTTGTTGTTGAGGTTGGGGTTGCTGCTGCTGCTGTTGTTGATTTGGATTCCCAGATGAAGCCATATACTTTGACCAAAAATTAAGGCAAAAAACCCAAACTTTTGAATGAACAAACAATCAGATGGGATCTGGGGGGTACTGATTGTGAGATCTGAGATTGATTTATGTGCCTCCTCTTTCTTCCTCACACTGCTACTTCCGAACTTAGTTTTCTGTGTTTCCTCGTACCAGCTTAGTATTCCCAGAAAAATAAATAAATTAAAAAAAAAAAATCAGAGAGAAACAGAAAATGGTGGTTTTCAACACAGACCTGTTTCTCTGTTCTGCTATGTTTATTTTTATTTTTTTCCTTTTTGTTTTTCTGGTGTTGTTCTTGTCTTGGTCTCCTCTTCTCCTCTGGTGTGACCAGAATTGGACGAGTGCTAGAGGGAATTGGTGTGGAGAGAAGGAGGTTTAATCAACAATTTGCGTTTTTGCATCGTCCAATTTAAAAAATAGCTGCCAAAGGATGGGGATTTTGGAACATTGCCAATGGCAAGCATCATAGCACTACAAAGATGGTAAAAATGGTGATGATAGTGAGAATTTTTTTTTTTTCTATCTAGAATTTAGTATATGAATTGTTTATTGCGCATAAAATCAATGAAAAAAATAAATGTAATTTATCATCATTGATTATTTCATTTTATACGCTACATACACTAAATTCTAGATAACAAGAAATTATTATTATTATTACTATTATTAAATTTGTTCCCGTATTATCATCATTTTTTACTATGTTTCTTGAAATTTAGAATTACAAATTACCTCAACCTTAGTTATTTTAATAATTTTTCCAATAACGTAATATTTTTTAGTATTTTTGAGGAGTAAATAGTATATAATTAACATTGTAAATAATTTCTTACGTTGATCTCCAATTACAAATTATATTTTATTAATTAAACAGAACAGAACCTGCTAAATTGGAAATGAATTTATATATGTAAATTGGAGTAATTACTTTAATAAAAAACCAACTAAAAATATTGAACTTAGATTTCTCCAAACAAGGTCTTGTAATAATTATATTATATTGCATAGTTTAGCAATAAATAAATTACTAACTTGAATAACCAAAATTAATCTTTAGAAAATATAAATTATGGTAAATTAGTATTGTGCATATTTATCCTTTAGTGTTGAATGAGTTTATGATATAATAATTTTTATAAAAATATGAATGTTTTTGTTGCATTTGGTGTTAAGGGATATCATTTTTTTTTCCCTTGTACCTTTAGTTATATGTGTATAATTTTAATTTATGAAGTTGCTGATTAAGAGTCTCATTATGATATTATTATTTTACAATTGGAACCATATAAATTAATTAGCATACCTTAACTTTTAGCAAACTCCATGTGGTAAAAGACAAAAGACTAAATATAATATTTATGACTAGTTTTTGCCTTTAATTTTAAGAGTGTAGACCCCTTTGATGATGATACTAAAATTCTTATTTGAAATGTTATTCAAACAAATTGTTTAGAATTGCAATATTTTTACATCTCATTAGTCTAACAAGGTAGCAAATGATAAAATTGTGTCATCTTAATTGATATTATGATATGAAAAAATTTATATTCTATTGATCAACACTATGTTTGGGGAGACAAAAACATAAAACCCTAAACACATAAATACCCATAAAAGAAGCAATATGAGATTATGGCCCCAAATCTCTAACCCTATATGTGTATCCCCAACACTGATAATGCATTGTTTCAAACTAATTATTGAAAGTTTCATTGTGTGTGTATTTTTTAAATAAAATGTGACTGCATTATTAGTTTGGTAGGTTATTTAATTAGTTGAGTTATCAAGAATAATTCTCAATATTTTTATTTTCTACAAAGCATAAGTTTTTGTATAGTGGATAAATAAAATGCCTAATTATAATTTATACAAAATAATTTTAAAATAAAATTGTCAATATGATTACCCACTTAAAACAATCCAATTAAGATCGAATTGAAGCGTTTAGTAAAAGTAAAAAATTAAACTTGACTAGGTTATACTTGTCTGAGTTGGGTTTAAGACTAAAACCAACTTGAAGCAGGTACAACAACCCTAATACTAGTTTTAAACCCCTATATGTCAGTTTTAAACTTTAGAAGATGAAGTGGAAAATTTAATGAAAAAGTCAAATACAACATTGAGGTATTATGAACAGAAAGAGAGAATTTTTTCCCCTCTAACATGTATGATAATTTGTTGTATCCTTAAAAAAAAAAAAGTTTATTGACTTGTTGAAAGCTAATACTGTTCATATATTTTCTTAGATAAATTTTGGTGTTTTAGATTCAAAAGGTGATGATGAGAATAGAATATGGTGAATAAAACAGAAGCATTTAGAGGAACAGTGTATCCTATTTTTGATGGAGAATGGATATGATTGAAGTAAAGAAAGTAATTGAAAAAGTGGTGGGATTTGTCCCTAACGAAGAGTTTAATGTGAGAAAGAAGTTGAGTTCTATAAACATAATGCAACATTTTTTGTACCCAACCCCACAAAATTATACAAAGCTCAAGGTAACATTTCAATGACCAAAAATACTCATCGTATGATTCATTAAGACATAACAAAATGAAATGAAGAAGCTATAAACATTTGCATTGTGTTTTGCTCATAATAGAGATGGGAGGGAGAGATTGATCCATTAACAATGGAAGAGGATTAATGACTACGAAATAGAAAATTTATTTCATCTAAAAGTGGAGTGAGTCAATGGATCAATCCACAAAAAATTATTATTTATTTATTTATTTTATGAAAGTGTTTAAAATAAAAAATAATTTAGTATAAATTTTATTCAAATATTAATTTGTTATTATTATTAAAACAATAAATTTACATGACAAATAATATATATATTTTTAAAATATTAACATTTTAAACTTAAATTATTAATGTAACTTTTTTTTTTTTCAAAGACATGATTTCGATGAATCGCTTTATCTTCTTCGAACCACTCTATTTTGTCATCAACAAAGATGATGGATGGTATGTTAATCCATTCCAATTCATTATTTAATTCTAACTTTTTTTAACTTTATATGTAATTAATAGAACAAAACTTTTGTTTACAAAATTATTTTTCTTTTCAAATTTTATCCTTGAAATCTATATATTAAAGAAAATATATTTAAAATTTAAGATAAAAAGACAAAATAAATTACGTCATTTTTTCAAACAATGAAATATAATATTTATTTCATTCTATTTTCCATTATTATTTATTCAATCCTTCACGTTTCACTATATTAAAATTTTCTAAACATACTCCATATTTTTCTCATGAAAAAAACAGAGTTACTATTCTCAAATATAAACAAAAAACATATTATGTTAGAAGTTAAATACCATTTGTTCCGAGCTTGATATTTCAGCATTTTATTACTGGACCCGATAACTCTTCTAGGTGACTTTCTGATTCAGCAGGTTAAGTTGCAGCGCTGTATAACTATTAACTGCAAGGTCTTTCAGATAGTTAAGACAAAAGCATGACTGTGTTATTTTCCGGAGAAATTACACAACTGCCCAAGACAAATCTAACCCCAGAATTGAGATTTCACGTACCCAAACGCAGGCTAGTATTGGAAGATAAACTCTATTCATCACAACTACAGCCGTGTTAGGTTTCCCTCAATGCCCTCTGACACGCAACATTTAAAACAATACTGTAATATACTATATTTTGCGTGTTGCCATTAATATTGTCATTAATATGAACACGAGCGTTATCAAAAACAGAACAGAGAGAAGAATGAAACAGCATATCAATTAACTATGCACACAGATATAGACAAATAATAAGTTCATGTCAAAGAAACAAAAGACCATTTTTAAAAGAAAACATTATACAATTATCTGATTTTATCAATGGACAGAACATTTATATCTTCGTATCCAAACCCAAAATATAGAAAAAAAAGAGAATACATAAACGACTACATTGATGCAAATAGCTCTGATATGCTCCGTTCAACTGCAGCAGCCTCCAGCCGAAGCAGAAGGGCCATCCCTACCTCCAGAAGGTCCAGGAATTCCACCATATCCTACTTTTATTCCATAAGACTGAAACCACACAATAAGTTCAGTGTAGTAAGTATTTGTCTTTGAATCAAAAGTTTGTTTTCCGTTTAAGAATAGTATCCCCTAAATGCATTCGCAGATTTGTAAATACACAAGGTGGACTGTATTTAAATATCCCACCGGTTCTTCATATTCCATTTCATAAATGTTAAAAACAGATGAAGTTAAAGAATGACACAAAGTATAAGAGAAATAAACTAACCTCATTTGATACATCAAAAACTCCATCTTGAATCTTTTTGTATATGGTTGCAGCTGTTTTTATGAATGCCTGCAAAAGAATGGGCTATATTAAAACTTCCACATAGATAGTTTTGCAAGATATTTTTGGTATGGTATCCCATTTCACATCACACTTGAAAAAAAAAAAATACTGAAGCAACTCTCTGTAGCTGGATAGACGCAGAACCATTATTAGTGAACGTGTTACCAAACATGCTGTTAACCTAGAAGCTTAGATTTGTTAAAAATATGACTTTTCTTGTGGGAGTGGGGTTGGGAGGATATATGAAGAAAATTCAATGTCACATCAGGTGATTTTTTACCTCTTCAACATTCTGAGCAGTTTTTGCTGAGGCCTCCATGAATATCAACCCATGCTCCTTTGCAAATTGTTCACCTTCCTCCGTGCTTACTGCCCGTCTATGAGCAAGATCACACTTGTTGCCAATCAGCATAATTGTCATATTCGCATTTGCATGCTGCCTTGCATCTTCCAACCAGCTAGCCAAGTGATTAAATGTCTCCCTCCTATTGGTAAACACAGTCAGCATCATTTATTTCTTTATTCAAGACAAAGACACATAACCCTCATGATGTACCAAATTGTCAAACATATTTTGTTGTCCAATCAATTTGAATAAGTTCAAAACATGCATCTCCTAAGCAAATAAAAACTCATAAAAAGCTATTTTCTATCAATATACTATTCAATAAATGGATATTTGTTCAGATCTCCATATTACTGAGTTTCAAATTCACTTAAATTGTGTTTAAGCATTTTATTTATAGAAATGAAAAGAAATAATTTTGATTCAAATGATTTACAGATCATCTCTGAAGTGAGCAGGGATACATGATATACAGTTTAATTTTAAAGTATACAGATTCCTAAAAGAAAGTAGTTTCTTTACAAATGAAACCCATTATTTCATTTTAGCATTTCAAACATATATTGTAAAAGTACAAATTAGAGGATACCTGGTTATATCATAAACTCATAAAAAGCTATTTTCTATCAATATACTAATCAATAAATGGATATTTGTTCATATCTCCATGTTACTGAGTTTCAAATTCACTTAGATTTATAGAAATGAAAAGAAATAATTTTGATTCAAATGATTTACAGATCATCTCTGAAGTGAGCAGGGATACATAATGTACAGTTTAATTTTAAAGTATATAGATTCCTAAAAGAAAGTAGTTTCTTTACAAATGAAACACATTATTTCATTTTAGCATTTCAAACATATATTGTAAAAGTACAAATTAGAGGATACCTGGTTATATCATAAACAAGCAATGCACCTGCCGCCCCTCTGTAATAAGACCTTGTAATAGATCTGAATGATTCTTGACCAGCCTGCAATATTATAAGGAACTCAGTATCTTAAGCACAAATTATATAACTCAAACAACTAATGTAGAATATTTTTCATCGGCAAAATCAGGATAATGAATCTAACCTGAAGATATATAAAACCAAATTCAAATTTTATGCTAGCAAGATGATTATAATAGGTAATCCAAAACTGTGACTTTATTGTCAATGCATAGCTACCATAGACATTAAAAGTGGTGAATTGGTAAACTAATGTCCTACCCAACATGGAAAGCTTCTCGCTATGCAATGAAACGAGGGAGGGTCATTGTACACACCCTCATGAATATAGCAACTTTTTTTATCTAGATATATTCATATTCATGAATAAGAAAGACTTTCACCCTAGATTTTTTAGGTTTAGTAGCAATGGATCTGTATACAAGTACACTCAATACCTTGCTCAGCAAAATGTTCTTTGGAACAAAGAGAATGTGGATAAGTATAATATTATCATCTAAAAATGTTTTGGGTGGACACACAATATGAGTGAACTGCACCCAAAAATAAGAGGCTATGTAGTGTGGGCAATTACCAACTCCCACAAATGAAACAGAAATTGTGGTACTTTACTAAGTAAATTTGGCTACATAGATCACAAAAAAAAAAAAAACTTCACAAATCTCAAAACTTAAACTGATTGGATTAATAATCAAACTTTGTGGAATTGGAGTATACAAACCGTATCCCATATTTGCAACTTGATTGGCTTGTTATCAATTGTAATCATCCTGGCACCAAATTCAACACCTATGGTCAAGTCATGGACTGGTTGAAAGCGCTTGTCTGTGAATTGAAGTAGAAGACAAGACTTTCCAACTCCTACGGAAACCAAAATCAAATAAGTGAGCCAGACTCAGTCAGTCCTCTCCATTCAAACCACCACTTCCAAAACCACATGCATGACAAACAAAATAGATGAATAGAACAAAACATTTAACATTTTCAGTAAAGAACAGTCGAGTTCGTAAAATCACACAAACTTTCTCCAAATTAAAATCTTAACTCCAACACATAACCCACTATAGTAAAGCATGTGAAGCAGAGGAGTATTAGAAGCAGGTACAGCCCAGCCACACAGAATAAAAAGTATCAACAGTTTCATAATTTTTTCAATAGTTAACTCAATTGAGATAAACAATACAGATCACAAGATAGAAAAATAATATCAGAAGCCCTTCCTCAAATCCACAGTCATCTTAAGCGTCAATTCATCCATTCAAACATTCTCACAAAATCCGAAAAAGATAAATACTATCAGAGATAGTGCGTGGAAGCGAGATAGGAGCAGTAGAGAGAATTAAATTGAGCGAGATCAGTGAGGAAAATTGAGATTACCGGTGTCGCCGATGATGATGTATTTGAAGAGGTAAGCGTAAGACATTGCGAGCCGTTAAGGTTGGAATCTGGAAGGAGAATTGTTGTGGAAGAAAACAGTGGTAGGAAACAAAGATGATGGTGATGATTAAGAAGCAATCAGAGAGAGAGAGAGAGTCAAATGAAATTAATAACAGTTCCGTTGTGTTCTATTCCAGCTATGCGATGCGATCGTTCTTCTATACTATACCTTCCTTTTCCCCTCTTACCTTCTTTCTTCTCTCTTAAGACTGCGTGTTATACGTATCTATTGCCAACCTATTGGGCCTTCTAGGCCCATAATAAAGAATTAGATATCAGCAAGATAACTTAATTTGTGAAACATGTATCATTAAATTTATCCATGTGAAAATTTTTCCCAACATTAAAAATAGTCATAAATATTGTGGAAATAATGTGACAAACTGTGATAAAAATATTAAATAATTTAATATCAGATTCTTTTTTATTGTTAGTATGACTTAATCTTTCAAACAAATTTCATTGTTTTACTGTTGTTTTTATTTTTTGTTTAAACATTAGTGTTATAATTTTCATTTCATAGTACAAATTTTACATCTCGTATTAATCACAAAATGGTTCAAAATAAAATGGTTAAATAAGAATTAGAAATTTATTTTTATTCTTGTTACCATAGTTTTTTTAATCTAGTTCTAAAATAATAAGTTATTTTATGTTACTAAGAAAAATAATGAGATAACTTGAATAAGTGAATCTCCTTTTATGTATTATATATAAAATAATAACAATATCTTTTTGTTACATTACATAATAATTTTTACTATATTTTTATTAAATGTCTACAAATTATCTTTTAAGTAGCATTTTACTTTTGTATATTGCGTGTGTTTAATCAAAATGTAAGTTTTGTGATTATAATTAATTACATTAAAAACTGTGTGGAATTATCTATATCATATAATTGAAGTTGTTTTTATCTATGTATCACTGTTTCTTTAAGAATAACCAATAATTTTCTACTCGTGTAAATATCATCAAAATGAAAAATTTTACTTTGACAATATTAAGATGGAAAGGGCTTTTTCTAAAAGAAAATATACCCTTCAAGACATATCTTTTTCTAGCATCATTTATTCATCTCACAAAAGGGATTGTGCATTGTCAGGCCTCAGTTGCAGATGGTGATGTCCCATGAAATTGTTACTCCAAAAAAATTATCTTCCTCTCTAAATTTGAACTCCAAATCTTCAGAATTTACAAATGAAGACTTTGGTTTTAAGTTGGAGTAAGCTCCAAAGCCACCTCCTCCTCTACCCCTTACATGTATTTTAGATCCAGAAGAATCACTGGAGTCAACTGCTTCAACAGCTCCACCAGAGTTATACATATTGTTAGTCCTATTGGTGCAAACTGGATTGTTTGATTGTAAATCTGTGTATTTGACAAAAAAAATTCAGTTCAGTTTTGGTAGATTTTAAACAGAATGAATAATGTGTATGTCCTACCTTTATAGGAGATACTGTGAACACTTCACACTGCGATACTTTTAATGTGATATCAAATGATTCTTCCTTTGATTGTCGTGTAAGAGACCCTGAAATTGCAAAGGGAAACATGCAATCCAATAACCATTCTCCTTAGTGGTTAACACGAAACATTGTTGTTGGTGATCTCTGTGACAACATTGCAAAAGGAAAACCATGTCATGCTTATGCTTACATTTGGGACTGTGAAAACAATATGAACCAAACCTGTATTGAAGCGAAAAGCTACACAATCTTCAGTCCATGGCCCCCTGAAAACTCTTCAAAATACTGAAATCGGATAGCTCAAAAATAATGTCTTCCTCAGCATTACTTTCAAGACCAGGCCAGGAACCTGCTCCTTGGCAATTAAAGATGCCTATAACTCCCCCACATTTGTTCAAGTTCCAAATCTTGAGAAGGCTGTGATTAGAAATCATAAATTGTAATAGGATCTTAAATGTGCCAAACTCTTCTACAGCATAAATTAAGTATGTACCTCTTCTTATTCGTAACTGGATCAATGAATAAGCAATCACGCGATGGTCTTCCAGGATATCTGGATCTGAGAACTGATCCATCAGGAAGTACAAGCTTTTTCAATACTTTGAAATCATGTTGGCCAGGTTTGTCACACTGTTTGTCATAGTGCCATGTTGTATTCAGTTTCTGCTAAAACACTACAGCAAATGGATAACAGAGATAACAAGTATACTTCTGCATTGAACAAGTACATGAATCAAATTCTCGTATAGACCAAAATGAGTAATGATTCAACTGCTGCAAGCTCATTTCTATAAGATATTTTCCAAGCCATTTGATCATTAATCAGTATTATAAGCCATTAATATAGCAAGAGGAGCATATAAGTAATGTTCACACACATTCTATATTTCTTTCTCTTGAAGTGAAACAAATTTCGTGCATTATTATATTTTGACTACTGTATGCCATTTGAGAGATTCTATGCTTCCATGTTACATTCTTTTACCTTACATGTACTCCGCAGCCTCCAACTGCTCTAGCTACTGCATGGAACTCAGCTGCATTGTGGAGACTCTAGACAATGAAGTTAAAGAATTAATCAGTTGGGTAATAAAATAGTGAGGATGCCATAGCATACATAGAACTTGTCCCAGTCCGGTACAACAATTTCACCAAGGAATATGCTGTTGAAAGCTACAGCAGTTAGATAGAGACTGAGTTGTTGGGTTTTTTGGAAAATAGTCATCAGATGCTCGTGTAATTGCACTTGTGTAGATCATCATAAAACTCTGAAATTTTAGCTGAATCAATGATACCAATGCCATACTTCTCCATGGCATCAATAGATAAATCCCTTGTATTTGCTAAATTCCCTGGTGACTGTACTGGGTATCTAAGTTTTGGATCATACTTCTTGGTTCCAGATGCATTTGGATCTAACCCTCCCCAGTAACCCAGTAGGGCATGCCATACGTAGACATACCTGAAATTAAAGGAAAAGGGAGGTCAATTTTCCTAATTGCAGGGATAAAAGTGATTAAGTTTGATGTGGTTGTTTTGCTAAATATCACCAAGTAAAACCTTTTTGAGGTCCACATTGTACAAGTATTTAGAACTATAAAGTTTTAATATAGATAGGATCTGTTCGGATGCAAGGTAGAAATGCTTTTTAGTATTTTTCTACTGGAAATATATTGCTTTTTTTAGTTGATAAACTCTGAAAAACACTTATAGCTTTGTATTGTATTTAAACAGGCTCGTGTATCTTAATAATAATAATAATAATAATAAATTGAAGTAGAAGAACCTGACTTGAGACCAAAATTGCTCTTGATTTCTGAAACAAAGTCCTTTAGACTAACCGGCACCTCATTTTCAGTTACATCTCCTACTGCTCGGAATTTATTATTTTCTTTGATGCTGATTAATCTTCCATCGAATCTACAGTTTCAAAGAAATCAGTAAGTAAGCATTTGATTTCCACAAGAAAAAAGATAATGAATAGAAACTCACTGTGATCCTTCGATAAATGGCTCCCCACCTTTTGAAACTCATTTGCCATCCATCATCTGTTATCAAGAATTTTGCTGGTGTGCCTACTTCAGATAACCTGTGATACAGATTTAATTGAGAAGGTTTTCCACAAACAGAAAGAACTCAAAGAAGTAATAAAACAAGATGAGTGGGGTGGGATAGGAGTGAAATGAGGAAAGAAATTAAGCTATATGATGAACAAAAATGAAATGGAAAATAACTCTCTTGTTACACAAATATCATGCTTCCCTCTGACTTAAATTTAATATAATTCATCATCTGAGTTTGTCAGAAAATTTTAGTTTATCAACTATCTTAAATTTCAGTTTCAACGAACAGATGAAAGGTAGCTGAAGTAACCTCTTAAGTCCATCCCTGATTCCCTGAGGATTAACAAAGTGATAAAAAGCATCCCAAGTGCACCAACCAAAGCAATCTAACATTCCTGGCATCTGCACCCAAAAAGTGGTTTGAAATAAAACTGTGAACGAGTTCCAGGTTTTATTTTACTATCCTTATTGCCTTACAAGATTTAAGGTTGCGACTGACCACTGTGCTCTGACAAGACCCTGTTAGAAACACATAAAGAGGAAGTAAAATTCAAAAGTAGCCAAGGTATTAGTAGTTGTAAATTTTTTGTCTCCCATATATTTCAATGGCAGACCTACTTCATAGATTCCTTCACTAGATCAAATGGATGATCTCCATAATTTATGAAAACAGCATTTAGGGACTAGGATGTAACCACTTCTGGGTCTCCTACAAAATTCAAAGAGCACTCTATTTGAAAGACAAACAACAACGATAATAATAATAAAAGACAACTAATTTTATCAGGAACAATTGGGTTCGTGTTTTCTTTTTTATTTCATTTTTATTTCTTGGCTGAGTTGGTTCATATATATATATATATAAAAAGGGAGAGAGGTTTTGCTACATACAGCCATCCATTTTCCTATTAAGTGCAGTCATTTGACCGGACACTTAACCTCCATACTGGCATGGCAAGGGGAGGGTTTTTCCTCGGAACTGGCGCGACTTTTTTAATCTTCTTATCTCCCCTTGGAAATTAACTTCTTATTTTTGTTGGGATTTATATTATTTAAAAATAATAATTATATTTATAATAAATTCATTTTTCTATTTTTATGTATTTTTATATATAAATAAATATTTATAATTTATAATTATTATTAATTAAATATATATTTTATTTATTATATTTATATTAAAATATGTATATAAAAAAATATTTATTTATTTTTTATTTATATATATAATATTTATATAATAATAATAATATATTTAAATATTTAATTTTTTATATAAATTAATTTATTTTTAAGTTATTATTTAAAAATATGAAATATATAATTTATAAGAAAATATTTAATAAGTTAATTCTTATTTTAATATGTTTGATGTAATAAAAATTTAAATTATAATTTTTTTTTAATTTTTTAAAATATAATTATTTTATTAATATAAAATTTGATATATAATAAATAAAAATAATAAGATTCAAAAAATATAATATAATAAAATTTAATAAATATAAATTATAAATAAAATAATATTAGTTACTATTAATATTTATGTAAAATATTAAAAAAAAAATTTTGTGCAAAAAAATTGATTAGAAAGATTAATGAAATATAAAAATTGAAAAATAAGAAAAGAAAATAATATAATAAACGAATTGATATAAAAAATTAAAATAATTAAAAAATTAAAAAATAAGTAAAAAATAATAATAAAATATAAAAAAATGACATTATAAATAAAATAAATATTTTTAAAATATTAATATTTTAAATGTTTAGGACGAGAATTATATTATTCATCTCCGTCTTCACCCCCAACTTTTAAAATAAAAAAATACAAATAGTTCCATTTTCAATCAATTTGATTTTTTTTTCTTTCAAACTCGGTTCATAATCTCCTAGATACATATTTAATTGTGATTTCTAATCCTTTGCTGCATTAAAACAAAACAAAAAAATAGTGGAAGTGATTTTTTAGGTAATTAGGATCTCATATTGTAACAGTAAATCACTCTCAATAATATCATTATTCTGTTTTTAAAAAAAGAAACTTTATTACTTCCTTCAATTGAAGAATTTTAAAGAGAAAAATAATGATATTTAAATATCCAGAAATCTTTACCACTTTCAACACAAAGCTCAAGTTCATTAAAATGAATTTCCTTGGATGATTGTGAATCCATTCCGTCTCTTGCTTCCAAGAGCAACATTTGAGTTTCAATAGGTATTGCCCTCCCTGAGTTTGACATCCCTGCATCACTCAAAACAAAATATCATTACTTTTGCTCCATTCGCATTATAAGCATTTTCGTAGGTAGATTTTGCAGTGCCAGAGATAAATAGTGATTATTGGATTTATCATATAATGTAGCTGAGCAGTTTCTAAGATAGACATTGATTTTTTTTTTTTCCATTTACTGTCAGAAACAACAGCACGTAGGTTGACACTGTGCTTAGGTCTTAAACATGAAGAAAATGAGCATTGACAGCTTCTAACAGCTCCTAGAAGGCATCCCAAATAGGGTGAACTGGTTTAGAGTTTAATACATAATTTAAAGTGATTTCAATATTGAAGTTGTTATTGCTTTTGTAGTGATTATCTGAATGCATTATACTTCCGTGCTTTTACAAAAAAAAAAAAAAAAAAAAAATCGCTAGAAGGAGGGCTTGAACCTCCGACCTTGTGGTTAACAGCCACACGCTCTAACCAACTGAGCTATTCCAGCTATTTGATAACTATTATGAAATAATTTTACTTAACTAATAATATTGGATAAGTTTAATAAATTTAAGATTAAGTTTTATTAAATTGTGTATAAATTAGTCAGATATCAGTATTGTTATTTTAAACACTCCTATACATTTTAAATTAAATTAAGACATTGTATAAAGATAAAATTTAACAAAAGAGAAAGAATGATTAATTTATAATATGAACGCGTGTACTGAAAGTTTGAGTAAAGAATAAAAACATGAGATGCAGATGAAAAATGTAAAATTTCAGAAATTAAAAAGTTATACTTTTTTTATTCAATACCTTTTATTAGGGTGAGATAAGTTGGTAATGATAGCAGTAGTGGTAGATATTAATGAATTTGTTTGTACCTGAAAGATTCTATATATTTTCTGCACCTAATTAATAATTTATTTATTTGTTTGTTTCACACAGAAGAAAGAATGATTATCTAGGACGTTCTGCAGAACCCTTGTCTTCGTCAAAGGGATGATCACACTTGTTCATATTACTCTCAGAATTTAGTGACGGAAAAAGAATAAAGAAAAAAAAAGTTGTCAAGTGATAATGTAAAACAATTTTTCCCTTATTATCCAATCGCAAATCACTATCTATCAATAAGTTTATTGAAATTTATAATAATTTATTATCTTTCAATAAACATTCCTTAATGGTTTTTAATATTTATCATAAATAAAATTAATGATAATATTTTTCAATTTTAAACATCATTTTCATATTTTTGAAGGACTATACACGACTTTAATGGTCGTTAAGTTACCTAGAAATTTCCAACAGTTACCAAACCCTTGAAGTTTCCACCTTGTGACCGAGTACAAGTGGAACACAGATACACGGTTTCAACTTTTTCATAAATTCAATGACTAAATATACATTACATCAACACTATTGCATCTCCTTAATTGATCAGTGCCTTCATTCTCACCCTAACATTACTTGACTTTGACTTTGACTTTCCCTTACAAACATACCATAAGCCTATAAAATATCAACACCATTGCATCTCCTTCCATAGCCAGTTCTAAGATAGAACATACTCTCAAACCAAGACCTGAACAAAATGCAGGTATATACATTATGCAATCTTATGCTATGTTTTGTTTTTTGTTTTTTTTTTCTTCTTTTTTGATTCATTAGTGAACCATTTTCTATGTTTTCTTAGACTATAGCAACTAACAACACTTGTTCATTTGGCAGCAAAAGATTGTGATGAAGGTGCACATGAGTTGCCCGAAGTGCCGCACCAAGGCACTGAAGGTTGTTGCTGCAGCAAAAGGTTGGTCACAGAAAAATGATGTTATTTGTCCAATAATTCATATCAGAGTGTATGGTTATTTGAGAAGTTGAAAAATTGGGTGAATGCAGGTGTGAACTTTGTGGGGTTATCAGGAGAATCGAAAGACATGTTGGTGGTGATTGGAGATGGTGTAGATGCTGTCAAGTTAACGAATTCATTGAGGAAAAAGGTTGGACAGACCGATATCATAAGCTTCGCAGAGGTGAAAGCAAGTTAACAGTCTGAAACCATGATCAAGAGTGTGAAAGACCATCTTCATTTATTATACTTCTTTTCTGGTTTTGGTGTGATTGTTCAAATTTATTGTTCATCCTTTTTGTGTTACTGGGTGGAAACCATCATGCATCATGCATTATGCTTGCATTGCATGCATGGCCTTTCTTTGTTATGGCAGAGAAAAACAGAGCATTTTATATTGTAAATAAGATTGAGCAAATGGAAGATGGATTGGAGGGAGATTCACGTAAATAAAATTTGAGTCAATAAAATATAATTCAAAATCTTAAAATATGATATTATAATTCTTTATTCAATTTCTTCAATTTTATCTAATCTTAGACTTCAAATTTGTACTTAAATTTTCAATAAAATAAAAATATTGAAAATGATTATAACACTTCTTTATTTTTTTTTAATGAGTAAAATAAATTAATCTTATTATCTTATAAATGAAATCCCCAACAAAATTATTTCCAAATTCATAAAACTCTTATAAAAAAACAATACAAAATTAAATCAGTCAAATAAGTATTTATTTTTATTAGTTAAATTCCACTTTAAAGTTTGTGCTTTGGGTCATTTTTTTTACATCCAACCAGTGAGGTGAAAATTTTGTTTCAATCTCTTTAAAATTATCACTGTTTAATTATAATCTTTAAAAAATCCAAATTTTAGTTTTTAATCCCTAACAAATTTGTTGTCTTATTGAATACATTTGAAAAAACTTTAGAAAGAAAGAGACGTGTGATTTTGATTGATATATAATTTTCCTTTCTCTTTTCTACTTTCTAACGTAGGACCCAAGTAAGAAATTTGAATGTTGTTTCATTCAAAGGTCTAAATATAAATAAGAAGAAGAAAAATGTTAGTAGCATGTGTTTTTAAGAAAATATTAACAAGTGTCTTTAATCATATTTATCAAGTAATTTTAACTACAAGCTAATAATGTATTTAAAATATAAAATATTATATCAATAATATGCTTATTTTTTTAAAATCAATTAGTTTAAAATAATTTAATGAACAATATTTAGTTAAACATAAAAAATTATATATTGAGTTAACTAAAAAAATCATCATATTTTATTTTAATTAATAGTTAAATATTAAAATAAAAATAAAAATTAAACACATAATTTACAAGAAAAAATAAAATAAATTAACAATTCAAATTTAATAGTTTGAAAGGGCTTGACTAAGTATCTTTGCTTTCGAACTATTTATCTGAAAAGAAAAAAGAAAACCTTTATTCCAAATTCTCACGAAGTTGCAATTACACCTTTTTGCTTATGGTGTTTTGGTAGTATGTTTAGCATCTTCAATTGTTGATCCTTGGTTGCCACAATGATCATGTTCATGTTCTTCTTCATTATTGAACTCTGGAGTTCTCAAAATGGAATCAACAAAGGCACATTCCTTGTCATGTTCTTCTTCTCTTCTCTTGAACTCCGCATGTTTCAAAAATGATTCAACTGTTTGTTGAATAAATGGATCAGACTCAATCTTCTCTCTGACTTCATCAGTATCAATCACACCAGAAAATGGTTCAATTTCTTTTTTTGCTTCAGTGGTAGCAGTTTCACTGATGTTGTTATTCAACTCTTGCACATTCTCATTATTTTCTGCCATACTCATACACTGAGCAAGAACACAATGTCCTTTCTCAATAATGAAATTACGAGTATATCAGAAAATTTGAGACAAAAATGCAAATGATTTTTTTTCCATTCTTTTGATTCATATATACATAATTATGCTAATTAATGTTCTTTATGATTTTAATATTCATAAATATATTAATTAAAGTTAAGAAATCTTGAAAGATTTATTTTGATTTCATAACATAAATATATAGTTTGTGATTTAATATTATATAAAACTTTACTATATAAGTAAATGCGAATCCTATGGTGGCATCTTAGAAAGAAATATTTTCTCATTGAATGCAATTTTCTTTAACCACGAAAAAAAATTGTATTAAATAAAATAATTTTAATTAGTATACTTTTTCATGATTTGAACATTTAAATTAATGACATGTATAATATATTTTTATTAATTTTTTATATGATTTAAATTTCACAAAATCTTGTTTGATTTGAATTCACATGTGCATCATTAATTCATCAATATTTTGTCTTACAAATTAGGTAGATGTTATATGGCTTTATGTAATTTGCATTCATATAAAAATATCATTAATTATCATTTTCATGAAACAAAAAAGTATATCTGGTAAATTCAACTTTAAATACTTATGCATATATATTTTTTCCATTTTTATCATTCTTTTAAAATAAATAAATAAATAAATTAGTTGTTAACTTCTTATATTTATCCTTTATCATTTAGTTTTAATGAAAAATAAATGCCAAATCACTTATCGTTTGATCCTTTCTAAAGTAAAGCTTTTTTTTGTAATTATATTTTATTTTTTGACACTTTTTGTTTAAATTATTTTTAAAAAAATCTCACTTTTAATTATCGAATAACGAAATATTTGAAGGAGAATATTTACATAAGAAAATATCAGAAATTTTATTTTATTATTAAAACCGTGATCAATAATATTTGTTAAAGAAATCTAATATCCCAATTTATCTTAAAAAAGAAGAAGTATTAAGTCAAGAATGATTCTTGGTCTTTAGTCCTAGACTCCTCGAGAAAACAACATCCTGAATGCTATCCACATCTGTTTGATGCAAAATTTTGTATCTGTTCAATTAATATCTTGAAACAAAAGAGAACATTCCACTTACTTTTATTAGTGTTTGTTTTTTTGTCATTATGTGGTGTCATTTCCTCATCTCATCTTCTGATAAAGAATGATCACTCCAACACAGCATTGCGATCTTTTATTTATATGAAGATCTCATCACCTCTTATTTATTCATCCTTGGATAAACATTAACCTTTTAAAAGCTTGGATTCGACCACTCTAAATGCAGAAGAAAAATACATGAACACTTCAAACGATATCCATAGTGACAGTGTAAGGATTTGGTTTTTGTAATGATATGCAACCATCTTTCATGTTATATATTGTCCAAAGAAGAGAGAGAGTGAGTAAAGTAGCTAGTGATTGGATTCTGGGGCCATAGATATCTGCATGATGATTGAATCAATGAATACTGCAGAGTCGTAGGTGCAAAAGCAATGTTGATGCAAAAGTAAGCAGGAAGTGATAAGCATGTGCCTCTGTGGCTTTATTCTTTCTCTGCACTCTTTTTTGGTGGCAGACATAGCTACAGAAAATCAAGAGGTACATAAGTTTTTGGTATACTGTATAGAATCTATACCAACCTTCCCAATTGATGCTTGGATTCCCTGAAAGTGGCAAGAAAGTTATAAAGATGAGAGGGAGGATAAGGTGTGTCTGAATGAGGAATCCTCCATGGCATTTTAAGGAAGAATTTCCCATGATCTTGCTTTGCCATGCTGACTTTTATTTCTGAACTCTGAAATGCTAGCAAATAGGAGCACTTTTATTCTTTTTTGCTTCCTTTTTCGGCTTTTTTGTTGGTTGAGAATATCAGTGTCAATGTTTACCCTGGTCTTAGAAAATGACATGCACACTTCAACAATTCATCAAAAAGCTTGCAAATTGATGTACGCTGAACCATCCCTTTGATCCCCAAATGCACTAATATTACCCGTCATAGTTTAATTACCCTTTTTAATCTCTAACCGCTAATATTTTTTTAATTTATGTCTTAATCAAATTATTGGGTATATAAAAGATGAACCTAGGATTAACTTGTTTTCAATCACTTAATTAGAGGAAGATCAATGAACCTGGGCACCGTCTTCATGTGATGCCATGTTACCATTAACATAACATTAATTAAACCTTTGGGGCACTTTTTGGGATTATATATTAATGATTCGTATGTTAAATTACAATTATGCCCCCTCTTTTAATGTCCCTTGGTGTGTCGTGGTCACACGTACTCTGCATTTTTTGGTAAGCCCTGTTCCAACAAATACTCCACCTTTTTCTCTTCTTATGTCTAACTTTCCTCTTAAAATGTAATTATTTAACATTAATTAAAAAAATTATTTGTTTACTTTTTATTAAACAATACACTTAATTAATCCTGCAATAAAAAATATATATATTTTTAAAAATGATAAAATATCATTCCATTTATAGAATCATCAAACCACAGTTACGATCAACCTTTAAAACTATTCTGATAAATAATAGTCATTTGAATCCTTAAAATGATAATGATAAAATTAATGTCATCTTTCTCAACATTTTCAAAAGTAGAAACAATTCTTTTATAATTTTAAAAATTAGGTTATGAATGATCTACAATGTTAGAGAGCCAACAAGACATGGCAGAAAAAACAAACAGAAGGTGAGGGCATTATGGTAATTCCCGTTCATCCCGTCTAATAATAACCTTGGAGCTGTTGGCAATAGCAGCACAGCACTAACTGCTATCTATCTTGAGCTTTACTCAAGATAACAACATCAACATCAACTGTAATGCAACATTAAGTCATTGATAAAGCCCTTGTCTTTGTTTCTTCTTCTTCATCCTCCAACCCCCAACACTCACACCACCCTCTTTTTCTTCCTAAGGTAAAGTGTTTGTCTCGCTTTCTTTGGGATCAGCATTTTCAGTGGTATGTTGGAGCCAAGATTCAGTGGTGTCCTTTTCCTGTGGCTTCTGTGTGGAAATTTGGTTCCAATGGTGGAATCAGCCATAGGGTTTAACTGGGGCACCATTTCTTCCCACAGGCTGAAGCCAACCACTGTGGTTGATCTGCTGAGGGAAAACAAGATCTCGAAAGTGAAGCTCTTTGAGGCAGACTCTGATGTGCTGAGGGCTCTGATGGGGAGTGGCATTCAGGTGATGGTGGGGATCCCCAATGAGATGCTTCCCCTGTTGAGTTCTTCCCCTGCTGCTGCTGATTTGTGGGTTAGACAGAATGTTTCTGCTTATGTGGGTAGAGGGGGTGCTGATATCAGGTTCCTATCTAATCTTTTTCCTGTTTCAAAATCTCAACCTTTTGTTTGTTAGTTATCTTGAGAATGTCTAAGATTTACTCAATTGGTGATTGTTTAAAAGGGAATAACCCAATATTTTATTTTGATAAACAAATGCTAATAAGGAATGTTTTCTATAGACTATAATATTTTGCAAAGAGATAGTGGCTGTATCAGGTATCAAGTCCATACTTTATAATATATGGTCACCATTGAATTTTTCTAGTTAGTCTTATTCAAACAAGAATTAATTAGAATATGTTGATAGTGTATGCAACGTTTATAGTGTTGTCAATATTATTGATTTTTGTAATAATTTTATTAAAAGTGATATCTAAGATGATTTTCAATCATTATATGAAAATTAAACTCTTGTGCAAAGAAAAATGTTTTTTTGCCATTGAGGGTGACAAAAAAACGACATTGGAGGAAGTCCTCAGGAGAGATGTTATGCTAAATAATATTTTTGAACATTTGGTTTTTAATTGTGTTGAATAAATTTGTGTAATTCAAATGGGATAAAACTTTGTTGTTGTTATTGAGGGTTGGAATGTATGGGGTGGAAGGAAGATAAGATAAAGAAAAAAAGTAGAAAGAGAAAGTAACAAATGTGATAAGTGATATGATAGAAAAGGAAGAGAGGCCGAAAGAAAATGGGGAGAGGGAGAAAAGGGATATGAAAGCAAAACTGAGTGTATGTTTATTATTACTACTCTTATGTCCATAGATTTCTATTAGTTTTTCAACATCTGTACCTTGTATTACAGGTATGTTGCTGTTGGAAACGAGCCTTTCCTTTCAAGCTATAATGGTCAATATCAGAACTTAGTGATGCCCGCAATACTCAATATACAACAGTCTTTAGGCAAAGCAAATCTTGCTGGTTATGTAAAACTAGTTGTCCCTTGCAATGCAGATGCCTATCAGTCCTCAGCACTTCCTTCCCAAGGGGCATTCCGGCCTGAACTGACCCAAATTATGACTCAACTGGTTCAGTTCCTCAACTCAAATGGTTCCCCATTTGTCGTTAATATATACCCCTTTCTTAGCCTTTATGACAATGGAGATTTCCCACAAGAGTATGCATTTTTCGAGGGAACTACTCATGCTGTCCAAGATGGTTCCAATGTTTACACTAATGCATTTGATGGAAACTATGACACTTTAGTTGCAGCCCTCATTAAACTTGGATATGGTCAAATGCCTATAGTTATTGGAGAAATCGGTTGGCCCTCTGATGGAGCCATTGGTGCAAATACCACTGCTGCAAAGGTTTTCAATCAGGGCCTTATCAATCACATTGCAAGTAATAAAGGGACCCCCTTGAGGCCAAATTCTCCACCTATGGATGTTTATCTTTTCAGTCTGTTTGATGAAGGAGCTAAGAGCACACTTCCTGGAAACTTTGAAAGACACTGGGGGATATTCTCTTTTGATGGGCAGGCAAAGTATCCGCTAAACCTTTTACTTGGAAACAAGGAATTGAAAAATGCAAGGAATGTTGAGTATCTTCCATCTAGATGGTGTGTGGCAAACCCCTCCAGTGATTTGACAAATGTAGTAAACCATATGAGACTAGCCTGTAGCGTTGCAGACTGCACTACCCTTAACTATGGCGGTTCATGTAATGAAATTGGTGAGAAGGGTAATGTATCATATGCTTTTAACAGTTACTATCAGCTACAAATGCAGGACTCTCGTAGCTGCGATTTTGATGGACTTGGTATGGTTACTTTCCTAGATCCTTCAATTGGTGATTGTCGTTTTCTTGTAGCAGTTACAGATAAAGGCTCAGATTCATCTACGTCTGAAACAGCGTATCAGTGTTGGATTCTGTTGTCAGTTCTGATTTTACATGGGATTTTTTTGCTTCCAATGTGACTTAGGTTTCATTAGTGGGTTTTTCATGGTCCCCTCTTCTGAGACTGTTAGAACTAGAATAGCTGATATACTATTTAACTAAGAAATATTCAAAAGATTCATGGTTTGTAGCCCAACATATGATTAAGTCATTGTATCATATCAGAGACGGTATAAACAGTGTCACTGTGTATTGAATGTTACACATATTTATTTTATATTTGTTCTGGTGATTCCTATTCAATTAATTGAGTGTATCATAGTATAATTTTTTAACTCACCTCTGCTGAAAGGGAGGAGGATGGATTACAGTTTGCATTTCTGGCAGAAGCACTGAATTCATCTAATGTCCATCTTCCATTAAATTGACTAGGGATTGTTAAACTTTTACCTTTTCCCTTTACATACTTTCTAACTTTGGAATCATATCCATCATTTTGTTTCAGTTTTAAGGTAGTATTGAGTCAATAACTTCCATGAAATCATTCTAAAATGCATAGGAAGGGACCGTAGGACCAGTAGTGTCCTCTCAAAATTCCTTGGATGGATGATGGAGTGATCTACAAATGATTTTTTAATTGAAATTTACCGGGGGTAGTCATATAGAAAGAGAAATTTTGATTACATAAACTAACAAACCATTAACACTTAGATTTCACGCAGGGTGTACATATTTCAATTTATGCATTCCTGGATAATTATTTTTAGCATTACATTATGTATTCATCAGGGTGGTAAAGAGAAACATATATAGGACTCTTAGAACTTAGAGGAGCTTTGCTTCAACCTTGTGATGCTTAAGTTTAAGAGCAACATCCATCTCCACAACATACTTGCCCACATTTGATGATTGGCTTCCATATGAACCAGCAGCACCTACAACCTTCACAGAAAAGTGTCGTAGCAGTTACTTTTAGTTTAGTTGAATTTTAGGTGGTATTATACGAAATTGGTAATAAGAAAAGAGTGCTAAAGCACAAGTTCTTATCGACTTCACCTTGAGGATAATAAACCATATGCTTAGAAGTTGGGGGATGACCCTTTGTGTTGTCTACATTGGCAGAAACGACTGTGAATGCTACCAGTAAGAGCCATGAAACAGCAATGATCAAAGCTGTTCTTCTCACCATCTTTTATTTACCTTGCCTATATATTCCATTCTCTTTGCAAACCTATTTATAGTAAGTTCACTTTGGACAGTACTACGAGCAAAACGCGGTGGATTCTACAACTTGTCTCTTGATATTTACCTAGTGATGCATATCTCTAACTTGAATGTGGGCACTATTTGTCTGTTTGCACACACTAGTCCTCATCTTTTATGCACGCCAAGGTTGACTATCACCGTATTTGATACAACCTGTGTGCTCCAAAACCTTCACTGCTGATTCAAACTTTGTATTTGCATGGCTCATTCAGTGTATAGACATAGCTAATATAATCTGCACCTTTCATTGTCTCGAGTAGTAGACTTTGGTCTAATCAATTCCATTGCCCTCTTATTTTCTCATGTCAAAGTAGAAAATTTGGCAACCATTTCACGGAAGTAAAGAAATAAATGAGGCTCAAACAAGATTACTTTCAGCCAAGAAGACTTTTAGTCTATGCAAAGAAAAAAAATTCAAAATTATATGATGAAATTGTACATGTGCGAGTGTATATTTTGGCAACTAAGTTGATAAACATAAGGTGGAATTTAAGAATTTATTTTTTGGCTTCCGCTGGATATTTTGAAATAGCCCGCATTAGAGTGAATTTGAAATGAAAAATAACAGACTATTCAGCATCCATATTTACAGAAAGTTGCAAATCCATGATTGGCATCATGTTTCTTGTGTGGGTAAATGAAATGAGTACATTTGAATTCTCTTTCAGCTATTACTAGTTTTAGATGTTTGGAGCTTGAACTTGCAAATATTAGCTTTATTTAATATATAAATTTATTAGTAATAATTAATATTAATGTATATCTTTTTGAAATTTCAATTTAAATATAATAGACATTTAAAAAAAAAAACTTCATATGTATTGTGAATGTTAGCACCTTATAAATTTGTATTTTATTTTAAATTTTAACATCATAAAATTATAATAATATGCAACTTTTAACGTTATTTTCATATTTTTAATTATTCAAAATGAATTTATTAATACTAGTTTGAGCTCAATTAAACCATGAAATCTTAAATCAATATCTTAATTGATTTCATGATTGGTTCAATTTTTAAAATGCCGAATCCATGATAATGAGAAGACCTATTATACCAAATAAATAATTTAAATTTTAAAAAGAGAAAAAAACTACTTTCTGAATGAGCCATCGTTACCCGTTTTCCATTAATTAATATGTTCAACTTCAGAACAAAATGTCAATGTGAATCTATTTGAAAAAACCTTTTCCATAAACATTTCATAAACAAAAATTAACTTCTACTTGAATTGAAAACTAAATTTTGAAAAAAAAAAAAAAAAAACTATTACAAAAGTTCATATATAAACTAACTATCCTTCTTAGTGTCTATATTCCATAATCATGAAAAATTCTTTATCAATCTATATAGCCTCTTTCCGTAACCAAGTTATCCTGAGACCATAACCATGTACGAGATCCATCCACCATCCATGGTCTTGTGCATGCAAAATTGATCTAATTGTCATCTACAATTCTACATTTGACCTCTGTACAGCCAAGTAGGAAATATGACTAGAAACTGAAAACCAATAGAACACATGGATTCATTGAAGTTTTACACAAGTGCAAAGTTTGAAAACTGTTCCACGTGCTACATATTTCCTACACGCCAAACCTGCCGTCCCAAAACATGAAAATACCTATTAGAAGTATACCTGACAGAAAGAGAGGAATTCCATTAACACATAAAATGAGAATACTCACCCATGACCTCCTTCATTATGAGGCTCTACATTGACTGTCTAAGCTTGGCAAGCTCACTCAATGAATCTTTAAGCATTTTTCTGTCAACGTTTATCTTACCCTGAAATACATACATACCATGAGAAGCATTTCCATTCACACCTAGGTGACATAATTTCCACATAAGAAGTACTCTGTTGAAACCTCAATTGGTTGAAATTTCACAAAAAATAATGTATTACTAGCAACTCTCGCTTGGTCACCAATGTAGCTTTGGATTAGTAGTCGTCAGTAAATGATTTTAAAAGGAACACAAATGCTCATACCTTCAATGATGGGAGAAGAGCAAAAACTTCATCAGTAGTTTCTGGGCACACATTACCAATCATACATATCTGCAGTAGGTAATGATGTCAAGAAAGCAACATAACACATAAGAACAAAAGAAATTGTAATAAGATGCTCCATATCATACCTCATTGTCATTGAGACCAAAATTTGCAAGAGGTCTGATATTTGAGTCAAGTGTGATACAAAGTATAACAGTAATTTCATATATCCATGCGAATAAAGTAAAAAAAAAAAAAAGACAGCAGTCATATAACAATAGATGTATGTGGACAAACACCAGACTGAAAAATTAAGGATACTCAAGAATGTGTCTAACAGACTGCACATTTGTATACTTGCTATTGCTTTTGGCATACTGCAGTCCCTTGTCAAATGATCTGAAACAGGGCCAAAAAGGGGTTCTGGTCACTCAGATAGATTTTCTATTCTAATAATAATAGCTTAAATAACCCATGATCATTTTCAATAAAAAGCGAAGGTTGTATCTCCCTCACATAGGCATTTTGATGGTTGAATCCTTAGATAACATGACCATATGGTCTTGAATTCCCTGTAAAACATCCGCAGCCTCACAGTCCATCAGGCACTTGATATTTTCTGGAAGTTCTGCACAACAAAGAAGTAATACGCTTGAAATTAAAAGGGGAAAATTATGACGTCATGCAATGCAGATTAAGTTCGTATAGTGGCTTAACCTAAATGGTTAAATTACAAAGTGAGTGTTAAAAAATTAACAGAAAAAACATGTAAGAGATAATGAAGAGAAGACAAGCACCAACTTTGATCCACTCTGTGTTCTGATGATAGTGAGTCTTTTGACTGAGAACTCTTTCCGCCATTTACAACCTTATCTCCCTTTTCTCCTTTAATAATATCACCATGAAAATAATAAAAAGCAGCAGTCCAGTAAAAAAGAACATGATTAAGAAAGCAAAAGAATAACCAGCAATAAATTTAAAGATTATAATGAGATGTGATCAAATGCAATGTTACCAAACTGATGAATACAATAAGAACTTCAGGAATTACACTCTCACCTTTTCCACCAGATTTTAGTGAACTGAATGAACTACTACTTATTCCAGATTCATATGGACCTAAAAATAGAAAGTCAAGCAATAATTTCAGTAAGGCGATTGCAAAATTAATTCTAGACATAATCAGTAGTTTAGGTGGCACTGCATCACAAAGAAGCTTTAGTATTTCCATACTCCAGAAGCAGTGCAAAGATGTAGAATAATGAAGCTAACCATCTTTAGAAAACTGAACCCTCCTTCCCTTGGCTGATTTTGTTGCACTGTCATCTTTCCCTTTCAGGGATCCTAGCCCTAGCAGGAAAAAAAACAAAAAAAAAAATTGAGCAGTTAAGTGCTTAAATCACATACTGGTTTAAAACATTACCACCCATCAAGTGCTGCTGATTAATGAAGGCAAGATGAACACACTTTATACAAAAGAGAATCCCATATCAATAATCAAAACAACCAAACAAAAATTTAAGGTCATTTGGTTTAAAACACGTTTTCTGTTTTAATCTTATCTTACTTTCTTTTAATTTATAAAATAGCACCTGTTTTCATTATGTCCACTATTTTCAAAAAAATTGTATATGAAATAATGAAATCGACATATTATTTTCGTTTTGTCTGCTTTATACAAAATTTTTAATGCAAAACCAAAATGGAAACAGCATAGCATTTCTGTAATTAAACAGAAAATGAAGACAACCTTTTTTCCAAACCAAACGAACCTAAGATATAAGGGCACAAAACAAACATATGCAAAATCAAAGGATAACATATCGAAGACATCAACAAAAGGCGTGGGAGCAAACCCAAATTTTGCATCCAACAAGTCAGATATTCGAACACCACTCATCTCTTTGAACCTCACTTCTCCGTCTAAATTTTATTAATAAAAAAAGAAGTGTAGGCACAAATACATTTCAATAAAGAAAAATAAAATAAAATCAGTTCCATCAAATGATATCTGACAATCGAGAAAACACCATAATTTCCCAAGAGACTACGAGCATCAACATCAGTCAAATGGGTCAAAAGACTCAAAACCCAACCTGTATATGTGCATGTTGACCCAATACACACCAGTCCGAAAATTCGAAACCCAGGGAGAAAACTAAATACCCAACAGTAAAAAAGAGAAAAAAATTGAAACTTTAAAGCAAAACAGAAAACAAGGGAACGTACAATCTAACACATACCCCCTTTGCTTAATAGCGAACCGCCCTTTCCTCCTTTCTCCGACATCGCGAAAACTCGCTTCACCCTACAAAATTTCAAGCAGAGAACAATGCAGGTAAAAAAAAAACAATGATCGCAAAAGCAAATGTTGTTGGAGGGTTCAGAGTGTAAGTGAGAACGTTATTGTTCAGGTTTTGAAAAAGAAGGGCTTTTGTAGCATGTAAGACAGTTTTATACAGAACTTAAACATGGGTCGGTCACGAAAGGTATGCTAAGCTTCTTTCTTACCAGAGAGAAACGGGCAAAGATGCTGGAGAGGAGAAATGCCAACAGAGGAGGAAGAAGAATAAGAAAATGAGAATTTGAGTTGAAAAGACCTGCGTACCCCAAACATCACACTATATTATAAAAGGGTATGTAGGTCTTTTCAGACTTGCTTCTTCAACTCAATGTAGCTATAAGGATTAGCACCGATTCATAATATTTGTATTTATTTGTTGCTATTTATTTTATTTTGATTTTTATATTATATGAAAATTTCATGATTTTGATATTTAACCTTAAGTGATAAGTGATGTGAAATACCTATTATTAGGATATGTTATTCCACATATTAAATGACATGTTTGAAAGATGATTAAAACAGTAAGTTTTATATTATAAAATCAAATCAGAAATGATATTTTCACAATTCCAAAAACAAATATATCTCATAAGAAGTAATATTTTTATATTTAATGCTTTATTTTACAACCATCAAATAATAATAAAATAATAAATAATAATATTATAATAAGATATGGAAGGCGAATGAGAGTTTATCAAAATAAAATTTCTAGATAATTTCAAAAATAAACCATCCTTAACACAATCCTATTTTATTAATATAATAATTATAAAATGATTTAATAAAAATAAAAATAAGTTAAAATTTAATATCATGATTCAGGTTAGTTTAGAATTTATAATATTTTATTTCATGAAATGAAGAACATTAAATTTAACAACCATCAACATTTTAATTCTAAATTAAAAAATATATTTTTTACCTAAATGACGTTATATTTAAAACTACATATTTTTGTTTATCATCTTAATCTTTAAAAAAATTGAATCATTTTAATAATAAAAATTACTAATATAACTAAATTTATATTATTTTATTTCTTTTTTTTTAGACTATGTTTGTCCTATCACAGCATGCAATCCACCATGCATCCTAAATTTTTGGGATTAAATTTGGTAAAATAGTTATTGTAGACCCGCATGCATTAGATCTGATATATCGTGCTCTTAAAACGTTATACAAATCTGCGAAAATTTGAAACTCCGAACTAAGAGTAAGGGCTTCTTTAGCCATAACATAACATCCCAAACATTATTAGCTTATATGAATACATGCTTTCAAGAAAATATTACTATTCTATCTCTAAATACACACTTTCAACGAAAAATTACTATTCTTTCTAGGAACCAACATATTATAACATCGTGTCCATTAGGATAACATTAAAAGAAAAATGTGTACATAAATTATTTTTTGTCTCGACTCTTAAGTGATATAAGACTCATTCTTATATAGAATATTGTAGTTCAACATGGGATCAAGAGTAAAGTCTCGTTCTACTCATACCCCTTAATCTTTGATTGGGGGTTATATTCTAGTATGTTCATGAGTCTCACATCACTTAAGAGTTGAAAACAAAGATAGTTTATATATACCCTCCTCTTTTAATCCATAAAGACGTTTTTTAAAGACAAAATTGAGACAGACGAAAGCTCTAAAGTGAACAAATACCTCGAACATAAGAATTGACACTAACAATGTTATCATAGTGGACATTAAATCATTACATTCAATAGAATTACATTCCAGTCATACCTTTTGGTCCGCGACTTTCCTCGTACTTTTTAGTCTCACATCACTTAGAAATCAATAACAAAAATAATTTATATATACCCTCCTCTCTTAACCCACCAAGACGTCTTTTAAAGACAAAATTATAACTGACTAAAACTCTAAAACGATCAAAATCTTAAATATGAAAATTAACTAAAAAATAATATTAACATAACGAACGAGAATTTAACATTCTCATTTCCAAACATAACAATTACCAAAATTTCTCATGCATAACATCAATATCTTCTACAAGTTTGAAGCAAGGTTTAGACCTGCTTCAACTTCCTTCCATGAACTTAACATCAATTATATCATAATCATCTCCAATAATATGTAGATTTTGCCAAAATTATAATTACATGAAAACATGCAGTCACTAAGTACTAACTCTGATTTTTATAACTGCACACTATCAAACTCCTTCCAACACATTATTCTAAATTTCTACTATTAATTAAAATTTATTGAAAACTATAAAATTATAAATATGCATTAAATAGATAATAAAAACTCAGCAGTTTTATAATTCCCCACAAATTTCAGTTCCGAACTCAAATATATGAAAAAAAGTCTCAAATAAATGAGCAAAATACCAACAAATCTAATTTCATCCCAAGTGATACTTTTCCAAAATACCCTTCAATCAATTGAAATTCAATCTTCAATACTCTTGTTCTTGAGATCAAATTCTAATCAAAGGCAGTATAGAGAAGAAAAAACACAACCTTTTAAAGATATTAACATAATTAAATAGCATGCTGCCAAAAAAATAGAATTCAATAGCATTAACTAACTTTTCAATTAACGAAAAAAGGGTTATTTTTACTTGTAATTGAGTAAAATATATTACTCACATTTTTCTTTTTTACCTATGTAAAAGCCAAGCCAAAGAGAGAGATAATAGAATGCGCAATGTTGGTTTTAGCTATTTAAGGCACAAGAGCTGACACCTACAAATTTTTGAAGCAGAAATTCTTAACCCTACCTAAGCTCGGTGATGTCTTTTCTGCTCACCATAGCCATCTACAAGCCATAATGGCAAACATATTTCTATCCAGAAGTTCCTGGTGCTATCTCTAAAAATCTGTATACTCTATATTCTGTTCTGCTTTCCTTCCTAATGAAGCAAATCAATTCCATTTATTCAATATACAAACCTTATCTACCCAAAAAGGGAAGGCAAAGTTCTATTCAATGAAAACAAAAAACAACCCATTTCCATTTTAACCATATCTTTCTCACAGAATTCCACCACTCTCAAGGGAGAAGCAAGAACATTCTCAGCAAGACCAAAGAAACTGACAGAGATAATGTGGCTGCTTCATACATCGTCAACTTGTGAGTGAAATATAAAACTGGGAAATGTAGTTGTAATATCTCTGCCAAGAAACAATTTGAGAGATGTTAGATGCATAAGCTTGATAACAAAATGTTGGTCAATGTCTAACCAAACACTATACATAATATAGATATACTAGAGATGCCAATCAAGACAAAACCAATGCTCAGTCAAGCTTGTTTACATGTTATACAAGTTTTCATTTCTAGATTATTTTTCTAGTTATATGATACATAACCAGTGACAATTTTCATTTTTCTTTTACCCTTATTATTCATTTTATTTCAAAACAAATAGATTGAGTTTCTACATCTTAATAAATAGAAAGAGGCAGGTATATACGTGCAAACAATTAATAGAACAAGTGTCAAGAGTGAAGGCACAAATAAAGAAGACGCATTAGTTGGGACACAAATCTTTTATAAACCTACGAATTTATTTAACAAATTTTGGATTGTTTAAGAATTCAAATTTTTTACTATAAAAGGTGTACCTTTTGTCCTATCCGCATCATTAAGCAATAATTGTTATTATGATATCATGGCTTATTTTAACAAATTAACATGCAAACGTCCAAATATAAGAAACAAGAAGAAACTCACTTAAGATACTGAAGAGTCATATTTTTAAGAAGGGAAGGATGCTGCAAGACAAGGTTCCTCCATTCTTCCTTGTCAATCTTCCCATCATGTTTTGTATCAGCTTCCTCAAATGTCTGAATAGTTTTAGTAATGTTAGTGACAGCTGAATGGAGAAGTTAGCAAAAGAATGACTTGGTATGCCATAATCATCTAGTCAACAATAACATATATAATGTGCTTTATTTAGCCGAGAAATTCAGTACGAACTTGAAACTTTTGTGCATGTATGAGGGAAAATCACACAGAGAACACTTAATAATCACACTGATCAATAACTAGTACGTGATACAATGAAGTGAAGACATCTTCCACAAAAATAACACACTTATACAGTTAAACTTGGGAAGTGACAACTAATAGACATTCCTAAAACCTGTACTGCTTATTTACAAATATAACTGGCATGTTTGATAAGATTGCTTTTACTTCTTTAGACTATTAACACGAGTCAAAAAGACAATAGATTTTATACAACACTAACAAAGGGGCATAAAGTGAAAAAGAAATAACAAAAAAGAACTTATTACTGCTTCAATATACCTAGACTTGTGAACACAAGATTAGAAATATACATTGAACTTATCAGATAAAGAATTACCCTGTCAATGATGCTTTCAATCACGTCATCTGCAAGATTCATGCCAGCTTCAGCTAGAGTGGCCACTACCATTTGTTTTAACTATACATAAAAAAAAAATGAATGTCAGCACATATCTAATACACCCACACCTTTCAGCTTGAGCTTACGCAAAAAAAAAAAAAAAAAAAAAAAAAACAAAAAGGAAAAGGAAATTCTAAAAGTATAGAAAAAAAAGCAGTATGTAGATCCTGACAAAATTGGTTATTTTGTTAGAGGGTAAACCATTCAATTATGAACATACACTACCGACTTCATCTAGATAATTCTTAACTCAAGTTTCACATCAGAAACCTTTAAGAAGTTCTGAAATTCTCAAAAATAGATACGCATATATCCATTCTACAATCCAGGATGCATCAATGTACCCAAAAAGACTGATAAAATCGTTTAATATCAGCTCGGGTCATCGCATATAATTCAACTATTTCTTTCTGCAAATGAAAAGGCTAGGACTTCAGACAAATATGTTCCAATCTTCCTAATAAAACACTAACAGACCAGAGTGGCTTCAAATTCAGGTCATTGGGCCATAAAAGAATTGAAAATAAATAAGCTTTGGGCTTCAGAAAAATTTGTAAAAGTTACAGATGACTCAAGCTATCAGCAACTAATTCTGTAACGCATTGACGGTTAGGTGACAATTAACACAATACTACGATTACAGAATAATAATCCTACATGGTGAGAGACGAAAACTCCATTTATTCAACATCATAAAAGAATAAATTAAATTACCTCCTGTCTTTGAATAAATCCTTGCTGTTTGAGATCATACAATTGGAAAGAAACTGCAAAAAGGGAAAGTTAGGAATCCCCCAACAAGCATATAAATTCCTACCAATAGCAGATAATTATAATTCTACAAATACTCTTTCCTTTCTAATCTTTAATAATGTTTGTTGGCTAGAAGATATCTAAAATCTTTACATAAATTAGTTGCTCTTACACTCAATCTTATCATCAATTGATGCATTGGGATGAAAGACGGAGAGAGCAAGTGCAAACTCTTTGAAATCAAGTATCCCATGATGCTTTGCATCAAACAAGTCAAACACCTGCAAAATTTAAACAATAAAAAATCATAAATGGGGCAAATACATTTCCAAAAAGGGGTCATGTCAAATGTATATGGCATGTAACTAATTTCAAAGTAATTAGGTCATTGGATCACCCATTAATCAACCATAGGTCAACTAGGGCACAAGGTAAATGAAGGTAGTTATTAAAAATCAATTTTACTCATGCTGTTGAAATTTTTTACCAGAAACATATTGAAACAGTTTTCCTAAAAATTCATCAACCTACTATATTAGTTTTGTATGATTTTTATCTTTTTCTTGAATTGGAAAGGTTAAAAGAATTTATAGACAAAAACACAAGAAATTAAAGCTTTTACATACCCTATCCGCAAATAAGCTCTCTTTCTTGGTTGTCTTGAATAAGGCCAACTGAAATTCATCCTGCCATGTAAATCAAAGCAATTGTAATTTCTGGGATATGATAGAAATAGTGTCATTGTTACCACAGATTGAAAAGATGAAGATCATTACAAAAACATTATAGAAGCACTGAGCATCACACGAGATTACTGACCTTGGTAATTAGTCCATCATCAATTACTGTACTGCTGATCTTCTTGAATAGTTCATACAGTGCTTCAATCTCACTTACACTAACTGCATTGAAAATAAAACAAGTTATGTTCTAAGTCTTAATAAAAGCATTTGTAGAATGCTGAAGGTTATACAGACCCATTTCTACGTAACACCAGAGTCTTCAAAGGCCTCTGTTTTTATTACCACTTTTAGTAGGTTTAAATTATATATCCTAAAATCTTACTGCATCCTAGAATCTTCTATGAACTGATTTGATCCTCAATGATGTAAGATCACTATTTAGTGTTAACGGCCAAAACTATACCACCAATCAAACTATATACCTCCAAGTTGAGGGTTATAATTATAGCTTAGGAATAGATTGGAGCAAATCCAATTATCCAATTTCTGCTAATTTGGAAATACTATATACAAAGTTGAAGCAAGAATGAATCACTTTTTTGTTTTGTTGTGAACTAAAGCTCCTAATATCATAAAATAGAAAGAAATAGGGCGATAATAACATACAAACTGTTTCTCTTGCAAGTGCTTCTGGGTTTTGTAAACCTCCAGGCTGCTGCTGGGACAAATCAGCATCACAAAAATTTATGACAGCAGTATACAACCGCTTCAATCCATCAAAGCACTGCACCATGATCTTTTCCAGATGTCAAAACACTCCATAGCTGGAATTCCCCACAAAAAAAATGATAATAATAGTAACATCAATAACATGTGCAAGTGTCAAGAAAGAAAAACTTCAACTACAGTACTTAATATAGAAAACAAGTCAAATTTCTTAAGTAAAATAACCAAGCACACAGAGAGATTATAGAAACGAAGGGAATAACTGTACAAAAAGTTATGGTGAATTTTTCACTTTATCACCAACATTTTCTCAATCCAGGTTGTCTTTTCTCTCCACATGCTCATGTACAAGGGTAAAAAGAAATACCGGAGATAGGGGAAAAGTGTGGGAGAGAACTCCAATTGATTAATTAAAACGAGAAGTTAAATTAAACAACGGACTACAAAGTTGAACATACATCTGGAAGTTGATGTAATATAACAGTCCTAAGAGATTTGTCAATAAACACAGAAAAATGAGGGCAAGCAAAGTAGACATATTTGAATGGCATGGAATTAAAAAGGTATGCGTCGTTAACACTTTTAATAATATTTACACAAATTCCAAATGTGTGATTACATTCACTACAAAAAAAACTTGAAATTCCCGTCCCAATATTTAATAATTTAGGTGAATGCTCACTATTAAATGAGAAAGGTGCAATGCAAAGTTTAGGTTGCATTTCATATTAGTCACATCATAAAAGAGGTTTTTATTTGTTGTATTTAATAATCTTATTCTAGATACGATTTTCAGGAATGAAAAGGATGGAATCCATCTACAATACTAGGTTACATAGAAATATTATTCCGAAAGGGAGAAGGGCATTAATATGGACACAATTAGTGAAAAACAAACATGGAATTCTCCTTGATGCAGGTGTGACAGAAACAGGAAGTGCTACAGTACTCCTGATCAAGGTTTTATAATTTCATCTTAAGCACTACCACATCGCCAATTCACTATGTTTAATAGTACACTACCAATAGGAATGCAGACCAAATGTCACAGCAAACAATTACCAATAGTATATTCAAACAACATCGCAGATAAGCCAAGCATAAACATGTCGTATGCAAAATTCAACATATCACTAACCATACACCACAAGCAACAGAAGAACTAAACGCTGTAATGAAATTGACAAAAACAAAGAAATATTTCAATCGAAGACTTAAAGTCCACATATATAGTTTCCAGTATCAGAACTCTATCGACCATTCCCTCATGTCCCCTTTTCACCATCACCACTTAGACACGGGCATGGAAAAAGAGAAGTTATATATGATAGACAACTAGTGTTTCCTTCCAGTCTCCGACGACAAAACATGTATATTGCAAGAAACAAATGCATCAATAATCGGTATAACTAAAAGCAAATGTTTGCTCAAATCCTGAAATACCAGCCAAAAACCAATAGAATCACCAATTATCATATTTACATTCCATTTCAGAAACCACTAAAGGAAGGCGTACCCTTCATCGTCACATGAATTATTGAATTTAAGATGCAATTACTCATACGGTCAATCGAAGCAACAAAAAAAATGCAAGACAATATATCGATAAATTGAAGCATGTGCACACCCAGGCATCATATTTTCGTGCAGCACATAGCTAGAATAAATTTCTGGTTTCACCAACCAGGAAGTTGTAACTCAACACACCTACTCATTGTCTTTCTTGATGATTCAAAAGTCAAGAAAACATCTACGTATCGGACCTACCATAGACACAGTAGATAGTACGGAAACAGTTCCACATCCACATTCTAACGAAAAATAGTTTAACAATACTTCTTTCATTACTTAAATCATTCCAGACCCGCCAAAACAGATTCAACCAATTCCCGTTTTAAAAAATGTTCTACAACCACAACCATGGAAAGCATAAACATGATCTTGAAGAAATACACACATGAACACATTCTCTCAGTAAACTAGGCCAAAAACTAAGTTACAGGTGAGCACAGTTATTGACCAAAAAATAAAAAATGAATCAGAAACCAGATAAATGGAAAATCACAGTTCCAACTACATAGCACATAATTCACATTTTTCCTTTACATGCATCAACAAATGCAAGAAAGACGAACACTACAGGAGGCCCTGAATTGAACCCCATTGAGATTTCAAAATGGCAATTTTGAAAAGCATTTAAAAAAAAAAAAGAGTGACACGAACAGTGTAAAATTAAGCAGATTCATCTTCTTTGATTACTGAATAAACAGCACACAAATTTAGGCTTTCAAAATCTGAAGATTAATCAAGCAACAAAATAAAAATAAAAATTGAAAAAGATGGAGACGAAGTACTGCAGAACTGAGTGAAAATGGAGTAGTGGGGTATACCTTTCAGAAAAACCAGAGAAAGGAGGAGTGGACATGTTTTTGTCTATTTGGTTTACTATGAGACTAAAAAGGAGTAACAATTTTTGTTTGTATTTATATTTATTTTTCAAAAAAAAGTTATTTATTAAATTTGAAAATGGGTAATATTAATAAATATCCTTGGTAAACAAGTGATTAGTTGAAATATTAAATGCCATGGAGCCACCAAAAATATTTTTGCAAAAAATATCTTGTGCTGATAAAAAAAAACATATTTTGTAAACTAATTTGCAAAATTGAAAGATAAAAATAAAATAGACGAAGTTGGAATACAAAAACTCATTAAAAAACTTCATAATGAATGATGACACGTGGCTCTTGACCGGTGGTTTCAGTTTTATTTTTACGGGTAGTTGAACCAAAAATTCATCTTTGGTAATACTAACGATCATATTCATTCTAAATATTAACTGTTTCTGGTAATAGTAATGATTTTCACTATTCTAGTATACAGTACATTACTAATTATTATGAGATGAATTTTACTTTCATAATTTCAGTAAAAACATTTATAAATCTATTTAAAGTTAAATAGTAATATTTTTATACACTATTAGTGTAAAAAATTTAATCATCAAAAATCATATAATTAGTATATTTTTTTATTGCAGAGAAACTTGATTATTTTCTAAAGTTTGAGATAAATTTTGTTTGGAGCAAATTTTACACTAAATTTCGAGTTTTTTATTACATACCACAACGTATATATCAAATTATTCAGAAAGAAACAGTATAAGTTTATTGAATAATAAAAAGGTACGATTTTTATCATTGTGAAAGTAAACAAGAATAGTGTATTTGATAATTTATAATTAAATAATAATAAAAACATTTATTTTTTTATTATCAGTGAACTATTTTCTAAAAAAATTAACTAATTAAAAATATGTTAGTTATTATTTTCAACTAGTTTATTTTATATTCAAACTCTATTTGTGAGTTAAACTGTAAATATTATTAAATGGGAATAAAAATACTTAATGTCTTAAAATATTATGTGCTTTTACATTTTATTAATTGTTTAAAGAGCAAACATTAAATCATACAACAAATAAAAAATAAATATATAAAAAAATGAAAAGTGTAAAAATATTTCATGCCCTGAAAATGGTTTTAAAGCATTTAATATGTCAAATTGAAATAATATTAATATAATATATTAAAATGTTTGAAATATTGATTTAATGTGATTATTAATTATATGTTGTAACAATTATACTGTATTCTATGACTATTTAATATAATAATAATTAAAGTAAAATTAATGTTTACTGAAAATATTTTTTTAATTATTTAAAAACTTATGATTAGTTAGTTAGAATTATAAACTGTTTTGTTGAGTTTTGATGTTTCTGACTGAATAAAAAAAACCTTCTTATATATTAATTCATGTAAGAAGTTTAAAATTCAGACCCATCGTTAAATTGGTAAGAAAATTAATATTTCATGAGTATAATCATTGTTAAATTAGGATTTAAACAGTATTAATAAGTATGATTTTAATAATATATAATATATTCAATGATATACTAACATACAAATATTATAAGTAAATTAATATATTTTTAATTAGCTAAAAAATTAAAATTATAAACAAATAAAAAATTAGATCATCATTAAATTGGTAAAAATACCCATTAATAATTCATTAACATAGCACTTGTTGAAACAAGATTTTAAAATAATAATTAAAATATATTTTTAATAATATATAATATATTAGTCAATTTTTTTATGAAGACTACAAATATTTTCTGTGAATAGGATAAGATAACGATACACAACAAAACTATATTGAATAATATTCTTGTAATTTTCTTTTTCAAAAAACAATTTGTTGAGATAAGTTCATATAATTATTCTATTAAATAATTGTAAATAAAAATAAGTTAATGCAAATTAATATCATTTTTTATGACGACACTCAATTTTCAAAGTTTTAATTATTTATAATAATTCAGTTTGACTTTTCTTTTTTCGCCTAACTCGTTTTATTTGTAAAAAAAAAAGTTAATATTGTGATTTTATTGGACATTTCTTAAGTAGAGTGGTGAAACAATAATTTAATTCAAATTTTGTTATAAAGTCTCAATTTATGTCATTAAAATAACAAACGAATTTCATTAAAAAATTTATTATTTTATATTTTTTTCTGATATATACACATATGTTTTATCATTGTATTTTTTTTTTTAATAATTTTGGTATTCTTTTTAGTCAATAACATTAACTAACTTAGTTTGACGTTGAAAGTAATAAAAAAAATATTAATTAAGTTTTTCAACATATGAAAATTTAAAATTAAGATCATTATATTATTTTTTAAGTGTCTAATTTAATTAAACAATATATTCATTATTTTACATAAATAATCATATATAAATTTTTAATAACTTATTTTTAATTTTTAATAAATTATTGAAATGGAGACCAAGGGCCTACTTGATTTCTCTCAAAAAAAAATTGTTTGAAAAGCTATTGACCCCTTCGCCTATTTTAATGTCTTAGTCGTCAAATTTTTCAAAACAATTGATATTTTAGATTTTAAAGTCTAATAAATGTTTTTTTTTTCTCATATTTAATATCCACGAAGGGGACATTAAGAATCAAAGTATTAAATAAGGATATTTTAGTCTAAATATAATAATTTTACTTCTATTGAATAATTTTATTTGTAATTGAAGATATACAGAGGTAGTTTTTCTAAAACCATTATAGTTTACTCAATTTATCATATAAAGTGTATCAAGCTTATAAAACTGTTTCTGAAACATTGGTTTTAAAGACCAAAATGGGGAGAGAAACAAACAAGGTGGCCATGTTAGAGACCAGAAGGTAAACAAACTTATCAGTAGAAAGGGGGGAAAATGATAAACTAAGCAAGACAACTGATTTTTTTTAGTTTTTTTTTTTTAGAAACTAAAAGCAGTTTTTGAAACTGGAAACCAAGAATACCCAATCTTCATTTTTTTGGTATAAGCATAACTATGGTCAATAATAACATCACTTTTAAAGGGCTAAACTCGTTTGTTTTCCTCTGCCACAAACACAATAAGTGGTTTTATTTCATTTTATATAAGGCAATTGAAATGTAATGAAAATAGTATCAATCTGAGAGAGGTCAACTGCATTTGTTGCGATGGCCTCTTAGACAAATACAACTCTTTAACAGTGACAGAAGTAGAAAGGACAACACCTTGCTTACATTTATGACACATGTAAAAAAGAAATGATAAGAATAGAGGCTACTAAGTTCATATAAAGGGATATGAGGATTGCTCTGAATGTTTCAATTTCAAAGATTATAATAACTACTATGTCTATCTTCTCTTTTCACGGCCATGTTCTGATTTTTTGCTTCTTGCCCTTTGTATGTTATTCTTAGTATCCAAGTCCAACTTGCTGGTTGACATTCTCTCCTCTTTGGATCCCCTTAACTTTTCTGACCCTATCTCTTCAGTGTCTCCTCTTATAACCATCTTTCTTTCCAAATCCAATGCTAGCTTAGTATCTGATTGTTTAGCTTTGTGTTGACCCTTTTCTCTGCCTTCAGCATGGGAGGTTCTTCTTGTGAGTTGTTCTCTGTTGAATTCTTCTTTGTTTATTAAAGACCGCTTGCCATGGCTCTCTCTAGTGGCTGGTCTTTTTTTTGCTCCTAGAAGTAGATCATGTGATTTTTGCAGCTTGGAACTAGTGGTATCCTTAGAATCTTTTTCTTGTTCAAAGTAGAGAAGCTGCACCACAGTTCTTAATGGCAGAAATTCATTTTTGACTGCATGCGCACGTACTTCTGGGGTCAGTCTTTGGCACTCCAAAATCCCACACAAACGCTTTTTGTCTGCTTTGCTCAGGTCAGGATGCACCTGTGTATACGTTGAACATAAGTCACATCATGCATGCACCATAATAAGAACCAAATTACCAAAATATAAAAGTTGGTTGTTGAATTAAAATTTATTTATATATGAGCTAAAATAAACTCTTGGAAAAATTAAATGAGATAGTCTCTATAAATTAGTTTCGGCATAAACTAATTTTACATAATGATATAAACTTAATTCATTTTACTATCTTATTTCCATTTCTGTAAGTGTTTATTGAGAAATTTGTTCAAAAATAACCTATATGTTCAATGCTAATTTTGTAATTTTAGTGTTTTGGTGTGAAAAGTGTGTCTAAGTGTATACAGTTGGCATCTCAAGGTCCTCCAAAGAGTGCTGAAATGTTGTACCCATTAGCATTAGTCTTGTATCTAATAAACAAAAGTTCAGACATTGTTATGTATGGCTGGGACAATTCACCTTCAGATAGATGTTGATAGCCTGGTAGAGATCATCATGCTCTAATCGCCCGATAGCTGGCACAGATTCAGCCAGAGAGACAAACTTTGACACTGGCATATTATCATCCTTTGCCACCACTTGAAGATAGGAATCAATGAGCTTACCAACTTTTCTAATTGATTTTAACAAGTGCCTGTTATCCACAGCACCTGGGTAGATTCTTTTCCAAAACTTCAAGAAACTTTCCAACACTTCTAGAACTAAATCAATGTCATAAAAATTTTGGTCCAAAGAGGATGTTGAAGGATAAAGCAAGTCACTCACTGTTGCCTCCTCAAACTGTATACTGGCTCTCTTCACCAGTTCTGTTTTTGTCACTGGGGAGACACCAAGAAGGCTTGAAATACTGAGAAGCCTTAACAAGAAGCCAGCTGAAACCGACCCTCTATCAGCAGGAATCATGCTCACAATTGTCTCCAGAATTTTTCGGTTACTCGCTTTGGATTCTTCTGTTATTGCTGCAGAACCGGATGAATTTTTAAGCTTTGTAATGCCAGGTAGCCACTTACAAGCATAGACGTGCAAAGCTTCACCAATAAGCTGTGGTGGGAGCACATACGTTGATCTAATAGCCATTATTATGCATCTGAAAAGATCTATGTTAAGATCAGACACATCCTCTGTCCACCAATCCTTTGGGACTGAATGATGGTGTTTTCTAGTATAACCAGGCCTAGTGTAGGTATAGGACCATTTGACCTGCACAGAATCATCCTTGTTAAGCAAAAAAATGTCTCAAGAATCAATCATGTGAAAATAATTTCGGTCTCAGTTCTTGACCTGTGGTGGGGGTGTAAGAATTTTCTCAATAATTGAATCAATGCATTTTCTTGTTATGCCAAGATTCTCAGACCACTCCGGTAACTTTTCAGTGGCCTGCAGTGCTGCAATGGAGTCCTTCCATCCTTCAAGAATGCATGAACTGAAGAAAGCCTCAAGTTTGCTTACAAAGTTTCCTTTCTCAACGGATTCATTCATTTGTAGGAGCTTAGCAGCACAGAGTGCAGGTACAAAGTTATGAGCACTGATGTTGATTGAAACTCCATAGCAGAACTTAGCACAGAGTTCAAAAGCATCTGCACCACCTGGCATATCATGAAGCTCTTGAGGAACATTCTCAGAATCACTAGAATCTGAGCAAAGTCTTTGTAGAAGGCCACATTTTGGCAGAAGCGAAGACTACATCCAACAAAAATAGAATTATAGATGAACCAATATTGAGTTACATCACATTCAATCTAATTCTTATTATACCTTGTGTAGCAGATAAGTAGTATCATTGATTTTTATCACAAGGTCAGCATGTACATCTGAAACCACACTCCTGCATTTATGATATGTTAATACCTGTTAGTTTGTGTAAACATAAATAGAGAGAGGGAAAATAGGTTGTATACCACTCTTGGCAATAGCTCGATAAAAATACCTGGTAGCTTGTTCAGTGTAGAAATTATCAGGCCTTGTTCCAAGTTTCATGAACTTCATATCTACTTATTGTGATCTATACCCAATAGTCAAGAAAAACCTCTACTTGAAAGCCTGAACAAACTCTGAAGACCACAACTTTAATGATACTACAGATCCTACAAAGTAAAGGTTATGATACTGTGCTTAATTAATTGAAGATAAAGAGTGAGAGAGAGACAACAGCATGTATTTTATAAGAAATCCCTTTATCATGCGTGAATCAAATAGGTCATGTAGTAGTTGCAACATGAAAGACATGGTGAACAAACATGCTTACACGAATTATATCATGGTTCTGGTTCATCATTATGCAACACCCAAACTAAGAGGTGGAGAAGATGAAGAAATCACTACAGATGAAGGTCTAAGACAAAGACATGAATTCACTTGATACCATGGCACCTCCATACTAATATGTGTGAGAAAAATCCAGAAAATAAATGACAAGAAGAGATATGCAAGAAATTCTTACCTCAACTTTCATAAGCAATGCCCTCACAACCTCATTTGGCATATAACTTTGCAAGAACTCCAATTTATAGATGTGGTGTCCTCATCTACAGATTAAAAGAAACAAGAAACAATCAATTCCAGTTTTTGCCTTCATGCACTGAGAGAGCATGCAGCATGCAGCACAGTAACTATATAGAGAAGTACTTATACTAGCTAGATGCGATGCATTGATGCAAGTATGTCTCTACTCTAGAGCCTTTTGGAAATTACTTCCAACTTAAAGCTAAATTAAGAAGGTGAAGCTAATAATTAAAATTAGGTGGGGGTGGATATTCTAATTGAGTTACGCCAGATTTCAGATCTTTACGCTCACTGTGCCAGGTCCAGACATGTAGCAACTAATAAGAAACTGAAGAACTTTAAAATTTCATTACCTTTTGCAACTCATCTGAATCGTGTTGTTCACATTTTGAGAAAGGAAAACTATGTCAACAAGAGAAGAACAAGGAAACTGATAACGGAAAATACTAATATCAATGTCCCCTTATAATAAATAACATGACTGCTAAGTAAGGCCCTGCACTTGCAGCTGTGCCGACAAAGTAATATCCATTTGATTTTTATTAGAAGCGAAGTTTCTTTCTCCTGTTTCTGCCTTAATAGTTAATAGCACATGGTTTTTTAAGAGCTTTGTCTCTAAGGTTATCACTTGATATGGGAAAAAGCCACCCTCTATTATAAGCTATACATTCCATTTGGGCAAATATTCAAATGATCTTAAAGGGATTTGTACCAAACTCTCTAATTATGTCTGCATTTTTTTTTCTGAGAAATCATATTGGATAAAGCAACAACATGATTTAAACTTGACTTAAATTATTGCACACATCAGCATCTTTTTCCTACTCAAAATATCTCCAGTGCTTATTGGCAAAAGTAAAAGGTAAAAACTCAGTAACAACTCTAAAGTATAATGCAGCAAACAGCATAACTTTCCTACAAACTGCAGAAGTGTATTACATGTATATCTTAGAAAACTAGCATGGATAAGTATCTAGAACTAATTCTTCATTGCACTTCTCAATTTTATTTTGCAGAAGAAAATCATCCTTACATCCAAAACCAACTTTAGGATTTTGTTGTTGGACAAATCCGCAAGGTGAATCTCCTAACTGCTGCATACCTACTTTTATTGGTGTCAGACCCTGTTATGACACTTTGGATCCCGACCAATCTGAATCAAGCTACATTGAATCTCCCAACTGATGCATACCCATTTCATTACCTTACTAATGTTCCTGAAGTTTTTCTTTTCCAGTATTCTAGAGGAAATTAGACCGCATGTTAAATCACATATGACTCAGTGGTTTCAATTACTTGTACTTGGTCCAATTATTTATCATATAGATAATGTTTAATTTACCGATGGAAGATGCACCAGTAGTTTGTTAATCGTATGATAAACATTGGTAAGAAATATCTAAAACATAAGTAACCAAGTGTAGATATTACACTCTTCTTAACAGTACATATTCCCTCCATTCTCAAATAAACATCACTTCGGCAAAACTTTTTTGTTCTAAATGATCTGTTCTTTTTCAATACCAAGAAAGCATTTATTACCTTTTTTTTTCTCTCCAAAATTTTCTTCTCCCTCAAAGAGCATAAATTAGCAGCATATGCTTTCAAGAAAGGGACTATTTTGTCCTGTTATGCTTTTTTTTCATAGTTTTTAGAATAAGTGTTCGTTTTCTTAATCCTTGTACAGTCCTCTAAAGCGACACTAATTTGAGAATGGGGGAGTCTAATAAATTAAATTTTTTTTGAGAGAATCCACTACAAAAATATGACAGAGAACAAACCTTTTCAGTAAAAAATCTTTTGATTCCTTATATACAAGGATGCATGATTATGTTAAGAAAATACTAGTTTGGAAATCCGAGAGAAAGTGATGCACCAATCAAATGTGAACACAGGTCAATAGCTTCCTTAAGATAATACAAATATCATCCATGCATCATTTATGTGAGGCTACCTTGCTCAGTCGCTTTCATTGTGTATCCAACAAACTTTTATATATATAAACTAACATAGACCTTTTTTTCTATTGAAAATTATAATTGGTCAGCACTGGTCCTCATCCAAAGTATGGTCTTCTCAATTATCCTACCCTTTATTAAGTACATTGGAACCAAGAAAGACGGAAGACAACTTTTACTTTCTTCCCAGTTTTGTTCATTTAATGGCTGAAAGAGCTCAGCATTATTAACTTCACAAAAGTAACTCTTTAGACAAGTTTCATATAATATAAGGGAATTAAAGAAGAACCTACATACAATGCTTCTCAAGGTTGAGGATATGATACATTAGTGCTATTTCTGTGAGGCCTTTTCCACCGTTCATTTGTTAAAAACTGGCATACAATTTGGTCTGTGCTTTCACAGACAAGTGGAGGCAAAGCAAAAAGCACCGTGTTTGTAGCACAGTACTGTGCTTTCAACAAAACTCAGAAAAAAGTGCTTCATGTTTTTCTTCCAAATAATATGGCATCAGAATCTTACAAGGCACTTTTTTCTTATAGGTAAAGAAAGGTGATGACTCTCACAGATCCCAATTCCATTATCACCGCCAAAATTCAGAAAGTGTGTAGCTAATTTCAGCTACCTTTGCTCAAAACAGAATCAATGACATCCCGTATTTGATTCTTGGGTGGCATTTAGCTAATCAAGTGGCTCTTCTCATCTCCAATTGCTAAATGTTCTCTCTACTTGTCACTCTCTTCTCCCCCTTCACTAGAAGGTTTCACCACTTCCTTTTTGTCTTTTTTCTCTTGGATTTTTTTAAGCAAACAGAACCTTATGTGTGCTGCTTTTTCAGAAAAACAAATTTATATCTGACAAAAGTGGTCTTCATCTTTATAACAGAATGAAAAAGGTTTTTAACTGGTTGTGAAGTGGTAAGTCAAACAGAAATGCACTCACCAAAATTTCTCCCTACTCCCTAGTTATCTCCCTATGCTTTCACAATTAGGACTCTCATCACAGCACTTAACAAATGCATTGGAAATGTCCAAATAAATTAAAAAAGTAAAGAAATAGAAATCGTACCCGTGAAAATATCATTGATGTTACTTGAATGATAGGAACAAGAGAAAAGCATTCACAACTGAAAAAGCTGCAGTTCCGAAGTAACTGTACAAAATGAAGAAAGTAGATGAAGCAGAAGCATCAGTTTTTGAACTAAAGGCAGAGCAGATATGTGGTGGCCTAAAGTCAGAAGCAAGCATATATGCATGGACATGTGAAGCAGGAAAGTGAATGCTTTACTAGTTTAATGCAAGTAATCCTCAGAGACAAAGAAATAGAGAGAGGGTTAGGCTATAGCTGAAAGGCCTTGTGTAGAAGCAACCAGGGAAGGCACCAACATCAACACCAAGTGAAGAAAAACGAGTACCACAATGTCTCCTAACCAAGAGTGCTATAGAGTACAACATTGAAAAGAGAGAGAAGGAGTGGTTCGTTGGAATTAGTCAACATAGTAATGCATCAAAAGCATGCCACGATATAGTCCTTTGAATAGCAAATAGAATGCAATAGAGAGGGGGAAAATTGAAAAAGAAGTCTTTCAGTCTTCACCTCAACAGCTTCAAAATTGGTGCTGTATGATTAAACCACAAAAAGCATGCAATGCAAGTGGGTTAAGGCATTGGAGTGCTCTCCTCTACTAATTGAAAAAGAAGCTTGTGTGGGGCCTAGTCTCAACATAGGTGAAAGATACACTGTGCATTCATCATCATGCCTCCCCCCACTAAACCTTGGGATATTCTTCTTCTATTAGGTCTATGCTTGGGCCACCCTTGTGTGCATGTTGGCCACGTGTCCCTTTCTGTGCCGTTTGTTACATCAACCCTGATGAGATATTGCTCTGACTTCTCTCTCTTTTGGCTTCTTTTGAAGGCCAAACACATACACAAACTCAGACAAACGTTTCTCTTTCTCATCCCCATTCCCTGTCTCTACATGATTTTATTTTGGAAAAACCTTGCATCCGTTTTTCTATCCTTTTGATTAGAATTGAAGTTTTATTTTATCAACCTCTCTACGTTGTCCTTGAAGCTGCTACAAGATATCAATGCATTAGGAAGAACGCGTGTTGATTACTTTTTCACCATGCTTTATTTAGATATATAGTATATTGATCTTCAATATAAATCCTTATTAGACGTATTACTAAAATAAAATTACAATCTTAAATGAAAACCAACAGTAGAACCAACTATAAAAAATGCTGTCCTTTTATTTTTGGTTAATCATTGATGCGTGAAAGCTTCTTCTCTCTGGTCCTGTTGATTAAGTCGTGCATGGAGTGTTGAGCTCCCCTGGGTCCAGATGATTTTATTTCATGTCAGAGACAAGGACAAGGGACCCTCACCAATCCCTTCAGCTGAAAGAAGATGGGGTAACCATTATCAAAAAGTCTTTAATTACTACTAAGAAGCAACAATATTTAGGGAAAGATAATGAATGGTTTGGTTTTGGTATCAATCTTGAACAGCTTGCTGGCAGACCAAGATATATTCCCACCCTTTCCTTTATTTTCTTTTCTTTTAAATGTTAAAAAATTTATGAACATAACAAATTAAGGACTAATCTCTTGGTTATCTTAAAAAAAGAAAAAAAATGATTTTTTTATCTAAAAGTATTAGTGGAGAAGTGATCTAAATATATGTTTGTACTTTACTTTTCCGACCCTGAACAAAAGTTAAAAGAAGTAATTTGATTGTACATATTTGCTTTAAACATGTTTTTAGGTGTAATCTAAACACATTATTATTATTCGATTGCGTGTAAAACTTGTGAGAAAGATAGATGTGGAGGGAAAAAAACAGGAAAATGAGAAGAAACTGTATAAAGAAAAGGTGAAAGCAATACATTTGGTTGATGGCTTTGTGGTCAAGTCCAACCCAAATGATGTTATGACCAAGGGATGATGAACTTGATGATCTGAATGACAACATATGATCATCGTAAAGGTGATGATTATCTTCAATTTCTTTAGAGTTTGTAAACAACATCTTCTTATTATTAAACATTGTCCAAACCAATTCACCAACCAACCATGTGCTTTTCCATCAACATTGTCAGTAATTCTTCTGCAAATTCAGCGCCAACATGTTTGTTTACTGTAATCAATGAACAAGTATATTACTGATTAGATATTTTAACATTCTAAAAGATTCTCCTTAAAATAAAATCTATAAAATAAAAACAATTATTAAATTAAATTATGCCCAAACTATCTTCCTCAGCACTGGTTTTTGTGAATTATTATTACTATTATTATATACACGTCTTTCACAAAAAGAAACTTCTAACTTTTTGCTACCTCAATTTGTTATTATGAGATCTAATACTTTTAGCCTTTTAGGACACCTTCATGCTTATTTATACATTTACATATCTTCTAGTTAGTAGGTCTTTCTTTTTCCTTTTCCTTTTTTTTTTTGGATTAATTACCTCATTTTATAATATCTTCATTATTTTATTTGTTTTACCTATGTGACTTCTCTCACATATAATAATTTTCATCATCATGATGATTGTAATAATAAGCATTATTATTTAAAAAAGTGGTATTGAGTAGAAATACATTAATGTATATTGGTGGGGAAATAAATGGCTAAGGTTATTATTTCCATATATAAAGTGATGATCCATTTCTATAATTATGTAGGTATAGACATGTTTTAGTGAGGATTAGAATTTCTTATAATAGCAAGTTTAATTATTGATTATTATGTCTACTTATAGTTTAAAAACTTGATGACATTTAATTAAGAGTAGGCCCTTACGTAAAAATATACATAGAATCATTGAATGGGTTGCTTTGATAATTTGTCAAAAATTATATATGGTGAGGCATGGAGCATGAGTAAATTGGTGTAGATATTATCAATAATGGCAATGAAATTAAATAGAAGAGTAAATATTCAAATTAAAAGTGGAGAATAGTAAGTAATAAGTATGGTTTGGAAACTTGGTCAAGGTTTAGGGAGATGCATGGTAGTAGTCAAATGCCACTTCATCATGATGGGTCCCACTACTTGGAAGCAAATTAGGGTTCTTGCATCCCCGTTTGAGCAGACAAGAAGTTTAGTGCATAATACAATGTTTGACGGGGTACAGAATAATTAATTACATTCTCTATTTCTTCAAAACAATGTATTCCAACCCATCACCAAACATAAAATAATTCATTGTTTCATTATTTGATTTATTTTGTGAAACTCTTCATCATTTTCTATTAATTTGGTGTTTCATGTTTTTAGGGTTTTACTTCTTACACCCCGTGATCCCCACCGATAAACAAGATAGAACCACAAATCAGCAAGAAACTCTCCCCCGAAACAAACCCATCAAGCCCAATCCATAAAGCTAAAAACATAATTTAAATCTTGAATAGAATGTTTCAGACATTAATGTACTGGAAACATAATTTCGGTATGTCTTAACCGATATGGTTACTTTAATTGGTTTTTTTATGTATTTATTTAATGAAAAAAAAAAAAAAATATATATATATATATATATATTACTTTTTTAAAATAGTGAATTAAAAAAAGAAGAAGCAAGTTTAAGTTTGACTCTGATAAAAACATTGGGGTCCGTTGTTGAACGGATGAAAAGGTTTGAGTCTAGAGACACTATAAAAAAATTGGTCCTAGATTTCTTAAAGGGACGACTTCAAATTCAATCAGTATATGAAGAAACCAATGACAAGAAAATACTTTTTAAAAAATTTGTTTGGCATCAGTTTTTAAATATTAACATTATCAACTGAATTGATTATTAACTCTGACATAAAGGATTAATTTGAATCAGATTTAACACTCAAAATTAAGCTACTTTTTTTTTTTGGTTCATATACATAATCCATCATTGTCTCAATATTTCATCACAAACTAATCCTAATCAAAAGGTAAGTAGGATCTAACAAAGATTATTATCACCGAGAATCAAATTCAATATTGGGTTTAATAAGTAAAATCGAACTTTTTAAAATATAAAGACCAAACTTTACACAAAAATTAAGATAAATGAACGAAAGCAGAATGTGGCCACTTATGATCGAATGTATTAGTTGGTTTGGTACTTTTTTATTCACATAAAAATAATTCTCAGAGGACAGCTAAATCAAGTTTGACATGAGTTATTTTCACCCCGAGATTTTCTCTAAATAAATGCAAGCCAAAAAGAAGAATGCTTGAAGCTAGGCAAAATAACCAAAAAGTGCGAACATCAAGATCAACTCGTCAAAAGAACACAAGATGTGGCTTTCTGATCAATCCTTATTAGTGATGACATGTCAGTATGTGCATACTAAAAAGGAAGTACTGACAAACCACAACTTAATGGCTACGAGGTTAACACACCATTTAACCATGAAGCTACTGTCTTTTAGAGTAAATGGGGATTGCAATGCAAAACATCAATATAATTATCTATGCCTATGCATTGAAACAATTAACTCCAGAAGACAACAGAAGTATGCAACATAATAATTTGCATGTTTTCAACTCCCTATGATGTCATACTCATACAGAGCTACTAAAAATGTATCTCACGACCTTTCAGTCCGCATAAGTTTAATGATCACCCAAACAAATCATCATCATCATCATCATCTCCATCAACAGTGTTAGGATTACTGTCTGACTTTCCACTCCCTTCACCGTCCTCCTTATCTGGAACTCGTTCACCAGCACTGAGTGCAGGTGAATATGCCCAGGAAGATCCAACTTTCACAGATAACGATTCTCCATAAAGGTCATCATAAATCCCAGTTTTAACTGGGGTTTTGATCTTTTTTAAGACTTCTTGTAGTTTATCAGTCACACCTTTTGGGGATGAATCTGCCTCCTTAGCAGAGGTCTGCTCTTTTCCCTTTGGTATTACAGTTATCTGTACAAGAGATTCATATTTACCTACTAGACTTCCTTCTTTGACACCAACTGGACCAGGTTCTGTTTCTACATCTGCGCCATCGGAAATTCCAACTACCTCAACTAACTCTCCCCCAACTTGATCCCGGAAGGCAACTCTTGTTTTCTTACTTCTCTTAGCTGGTCTTTCAGATTGATAATCCTTAGTTCTGCCACTTGCTGAACTACCAGACTCACCAGACTTGGACACTAGATCAGCCTTGTTGATGCCATAACGATTCAGTAGTGTATTATAAGCTACAACAGCTTCTTCATCAGATGGGTCAGGTGGTGGTGGGAAATTAATCTCTGTTGGTGGTGGAGGACGAGGGAAAAGAGCTGCATCATTCTTTCTTAATATGTACGTTCTTGTTGATGCAGCAAACCGCAAAGATTGTCCCACTTCAAGCTCAACTGGTGAATCCTTAGTCAACCTCTCATTTGCAACAAATGTACCATGTGCAGACCCCAAATCAATTACATATATGCTGTAATTAAAACAAATTATTAATGCCAATGAATCATAATTTGCAAGGGATTTTCAATTTTCACGGGAATTAAAACATGCATGAATTTACCATGATGAGAGATAATGGTTCATTTTCCTCACAAAATCTCTCAGAATCATCATTCGTAAATTTTACGAGAGCTACTTTAGTTTAATATCTTAAAGGACTGAAGTGCTTCCTCAATTACCTTCATTTTTTGGAATGTCTTGTTAACAGAAAGTAACGAGTTTAACAAGGTTTGAGGCAGTTTATTCAGATATCTAATTCACAAGATTGTCAATGATATTTATATCCCAAACTAGTGAATCCATTCTGGTAATGTTAAATATGCAAGAGCAAAGTTCTGACCTCCCATTCTTGTGAGGAATAACAGCAGCATGTTGGCGAGAGACAGACTGATGATCGAGCACAAAGTCACATGTCTGAATTTGCCTCCCAAAAATATTCCTCCGGCTGTCCATATTAATCCGGTCTAACACCTGGCCATCCTTCAAAACTTCCAGGTAAAACACACCTGGCCGTGGCTCAATCGCCCAATCTGGTGGCTGCCATGTCGACTGCCCTCCCCCAACCTGAGTTGCCTGCTGATTCTGCCCCAACAACGGGGCTGCCTCCACCCCTAGAGTCTTCTGAGAAGGATGCTGTTGGTGCTGGGATTGGGGAGCAGAAACATGAGACTGTGGACGCCAAGCAGAGGAATGACCAACAACTTTACTAGATGATTGGGCACCGTTTCTGGAAGATGAGTTGACAGATACAGAGAACGGTTCCAAGGACTGAGCCTTCTTAAATCTATCCAGACCAGACGAAGCCCTTCCATACATTCTCTTCAAATAGACTTGGCAGATGAGCTCTTTCTCAGTATGAGCTCACAAGCACATTACATCACAATGCCACCATGGCATCAAAAGAACCAATAAAACCAGCAGCGCTTAAAACATCCTTAAGAAAATGCTCCAGAGCTCCCTCTGCACATACCCTAAAATGTTGTTGAGGAAAAACACATATAAAACACACCTTATGAGTAAGGGACCGAGAAATAACAACATAGAAATTCGCTGAAAAGGAAATTAAATGGCACATGGTGACTATATGCCAAATGGGTAACCAAGAACAAGAGAGCTTGAATCAATCTACCCTAGAACAATAAAATAGTATTAATCTGCTATAAAATTGGGGACAAATCTAACAATAATTGTAGTATTTCAGAAACAAATTGAAGTCTAATCACGAAAGTGTAATCGCAATCCAGAAAGAAAGAAAAAAAAAAAAAAAAGGACAATCTTGGTGGTTTTTTAGATTGATTGGGGGAAATGGGGAGTTAGAGAATCTTACCGAATAGGGTTTTAGAACGCTGCGTCTTTGAGAAGTGGAGAGAGGATGAGGAAATAATAGAAGAGCTGAATTTAATTTTCTCCGTCAATGTACTATAATAGAACTAATAGTTATTAGTATTTGTTTATACCAAATAGCAATCATCATCAACGGTTTATTTTTCTGCAAAAATTTCTGAATTTACATATTTATAATTTTTTATCAAAATTTAATTACTGTTATTTTTAAGATTTTTAATGTTTATATCTTATAAATATAATTATTTGTATCCACGATAGATTGATATATCCATGAAATCATGTGACTAAAACAAAAAACTGGTGAGAATTAATCAAATTAGTAAAAACCAATTACAAACAGGAATAAGTTTGGATCGATATATTTTATTTTTATTTAAAAAATTAATTTAGTTAAAATGTTTTCAAAATAAATCAAATACATATCAATAAAGAGTACAAATTAATAAAAATTATTATCATAAAATTATGTAATTTATTCATTTATATTAATTTAGAACTTTTCATATCCTGATATTCATAATTTTATATTATATTATTTTATTTATTTTGAATGTAATTTTTTTGTTATTAATGAATTTTTTTGTATTTATTGAAATTTAAACTTAAGTATGGTTATATATTATGGATTTTTTTTAATGTTGAAAACCTATGTTTTATTTTATTTTATTTTTTTAATATTAAAAAGTTTTGGTAGAATATTTATTTGATTATTATTTAATTATTAATTTTTGAATTAACTCTTTGAACTTTAAATTCACACTTTTTTTATTTTAAACCTTCCATTAACAATCCATTATATTAATAAAATAATAATAAATATATAAATAAAAACTGTTATTATTATAAAATTAATAAAAATAGTTGTTGTTTAAATTTTTTTAAATCAAATATCCTATGTCTCATGAAAAAAAAATTTGGTTGAATAAGATATTAGACTTTAAAGATATTAAAAATAAATGTAATCGAAAATAACAATCATTTGTAGACAACCCGTATAAAAAAAACCATTATTATTATTATTATATCCTTTTCAGTTCTCAAATTGAAATCACTTAATAACAATCAAATTAAAATAACTTAATAACAATATAATGAAGGTAATAACAGAGGAAACAATATGAGAAGATTCTTGGGTTGCAGACATGTAAGAGAGGCTTGTACTTCTGATATAACTAGTTCTTGTTTTGATTCAAAGCATATTTTTTTTATTCATTTTGATGTCCATGTTCAACACTAACACCACTTATGGTTCCCTACACAAGCATTACAATAATATTATGACAATAACTAGTTTGACATCTTAACAAATTTATTGGTAAGTTTAATATATTGAATTAACATAATATAAATAAACAAATGTAAAACAGTATAATATTAATTAATTGTGTTCCAACAATTTTCTACATGTCAGGTTAATAATTTACTTTCATGAGTGTTCTTTTAATCAAACTTTAGACACAATCGTCTCAAACCAGAATACAAGAATGTTAAGTAAGAAAATAAGCGATCAACAAATTCTACATGACAGGGTCAAAATTCCACAATATAATGAATGTATTTAAACTCTAACAAACCAATCTCTACAAGGAATAAAGGGCCTAAGCTTCGTGTCATGAAGGTCTCAAGTCTACAAATAATAGTTTACAACATTTGTCATATGACCAAAACTCTCCACTATTGACAATTTTTAACAACTTTCAACAATTAACTACTGATGCAACTAATGTTGGTGACCTTTGTAATAGGATGTCTACTGCAACAACAAATCCAAAATTTGAATTGCTAGCAACTGATGTTGAAAATCTGAGTGAGTATCTTCTGTCAGAGTCAAACTAGTCATGTACAGTGGACCAACTGGTAGCCTCTTCTATTAGTATTTAGTTATCTGGTTCAGAGAAAAGACTTGGTAGCATGTCAGCAAAAGACAACAATTTTCAGTATCATTATAGCTCTGGTAAAAGTTCCCCCCACATTAGAAGGTACTTTTTTTTGCACTGATATTTTCAATCAAGTTAGGATAGTGATGAAACCAACTCCAAACAGCAGCATCACAGGAACTGTATGAACTGATGCATCATATGTTCCGGTCCAAACCCACGAATGGACATAACAGTTTTGGTAACAGAATTTCAGCAAGGTCCAATACTTGTTTAAATCAAAATCCAGGAAGATTCATTTGCTATTTTGGTGAAAGCTCTTTCTCAGCTAGACCAAAGGTCACCTTTAAACGTTCCTGCACATTTTGTAGGATATTCTTTGTAAGTCTTTTTTGATTCTTTGAGCTTTTTAGCCATTCAATTCCAAATAATACTTGCACTCTACATCCCTTTGCTTTTGGGGGTAAATCCTCTATTTGGTACCGAAGGTGTATCTGTGGCATATAGGAGACAATTCAGTGATGCAAAAGGTGAAAATAAACAGAAGGATAACAGGAACAGGAAATCATGGAAAATAAAACAAACAAGCACAGAAAGTCTAGAAACAAGCTACACTAGGATCACTCACATTGAAATAATCACCAAGAGGAACTCCATGAAGGTTCATAAGCTCTTCCACAAGCCAGCCCTTTCCATCCGGAAGAGGAGATCTTTGCTGAGTACTTGTCACTTCACCTTTATAACTTGAAATACGCTTCTCAAATTTGTAATATACAGCTCTCTCTGAGATATCACGGTTCTCTGATACCCAAGGAGTATAAGAATAATTAAGATAACCAAGCTTTTCCATGACCCTGCGGTCCAACTCGCCCCCACTAAATATCTCCATGAGGTAACTTGCCTATATTAATCAACAAAAAAGAACTATTATCAAACAGGAACATTTGCAAAGTTGTATAAAAGTTATGAATAAAGAACCAATAATACACAACATGCACAGATTAATCCATGTTTGTGCGTTGAGAGAGAGAGAAATATTACAGGAATTGAAAGAGAGCAAGAATAAATCTCAGACATGCTAACATCATCCAGATCAAGGAATGAGCCACTCTCTTCACTTATAAGGCTTTTGCTATCAGATTGTTCTTCAACAAACTCAACCTTCTGTTCAGGACTCAAGGATCTGGCTTTCCAGAGAGCCATGATGGTCCTACATCACCAACGAAATATCTTCTTAGTAACATGTGAAATCTTCTATTCTATTCTTTATCACCATATCTTAAATAATATAATTTTTCTATATGCCAGCATCAAAAGCCTCCCAAAACAAAGGAATTATTTTTGGTGGTGAAGAAAATTTTCACACCAAAATATATGTGGAAAATAGGGCAGTTAAGAAACAACTAGGTTTGGTTAAAAATATAAAAAAGAAATATACATTTGGAAGGAAACACCTTCAGATGTTTCCAAATAACAAGCTCTCATTTTCATTATTCATGTATTGCACAAAAACAGTTGTGGAACAAGACCTTTGCCACCATTAGACAAAATCATCACAATGGCATGGTTTTTCATCATATTTCATTATTACTTAGTCGATCTTCTATATGACTGAGTAATACAAGGAATGAAAATCACATACAAACAAATTCTATTATGACTGAGCAATACAATAAATGAAAATTACATACAAATAAATTGTGCAATTTATTTTCACATAGTACTCTTTCAACCACATGAAATTACTATTTATATAAATTTGATTGTTAAGTAAACTAAAAACAGAAGAGTTGAAATTATGAATTGCCAATGCTGACATCTTTAACACACACAATACATTGCTGTAATCAAACAGCCTCACCAGATTTGATTCAAAACACACAAATAGATCAACAAAAAAGAAACATTATAAACTTGGGGCAAAGAAAAAAGAATGGCTAAAACACATAATAGGAGAGATTTTCATACAAGTTGCAGATATATAGGAAATAAGTTATTTGTCAGATGTCATATAATTCCCTTTTTCTACCTGTGTGCAACGTTGAAAGACACAAATGACTGAAAATGGAACTTCAGCCTGCCTTGTTCATCTTGTGTTTTTGCACCATGCCTTGCATCCACACCTCTACCCTTCCGAAGAGTTATGACAATTATTGGACTCCCCATTGATGAAAATGTAGGAGGAATGACCTGAATCTCTTCAATATCTTCCCAAAGGAAAAAGAATCTTGTCTTCTTTCCAAACAAATTTGCATGAAATCCAATAATTCTTGCTGAAAGAAATAGGCGGCCCTGCAGAGAAATATTCACAAATTGATGAGACGATACTAAAGAAGCATGTACCGGTAAAATCCAGAGTAGGAAAATAGACCATGAATTTCAACATCACACAACAGAATAACCACACCTGCAGTGGCATTTTTCTTTTCAAATGACATGTGAAATCATTGATGAGAAATTCCTCAGCTGGAAGACCAAAGAGTTTCTGAAATGCTGAATTTGTTTGAGGAGACCGCAAATTAATCTACAATTTTTTAAAACAAAAAGATTAAGCCAAAAAGAAAGCTGACAAAACAGGAGTTCAACACAACACACAGACTAAGTTTTTTATGTTTTACACACCTTCTTCCCGACTTCTTTCTCCATTTTACTTAAATATTCCTTTGCAACATTACCACCTCTAGTGTTGTCCAAGAAAATTCTAAGGTGCAACTTAGACTGACATGCCAAAGCCAACTTTCCTTCAAGGGGAACCCATACATCAGCAAGATCTGTAATGTTTGCTTTCAGAAAATTAATTTCAGCATGTCCTAGTGATTCAGCGTCATCAAAAGGTCCATCAAAGTCATAAACTACCACATCCATCACGGAAGGAGGATCATCCATTGCATCAAACTCAAATATTTCTGAAACAACAGACAATATTCTTAACTAAAAAAAATCATATGAAATACATATTCTGGATTCAGAAATTTGATCCAAGCTATAAAACAGAAAATAATAAATGAATGCATGACACTCACCATTCCAAGTAGGATTAGATTTCTGGAACTTTATTGAACTAGTTCTTGTTTTCCCATTGCAAGTAAACACTACATATGGATCAGACAACCCACTAGAATCAACAGAAGCTAAATTGCTTCCTTCAATTAAGGCAACAGTAAGCAACCACCCATCGCCTTGTGCTTTGATTCCATGGTCACTACCTAATATTGGAGTACCAAGAAAAGTCAATATAAGCACAGACACATGGACATTAAATGAAGCAAATAGGCACTAAACAGTTAAAAGACAGAGTGACAAACTCGTAGTCACTTTATAAAAGCAACACAAATCAGGGAGAAAAAGAAAAGCCAGATTGATGAAATGTGGAGTATATGAACACTGAGATTACCCTTCTGTGCTCTGGCCTTTATGAAGCGTGAGATTATACCCAGCAAGCGTTCACCTTGAAGAACCAAGACTGCACAGAAAACAAGTTCACCAATTGAATCTGGCAAATCAAGCCCACCAAACTCAAGCCCTTGAATCGTGCTGGGTGCAGCCAGCCAAATGTGAACCAGCACATATAACCCCATGAAAACTGTTGTGAACACAGTGAAGTTTGCAAAATACTGCACTGCAAGCCTCCAATCTGATTCAGGTTCTGCATGTAATGATGCCAAAGCTTGTTCCTTATTGGAACTAAGGTCCTTTGGATCAGCAGGTTTAACAGTCTCAGATAACAAAGTGGCATACTGATCAAAGCTTTCCTTCATGCCTTGCCGAGCCCCATTTTCAATCATTCCTTTCATCATGGTGCTCTGTAAGAAATTCATTCGCCATGATACAATCAGACGTGAACACTGTTCTCCTGTTGGCAACTCTGGTCCAGGTGTGATTACATAGAGTATTTCTACCCTAAAGGTACTCCCATACATAACATCAGGAGTGCTGACACTGGCGAGAACAGCAAAGTTCTTCCCATCGGCTTTTAAATATGTGTGTTCCTCATAGGCTTTGACAGCCTTAATTAATTTACTGGGAGCCTTGACATAAGTAACTAATCTTTTTAAGATCTCCCCATCATTCTCAAACTTCCAAGGTCCTATCTCCAACTCTGTACTACCCTGTACCTCTGCCAATGACTTGAGAAAATTTGAATCTGATGAAAATAGCAACTCATTCAAGTCTTCTGGTGCAATAACATACAGTTGATCAATAAACACTCCTGCTGGTAAATTGCTAGGAATTTCATTGCCTTGATCTTCGGACTGTATTTTTCTCATAGCTTCTTCAAAAGTCTCATTAGAGGACTGATCTTCATCATTCATCTCACTAACTTCTACTTTACAAATTTCAGATGGGTCCAAGTCAATGCTTCTACGGGTTGAATATATATCAGAGCTCTTATTAAAAATTTGAGCAATTCTACCTGTTATTGTTTTATGTGTACCCGATTTTTCATCCTTAGCAGATGTAATTTCTTCACTAGAAAGGGAAGACGAGTTTGAATGGCCTGGGGAAGATCTTGAAGGTGATTCTTTAGTTCTTGGATGTAATAGTAGATCATCACTACCATTTGACTCCATGGATGCATTCTTTTGAGAAAAATATATGCTCAAACGAATCTCACCTGCCAATAAAAGGTAAAGAGATTCCAGAATTTAAGCTCAAGGTAAACAACAAAACCATATTTCATATATTCATGTTCACAGTTAGTGAACAAATTATGTTCCGGATGTTGTTTAGGTGGATAAGATAACACTTTGAGAGGTATGATCCATATTCCATAGTCTTAAATTTGAACATAATGCAATTAAACCATGTTATCAGTACCAAATTTATGCACAAAACCAATACAACAACAGTATGAGTAGCTTCTATAATGAGATTAAACCACTCATTTCATCTTTGGAAGAGTTTTGAAACATCAATGTGATTCTTGAAATATCTATACATCAATTTGGCCCTACAATGATACTTTTTTTTTTCTTTAAACCAAGATAGTCTAAAAGTAGATGCTCACTAGCAACAAATTGATGTCACACAATGACATAAATTTGTTTGAGTGACAGTTTAGTGCCAATATAAAATAATCAAACAACAAAACAGCTAGTTGAGAGAGAACAAACACGATCCCTAAAATGTTAGGTAAGGAGCAAACAATTGGATAAGGTAGAGGAAAGTACAGTTCAGTAGCTTAACACACCAGATTCCTTGTTCTTGGACTTCTTGCTTTTGGGTTGCAAAGAATACCAAGCAGTGCCAAGGGACTTGATCTCCTCCTCAAAAACAATTGAAATTGGCACCCTAAGTTGACCTACAAAGTCATCGTTGAAGAACTTATCTTCATCCATAACAGATATAACCAACTCCTCATTAAGGTCATCCACCCTAAAGCTAAACTCCTCATTCCACTTTGGATTCAAACTCTTCTTGATCACTTTGGTCCTGAACCTGTGCTTCCCCAACTGTAGCCTCACGTACGGATCACTCAACCCATTAGGATCCGTCGGTGGCAAGTTCTTTGCTTCGATCACACGAACCACAAGCTTCATTATCACGTTCTAGAACTCAAAAGGGAACCAGAAGCAGAATCTTGAGGTAAAAAAGTCAACTTTTTTAACCACCCTGAAAACTACGGAGCACCCCAGAAAGATCTTCCAAAAGGGTAATGCAGTTTATGACAAAGTTGTCGAAAGAATCAACTGAAAGTGGAAAATTATGAATCAAATTGTTCCAAACAACTCAAATTCTTCAGCCAACAGAAGAAAAAGCAAGCCACAAATCAGGCACAAACATACGGAAAAACAGAAATTTTGGTTGGCCCAAAAGAATTACTGATCTATGTAGGAACTAATTCAGAACTAAATTTGCGTGACGAATTGAGCGTGAACAGTTGAAACAGTTGAGAAAGAATCAGAAAACTCGTCAACGATCAAAGCAAGAAGGGTATGAAAAAAAACAGGACATTGATTTGGGATTGATAATCAGGGAGGTAATATCGATGGAATGAATGATTTAGAGCGAAAAAGAAATAGGAATCTATTTATTGAATAAAAGGAAAAAACGGATATGAAAGTGTACAAAAAGAGAGATAGAACAACATGAAATCAAGTCTGTAAGTTGTTATACTTTTCTCATATTAAATTGTGACAATTTTTGTTGAACTTTTCGCCACGGCGCGTGTGATGTTGGTTGGACCTTCAGTAGAATCTGCATATACAGTAGTAATTACACATACTTCCACAGTTACCTTAATACCACATTGTTATTAAAAATTGTATTTTTATTTTTAGAAAAAGTAAGTCTCTTCTTTTAACCTACTTACTAATCAAATACATTTTATTAAAAAAACACACCCTTCTTGTATATTCTTTAAATTATGCTAAAACTTGTGTGTTAGAAATGTGGTAGTCCAGAAAATTGGGAAAAAGATAGATGCTTATAATATGATTCGTGCTGCAATGGCTCATGAATTTGATATCGAGTGGTGAAAGAGTTCCCACCCTTTTGTCAAATGCCACCACATGCTATGGGGTCCAATTTGGAGGGCACCCACTCGTTCTGGTTCTGGCCCTCCCTAATAAGGCCAAAGCCCTATTACCATGAATTTTCTTCAAATGAAAAAAGTCAATATAGACTCAGTATGTATTTCTTTTTCATAAATGGAAGCAGAGTAAGATGTTCCTTTTTTGAAAGCCTAATCCAAATGGTATGCTTCAAGTTATTATTATACCATGGATTATCTACCACATATTCATTTTTATTGATAAACCCAAGCAAAAACTCTTTCAATCTCGACAAATTATGTCTCATTTGGCTTATCTTTAGCGATTAATAATGTAGTGGAATCTTGTGTCTGAGGGTCTTTTGATTTATTCATGCGTCCCTTCAGCGTTGATCAAAAACGAGTGAAAACGTTGACGCTTTTAGTTAATATGAAAAATAATGTTCAAAAGTAGAGGGAAAGTTATGATAACTGATATGGGCTTGCCTCTCTTGTAGATATCACTTTGATTCTTAAAAAAACCGAATGAATGAATAAAACAATAATTATAAAGTGGAAACAGTAAAACGATAACGTCCTTCTACCTGGCTTCATCCCCTTACACGCCACACTAATTCCCACACGCAAACGTGTCTATTATTCTTTCACTACTTATCACATTTTTTTTGTTTTTTTTTAAAATAAATATGATTTAGGTTTTATGAATTTAATCTTTATAAAAATATTGTTTTTTTGTTTCTGCTAAATTTAAATCTTCTTATATTTAAAACTTGCTACATATAATTATGAGTTTGTAATATTAAATTTGCGTTTAATATTTTAAAGAAATAGTTCTTTAAAAGCAATTCAATTAAATTAAGTTAAAATCAATGTTAAGGATAAAAGTAATTATTAAATTTTGAGGTATGAAAACGAAATAAAATATTTAAAATAGACCATTGAAACAAAATTCATTCATTCATATTAATTATTAGAGTGCCATAAAATAAGTAATAAAAAATTAATTCTTATTTAAAAATAAGGTTAGACCGGTAGATATGAAATTGAATTAATTTATGTTCCAACCATAATTGCATACCTAACTATTTAACCGTTTTATGGTGGTTGACAGTGACAGAAAAGAAAAAGCATGGATAACAAATTTTAGTTGGAAACAAAATAGAAAAAAAAATCGATTTTACAGATAAATATTTTTATTTTCTATCAATACAAATTATAGAATTTTATATTTTTTTTCTCTTAAATACAATGAGTAGTACCTGCATTCTTAGTAGACAGACATCAACTGATTTAGGGAACCGGGTCCATGTCTCACTAATTTTTTTATATATATAATAATTATTTAAAAATGATTTTATAAATATAAATAATTTTTATTTTTAATAAATATTATATTTATGTTTTATATATAATTTGTTTTTTTTTCTCATAATGTATGGATTTGACTTGTAAACATGATATAACATTTTGTCATAAAAGCAAAATTTTGTATTTTTTTTTCAATAAATCTCCTAGTTGTTTTAGAGTAACTAAAAAAAATTCTTTAACCAGAAAATTTGTTTTATCTTTTTATTTTTACACTTTAATTTTTTTTTATCATATATTCACTTTATTTTCTCATATTTTAATTTTTTTTCATATTTTTCTCTTTTATAGTTTCATAATTTAAAAGTTTTTTTATTACAATTTCATTTTTATGACAGGAAAATTTTAATTTTTTGTTCTTTATTTGTTTTTAGTTTTTTTTCTTCAATTTATATGATAAGAAGTTAAAAAAATAAAATAATAATAATAATAATAATAATAATAATAATAATAATTTTTTAAAAATAAATAAATAAATAAAAAATTTATTTTCTTTATTATTTTTTCTTATTATTACAATAAATTAGTATTTGTAATATAATATAAAAGTATAAAATATTTATATAATTTTTTTATTAGTTGTTAATTAGTTAAGTATTCTAATATTTTATAATGTTAAAATGTAAATAAATAAAAATTTAAATTGAGTTTTTAAGATGTTTAAAAATAAGATTATAAATTTATTTTTTAAGAGAAAAAATATAAATAATAAAATAAAAATTTTCATAATTTAAATTCAATTAATAATATTGAATATATTAATAAATATTTTATATGATATATTTATTTTTATATTATAATTAATTTATATTTTGGTTTTCTCGTTTAAAGTTATGCTAGAATATTCATTAAATAAAAATTGAGATTGATGATTGGAAAAAGTATTTGATACTATTATATAAATACAATTCAACTTTTTTAAATACAATTATATATTTATAACATTAATTAATTTCTCACATCACTAAACTCATTTTGTTTAAAGAGATTAAATCCACGCTACTATCGGATTTCAAAAAGTTATGTTTAGACAACGTTGTGTAACATGAAAAGAACAATTTTAAATGTATAATAAAATATTACTATCTGTGAACTTAAATATCAGAAGTCGAAAACATATTTTAACTTCTTCCTTTTACGTAGAAGATAAGAATATTTGAGTTTAAAATAGATAAATTTATATATTTTTCGAATTATTTTTCTTTATATATACAATTATTGTTTTATTTTACCTTTAGTATTTTATAAATATTTTTTTATCAATTTTTAATTATACTAGTGAATTTTTATTATTACAAAAGATGGACACATAAGGTTGAAAAAGCATTCATTTTTCAATATCTTACTTATTATTCCCCAAACTTTATAATTTATTGCGTAAACCAAATTTTAGAATCTTTCCAAAGTTATTTTTGTGTTAAGAACAATAATGCCCCAAACTCAACATCAACTGTTTACTTTCCTAAATAAATTGCTTAACTAAAATATTTATAAATTTTAATCATAAATTTATTATCTGTATTTTCAAAATTTTTAAGAGTTTATTTTTATTATCCGTGTTATATTGATGTTTCCATGTAATAATGTGATTAATATAAAATAATAATTAGTGAGAAAAAGTAAAACGGGTAAAATCCTTATAAACTATTATAGAAAATAAATTTAGACTAGCACTTTTTTCTCTAAATTTTGAAAAGATTTATTTAATATTTTTAGAATAAATAAAAATAAATATAGATTACTTTTCCATTCTTTTATATATATATATATATATATATATATATATATATATATATAAATATATAGCTTAATCAATTATGTTAATTTACATATATTTTGATATATTATCGTTCTATATCATATTATTTATCAAATTTTTAAAATTTGGATGTAAATTATTATTGTGAAGGATCATTATTGTATTTTATTAAAATTTAAATGTGAGTACATGGTATATTTAAGCTAAACTTTTATTCGTAACAAATATTGAAAAACTATAAAATGCCATTTTCTTTAGTTTTTTACTATTACAACATTATGATAAAATATTTTTATATTATTTTATTAATATGAGTTGAATCATAATTTAAACTTGAATCAAATAATCAATGTCTTAATTGATAATATGATGAAGTCGTTTTAAAAAACAATTACACAAGATTAACGAGTACCAAGAGAAGTAAAAGAGAAATTAATTTTATAATCTATGTGATAATCAAATACAAAGATTATAGATATTGATTGACTGGTTAAGTGAAGAAAATACTTCTTCTAGAAATAATTTCTTTAGTTCTCTTCATGTTTAAGTTATGAGAGAAACAGAGATGATGAAAATAGCCAAACAAATAAATTGAAAAAAATTTAAATGTTTAATTATTTAATAAATTAGAAATAGATGAGTAGTAAAGATAAAATATATTGAAATTATTTATTTAATTGATTTAATAAAAAATTGGTTGAATGTTTTTTTTATCTTTAAAAACATACCTTTTTTAGTTAATTATTGAATAAATAATTTCTTAAAACAACTTTCTTTTATTCAAAATAGTCTTTTCTTTCAAATAAACCCTAATATATTATCATTAAAATACAATTTAGTCATTGTATATACAAATTAAATTATATTTTATTATAATATGGATTATCTAAATTAGATCTTAATGGTAATATATAAAAACTTATTTGAAAAAAAATTACTTTTAAAATTTGTATTTAATTTATTTATATTTTAGAACTAAATTCAAATTTGATATTCTATTAAAGAAGCAAATTAACCAATCTACTTAAAAAAATAAAATATAAATAAACAAAAACAAAACCACATAGCTAGTGAATACCATCGTTTCTTAAAATTATATATATATATATATATATATATATATATATATATATATATATATATATATATATATATATATATATATATATATATATGACTAATTAATTTGGGTTGGATATTTTCAGTGTTTTATGTTAAACCTAACCTAGCCCCACTCATTTAAATCCATTAAAGAATAAATTAGATTACCTATTATTTTAACATTCATTTAATATTACAAAACTAATTTTGAAAAGTGAAGATTTTTTTCATTTATGTACATTAATTTCGGCATATTAATAGTTGATTGAGATTTAAATCGTAAAATAATATATATAATATAAAATAATAATACTAAAATATATTATATAAATAATATACCTAGTGATAAAGAGCTAAAAGATGAAGACATTATTAATAGTAAAAAAAGTATCCCAAGACAGCTTACAAGATAAAATACAAGATCTTATCACTGAAAAAACAAAAAAGACAAGAAACTCAATTTTTTTTTTAAATTCCAGGCCACCGAACATGATTCGGCTCTAGATAAAAATCAGACTTCTAGTTTCTATTGCATGTTCACAACAATTTTGGTCCTCGCCTTACATTGAATCTACTTCTGCCTTTTGTAAATTTTAGCCAAAAAGGACTTCAATACAGCTTGAACTGCTTTGCTAGGATGTGCTTCAATGGAGGTTACAAGCTTCTCATAGCTCCCGCTCTCATACTTCTCAAATACACCCTATTCATTCCAGTAAATAATCCAAAGAAAATCAACATCAATCATGACGTGCACAAATGTTTGCAACTTAATTTGCATGATCTTATTGTTTGGCTAATAGGTCATCTTAGTATGTTGATAATGCAAAGATGCATCATGGATTTTACGGGTAGCGTTTCCCAATAAATTATTAAGAGCTAGATATAGATGAAGTTCAAACCTGAAGATTAAGCTCGTTATACAGGGCCTTTACTTTAGCAACATTTTCTGCATCTGGCTTCCCGTAGTTGTCCTGCAAACCACAAAAACTAGTGATTTATTGCAGTCTAATCATAAGGAAAACGTGGGAAATATTAAGATGATCACTTACATATAGAACTTTCTTTTGTTGTTCATTGCTAAGTTCCAATGCTTTAACAACTAACCAAGAACATTTAAAATCTTCAATATCTGTACCTATCTGATCCCACAGAAAACCAGAATGAGATTAAAGAGAAATTCATGTTTCCAGTATCCATTTATTATCCAGGATTCTCACCTTTCCAACTGTTTGAGGATCCCCAAAACAATCCAAATAATCATCCTAACAATAGAGGGACAAAGGCAAGAGAAAACATAGGTTACTATCTATTTTATATAATATTTTAAGCTGAATGTGAAAGTATACAGTAGACATACAGCATTCTAAAGTCTAAATGGCCTAAAGTGAAGAAGAGGTCAAACCGACACCAACAAAATATTACCTGTACTTGAAAGTATGTTCCCATCTCAACAAGAATGTTCTTTACATCAACATGGTTATCCAGATTCTCACCCGCCATGAGCAATGCACATGCAACCTATGTAAGAAGGAGATATGTGCATAGATAAATAACAGATCATAAATTCCAGTGTGATAGCCTATAGGACTGATGGAAATGAATCGAACAGGGAAGAAAAATACACAACTTCTTTTAAGTGACACTCATTAGAAACAAATCGAACTGATTAACTATTTGTCATTAGTATCTCTAGGAAAAGGGCAAGGAAGAAACCAAAAATAGGGAGGCTATACCCAAAAAGGATAATAATACTTACTGGGAGGTAAAATGAATAATAAGCAGTCTTATACTGAACAATACGCCGATGCCTGCAGAAGATGATATCCATATGTATCATTAGTATTGATTTCCAAGACAGAAAGAGATAATGGACAAGAAACTCAAATAAAATATGTAAAATTGCATTGAAACATAGCACATTGCTAGCTAGCTAGAACAGAAGGAACTAGCAACAAACAAATTTCACATCATACTCTTCACCATACCCAACCAAAAGAACTTAGCCTTAATCATTTCGAAAATTTCAAGCAACGCTCACAAAATTTTTGCTGAAGGATAGCAAGCAAAGTAGCAGACATGCTAGATAGAGATCTTTCCTTTTAAACAATAAAGATAGCGACGTCTATATCTAATAGGCAAGCAGTTATCTCTCTCATGATTTTAGCTTCCAGTCAGGTTTTAGAGAAATACTGTTGAAAGGATGTGATATTGCTCGCTGGCAGAAGAATTTTTCCTTTTTTATAGTTATTTTAGTCACATTCACATATGACCCAGCATTTCATCTTCGTCAAAAAGTAGTCGAGCAGTGATAATTTCTCTCTGAGTATTCTCTTTCTTTTCCCCATACTCACAGTGTTAATGTGTATTTGGACAGGTCTTTCTCTCCTTGCAGTGTGGTGATCAGATCTATCATCTGTCCTGAAGCAGTCTGGAACTCAACCTAAAGGAAAAAAGCAAGATAGTCAGATTTAAGCGCATTGAGAAGAAACCCACATAATATATGCAAACTCCGAAATTTGCAATACCTCATTAAACAAATCAAGAAGATCAACATAATATGGCTTTCCCCTGAAATGTTTCTTAAGAATACGTGAAATATGGTTTCTTAGTAAAACTCCATCATTTGCTGCAATCATTCCAACCTACACCATATAGTAATTAGAGATTTAGAGATAATTACTATCAGAACAGAAGCATAACGATAACACAATCGCTCATGTTTATTTTTCCACAAACCTTGGGCACTCTATACCAGCATGGCTGACCCCTACGTGTGTGAGAATTATCCATAATGTCATCGAGAACAAGAAAATATGCCTGAAGCTGCAATAACAACAGACTATTTTAAGACCCCCAATGGCATCACAGTAAACATCTGAAACGATTAGAACTAGTTTAATCATTCAAACCAAAAAAGCAAAAGCTTTCAACTGCCATACCCATTCAATACACCAACCAAGAGCACTGGCAAGGAAAATTTCGTCATCATTTAATGCTTGTCCTTCTTTCAACAATCTGTAGCTGTCAATGACTGACAGTCCCCGGTTCAACTTTCCTGCATTTACAGTCCATCTTTCTATCAATACCCTTTTTCTCTTTTAACGATACACCCCTCAGTTCTTTCCTAGGAAGGAATGCAACAAACTAACAATAAACTAATAAATCACTCAACACAAACACAAAATAAATTCTCAAGCCACACCTCCTGGCACATTGTAGTCCAGCATCTGCAATAAATTGTAATACATAACACAGTAAGTAACAGAGCAAAATTCATGACATCTGCAAACACATGTAATGGTATAACATAAACATCCCACAACAAACAAAACTTCCTAAACATTTAAGCGACTTCAGTTTCATTAAATCTGACAATTTTTTAGACCAAAATCACAACAACCTCAAATTAATCCAAATCACACTTTTCTTTTATACCACATATATTCTCCACTAAAGATAATTCTCCTCGAACCAGATAAGATTACTATGGCCGTAAAGCTCTTTTAAATTGAACTCGATATTACTGATTAAGCTGATTAGACTTATGTCTGCTGATCTATTACTTTTAAAATTAAACTCCCTATCAGTGGTTAAGCTAAATAAACTTATGTCTGCTGATCTACCCACTCAATGTTCAATGACAGACATGTTAGTACCGTAATTAAACCAAATCCAAGAAAAAACATGTTTCGAGCTTACTCTCTCATTTTTATTTTTATTTTTGCAATATTAACCACATAACTTTCTCCATCAACTACGATTAAGTTAGCATCCGAAAACTCGAAAAACTAAAACGAAAAGAAAAAATGCATACCCGGTCGACCCATTGGCGAGCGTCATCGGAGAACTCGAAAGCGGGGTCGTGGAGGAGTTCGGATTTGAGAACGGAATAGACGTTCAAGAATGTAGACTTGAGATCCGCCATGGATCGATGGAGAATTAATTACTTAAACGGAGCTTAGAATTGAGAAGGAACGAAGTTGGGTTGGTGCTTCAAAATTTAGTGTTGGAAACGTGAGATTATATATATGGAACCACACTAGATAGGGGAAGAGGTAATTTAAGGACGGAGGAGCGTGAAGCTATTCGCCTTGCATGTGAGTGTGTATTGTGTCACACGTGTGTAATTTATTAATAATTTTGTACTTGTTCAGATGCAACTGTATCTCACCCATGAGCGAAACAACGCTCTGAAAGAGAGAGACCCACATTTTTGTGTTTTTCGTTTGATGTTTTTAAAAACCAATTCTTTTTGTTTTATTTTATTTTTTCATGGCATCCTTTTTAATATTAGTAAAAGAAATATAGCCTAATTACCATCTTGCCACTCCTCCTAACTCGCTTTTGTCTTCGCTGCATATAAATTGCATTAAATTTTCGTGTTCCATAAATTTATTAGGTTTTCGCTCGCTCATTCTCATTGGAATAATAATTATTATACGGTGACTTTCAATACATTGTGAGTGAGCCCGAAATCGTAATTATATAAGCATCGCAAAGTAGAATGATTTTTTTCTCACATGATTTTTTAACTTGGTAACGTGGCAGCTTCTAATTCGATGTTGTTCGTTCTCTAGTGAAACCATATTTTCGCCCACGACGCCCACGTTGTTCCCCACTTGAACCCACGAGGACAGTGCGCGGAATGCGATATGATCCACTGCTTCGCGTATTTAAAGTTCCAAACCCGAACTCTGATCCAACAGTGGAAATTAAGCTAATTCGTCTACGCTGTGAAGTCAAGATGAATCTGGTGGTTGAGAAATTTTGTCAGACATATTAATTAATTGTATAATATTTAATATCCGTGTGTGTGGTTCACGTGGCATATTTATTACATAGTATATTCTTTTCTACAAAATATATACTTCGTATTCAAAATATATATAAAAAAATTGATGTATATTTTTAAAAAATGACTTGAAAGTGAACTATTATTGTAGTTTTTTTTCTTTTATTAATTGAGGTAGTTAAGACTAAGCATGCATGGTGCACGTGGTATATTTATTTAATAGATCTCTGAATCTGTGTTATATTCTCGTTGGTAGTAGATGATTATATCTATGACCCCAAAATTAGAGATAATATTATATTTCTTAAGCATATTACTAATTTAATTTTTAATCGTATTTGTGAAAAAAAAAAAAAAAACAGTGGTCTCTACTCAAAACGGGTTGAATATTCTGTTCCCACGGGACCGGAGAGATTCCTACAGGTGCGAATTTTATTCCGAAAAAAAAAAATTTCGATATGTTTAATTTGAGTTTTGAATATTTAAAATGTTTTTCTAGAAGCTTCACGCTACTCCATTTACCATAAAATGATATTATTTAAATTTAGTCTATACCAAATCATCCAATGGCTCATACTAGTAATTTTCTCTTTTACTACACATACAAAATTGATAAATGTAAAATTAAAAATTCATAGATTTTTATTTTAATATAGCTTATCCAATAAATAGTTTATTGAAATAATCAATTAAATTTTTTAAATATTATATCTTTATTTTTTTCTCCTATTTAATAAAATAAAGTTATTGTCTTGACAACTACTATCATATTTTTTTTGGGACACGTAATTTAACCTTTTCCAATTACAATTGTATTTTTGTTTTTTTATTATATTTATAAAATTGTTCAAATTAAAAAAATTGCATAAATAATAGGTAAAGATTTTAGTGTGAAGTACCATTATTTCAATTACTAAATTGTACTTAAGTGCATTTTGAGTTTCTGTTTTTTATTTATTAGGTAGTATATTTTCTATTTGAATAAAGTAAGTTTGTTATCTTAATTTTTTTAGAGAGTTAGAGCTAAAATTTAGCTTATAAATTTGTTAGGCATAAATTCATGATGCAGTGGATCGAGTCGTTTTATTTTGTTTGACTATAAAGATGTAAGACATTTTTTTATTATTGAATACACTATCATAGAAATTCATAAAATTATCTTATTTATTGTGTTCATAATTTGGTATCAACATTCTTTTACGGTGGCCTGAACCAAAAATTAGGTACGAGTGTAAAAACATATGTGAACATGAGTGTTAAGAAATGTTTTGAGCAATGATAGAATCTAGTAAATATGTGTAGCCTACCATTCTTAAATTTGACTAACATTATTGCCACTTTCTTCTATTCAAGGAATATTTGCACTTGATAGAATATGGAATTGCAATAGATTCTAACAAAGCATGAGAAACAGAACTCAAGTGGATGGAGGAACAAAAGCTAAAGGATTTGAAGACAAAAAATTATCTCTATCAAATAATTGATAGAAAAATTATGGACAATATTTTAAATTATGAAATGTCAAAAAAATATGAGATTCTATGAAACAAAAGTTTCAAGGTTCAATACGGGTCAAATGAGCGTAACTACAAGACTTGCACAAAGATTTTGAAAATGCTACAGATGAAGGAAGGAGAATAAGTGAACTCATACTTTGTCTGAATTTTGAAGATATCTAAAAACATGAAAGTGTGTTGTGAGAACATGCAAGAGAATGTCAAAACTACAAAAAACATGTCGTCTATATAATAACTACGTGATGTGCTGCATTAAAGAATTTAATAATATGGATATTATGACAATAAACAAACTACAAAGTAGTCTATTGGTTCACGAGTAAAGAATAATATTTTCTGTAGAAGAACAATAGGTCATCCAGATTGTGGCTGATGAGAGAAGTGGAAGAGGTAGAGGAAGGGGAAGAGAGTCATTTAACAAAGTTGAGATTAAATGCTTTAAATGTCACAAACGTAGATACTTTTAATATGAATGTCTTATGTGGGAGAAGAAAATAAATTATGTTAAAGTGGAAGATAATGTGAAACAAGAGGATGAATTCTTGTTAATGACTCTCGTGGATTTCAAATAAGGGAAGAAGGTTGAGTGATTTTTAGATTATGGATGCAGTACCTACACGAGTGATAATAAGGAATAGTTCTCACAACTAGATGAAATTTTTCACCATAAAGTAAAATTTGGTAGAAAATCTATGATGTCAGGATTTGATATGTCTGATCTAGGGAGAATGAGTTATTTTCTTGGAATTGAAATTTTGCAGAATACACATTAAATTTTTAAGTGTAAAAAGAAGCATGCTTAGGATGTACTGTCCTGGTTTGACATAAAGGATTGTAATGTAATCAAGAATCCAATCGTTCCATGTACAAAATTGTTTATAAATGACATAAGGACCAAAGTAGATGCTACTCTATTCAAACAAGTAGATAAAAGTTTCATGTACTTGACTGCAACCCAACCATATTCGATATATGGAGTTAGCTTAATCAGCAAATTCATGGTCAATCCTATAGAGTCTCACTAGTCTGTAGCTAAAAGAATACTATGATACTTAAAAGGGACTATTGGTCTCAGCATATACTACAAGAAAGGGAAAAATATAATTATAATTGATTATACAAATATTGATTTTATTGGAGACATTGATGATAGAAAGAGTACTTTCGGATTTTTGTTTTTTCTAAGGGTATGGAGCAAGTTGAATATATAACTATTGTATTTTGTGTATGTCAATGCATCTAGATTAAAAGGGTAATGAAGACTCTTATTTCAAATAACAAATGATTTTATATAACAAAAATTCAACCATTCAATCATCTAAGAATCCAATATTTCATAAAAAAAATAAACATATTGATATTAGATTTCACTTTTTAAGATATATCATTAATAATGTATATTCATATGACATAATGACCAAACCACTTAAATTAAAATAATTCTTAAAACTTAAGATTACGTTAGACATAATTGACACATAAAAAATAAACTAAATGTTTTGTCATCTAGTTTAATGAAAAAAAAAATGTTAGCAATTATGTATTTTTTAAAATTTCACATTTGATTTATTAATTAAGTAGCATGCTTTCTATTTTAATAAAATAGGTTATTGCTAACCTAATATTTACAGAGTTGGAGTTAAAATTTAGCTCATGAGTTTGTTAAATATCAATCCACCGTATCTTACTTTAAAGTAGTTGAATAGTTTTTTTTTTTTTCCTTGATATAAGGCATTTTTTTTTCACATATTAAATATACCAATACAGAAAATTATCTTACTTGTTTCCGAATCATTCCAAAACAGGATAAAAATAGAAATAAATAAAAAAATTAATAATTTGTGTAAAAAAAAAACAATTTATAATAATTCAGGTGGTGAGAAATTTTATTTTGTTAAAGTAAATTTCCAAAGTTAAAACACCCATAATGAATACAGGAAATTAGGGTTCACACCAATCGCAAGTTTAACATCATCTTTTAAATAATCAAGGTTTTAAACCAAAAGATTTAAAAAAAAAAAAATTATACGGCGACATGTAATAAGAGGAAGAGAATTTAAGAAAACAAATAAATAATAAGAAGAAAAAAATTACGATTTTAAGGTTGTTTAGTAAGAGACGATATTAAAAAAAATATATTTTTTCTCTCTTTTATTGGTTGAATATATATATATATATATATATATATATATATATATATATATATATATATATATATATGAAATAAAAATATTCTCAAATAAAACAAAATTGGTAATACATATTATCTAAACCTTTGAAAGACGAAAATGCTTACGAGTGAGAACGTTAAATTAAATGACTTAATAGATATCTGTATTTATTTTTCATAACTACAATTGAAAAATAAAATCCAAAACAACTATAAATCCAGAAACTAAAAAAAAAGGTCGAGTGAATTTGCAATAATTTAAATTTGAATAAAATGATTACATATACTTATATTTAATATTATTAAAAAGATATTTATTTTCATATATTATTAATTATTCTAATAATAATGTCACATGAATTATTATACTTTTGTATGAATTTATATATCATTCCACAATATTGGTAAACAACATTTATTCACATGTTACTTAAAGTTTACTAAGGAGAAATCTATGATGATTCTAATAATATAAATCTACTATTAATTATCATGATATTCCATAAAATCAATTTTTTATGATATTAAAATAATACACATCAATATACAAATAATTTAAAAGCTCATGTGATATAAAATTAATTATTTTTTAATAATGATGATTAAAATTTTAATGAAGTAATTGATATTATATAAAAATTAAATAAAATATTTATTATTTTTATTATAAAAAAACAAATTTATTTTATATTTGTAAATAATTTATTGATTTATTGATTTAATTATTAAATTATCATTTTCTTTTTTATTTAGTGTTCGGAGTTTTGCTTCTTTAAACAGTAATCTTTAATAATTTGTTTGGATAAAAATTTTGATAAAAATATATTAAATTTAATTTTTTAAATTTTATTTAAATTAAGTATTTTAATTATTATTAAATATAAAAATTATTCTAATTTTAATATATTTAAAAACGAAAAAAATATCATCTGATTAAATATCGTCATTACATTTTTAGTTGTTGGACAATTTATCTCGATTGAAAATCAGTTGATATTATTTCTAATTAATAATATTAATCACAGTTATTTTTAATGATGTTACTTAAGTTTTTTTTAGTTTGGTTAATTTAAGTTATTTTTTTACTGACATTTTTACCATGTAAGTTCAATAATTCTTCCATTGAAAAAAAAACCAACAACATTTAAATAAAAAATAATTACAGTAAACTTTCAGTAGAGAAGAAAACCCTTAAATTATTTTTATAAATTTATGAATTTTTTTATTTAAACAATTTATTTTATAATTTTTTTTTCATTCAAAACAATTATTGTTTAAAAAATATTATCCAAATCCACTATTAAGTTTTGTAAAATTTATAACATTAATCCTTCCTTAGTGAAACAAATTTAAAGTACATAATGTATAAGCTTAGATTATTTTAACTTAATAAATTTTCATTTCAAACTTACCATAATACTTAAATTTCAATAATTGTGAAGGTAAAATTCTGTTGAAATAGAATAAAAAAATTATCACATCAACATAAATTGCCAAAGACATATATATTTACTTATCATAATTTTTCAAAAGTTTTCCTTTTGTCACGCACAACCAATTTTTTTTTCTCGATAACCCAACTTTTGACATGTAAAAACGACAAAAATAGAATATAATTTTGTTTCAAAATTTGCACTAATTTACATTTTTTTTACTAAAAAATTAAACATGAAGTTAGTATCTAATAAAACATGCATATCCTTGTCACAACACTATAAATTTATAAACCAAGCAATATCTTTTTTTCTTAAGTAGAATTAAGAATTTAGGATATTAATTTGTTGTCATGTGTTGTTTTTAATTTTGAGAAACTAAATTGATATAATTTTACAAAATCAAATAAATACACACTTTAAATATATAAGTTATAATTATTTTAAAACTATATAATATAATATTTTTAAACTAGTATTATTGACTGATAAATCTTATTGAAAATTGAAGGATATCATTTCAAAATTTTATAATTTTTATATCTAATTATAATTATAATTTTAATCTTCAAAATTTAATGATATTTAAATATATTTACTTAAATATTTATAATTTTATTTTTTTATATTTTTATATACTTTTATTATTTATTAATAATATATTATTTAATTAAAATCAATATCCTATCACTAACAAAATTAATAAGAGAAACGTGGTGAAACTTTAAAATAATTGTAATAATTTTGGATACTTTAAAATTAAATAAAAGATATATATATATATATATATATATATATATATATATATATTTTTTTTTTTTTTTTTTTCTCATTTGTACCACTGGCTTTTGGAACCGGTAACGCAACCAGTGGAAGTACCTCTAATTCTGATTCTCTTTTTCTGGGATGAGTTCCCAACCTCTGTCACCAAACAATTTCAGGGATCTCTTCGATTCCGTGGAAGCTTTTCTCTTCGACTGCGATGGTTGGTAACTCTGCATTGTTCTTCTCACTTCTTACAATCCCATATACTGAATCATGCCACATGGCTCTTAGGTGTGATTTGGAAGGGCGATGAACTCATCCATGGAGTTCCCGAAACTCTGCAGATGCTTCGCTCCAAGGGCAAGAAGCTCGTCTTCGTCACCAACAATTCCTGGAAGTCGCGGTCTCAATACGCGCAAAAGTTCCAATCCTTAGGAATTTCTGTTTCGCAGGTTCTCTCGTCTTCTTTTTATTTCGCTTACGATCTCAACTTCGATGTTCGCCGAATTGTTCTTGTAATCTTTTTTTTTTTTTTGCAGGACGAGATATTCTCCTCGTCCTTTGCGGCTGCCATGTACTTGAAAGTCAACGAATTCCCTTCACAAAACAAGGTTTCTTACTTTCTCATCCTTCTCCCACCAAGCCATAGGTTGTTTTATTTAATCTCTTGCCACGTAATTCTTAGTTGCTTGTGAATGGAGAATGTTACTGATGCTACTGTCTCACACACACACAAAGAAAAGTCCGACATTGCTTGTGAATTGAAGTCAAGTTAGTTCATAAGTTTTTTTTTTTTTTTTCTTAACCCAATAAGGCACTTTTAAAGAAGGTTTAAAAAACTGTAAGGCACATGGAAATGTTGCAGACTTGAGGTCAGAACATTAAAACTAAAACGATGGCCTAGGCCAAGGGCCTCTAGCCTTGACTGGGGGCTCTATTGTTTCGGTTCACAATAAAAGTTTGACCAAAGAACAAGACCATGAGCTCTACATGACACTTCTTTTACTGTGTTTCCTGATTTCAAATATGGTTTCAAATCAGGGATGACGTAAAACTGAATCCAAGTTGAATGATCAACATGCTTTATTTACAGTGTACATTTGGTGGTGACTGGTGATTGAATAATAGCTAGGCTAACTGTGTATTAGCAAGACAGATTTGTTGGGTTTCACAATATTTTTAGGGTTGGAAACTGATCACATATTTTATTCATGTGGACAACCTTTAAATACAATACAAAAACAACTGAAAATTAATAACAATTATTTTAATTGCAACATTGCCTCTCTCTTACACAGCTATGCACTCTCCATTTTCAAGTTTTACTTTTGAAACAATTATTTTATCTAACTCCTTGAACAACAATTCATCATGTCATATGATGTGTGCATCCACTGTCAATCAACCAACTCATTGCTTCTCCTCCTCTTATTGTTGACCAGCCACTTAAGCCTCAGTTTGAGACTAAATTTGTTATTGCAAAATCTTGCAATATGACCAAACTTCTCCTCTTATTGTTGATCAACCACTTGAGCCTCAGTTTGAGACTACATTTTTTTATTGCAAAATCTTGCCATATGACCAAACTGGTTGTAATTGTTGCAACATACCTCGGGCCTCTTCCAAAATCTAAAATAAGGATGATTCAACCTTCCACAATGTTGACAAGGAGGATAGTTTGACTCCTTATATTCTCCTTTATCACCTTTAGAACTTTCTATTGGCACAAAGCTGCTTGCTTGAGCCTTCTTTTTCTCTCCTTTGTAACCAAGTTTCACTTTGGCCTGTAAAGCACCTTCAATCATGTTTTCTTCCCTCATGAATCTCCTTTGTTCTTGTGCTTGCAAAAGGTACAACAATTCTAGATATTTGACAAATCTTTGGCATTTTTCAAAAAACAAATAACGGATTCAAATCCTTTTTCGGGCTCTCAGCCGTTGCATCTCAAACTTCCTAATTAAATTCAGCACTTGCATACCTTTGATTCTCTCATTTCCTTCATATTCTTGTTTGAGAAAATCCCATATGGCTTTTGCTGACTTCATGTTCATAAATCATAATTATGGTAAAGATGGCGGGAGAAACTACAAAAATAGACATGACTTTGCCTTTGATTTTCTATGATTCTTTTCCTTGTGGTGATTTTATAGTTGATTGAGCCTCCTCAATAGCCTTATAATCCTCCTCAATAGCCTCTCAAAGATCACATGCACCAAGAAAAGCCTCAATTTTGACTGCCCATATATAGGTGATTAGTAGTGTAAAAATTGAGTTATCAGGTTGCATTTTTTAAAACTCTCTCTCACTACAAGCTTTTTGGGTGTGTTTGGTGGAACTATCAATCTTAACAGGTCCGTCAAGAATAAGTAAAACTCAGATACCATTATTGGGTTTCAAAATATTTTTAGGGTTGAAAACGAATTACATATTTTATTCATGTTGATAACCTTTAAATACAATACAAATACAACTGAAAACAATTACACCTCTTAAAATATAAATCAGAATTTAAACTATCCATAAAAAATTTAAACTGCCCATTATCACCTATAATTAAAACTTATTACAATAGAATAAACTCTAATAATAAATACTGATTCATATTTCTAATAAGATTAAAAGTTAAAACTGATCATCTGACAAATATTTGTATAGGAAGTGATCACAACAGAATACAGTTATTGAAAACATTAATTTATTAAAATAAAATCAGGATGATGATTTTGTAATTTTCAGTGAAAATAGAAAGTATTTTGTTTATATTACATTTTCAGTCTCCTCTCATTAGACTTTTGCTGTGATAGTGAATAGCCCATTTGCATACAGTTATATGATGATTTTTCCATTTGTGTTTTTATTTTCAGGTTTATGTAATTGGTGGGGAGGGTATACTGGAGGAGTTGCGGCTTGCTGGCATTACAGCTTTTGGTGGTCCAGTAAGTTGTGCATATTTATAAATTATAACTTGCCTACCACTTTTTCTTTTTTTCTTCATTGAAATTGAAATTCATGTTGCCCCAAGCTGATGTTCTACCAGATTAGTTTTCTAGTTCATGTTCTCTTTGCTTGTAAAGTTTGTTGTTTTGGATGATTATTCACCTCAGGATAAATAAATACTTGTGTTATTATTAGAAAGGAAACCCTTACACTAACGTTTGGTTCATGTGATCATAATCAAGTTTATTATTATTAGCTTATTAGCTTTTGTTTTCTTAATGGCAATGCACACTTCAAACAATACAATAATAGAGGGATGCAAATCACATGATTGTCACTAAAGTTATTCTCACTAAAGCATTCATTGGTTGCAGGATGATGCAAATAAAACAATAGACCTGAAGCAGAACTGGTTTGTTGAACATGATAAGAGTGTAATAACACCTTGCTCACTGTTAATTTGTTACTTTGAAATCTTCATTGAGATCAGTTCTTGAAGTTAACTGATGGGTTGCTTTCAGGTTGGAGCTGTAGTGGTCGGTATAGATCCAAACATTAACTATTACAAGCTTCAGTAAGAACATATTCCTTTCATCTTTTATTTAGAACGTTAGCTTCTGGTTCATGTTGCTTCTGACTCATGCCTCCAAAACAGTTTAGAAATCAGAACGTTCAATGACTTACAAATATATGGAATCCCCAAAGAGGATTGATACTATCAAAAGGACTATATTCTTTTTGTTAGTATGACCTGAAGTATCCATGACATTGCATTACCAAGCAGAAATAACTTGACCTTCTTATGATCCTAGTTTGTCTTCATCATTACATGAAAGTTGGAAGTTTATTTCAAGTGTTTGTATTGTTAACTGAATCTTGATTTGGGTCTTGAAGCCCAAATCTTGATCCCACTTGATGATCCTGTCCTTAACATCAATAAAGTTGCTGGTTACCTACAAAGACACTTTATAGAGGGCATAGTAGACAAAGGAGTTAACGAAGGAGTTGCAGGTGATATAGAGGGCATAGTAGACTGAGATTCTATCTGGGGGTTGCCCCTTTATATAAATTCAAATCTTTGGAAAACAAAAAAGTGAGGATCTTCTATAACTAGGATAGTTGTCCTCCTAGTGAAGGAAGTATGTGATTTTATTCTTTAAGAGTGGTTAGATCTTTAGAGTATTTTAGTCCACAACACTTTGTTTACATTATAGATTTGTCTTACAATTTGGACTTATGGTCTAACTTTAGAGGTGAAGACTGTTCAAACTTTATAAGCTTTATTTAAGTTATATCTCAAATCATGTAAACCAAACCACCTTAAGGCAGCTCCTAAAAAGGTCGCAACTAAGGTAGACTAGTGGTGGGTGACTGCAATTAAGGTGGCTTTCCATCACTCCCCCTCACGTCCATGGCTACCATTTTAGAGCTTCGTGAAAGCAAGTGACCCAATAATAGATCTAGGATAATCTTTGATACCATTTTAGAAGTTGGACTTAGATCTAACTTAACTTCACAAAATTGGCCTGGAAGGAGGATTGTCTAAGCTCTATTTAAGCCATATTTGATATCTACAGGCTCTACAGGATTAAACCACCATTGCTACAATTAAGGTATCCGAAAGAAGCTGCCACTAAGGCAGACTAGGTGTACTGGGTGTGACTGTAATTAAGGCTGTTCTCCAACAATTTGTATGGATGTATTTGAAGACTGTTGTCATGACTAATAAGTTCATAATACTATGAGAATTATTTAATAAACAAATTACTTTTCTTAGAGAACATTGATGATGTGTTAAAGTAGTTTTTTTAGTTTTTAATTAACCCAAAGCAGAATAACTAAAATAGCTGTGCATATTAATTTTGATTATGCTTAATAGAATCATCAAAATCTTATATTTATATATGCCAACATCATCTTATATTCTGGTGAAACAAGGACAGCTATGTCCTGTATTGGGAATTCTATCCACATATATTTAACTACTTGCTTTTAGTTGTTTCATATTATGATATTTCAATGTCCTCCAATAGGTACGGAACTCTATGCATACGAGAAAATCCAGGATGCCTCTTCATTGCCACCAACCGCGATGCAGTTGGACATATGACAGCTTTGCAAGAATGGCCTGGTCCTTTAGTCAATTCCATTTTACTCATAAACAATGAAGATTAGTATTCAACTAGATTGTATGGCCTCATAATTGAGAAAAATTGGATTTCAGGTGCGGGTTGTATGGTTGCTGCTATATGTGGATCAACCCAGAAGGAGCCTGTTGTGGTCGGGAAACCGTCAACCTTTATGATGGAGTTTTTACTCAAGAAGTAGGAAAGTTAAATTCTTAAATGTCTTGGTATTTCCGCAATGGTCTGTGTTTTATGTTATAGTTTTCTCATCATATCTTACTCTTTGTGGAAGATTCAACGTAAGTTGCTCCAAGATGTGCATGGTGGGTGATAGACTAGATACTGATATATTATTTGGACAAAATGCCGGTTGCAAAACACTTCTAGTTCTCTCAGGTAATGATGGGACTTGTCTTTTTCTGTATGATTTATGTTACTAGAGAAGTCATTCATAACTTATGGTTATTACTTTTATTGTGCAAACAGGTGTCACAACTCAATCAGCACTCCAAGACCCTTCAAATAATATTCAACCTGATTACTATACAAATAAAATTTCTGATATGCTTGATTTATCAGGAGCATGAATGGGATCTTCCCAATATAGACATTCTTTGACGGCCCATATTGAGACTGCAGCTATGTTCTACATAGACACACTGCACTTCTATTTAATTTTTTCACAATCTAATTATAGCTAATATCATCTGGGTTTTTGTTACATCTCTTCGATGCAAGGTGATTTGTTCCAAGCATAAGCAATTTTAGAGGCGATGTTAGTTGTTCACCTCTGTCAATCAGAATCATTATATAATTGCACTGTTTTCTGATTTCGTTACAGAATACTAGTCATGACCAGGGGAAATTACGTGTTCTGCCATTTCAATAAATGAGGCATTGTAATACTATAGATATTTCTAATGTTGCAGTACTTGATTTAAGTTTTTTTTACCAGTTTGGATCTTCTGTTGCAAAATTGTTTGGCTTATCCATCCACAATCTCAGTAGGTAACTCATCCAAAGCAGCAGATAGCAGTGGATTTAAAATGAGATGCTTTACAATCTCTAACATTAGCTCGAATGCTTCATAAAATGTTTTTGTTGCAGAGGTTCTTAGAACATAATTTTTCTCGGGGAGTTTGCAACGACTGGTTCGCTCTACTGTTTATGTATTAATTGCAGTTTAAGCAGCACTAGGAGAGTACACAAATTTTCAGGACTGCCTGACCTTTCGTATGCACAGGACATGAAAAAGGATGAAAGAGAGAGGGTTGGGTCTGTGAACATCCCTTGAGTATCTCCTTTCTTTGAGTATTGTGTTATGTATGTCCTTGCACCATGCACCACTTAAATGGTTGAAAGAAACGTTCAAATTTTGGTCAGTGTGAAACTTTACAAGTATCACGTGACAAAAACATTACTTCCACGATGTGGTTTTAGAGGGACGCCTCATCAGGATGGTGGTATTTACCTTTTGGGCATCGTTAAAAGCATCCCGTTTCTTTTCCAAGTATTGACCTGCTTTAGTTTTTTTGACAAATATTCCTTAAGGAAACATATTTATGTTTGTAGTGTATTACAGTAAACAAAAAATAACGCTAGAGTGAATGAGACAACTTGCCTATGAAATGGGTTGGTGATTTTGGTGGATGGCGGAGCGAAGGGAGGAAGAGAGAAAAATTGTTTGAGAGAGAAAAATTGTTTGAGAGAGAAACGAGTTTGAGGTGGGTGAAGGGTTTGGAGATAAAATGGTAATTTTGTGATTCTTTTTAGTTGGGGGAAGAGGGTGCATGTAATCCCTGACCTTTTTATTGGTGCATTTTGGAAGTCCTGATTCCCAGATGACCACAATAGGAAAGATAGTGCATAATTTGAGGTATTGTCACTAGAACAGATCATACACTAAAAACTGAAACTTTGGAACAAATAGCCCATTGGCTCATAGACATTAAGAAATATCTAGACACAAGTTTTAACTCCCAATGTGCGGTTGAAGTATTAGCACGGCCTGGATAAAGCCACATTAAGTCGTTAAAAGACAAGGGCTATTGTCGCATAGGTTATCCATTACATATATCAATTTGTGTTACAAATAGATAAGAATTCTTGTCAAGCACAATGAGAAGACGGAAGGACTATCGCAACAACTTAATACACGATCATATATCCACAGAAAATGGATTAGCTACTTAGCATCACTGGCAATATGTTCTGTCCCAGACAAACACTTAATTATGACTTGTCTCTTTCAGAAGTGCCAGCCCCCAACTATAGAAGTTTCCAAATGAACAAACACAAACTCATCTCGTCTGGGTGGTCTACCATCATGAATAGAGAGCCCTGATCCAATTTCGAAGCTCCATGCCAATTCAGGTGGAACAGGATTATTACTTTGAATAGGCATGTGATATTTTGGTCTTTGATGCTGGCAGGTTAGGTGAAGTCCTATCAGAAATATGACTCTTCAGGTTTCAATCCCAAAATTTTTGGTAAAGTTCACTTGGATACACTCCACCGTCACAAACATCAGTGTCCTAAAGAGTTAAGAATGTAGTAGCCACCCTGATACAACCACTCTGGTACGATGTGTGACAATTTCAACATCCACATGTTTGTCATGGTTTGGTTTTTATGGTATTAGCCACATCAGGAATGGCAACATATAGTTGTAAGTAGGACATTATACATCTCTTGGTACTAAGCCTTTCAAGATTAATCTCTTCTACTCCTTTGATTTGTCTTGTTTATCCAAAATAGTATCAACAATATCTGCATTTTTTATTTTGTTCAGTGTTCATCAATGTAATAGCTGTCATTTCAATCAGTTGATCAACCAACCTCTTTTTTCCATTTGTTCATGTTAAACCAACCTCTTAAGCTTAAGTAATTTCTTACCTTCCTTGGTTGCACATATTGGGCTGTAGACCCCGGTGTGAAATTATATCCAACTGAGCTCATGTTTGGGCTAGCCTGTAAGTGCCACTGATACTCTGATGAGACTGTTAAATTGTCACATTAAACTTTCAAACAGAGAAGACTCTTTTAGATTAAAAAAAGAAAAAAAAAGGAAAGAAAAGGGTATTATGATTTGTCGCATTTTGAGGAATATTCTCACGCTGTGGTCTGTCATAATAACTGACTTCTTACACTCCCGCATCCCTCGGCTGTGGCACCAATCAATAATCATACAGCTTTGATGCGGTTCTACAATTACTCACTTCACATGGTGTCAAACTATATTTTACATGGCATATCTAGTAAAATATATTACATTCAATATATGATTACTAACAACATTCAACTTGACTCCTCCATTACTCACTCTTGCTGTTAAAATTCCATCATTCCAATGAAAAAGATAAGGACACCTCTAAACTCACATTAAAGAAGTTTCACTATCATAGTTGGTCCACATATTTTTCCCTTTCCATACAGTTTACAGGTCAAATAGGAGATGAATGATGATAAGTGTGAGAAAGGGACATCAAAGGAAAAGGTATGGACCGTTTAGCCATGCCAAAACCTTGACTTGTGCTTGTTAATAGGTTACAGGTTCACAGTAGCCGACACAATAATTTTTATCCAACCAATTGCTAATGCCAAAAATTTTACACTTCCTCTGGTGGTGTAGATTTTGACATCAAAAGAAACTAAAAAGTAAAACTTAAAGTGAAGGTAGCAGCCAAATCCTACATATCCAATGCCTTTCTTGAAAGCTTTTTCTGCTAGGTGAGACTATCAAACTCTGAATCATCAGAGTCTCCCGCTTGAAGGAATATATTCTTTTCCACCAGTAAAACAAAAAACAATTCAAACTTTGTAGAGACCCAAAGTTTTTTTTAAGAAGTAACTATATATGTATATTACGTTGAGGGGCCCAAGACTCACATGCATGCCACATGTCAAAATCTAATTGTACTGCTGCTTCCATTTAGTAGCTGCTCTTATAATATCAGTGTGTCTCAGTAATATTTAATCATAGAAACTATAATAATGAGTTTAATATGAGAGAGTAGGAGAGGACCACTGCATGAAACTGCTAGTTTTGATTCAAAATACAGATAGAGATGCATGTGGGCATGGGGTAAGTAAGTAGCTCGCAACTCTATGCATGGAGCTCAGATCTGCTTTGTTTTTTTTCTCTTATACTTAAATTTCCCTCTGCAATTTTTATGTATTTTTTTAGCATTCCCATATATTGTTTCATTGCCTCAAGTGAAAATTGAAAACAGGGTGGTAAGTAGAAACATATGCAAAGGCTTCCTCAACTTGCATGGTTTAGAAGGCCACAAATAATACCCTAAAAAGGTCAAAAAGTGCTACATCATCACACAATGTTATCTCTACATTTTAATTAACAATTTGTTTCGCTTAAACTATGCTAAAGCTTTAAAGACAGTGTCGGTTTCTGAGATTGTGATCCAATTTCTCACGCTCGGTGGGTTGATTATTAATTTTCAATTGAGAGGAAGTCTTAATTTGTCAAGTGAAATGATCTCATTACGCACAATTTTGAACTATATTCTAAAACTGAAAAAGAACAAGTAAAAAATATTGTATTTTTTATGCATAAAATTCTTATATAAACAGTATTTAATTATAAATTATAATTCTTATTTTTAGTCTAGTGAGATAATTAAACTATGATTTGTTAACTCATTTAAATAATTAATTGATATATGTGAATATTTATAATATTTTTTTTATTAAATCAATAATGAAAGTTATAATAAATATAATGGCAGATAATCTTATGTTATTATTTATTCTATTCACATCAATTGATTAAACTATATATGTAAATAGTTTTAACTCTCTCCCTTGATACCTCTATTTAATCCATGAAGAAAAGTTAGAAATAGCAGTATTTCACAACTATTCATTATTGAATCTCTACTCTGGAATTCATGATGAAACTTCTTATATAGCAGCCATGTTTTGAAACTTTTGGGAGCAGTGAGTTAATATAGATGACTATAGCTGCAGTTGATAACTTTGACCTGAAAATAAACAAACAAAAAACCAAATAGTTGAATCAATCAATATTACTTTTAACAGAAATAATTATGAAATGAAATGTATACTCTCATGCAACATAAAATACAAAAGCTGACACTATTTTTGTATATGAGAAAAGGTGTTGTAGTTTGGTTCCACTCACGCTCAAGACACCACAAGTTTCTAAACCTAGAAAAATAAAAGGCAAAGAAAAATCTTATCATGATTCAACATTTTCCACAACAAAAAAGCCTAGACAAAAAAGGATAAAACTCGCCCAAATAATAAAGTTTGGTTTGACTAAGGAAAAAACATTTTTAGGGGGGGAAGGGTCTCTAAAAAAGGAGGAAAGCAACTGAGAAAACAAAGTGTCTGATTGAGTGAAGGAAAGGACCAAAGAAGCGTGGAGTGCTTTTATTTTGGGACCAAACTTGGGTACTATATTGTGGAGTCAAATTCCAAAACACATTAATCCTAACGTTAATCCATAACCTTCATTCCCTTCATTCCCCCATGTGGCTATTGCTGAATGACTCTAGACAAGACCCGAACCAAGAAAGTTGTCCACTACACCAGCAATCAAACAAAACCTTGGTAAAAAAAATAAAATTAAGTCACACTCCAAAATAGATTTATTGTCGTCTTTCCAGACACTTGGATTCTCAGCTACGTGTTCAGATTTTTCCAATTTGGTGCGCAATTGCTCACACGCAACTGGTGTTAGAAAACATCATAGCAGAGAAAAAAAATATATTAAAAGAAAAGAAAAAGAAACACTTGGTTGATGTTTGAAATGGACATTTTTGGTCATATCCTAGACAGAATATGTTAGAATAGGGGCATGCTCATGTAGTATGTGTTATAATAGACAAGTGTCCATTTTGTGGTGGTTATTTAAGGGAGGAGTTATAGTGATAGCTCTGCATAAATCTACACTCCGGTTATCCAAATTTTGAGGTGGAGAGTTAAAAACATTACATGAATGTGGTGCTGCACATCTCATGGTGACTGTCAAAATGTGGATGGTGGTGCTTTTGGGATAGAGAGATATTTGGATTACATTACATGAGCCACAAAAGAAGATTAAGGTCAAGTTGTTTATTATTATGGGAAAATGAATTCCAACCACCTCCATTGTTATTCTTTATGAGATTTCATACTCAGTTGGGACCTTATACAGTTGTGCTAGTGCAGAGCCACTAAAAATAAACACCTAAAGCTCCATCTACTTGCACACACTAATGAAATCAATTTGAGGCTAAGATGATTAATTAATGCAACCTATGTGTATATGGACACATAAAGAATACAAAAGGGGTTGAGTGATCCTTCTGTGATCCCTTGTCCCATCATGGGAATTGCATTAAGAAATTGGGCCCTGCATGGCAAGTTTTCCTGTTGCAAACAAACCTCCAATGAATGAGCATATTATCAACATTGCAATGAAATTAAAGAACTTGGCTTGGCACTGGTACGTACACAATATATATAATGCATAATGAAGAGGTTTTAATGGGTATTGCAGTGAGTGAGTGAAGAGTGTGGTCCACCAAAAGTTATGATAGAGGGTGGGTGATTCAGTAATACACCTCTATTTTTCATTGGATCACCCAAACATTCCATCGACCGTTGGTCCATTACTTGGTGATTTTATTGACTGCAGGGGAAAGTAGCACCCATTTTAGGTAACCAAAAAACTTCATGTCGGCTTAAGTGATGGGAATTTGTATTTCCATCAAATGACCAATTCCAACATCATCATAATCACAATTATTGTCTATGTATTTTACCATCCAAATTTTCAGTTTTCATACTGTTTTTCTTCTTTTTTTTCAACGAAGTAATAGTATGTCATGATTTTTTATAATAATAAACCAAGATCAGTACAACATGATTCTATAAACATTAGTAATCCAAGGTATTATTTTGTTAAAATTTGTAAAATTTAATGATAATAGTTTGAATAGAAAAATTGAAGGAAGAAATATAGGATGTAGCATAAGCACAGGCTATTAGATTCCCCCAAGTAACAGGGAAGTTGTCGTGTTATTCAACCTCGTCACACCTTCTTCTTCAATAACATGTGAACTCATTTTTTTTTAAATGGAAATACTCCATTATTAACAATTTAACTAATATTTCTAGTTAGAAACTTGTTGACATGTGACCATATTATTTCGTAAAAAATCATGTTAAGATTCAACTCATTATTTTTATTCTACTCACAACTGTCAAATAGGCTAAAAAATTGTTTTTTTTTCTTGCAAATATTAACAAAAGAATTGAAGATTTTTGCTTTGATAACATTTAAGTTAGTTTTTGGATTTTATTTATTTATTTTATAAGCTTGTTTAAACTTATAAGTTGTGTTTGATAAATATGTTTAAAGTAAATTGTAACGTTTTTATAAGTGTTTAACAGCATGTTTTCTAAGTAGATTGTGACGTTTTTTAATGTTATTTGTGGTAGTAATTTTTTATGAAAAACAAGATTTTTGGTCGTATTTTTAATGTTATAAATATTTTTAAAAATATTTTTGAGTTATTTTAAAAATAAAAAAGATGTTAATTTTTTTAGAACCTTAAATTATTTATTATATCGAATGATTTAAAAGAAATAATGAGATATAGTGAAGATTTTTTAACTCATAAAAGAAAGTTAGATTCTTATAATATGAAAATAATTTCGCAAAACAATAACTAAAAGCATTTCTGAAAAAAAAATAAAAATAAACCACTTGAGAAATGAATCCTTATAACTCAATATTTTCATAGACTAAAAATTTCTCTCATATCAAATATTTCCTAGGTATGTTATGTTTTAGAAAATTAATTTATTTTTTAAAGAATTTTACAATATTAATAATTAAATATGAAATATTAAAAAGTTATAATAGTTAAACCTAAATATAAATAAAAATTAATCTATATATAAAAATTACACGTCTTTAAAATTAAATTTTGAGTGAAATACCATTTTTGAAAACAATGATTATATTCTAGTAAATAAAATATTAAATTTATTTTGAGATATATTAAAAATCATGCTTATATTATATTAATAATATTTTATAATACAAATGTTCTTTTATTTATCTATTAACATCTATAGTTAACATTTGTTTTTACTTGTTATATATCATTGAAAAAAATATAACTAATACAGATTAAGCTAAGTGGACCGATTTATAAAATTATTCTATTTTATTTTTAAATTAAAGTAACTTTTTTATATTGTTATATATATATATATATATATATAATTACAAAGTAATTTTTTTTATGATCATATTGGTTAATATTTAATTACATTTATATGATTAATTTATTAATATATTTATCAATGTAAGAGAAAATAAAAGATTGAAATATAATAATAATATTGGATTTAAAATTTTTAATACAATATGAATTTAGAATATTTAAAAACTTACAAAGTGTATATGATAGCAAATTTTCTTCTTTTATTTGTGGCAGACTCACCCACATAAATTTATTTTTGCGGGTCAAGTACACAATAAAATATAACCCGTATTTTCATCTTTAATTCGAGAAAAGAAAAAATGGTAAAAAGTTATTGAAATGAATGGAGTAATGGAAGTTTGAATAGTTTGCATAAAATATAAATAATTATAAATGCTAATAAAATATTCGATATATGCATATATTTATAAATTAGTATTGAAAATAAATGGTAGAATATAAAAGAAAAGAAAGAAAAAAAAATTGAAAAGGATAAAAGAATTATTTGGGCAAAGGCATGACAGACAGGTGCAAGACCTCAGAACTGTTTAGTGATTTGGACCTCTCTTGGTTTTCGCGACAAAACCCCTTTGAAATTATTGAATCAAGAAAAAAGCTTTGCTTTACCTTTGACTCCTCTCTCTCTCCTCTCTCTCTCTCTAAGCTACCACCAGCTTCCTATCTACAGTGCTCTCTCTTTCTCTCTCTTTGCTAAAGCAACGAAGCTGTGTTCTGATCCTTCAAATTAGGTAGGTACTCTTTTGTTCTCTTCTTACTTTCCCCTCTTCCAATTCTTCACTTCCCATCCCCCTTTTCGCCATAACCCTTCAAGTTAAACTATTTTTCCATCTGGGTCTCTCTCTCCCACTTCCGATCTGCTAGAGATTCCACTACAAACCACTTTCCTTCTCCAAGATCCATTTTTTATTAAATTCTCTCAGGATCACTCTCTTCCACCTGCTTCTGGTAATTTCTCCCTTACTTCTATACCCTTTTATCTCTCCAAAATCTTTGTTCCCCGTTCTTGCCGGCAAATTTGACCCTTTTACTTTACTCTTCTATCGGTCATCCAAGTCCAACCCTTTGCTGTTCTTCTCTGATTTTTTCTGGCTTTTTCTGGTTTTTGGTTGATTCTTGTCTTGTTGGTGTTTCATGACTGTTGTGCTTTACTAATTTGATCGTGGTCTGCATGCAGCTTTGCTAGGGATGTAGATATATACTCTCGCTTTTTTTTTTCTTGTTAACATTTTTCTTAGGGTTCTGTCCACTGTTTGTTCATGAATAATATAGCATGTGGTTCACCACACTGGTGGAGTCCGAGGTCTTGGTTGGTTAATTATCTTGTTGTGTTTTGGTTATGTTATGATGTTTTTGTGTTGGTATGTATCAAGGAGAGGAACTGTTTTGGTTTTATTTGTTGATGGATCTATTTGTCTGATGTTGATTGTGAGGAAATGGTGTCGCTATTTTGTGGATGTTTGAAGTGCTTGTTTAGTGGATTGGTTCATGAATCTGTGCTAACATGTGACTGTTAGACTAAGCATATTTTCATATGTGGGTGATGGCTAACTGATTTTTTTATGATGTTGGTGCCCTTTGATAGGTCTTTTGTTGTTTTTGGAGACAAATGGACGCTAAGCCACGGATTTGGTCAAATTGATCTTAATTGAAACTCTCTAGTATTTCTGATGGACTCGAAACCTAGTTCTAGATCTATCCCAAAACACCATCAGAAGACGGCTGGAATTCAAACCCTTGAGGCAAAAGACATCGGGTCTTCAGGGAATTCAGCCTCCCTGAAGACAGGGAAAACTGAGCCGGCAGCTCCGGAAGATTTATCAAAATCTGTCGGGAACGTGTCCAAGCAGAATACTGTGGAAACTGTAGAAAACAAGAAGTTAGGAGTTTCAATCCAAAAGGGGTCTGCTGATTCCTCGAGCAATAAAACTAGTTCTGGTGCTTCTTCATCTGTTCTTGACAAGCCAGATCGAGTTGTTAATGAGAACATAGGCTCACAGGAAAGCTCTATTGATCAAGACAAAAAGACATCAGAATATGGAAGTGTGAAGAACAGTTCTGTTTCTGCCAAAGTTAGTGATGGGGCTAGCAGTCTTGCAAAAACAAGTGGAAGTGCCAAGATCAGTGATAGAGCTGATTTTGTCGAGAGTGGTAAGAGCAGTATTTACAGAGGAAGCACAAGCAGTGATGTGAGTGATGAGAGTACTTGTAGTAGCTTTAGTAGCAGTATAAATAAACCTCACAAGGCAAATGACTTGAGATGGGAAGCTATTCAAGCAGTGCGAAGTAGAGACGGGGTGTTGGGTTTAGGTCACTTTAGACTACTGAAGAGGCTGGGTTGTGGGGATATAGGCAGTGTTTACCTCTCTGAGTTGAGTGGAACTAAATGTTACTTTGCAATGAAGGTAATGGACAAAGGGTCCCTAGCGAGTCGGAAAAAGCTACTTCGAGCTCAGACAGAACGAGAAATCCTGCAGTCTCTCGACCACCCTTTTCTCCCAACTTTGTACACCCATTTTGAGACCGAGAAATTCTCATGTTTGGTAATGGAATTCTGCCCAGGTGGTGACCTCCATACTCTTCGGCAGAAGCAACCAGGGAAGCATTTTCCTGAGCAGGCAGTAAAGTATGTTTAAATTACAATTCAATTTTGGTACATTCTTGCTGGTTATTATACTCACTGTATTTCAACTTTTCAGTTTCCCCATTTTCTTATACTTTTGTGTGAAAACTGGATCCAATTTCAGATACTATGCTTTACTGGCTTGTTATAGTCTTCTCAGGGTGTTATAACTTGTAATTACAGCATTTATATTTTAATTTCTTTTCAAAATTGTCCCTGGATAATCCCTTAATTTTAATCTAGGCGGTTGGGTGGACTCAACCTTATTTGTGCTTATTGCTCTAATTGCTGCACTTTATTGAAACAACCTAATTCTAATGCTTTGATTAATTTATCCTTGTAACAGATCCTGTTTACCATTATGCAAGCATCTATGACTAACTAATGAATTACTTAATATGTAAATAACATCAAAATTTAAATGTAGAATCATCCTTTCTCATTCATGCATGAAAAGCATAGGTGGAGGTTGTGATACGAGTTCTTTTAAATCTGGGTTTACTTGTTTTACTTTTCATATATTTATGATGAATCTGGTTGCTTTATTCAAGTCCTATATGAAGTCAAATACTATATTCCACAGACAATTTCAGATCTCAATTGTGGGTTTGATGTCTGCTTTCATTTTTCCAACTGTCCAAGTCAATTCATAACCTCAACCAGAGTAAAAGTGAATCTTTGAACGCATGTTTGTGGGAAGATAAATTAAGTTGAAATCTTAACTGTCATTAGGGCATCTGTTCATATTACTCTGTACATGGCTTTTGATAATTTTCAGAAATCTCTTGATTTTCTATAAATTCTGTCGGCTGAAAATAAGATGTCTGAATGCTCCTTAAGCCTTAGTCAAGATTTCTTTTCTTGCTTTTTCATTTTTGGGTATTTTGCCTTGTTTGGCAGTTATCTGAATATGATTTGATGGTAACCCCTGATAACTTCCTTGTAACTTGCAGATTTTATGTGGCAGAGGTCCTTCTGGCTTTGGAGTACCTCCACATGCTTGGGATTGTCTATCGTGACCTTAAGCCAGAAAATGTCCTTGTCAGGGACGACGGACATATTATGCTCTCAGACTTTGATCTTTCCCTCCGATGTGCTGTCAGTCCGACTCTTGTCAAAACCTCCTCCATGGATTCGGAGCCTTTAAGAAAGAATCCTGTTTACTGTGTCCAACCTGCATGTATTGAGCCACCTTCCTGCATCCAACCATCCTGTGTTGCCCCTACGACATGCTTTTCACCCCGCCTCTTCTCTAGCAAATCAAAGAAAGACAGGAAGCCCAAAACTGAAATTGGCAACCAAGTGAGTCCATTACCCGAGCTGATAGCAGAGCCCACCGATGCTCGGTCCATGTCTTTTGTTGGTACTCATGAATACTTGGCACCTGAGATCATTAAGGGTGAAGGTCATGGGAGTGCAGTTGATTGGTGGACTTTTGGGATCTTTCTGTATGAGCTGTTGTTCGGTAAAACTCCCTTCAAGGGATCTGGTAACCGAGCCACGCTGTTTAACGTTGTGGGTCAACCACTGCGATTTCCAGAAGCACCTGTTGTCAGTTTTGCAGCAAGAGATCTTATAAGGGGGTTGCTTGTGAAGGAACCTCAGCACAGATTGGCATACAAAAGAGGGGCAACTGAGATCAAGCAACACCCCTTTTTTGAAGGTGTGAATTGGGCATTGATCAGATGTGCTACCCCACCTGAGATCCCAAAGGCTGTTGAGTTTGAGAAGATACCCTCCCCAGCCTCATCAGGTGCTGGTGAAAAGGCTGTTAACCATATGTCAATAGCTAATCAGAAAGGTTCTGATAATTATCTGGAGTTTGATTTCTTCTAGAGGTAGAGACAATATTGATTGCAAATGGTTTCTGTTAAGAGGGGGAGGAACTGTTTTTTCCATGTTTCAGAAACAGACCATGAGGAATTGTATGTTTGTTTTTGTTGGCTATTTGCAGTTTCAAATTTGTATGGCACAATTAATGCATGGCTTCTCTGTCATCTCAAAAAAGTCATATAAAAAGAACATTTCTTTGCTACCTCCCAATGCACCACTAGGAATTCCAACCCACCTATGGTGGTGATGATGCTCTTCAGGTCCCAATGATACTATTGGTAAGTATGCACTGTGCATCAACCAACATGCCCATTCTAATCTTCACAGTATTTCTTTCAAAACTGGTGTCATCTCCTAAAAAAGTGTGCCTAGAAACTCACCAAAACAATTTTCCCTACGCCCTGTCTTTGGATCTAAATCCAAAATCAATTAAATGCAAGTCAATGTTTTTGTTTTATCTCAATATCTGAATGTTATAAGTAAAAGAAATGTATGTTTTTTTTTCTTCAAGATAAAGTGTATTAATAATAACCACAAATTGAAAAATCAATTATTACATTTAACTGATATATTCGGTTTTAACGCAATTTCTGTTATTTATTAGCAAGTTATGGATGTAAACCAATTCTATACATCTGAGTGTACTCTTTCACTGGACCTGATCCTAAAATAGTAAGATTGCATCAGAATTTACTCTTTTACTCAGTTTATAATTTTATACATAATTATAATTAAATTTAGTACTAACAAACGAAAAAAGTTATATTGGGTGATATGTCATGCGAAGAAAATTAAAGAAGCAAAAACGTTAAAACATAACAGTTGAATAGATCCATAATTTCTTAAAATAAAAATTCCAACTCTTAATTTTCATCAATTAAAACATAAAAATTTAACTTGAGCATAAATTAGTTTTAGTTTATAAAAAATATCATTTTTTATTTTTTTTATTAAATGTTTAAGGAAAAAAATATTCAAACAAACCTTAAAATATTATGTGCAAGTTTTTTTTATTTGAAAACGTTCAGAATATTTGAAAGAGTTGAACATCCCTCACATTCTAATGAAATAAGACAGGGTTATTGACTGCAAAATTTGTGTATGAAGCATGTTGATTCCAGTCTAGCATTTGGGTCAAAGAAAAAAGAAGACTTGTTACAGAATTTCATTGATCAAAATCTGGGTCTAAATATCCATATAGGATTCGGCACAAATCGCATAAGAGAAACAAAACCACATGATTCATTCCCTTCCTGTGCAGCTCTGAAACTGCTATTGTCACATGACGAAATGCAATCTATTATTTGATCTATCACTTCCTTTCCATCGCATATTATTTTTACATCACACATTTCTGGTGCATTTCTGAGGATCTTATCTGCCATGCCATTTCTCCTTCTAGAGACGGATTTCCTATCCATCACAATAAAAAAAATTAGTGACAGATTAGTTGAAAACTACTCGTATTTATTTAATTTTAGATATTGCAGGACATGGTACCTTAAATTAGATTTGGTGATTCCAATCATCAATTTTCTTATATCATGATCTCTAACTAGGTCTGTTATTGCTTTGGCAACGTTGTCACCCTCTATGAGCATCACCTCCACCTTAACCTGTTGCATGTATTACGTATATACAATCAATTCAAAAATGTTAATTTCTCATTAGAAAAAATCACTTGACCAAATTTAGTACTGCACACACACCGATCTCCAACCAAAAGAAAAAACAACTCAAGAGATCTTCAAGATTCTTGAATAACGTGTTGTGATAAAGAATTTAATCAAAATTAAATAATATTAAAAAATTAGAATATCAAATTATGGATATAGTCATTTTTTAGGAAAGGAAAATTTGACCTGTAATAACAAATATCTCAAGTTGTTTATTTTTTTTCAATTACAAGAAAAAATAAAATTTGATGGTTATATAAAAAAAATACTCTTATTTACGACATAATAAACTTTTAAATTACAATAATTTTATATTCTTTATAAAGATGATAGAGTGCTCTTTCATAAAAATTTGGTGTTGGTGTTATCATAGATTAAAAAAAATGTTTTAGTAAACTCATGAGTCTCACATTATTTAGGAGTCAAGACCAAGTGTAGTTTATATATACTCTCATTTTTTAACTCATTGATACGTTTCTTAAGAATAAAATTGTAATCGACGAGAAATCCAAAATGAATATGAGATCGAGACAATCTCATTTCTAAACAGAACACCCTTCTCTCTTAATCCACCAATGTACTCGTGGAACACTTATAAGGTAGATGTGATCCAATGAATACTCTTTCTCATTAGAACAAATATTTTATTTTATTTATTAATGATTTGACCCGTATAATATGAGTCTATTTCATAAGAAAAAAATAATTAAATATTGATGTATTATAAAATTTTAAAGCACTTATAAAGAAATAAAGTGATAAGTTTATAAAAATCTTAAAAAGATATAAGAGAAAGAAACATTTTTCAAATGAATTTAAAAATGAAGATAAATGGAACATATAGACCACCTAATATATGATTATATATCTCATCAAAGATAAAGGGAATACATAGATTATTAACATATGATTATACACCTCATTATCAAAATTGTGTACTATGATAAAAATGGTAAAGTTCATGTTATTTGAAAGCAAAATGTTCGAATAATTTTGACACGAGACTTTTAATACAATAGTCTAATTGTTGAATAGATATCCAGTATAAATTATCTAAAACATGACACTATTTAAAGATCAAGTGTAAAGAAATATTCATTAAACTATTTAAAAGTCTTTGGATGTAATTATTATGTAAAGATTTTCAACAAAATATATAATTATCAAACATCATTTTATTAGAGAAATAATTGAAAAAAAAATTGAAATTTTACAAACTTATCGACGAACTTATTGATATTTTCAATAAGATATAACCTTAAAAATAAGTTTAAACAATAAGAAAAAAGAGTTCAAGACCATCACATTATGAAAAAGAATGTTGAATAATATATTGAAGATATTTTCTAAATATTAAATTGTATTAATATAGTCTTTATAATACATTTAAATATAAAAGAAAAAAAATCAATCCCAAATTATCATCCCTTAAGAAATGAAAAGTAAATTGATTGAGTATTATATCAACGTCATCTTTCTATTTTTAATACTCAATTAGCTTCTACAATCAATTTAGTTTCTTAATGAACTATTATATCAGTGACTCCAATTAGTTGAAAAAAAAAATACTAACAAAAACAGATGAAGAACTAAACTGTGAATTAGGAACTTCTTGTTTCTTTATAGACTAAATTCCATGAAAGAGATCATTTTCAAGTATCAGATTGTGTATTGTTTTGTGCGAGAGATATTTCTATACCTTTGAATCAAGGCACAAATCAATGAACTCTTGAAGGAGCAATTTTCTCTTGCCTTTCTCTTGAGTCAAGTGAAACTTAACATACTCCGCATTCACAACACTCCTCGGGAATTTTCCAACTGCCATCAAACATCAAAAGAAACTCGATCAAGTACACATAGTCGTCGCTTAATTAATGGCTTCATTAATTAAAATGGAAACAACCACTTCATTCATTCGTTGACTTCAGCATTTTTCATTAATGAAAATGGTAACAACCATGTTTTTCATTTCTTGAATCACACCATCAACAACTAATCCGTATTAGTCTTATACTAGCAAAACTATTACATGGTCTAAACCACTACATATTATTACTGCCAACCAATCTTTTCATCAGGAATCATCAAAGTTTTGAACTGTGTAACAATTTCTCTTTATACAAACTTAAAGAACATGACTCACATGGACTTGGAATGAGCCTGATTTCAGGAAAAAACGTGTATGAGATAGACAGTGGTGGAGGGAGTGACAGCATGTTTCAAAGTCCATAAAAGGGCTTCCATGCTTGATTCCCCAACGTGATCTACTGCCACATGAACAACATCTCTGTCGTTGTTATTGTGAATGTCTGATAAACATAGAATATACGATTACAAATACCGTATCATGGCATGATACGGTATTTGTAATCGTATATTCTATGTAGGCTCTTGTTCATGGCATTCAGCGTGACCCTCCCTGAACTCAGTTGTGGGCACATCTTCTGTTGTGGGGTTAACGTCATCAGTCTCCACAACGTGTTCTGCATTATTCATTGCACCAAGTCCAGGCAATGCTTCCTCGACAATGCCAACATCAACAGTAGGCAATCCTACCTCTGAATGTCTACTGTGGGCAAGAGAGGCAAACGGGAATTCATGTTCTACAAACTTAACATCTCTCGAAGTCCAGAAGACTTCTCTTTCCAGATCAAACAATTTCCAGCCCTTTTGTCCGATTGAATATCCAACAAATACATTCTTGCGACTTCTACTTGCAAATTTGTCACCTTTCCTATCTTGGTTATGTGCATAACACAAGCATCCAAATACCCGTAGATGGTCATAAGTGGGTGGCTTCCCATTCAATATTTCATATGGAGTTTTTCCATGGAGAACGGTTGAGGGTGTACGATTGATCAAGTATCCTGCGGTCAAAATGCATTCTCCCCAGAATTGAAGTGGAAGTTCTCCCTGAAATCGTAGAGCACGAGCTACATTTAGGATGTGTCGATGTTTTCGTTCGGCTCTCCCATTTTGCTGAGGTGTTCCAGTGCATGAGGTTTGATGGAGTATCCCATGTTGCTGAAAATATCGTTGAAGACACATAAACTCAGTTCCATTGTCACTTCGTAATATTTTGACTTGTTTCTCGTATTGTCGTTCTATTAAAGCGATGAAATGCTTTAAGGTTTGTGACACATCTTGCTTATTATTCAAGAGATATATCCACACAGCTCGAGAACAGTCATCAACCAAAGTGAGAAAGTAAGATGCACCACAAGACGAGGGAGTTCTATATGGACCCCATAAATCACAATGTATTAAATCAAATATATTGGATGCTTGAAAATCACTTAAAGGAAATGTGTTTCTACATTGCTTTGATCTCTCACACACTTCACACACCCGAGTTGTATCCATATTTCTATTCACGCTGTTCAGATGCGGAATTTTTCTAACAATCTGGTAGGCAGGATGTCCCATTCGCTTGTGCCAAATCTCTAGTTGATTTTCTGCATTGGTCTGATACGCCTTTATGCCACTCACACCACGATACCAATAGAGTCCCTCTTTTTGTTCACCCGCTCCAATCAGGCATCCTCGAAGTGTGGTCCCGCATTGCACAAAATCTATCGATAAAATGTACTCGTACATTTTACTTCATTCGTCAATTGTGAGACCGAAATCAAATTGCAATTCAATTTCGGAACATATAGAACATGTTTAAGTTTCAGTCCTCCATCAAGGAAAATTGATCCTTCTTTGTTTGCCAGCACCAATTCACCATTTGGTAGTCCCACTCGGGCACCCTTCCAAGGCTCGACTCTCCCTCAAGTTTTCTAGTGTTCCTGTCATATGATTAGAGGCGCCACTATCAATAATCCACAAGTCACATGCTTTCTTACCAGTCATCTTTTCGGTTTCATTTGCCTTGCGAGAATTCAACATTGTCTGTCAAGATCTGCCATTGCTCATTACTCGATCCCGCTACTTCGGTTTTTCGGTTGAACCAACGTTATCCGCACCAGTGTGCGCCATATTGACGCGAGTCGTTCCTCCTTTCCCTCGGAAGGTTCCTGTTCTTTGTTGATTTTTTCCATCGTTTCTATCGGTTCGTGGTCTCTCTCCCCACCATTCTGGGTAACCAATGATCTCGAAGCAATTGCCTTTGTCATGTCCCTTCCTTCCACACCGCATGCAAACAACTCGATTTTTCTTTCGCTTCATTGCGCAACTTGTTCCCGGTTTCCGCTCGCATAGCCATTCCCACGATCATTCCTCGCTCTTCTTTAGACCTGGTGATTGTTCTCACCCTTTCTTCTTGCACCATGGTGGCGTACACTCGATTCAACGAGGGTAATGGATCTCGTTGCCAAAACATTTGACCGTGCAGTTCCATAGCCCTCATCATCTAGCCCCATCAAGAACTCGATGAATTTTTTCTTCTTTTCTTCGTTTCTCAAGTTGCGTCATAATATTACAATTGCATCCCCCACATCTACACTCGTGGGATTTGCTCGTAATTTGCCAGTTCATCCCACAACGTTTTCAACTTCCCATAATAGGAAACCATAGTCATTCCTTGTTGTTTGCATTCCGCCAACTCGACTTTAGCTGCTGGATTCTTGGTCCGTTCACGATCGAGAATCGTTCCTTGATGTCATCCCATAGGTCCTTTGCGTTTTCCATGTATGCAACAAGTGGAACGCAAACTAGGTTCTATAGTGTTTAGTATCCAAGATACAAGCATCGATTGAATTGTCCACCAATCTTCTATCTCGGATGTGTCTTCTTCAGGTTCCTTATGAGTTCCATCTATGAAACCCCATTTCCTTCGAGCCCGCAGAGATATCTTCACGGCCCTTGCCCATTCCTCGTAATTCTCTCCTCGTAATTGTACCGTGTAATTACATTTCCGGGATTATCACCGGCACTCGGATCGTATGGCGATGGTGTTTTCTTCACCGCCTCTCCTTTCTCTGCCATTTTAGAAGTACGACTGTGTTCTCGGGCTGTTGGATATCAGAGTTTGGTTCGCTCTGATACCATGATAAAAATATTTCCGAAAACCCCTGCCTTGTATTGAATATGATAGCACAATATATACATGAAATACAGAAACATTCTAGGCTATAATTACGCTAACCATTATAGTCGGTATCCTAAATTTGTCTATTAACAGATATGAAATTAATGTGCATCGCTGTCATGCCAAGCTAAATATGGAAAAAAATAATCATGTAGAATCATGGCATGATACGGTATTTGTAATCGTATATTCTATGTTTATCAATGTCAAAAGAGAACACACTGCTCTCACAATCTTCTGATATTGTATTCAATGGCTCCTTCAGATTGATCTCAAATAGCTCCTCTGAATCTTCATTGTTTACCTCATTGGTGCTGCAATCAAACACTTGGTTTCTCCTGAACCCAATGAAACCCCAAGAGCAGCTAGAGGCCTCTTCATCGGGTTCGTTATGCAAATACCAATCACGCCCCGTTTCCCCTGACATCAATGATAACAATTGTAGCAAGTTTACATCAACTTCGTTTGTACTACATATAAGTTTTGTAGACTTTCTGGTTAAACTTTTTAGGAAGAGAGAATTTTGAATTAGAATAGAGTTTCATGATGTTAAGCATAGCTTAAACGTAACTTCAATGACTACGCGGTTTCTCTTAACACATTTTGTTTTCTTTAAAAGAAAATAGGTAGTTTTTCTTTATTAAAGTTAAAACCTTGTTCAAACTAGAAAAAAAGTATTATGAGGGAAAGTTTTATATAAGTATATAATACCATTTCATATTTAGAACTTGAACCTAATGTTATTGGAATTAAGAGGTGCTATTTTGTTTTGTAATAATAAAGAAAGTGCCAAGAGAAGTATTTTTAATGAGTACGAAAGTGATATGAAGAGGACAAGAAATACTCTTAAAAAGAAAAAAAAATAGAAAGAAAATTAATGAAGACCGAGTTAGGGACAGTAACTCCATTATTTTAAGTCAAATCACATGCACACGTTATATCATAAGCTATATGATGATGATGCCATCCTTTCAAATGGGATATTAGATAATGACTAGGTTGGACACTTGCGTTAATTAATTAAAATTAATATTGATAAGCTAATAATTGATCATAACATGCACCTGGTAGGGTTTTTATTGGTGGATTTTGTTTTCCACTAATAAATGGAATTATGATTCCAAGATTACTAGTTTTTTATATTTAAATTACCTTAAGAATTATGGTTCATAACTATAGATTTAAGTTGATTAATAATTATAGTTTTTTGTATCTAATAAAAAATAATGTTTTCATCAAAATTATTATAAAAAAAATAGATTTTTCAACGGATAAAATATGTTTGTAACTAAAAAAATCCGCTTTATATTATATTTTTATTACTTATTATATTTTGAACTACTATTTATCTGTCTTATAATTAAATACTGATACTCTAACCATTAAGTTATTATGATTTTTTGATAATAATTTATAAATAAATTATATATATATATATATATATTCGTATAAATATATAAATATAAATATATTTATATATTTTGATATATTTATATATAAATATATTTTAAATATTTACCAATAAATATATCCATAAGTAATTTTTGTCGATAATTCTTTAATCACTTATTATTTGGATGATTATATATCGATAATTATCCATCGATAATTTAATTTTCTTGTGAATGAAATGTTTAAGACGAGCATAAAACCTCTTTATGGTGTCTTGTGTTAGAAAAATTTCATTATATAACTTCACTTGTGTATGGAATTTAAGTTAATAATAACATAGCATATAGATTTATTAAAAAGATAAAATGAATCAAATTTTCTTAAGTTAGAATCAATTTATATATTTCAATAAATATTAAAAATCATCTAACTTGCTTCAATAAAATTTAATTAATTGTAGAGTTTTAAAATAGATTAAAAAGAAACTAATCCAAGTCACATTTCATTTTCTTCTTTGTCTAAATGTAATATTACCAGTAACAAAATAAAATAATCATTTTTAGTTTATCATATAAAAAGTTAAACTTTTGTTAACTAAATTAGATATAGATTCTTAAATTTTCTTTCTTGTCAATTTGTCCAACTTAACAGTATTATGAGTATGTATCCCCAAGTCTTTAGTTATCTTAAAAAATCATTAATATTGATTTTTAACATTTATTTTAAGATAAATAAATAACATATACTTTACATATCTTAAAAATTGTTTTCAAAGGTGTTATTTTTTCATATATAACAATATGTATCACTTAATAACTTGATTTTTCATAAAGAATTAAGTGTCACATATATGGATAAAAAATAATAATTTTCAATTTTATAAATAAATAATTTAAAAAATAAAATAAAATATACTTATTTAAAATAAAATAAAATATACAAAACCAAAAAAATCCACCACAGCAAAAGTTCAGAAAATTGTCTGGTTTAAGACCAGGCCACAAACTGCTGGATAAACCACATATTACGAAACGATGTACGTTTCTTGTTGGTTGCTGCTAGATGAGTTTGCCAAAATGATTGTGTTTTTAATCATTTTCACCCTATAATCAACCCTTTTTAAACAGATCACACTATCAGCTAAAATCCATGGAGGAAATCTTAAGCAAAGGACTCTGGTGTACCTGTTCATTTCTGGAACAGTGCGTGTCCCCTTCTGAAGTGCGACGTACATAAATTAACCATGTTTTGTTTCGAACGTTACTTCATTTCAATAGAGCTACAACATTACAATAAGGACTCCCTTAGCTTGAAACAGTAGCAGCCCTACCAAGTTATATAAACCGGTGATGTTGCATGAAATTTTTCTTCTGGCCTTGAACACTTCATTTTTCATCTAAATTGTTGGTTTTTTAAAGAGTAAAATCTAAAACCAACATCCATTGATGCAACTATTCCCTATGCTGCAATTCAGTGACACGGTGGTTATGAAAAGCTTTGGCTTAAAAGTTGAAACAAACACATGAAACCGAAGTATTTTGCTGCTGATGCTTGTTTTTCTGGGACATGGAAGTATCAGTAGCAATGGCTCGAGTTATCTGTTCATTTACTTCCTTTCCTTCGCATACAATACTCACATCGCAACTTTCTGGAGCATTCTGAAGTATCTGATCAGCTATGCCACTCCCTTTCCTTGATCTCATTTTTCTGTGTAACCAAAATATTAAGTAGTCAAATACAAGATAAAATTATCGATTCTTTTCTGATACACTGATATTAAGTATACTATAGTAACCCTTTAATTCTTTGAAGAAATTATTCTATGCCCTTTATGAAATTGTTAAAAAAGTAGAAGATTTGTGTGCAATCTCAAAAAATCACGGGCCACAAGTGTAATTTATTCTAATAAAAATGCTTGTATAGCCTAAACTGGAATTCTGCTGAGATACATTGATAGTGTGGCTCTACCTTGTGTGGGATTTGCTGGCTCCAATCACTACTTTTCTTATTTGAAGAATAGGAATCAGGTCGATGATAGCCTTTGCAATCAAATCACTCTCAATCAAGATGGTGTCCACCTTAACCTGCTTGATATTTTTCTTACTTCAAGTCTTGATTTTGGGAGAAATTGGAAAGTACTTCCATTGTAGTTGTAGAATCAGTACCTTGGAAGCAGAGCATAATTGGAGAAATTTGTTTAGGAGCTCCCTTCTCTTGCCTCTTTCTTGGGCCATGTAACTCTCTACCAGCTCAGGACTCACTTGGTCCTTTGGAATCATTCCCACTCCCACTGTCATGACAGAAACACAGTGTCAAGTAAGACACATTCACAAACTTGCAAATGCATATGGTTGGATTTGTTGATTAGAATCTTCAACTTGAGAAAATTCTTCTTTGCATTCAGACAGGAATTCAACACATAGGTTTTGACTTTTTGTACTCGAAATTCACAGTCCTTTATTTCAATCATTGTAGAGTTAGGACATCATAACTCTATCTTTGGTAGTAATTTTTTACCCTTGGATTATATTATTTTCTAAGCCCTCAAAATTCATTCTCGGGTTATTCTGAAGAAATCCAAATCAAAAAAGAAAAAAATAAATAAAATAAAATAAAGTAACCATGGTGACCTTTCTATCTATCGACCATGTTTTATCTCTTGTTTCTTATTTGTGGTCTTAAAAACAGCATGGTGGTTAAAATCTCAACCTCACAGGTAGGCCAAGGGTGTGAACAACTTGCACCTATCTACTATAGAGGCAAAGAAAAGAGAGAATGAATGAAAAAGCTACAATCCAAAATCCAAAATCCAAACAACAAAATAAATAAATAAACAAAGAAAAGGGACATGAGAAATTTGGAAGAAAAGTTACATGGATTTGGAAGGAGCTTGATCTCTGGGAAAACGTGTATGAGATAGATTATGGTAGATGGAGTGGCCAAGTTGTTGAGGGTCCATGACAAGGCATCCATGCTACTCTGGCTCTTTCCAACTGCAACATAGACAGTATCTTCCTCCTCCTTTTCTTCTTCAGTAATGGCAACCATAGGATTAGGAGCATCATCGTTGAAGTGAAAGTGTGAGGAGTTATCTTCCTCTATCTCACTCACGCCGCTGCTTCTACCATAGTAGTTGTTCTCCACCTCCAGGGATACACCTTCATCTGAATAGTGCAAGGTCTCAGTTAAGGATGCAGACATTTATATGACTTTAAGACTTGTTGTTGTGTGTTCTTGGCTTGGGTGAAAGGGCAACAACAGTTGGCTTTAGAAGAGAGTTGAAGGTGTAAATGAACACAGAAAGTGTGCCATAAATGAGAGAGAGAGAAATGTATGGAGTTGAATTAAGAGGAGCACCGGCCTCAGGGACAAATTTGAGGATGTGAAAAGGCATGTGGTTCGTAGACTAGGAAATTTAGAGTTTGAATATCAACTTTGACTTTTAATTTTGTCTAGACCGACCCCAATGTGTTGCATAAGATATTTTGGGGGTTTACCATCTGACATACTTCATGTTATACACCGTTTTATACTTATAAATTTATTGTTTTCTAAAGAGAATTTTATTCTTTTTATTTTTTATTTTTTAATTATTATTTTTAAAATACATAAATTTAATTCTTCTACGTATTAAAAGTTAATGCCATTTCTTCACATTTCTATACACTCTAATCCCCTACCTTTCTTCTTTCCTTTTCTTCTCTAATCAACAACACCATCTCAGTATTTAAAACTCTATTTTAGCCTTCAATTATTATATCTTACAAAACTATATCTATGCTACTTTTCTTTAAAATATTTGAAAAAACTACTAATTAATTTAAATATGAAAACAAGATTAAATTTTTCATCTTTAAATAATGAAAATTTATTTTACCTTTTAATGACCAGTTCAATGGATTTCAAAATTTTAAAGTAGTGTTAGGTTTCTTTGTCCTTTTGTGAAGAAACAAAACTAAAAAATATTACAATAACATGACAAAGTCCAATCAATCACATTATTTTACTTCCGTTTTTATTTTTATTTTTCCTGACTGATGATTGCGTTTAACTAAAAAACGTTGATATTTTTTGAATAACAAATTTCTAGGACGCGTGAAAAGAATAAAGAAAATATTCTTTTATTTAAAAATAATAATTTATAAATTATTATTTATTTTCTTAATTGTTTTATAATTTAATGATTGAAAATAATAATTTATTTTAATAAAAAAGAAAAATAATTGTAATCTTTGATGACTCTTGACATAACCTGCACAATTAAAAAAATCTACAATTTTTTCTTTTTTTTTTCTCGAGATGCCAATTCACTAACAGAAATTTGTTGGGTACGAAAAACATAATATATTTAATTTTCTTAACCACTTTATGTTTTAATCAAATTAAAACAGTCTCGTAATACAATAACTTAATTATTAAATTGATAATTTTTTTATTTTGCTATTATGGTTATTTTTTATTAAGTTTTTTTAAAATTAATATTTAAACAAATAAAGTAAATAGAGATTTGTGTAGAGACTTTTCTTAATATAATTTGAAATTATTTTAAGAAGTATTACTAATGTTTGTCTTCATAAAATATGAGCAATAAGATAAGCCAGATATTAGGGAAAAATTTTATTTAATTACTGGAAAAACGTAATCAATTGTTGATTTATTAAATTAACCCAACTAATAATAATCTAAGTAACCTAATTTCGTTTAGCTAATATTCCGTGTTGGAGTTGTATGTATACTTTTTTATATAGTTATGACTTTCCCTATATTTTTAATCTTCTTAAACTCTTAATACACATTTTAGTATATATGTAAGCATTTAAACATTTTAAATTATTAATATTGATATTTATATAATATTCACATAAATTTATACTTTCAGAATTTATTTTAAATTATATTTTTCTAGATATTACTTTATGTTACTTTGTCAAATAATGACGTTTGACTAATTAAGCTTTAGTCAAAATACAGGCAAGAAGAACCATACATAATATGGACAAAGACTAGGGATACACGCGAGTATATTAAAATTTGGAATGGAGTATATTAAGTTTTTATTCAAAAAGTCTTTTAAATATAACGTGTTTGACCTATTAAGTAAGTATTATTGTTATTATTATTATTATTATTATTATTATTATTATTATTGTTATTTAAGTTTTATATAAGATATTAAAATTATATATATATATATATATATATATATATATATATGTATTATTTTCAATATTGAACTGTGACCTACATATAAAAATTCTATAAACTTAAAAAAAAATAGTCTTTAGAAAATATAGAAAATTGTTTTTCCCGTAAATATAATAATCAAAATAAACTAATCTATTTAAATTGAATTAATTTAGTCTAAGTTGATTGAAATTTTTAAAACAAAAATATATGAACTTTTTTTGTTGTCGAAACAAAAAAACAATTTGTAAACATTCCTAAATTCAACTTTATAACAAAATAATAAGATCCTTTGTGCATTAGATATGTTCCTTCTAGTGCAACGATGTTTTTAGACAAAAAAAGAGCAACCTTTTCCAATGTATTCACTTTGTTAATTCGATAATTAAAAAGTGGAGCATAATCACGTAATCACTTGTTTTGTGGATCCTACGTCTGCATGCGGTTGTCGGAGGACGAGCATGATCCATTCAATCTACGACCATTCCAAAAAGATATATCTTCACTTATGTATCCATTCATGGAAAAATAATAACATTATTTGTATTTTTTATTACTTATAATATCAAATTTGTAGTTTTATATCGATTTTCGAAATTAAACAACTGTAGCGAAACAAATAACATCAATAACCATTTTCTTAAGAATAAAACATTATTTTATTAACATATTAAGATGAAAAAATAAAAATAAAAGATTTACATTACCATATTTTATATTCTTATTTTTTTTAAAGGTATACATATTTTTTTAATTAAACAAATTCTAAAATTATTTGAACTTTAATTTTTTTTTCCACTCCACGCATCTTCTTTCTCAAATCAAACCCTAACTAGAGATACATTAATTAACTTTTTGAGATTATCTATTATATTTAAAATAAAATAATATTTCATACTATTTTAAAAAATATTTGTGATGAAGAACATCTCTGCATGATAAAATTGTACATCAATTATATATACGAGTATAATCATTATATTATTGAATAATTTTATAATATAAAGTTGAATATATCTTTATTTTTAAAATAGCATCATAATTATAACAATGTTTAAATATAAAAATTTGTGAGGATATGATGAAATTTAATGTGGACTAGAAAAATCATAATAACAAGATATATTTACTATCTTATTACTCAATTTAATAATTATTAAATATATTTATTTGTATAATAATATTTTTACCATTTTTATTTAAGAGTCATTAAATATATATTTATAATTCTAATTCCTCATTTAATATTTTTTTAATAAATATTAAAACAAACCAGTAATATATATTGAATAAAAAATTTATATTTTTACATTTTTTTTTACATTTTATTAATATTTATTAATAAAATATTATTTGACTCACTCGATATTATTAGTCAAATTGATCACTTATTAGAATAAATAGATAAATAGGTAATAAGGTTTTTAATGAAATATTTATTAAAAAAATAACATTAGTAAGATATGACTTCAACCCATATAAATTATTGATTTCAAGACTTCAAAATACTTAAAAATAAGACACCAAAATTCACTTAAAAATGTTTGTGATAATTCCGCAAGGATGCTTGAAATGATAATAACGTATCACATTTTAAAATTGGACAAGTCACTTCTGTAGGTGTGTCTTAATGACACATAATAAAATAATATTGTCTTAAGGAGGTTAACCTTCAAACCTTTAATTAAGAATAACAAAACAGGTTAGGTACTACATGTAAGTCTTCCTAAATAATAGTGGGAGGAGGTGGATTAGTGGTTTTAACCTGCCCTATTTTGTCTCGTCTAGCCTAACCCGCTAATTCGACAAACCAAGGGTGGGGTGGGGTGGGGTAGGGCGGGTTGGCTCATCTAACCTAACTTACTAATTCCGCGGACTAAGGGTGGGGTGGACTGGTCCGTTGACATGCTTTAAAAAATATTTATATATTAAAATAAAATAAAATGATTATAATTAGAAATATTATATTTTTTGTGTTATGTTATTAAAATATGTGAATATATTATAATATTATAATTTAAATTACAAAAATTAATTAATTAAATTTAAATTATTGATTATAATTAGTTATTTTTAAACATAAATATAATATTTGTTCAATTTATCTAATAAAATATTAATTAATAAATAAAAATTTAAAATTTATCCATATAATTAAAGATATATTTTAAAAAAATTATATATAAAAAAATTATTGGCGAGTTAGTCCATTAACGTGTAACCTATCATTTAGTAATGAGGGTTAGGATGTATGGTCCGTCTTGACTATGATGGTCAGTCGATCTCTTGGTGGGTCATAAGTGAAATATAGTGACTCATTTTGTTATTCTTACCTTCCATAAAAAAACTTTAAAACAATAGTTTATATATTTTTTCTTATATATTATTTAATTTTTACTTAGTGTGAAACTTAGACTTATAATTATATTTTTTTAATTCATATTCAAATCTAATTGAACTAATTTTTTATACTATTAAGTTAGGTATGTTTTAGTCATTTTATCTAACTTTTTATATTATTAAGTTAGGTATGTTTTAGTAATTTAATTTTTGGATGGGATAATTTTTTAGTGGCATATGAATGACATGATATATTTCATTCATCATTCAATCATCTTAAAGGCATCAATTATCCAACATCCCTCCCATGTATGATAAATAAACTTAGAAATCTATTGTTAGATATCCACCTCAAATAAAATAACTACCATCTTGTGTCTAAAAGTCTCCATTTTGATCCTTTAAATATATTATTACCACTTCAAATTTTTACCCTAGATTTCCAATATGGAGAATACTAATAAGAAAACAATATCAATATGTGATGGTGTAAGAGAAGACAAGAGAATAAATAATTTTAAAATTAATAATAGGATAACTATATTATTTATTTATTTTCATTCTTAGTTTTATATTTCTCTTCAATAAATATTTTTAATTTTTATTTTATTTCTTTCTATTTCTCATCCATTTTCATTCCACTTTAGCAACCTATTGACTAAAGTGTGGATGCATATGCATGTGGGTGTGCTACCTCACTATTGGGGACACATTCTCCACATTTTTATGCCCTCATCAAGGATAATATATATTTATTATCTACCATTTGTGTGGGATCATAAGTAGAGTCTCCAAATGTCGAGGCAAACATCATGGAATATGTTAAAGCGTGTTTAAATTTTGAAGAAGATGTTGACGTACACGTTGCACCTCGTATAAAACTCATCACGTTTTCACCATGGTCTTTCGATTGATGGGACATTCAGCTATTAAAAAAAATCTTTATTTTATACCCATTTTATTTCAATTTAATTAAAGATAATTTCTATAATTTTAAGTTAGATGAGTTAAATCGTATAGTAATAAGCTTAAATATCATATATTGCTTTAGAAAATAAATAAATAAACGACAATAATTAATTGAGAAAAGAATATTTAAATTCCCTAAACTTCATTCCGTTTACAAATACACAACTTAAATATAATTTTTATCTTAATTCATTATTTGTAAAATCAGATTGACTTTTTATTATTTTCTTTATATCTAAAATATTATTTTAACTTATAAAAAGTGAATTGTAAAAAGAAAAATTTAATGAATTCTTAACATTTAATGTAAATGATTTAAATTGATCCTGTTAAAAAATATATAACAGATTGATAAGTTTTTCAAATTAATTAGAATAAATAAAAACTTTAGGTGTTTATTTACAAAAACAATAAAGTTCACGAGTAAATTGGAATAAATTTAAAGTTTAAGACATTTATTTATAAATGGGAGGAAGTTTAAGGATTAATTACGATAAAATTGAATTTTAAGGAGTCTATTTGTAGAAAAGATAAAATTAGGAAGATTAAATGTTCTTTTTCATAATTATTTGGAGTTTACAATAATTAATACAAAAATTCTACCAAATTAATCCTCTTTTTTTTTTTAATTTCCATCTAACACTTTAAAATTTAAATTTGAAGATTAGAACTTTATTATAACATTGGGCTCTAAGTCATATTAATCATCAAATTGAAAATGTCATCATATCTCCATTTCTATTGTATAATTGTCAAATTATAAATAACGTTATTTAGAAAAGATAAAATAATATTGATTTAAAATATAAATTAAGATAAAATTATATTTATAAAGTAAATAAACTATTTTGTATAACCCCGATAAAATAAATAATTGAGACCCTTTAAACAGGTAAGGAACATTAACATGGAATAAAACAAAATGGGAAAAACATAAAATTTAAGGTTCCCCGATGGAGCATTCATTTGCACACACACACACGATGAAGATACTATTATGCGAAATTCATGATTTATGGATTGGAATCACCGACAAGTATATTCCGATTATTTTTTTTTTTTTGATGGAAAAGAGTTTATATTTTATCTTTGAATAAATAAATAAATAAAATAAAATAAAACTTTTAATAACTTTTTTTTTAATTATCTTTTATTGTCACACTTTGCGAAAAAGTCAAATTTAAATCTTCGGTGGAAAATAAATAAAGGACAGCGGGACCAGAATAATGAACGGCGCAAAGTCATGGATTATATCGTGTATAAACAAAAGACGACGAAATAAATTTGTTTGAATATGTTTTTTTATTTTAATTTTTTCTTTATATATTTTGTTACAAGTTAATTAAATATTTTTGACAGAATCTAAAATATATGTGTTGGAGTAAAAAAAAACATATTTATAATCTTAGACTAAAATAAGTGATACATTATATTTAAATAAAACGTTTTCCTCTCCTAAATTACCCCTTCTTTTTACAATGTTGACAATTTGATTACATAAATGAAATAAAAGTTTTTCACTTTTGAGCAACTGAAATAAGTTATATGTTGCTTTTTTTTTTTAAATCTACTCTCTCCTAAAAGAACCCTGCATTCTATTTTTTGTAGTTTTATAATTTTAGTAAATATTAATTCTACTTATTTTTATTTTAAATTGCTTAATATTTTCTTAAAATTATAAAATATATATGAGGATTTTAAGCCGGACTATTATAGTTATCTGTTCGAATTTTTTATATATATAATAATAACAAAAATTGAGCAAAAGATTGAATACAAAGTAATTAAATACTTGTCTACTAAATTGACTCTAGAAAGTCAAAATTGTTTTAGTTTAAACATTAAAAAACAAACTTTGATAGTTTATAACAATACTATTTAATTTATGAAGAAGTAGTTTTGATAAAAGCATGAAAGATGCTTGTTTTGTTCCAAAAGTATTACTAATAAATAATCTTGAAAAGTCAGCTAACCAAATAATTAGAACTCAAAGCCAAAGGTTGATTGAATCTTGGGTATATCTATGAAACCATCTACCTCTGAGTCACTCACTGTACATTAAGTGGAATGACTGCATATAACATCAAACTTTGGTGTGCAGTACTGTATCTGTAACAGTCAAGTAATGCAAACACTCTACTCTAGATAGTGAGTGAGTGAAGCTAAAGCTACAAAAACTACCAAACGAAGACTCAATTCTATTTTCTTCCCTTCACACCACTCTGGGGTTTTTGCTTTTCTTCATCCTCTCACCAACACAAAAAATAAAAAATGGGCCTTGTTGTTTCTGAGGATGCCCTCACCAAACTCCGAGCTCTCATGGATCAAGGTCTGACCTTTATCACATCTTCTCTTTTTTTTCATCTTTCTCTATTCTGTTTTATTTTTCTCTCACCCCTTTTTCTTTTCTCTCTTCCTTTTGTTGAATTGTTTCTTTCTAATGATGCTAGTCGAGGAGGAGCCACTGCTGAGAACTTTTCAGGTGACCATTGTAGTAACTCATTCCCATCTGATTTTAAACATTTCAATGCTTTTTTCTGTTTTTGCTTCTTGGGTGTCTGCTTGTTTTCAACATCCTCCTGCTGATCCTGATCTCTCTCTTTTTGTGTTTGACCCGTGTAAATTGCATGTGTTGTTTCAATGAAATTTGTTTACTATGGTCTTTGGAACCCTGAAATTCTCGTGATTGCTGTGTCTATGTGTTCCATCGAGGCTGTTGACTAATTGGCTCTTCTACATTCCTCCTCTTCCGTTTAAGAATTTTCACGGGTAGTGATGGTTTAGCAAAAGAAAGGGGGTGGGGGATGAGATCTAATTTCAAGTGTGTAGGTCAATCAATGTTGTACTTCTGTGTTTTTCTTCAACTCGCTATGTTAACTTAGTTGAAGGGGACAATCATTTCTTGTGTTTCACACTTCCTGTTGTTTAAGTGTCTTATATGTAATTGGTGATAAGTTAATCAATTGCGTGCTATTTTCTACCTATTCTAATTATGATAGGGTTTGGTGAAATATGGTGATCTCTTAGCAACTGCCTAAGGACAAGTGTTTTCACCAGAAAAACACTCTATCTCTCATTTGGGATTTACTTGCTGTCCTTTGCAGAATGTTCATCAAGGATGTGTCACCGAAACCTTAATGCGATTTCTAAAAGCAAGGGAGTGGAATGCTACCAAGGCACACAAAATGGTAAGACATGTACAGTGAAATTGTTTCATTGAATACTTTGCAAATATGTGTTTATTGCAAGGATGATGACGGCTGGCAGAAGGCTGAAATTCTGCTATATAGATATGCCATTGTGGCCTATGACGCCACCATATTGGGTCTCCCTTCACAAGTTTCCTTTGGTGGAGGAGTCAAGAAAGCCATGTTATAGCGTGATGGTGGCACCGTAATGGTTATTTCACAACATTGGTTTATTGTTGTAAATTGACTATGTTGTCCAATAAATTTAATTGTAAATGCCTGTATCGTGTTTCAGCTAGTTGATTGTTTAAATTGGAGAGTGCAAAATGAGATTGACAACATATTATCCGTAAGTCTGGATTCCACTGATCCTTGTGTGTTATTGTTTAGACAATTTTTTGCAGTTCATATTTTTTAGTTTGGAGTTTGTCTGTAATTGAGAGATGTTCTAATCCTGGGCCTTTATGTATTTATTGGCAAAATCTTATTAAGGCGTATATATATTGCAGAGGAGTAAGATTTCTTATATGTTACGCCTGAATGCCATTTCATTTTCAGAAACCAATAATCCCTGCTGATTTATACCGAGGCATTCGTGATTCGCAACTTATAGGTTTGTCAGGGTACTCAAGAGAGGTGCTCTTCAAACACAATCTTTTCTCATTACATGTCATCTTAGCTTTGCTTGCTTGTTATCTACACATTTTCATTGTCATTAATCAAGATCATCTAACTTCCTTGTTATATCTCATCTTACCAATTTTAATGCTTGTTCTGCCTGCCATATTTTCCAGGGTCTTCCTGTCTTTGCAATTGGTGTTGGGCTTAGCACTTTTGACAAAGCATCTGTAAGCACTTTTAATGGCTATGTTTGAACTTTGGAGCAGTATCTATTGCTTTATCTTACAGCCTTGTGTTCTTATGTCTTCTAACATTATTTTCTGTGCTTGTATGATTTCAGGTCCATTATTATGTGCAGTCTCATATTCAAATTAATGAATATCGTGATCGTGTAATCTTGGTGGGCATTACACTTTGGAGTCCTCCTTAGATTCTTAATTTTTTTATTAACCTGCTAATTTAGCTTCTGCCCTTTTGTTTGTTTTGACCTGTGTATGCCTGTAGCCTTCTGCATCAAAGAAGCATGGGAAGCCTATTACCACATGTGTGAAAGTTTTGGATATGACTGGTCTGAAGTTATCAGCCCTGAATCAGATCAAGGTACTTACTAATTGATAGAGCTACTTGGTCCAGCAGTGTTAGCATGATCGGGAATTGAATGTGTTCATAATGCATTTTGATTTTAGGAAAATAGTCATGCAGTTTTTTGTGTAAATGATAATGCAGCCATTAAGAGTCGGTACGGTGAAGAGATTTGTGTCTATAGATTACTATTAACATATCATGTTCAATAAACTAGAAGAATCTGGAAGTAGAAGACTTACTCAAAGTTGCACTCACTAAACTATTATTGTTATTACTTTGTGAAAAAAATTCTTAAAGCAGAAGACTTGGTCAACATTTTTCCTTTGTCTGTAAATATTTTCCTATATCACTGAGTTGTCTCTCATGCTGATGCAGTTGTTAACAATAATATCATCCATTGATGATCTGAACTACCCGGAGAAAACAAATACTTATTACATTGTAAATGCCCCATACATATTTTCAGCTTGTTGGAAGGTATTCCTTATGACTTGGTTTTCTGTACGATATTTTTACGTATTATGGTTTAAGTTGTGCACCTAGGGATAATGCTAAACATTTTGTATTTGCAGGTTGTGAAGCCACTTCTACAAGAGAGGACAAGAAGAAAAGTGCAAGTCTTGCCAGGTTGTGGGCGAGATGAACTGTTGAAGGTAGTTTTTTTTTTTTTTTTTTTTAGTTTTAATTCTTAGTTAAGGACTGGTGGAAATAGTCCCAACGGCAGAGATTATATATGATAAAATTTTTGTTTTGATTGTCACACGGCTTGATCTCAAATGTTCAAACCATAGACTCCTGGAACATTAGTTTCAGAATAGAAAGAGAAATGCAAGGCAGAGGACAGTATTTCCTTTTAATGTAACAAAAAGCAGGACAATCAAACAGAGAAATCATGTTAGGTTAGGAAAAGCAAAAGTTAGGCAGTTCTTGAAAAATTGTCATAGAGATTACCTAATTGGCAATTTTATCCCCACATATGAGACAGTAGCATATGCCCCCTACCAAATGAGAAGCTTTATTGTACTTCTTTCAACAATATACATGCATGTTCTTCACTGCCTAGCAGCATAGAAATAAATGATTATCTGTCTTAGACTTTAAAAAGGCAAAGTACACAAGCATAAAACAGTCCTTTATTAGATCTGTTGTAATCAACAATGCAAATGCTGGTTGGACGTATTCATGCAACAGAGAGAAAAAGGAGAGAAACCATTCAATAGAAAAGAAAACTATTAACAAATAACTGATGTTCATTCCAAAGGAAAAATTGGAATTGTTTCGGCTTGAGGGTTTTGGTAATTTGTGGTGCCTTTTAGAATTTTGGATAATACATATACATGACACATTTTCTCCGAGAAATGCATGTGGAACTAATATTTGTATATTGCAAATGGTGGTTTTCTGTCTAACATATATTAAAACATCTATAACATAATTTGACTTCCTTTATGCTTTTGACATATCCTCTAAATAAGGACAGCGACCCTCTTTCTTAGCTAGGGTTTTCAAGAACAAAGGAATATCTTGAACTTAGCTCAGTTGCACAAAATTCATTTTTCTCTGAAATATATATACATTAGTGCATTTTTTCCCACAAAAAGTAGCCGGAGACAGAATAGCACAGTTCATTCCTCTGGAAGTGTATGCAATCTTATCCTGAATATTTCTTTGTTTTTATGATTCACTCCTTATTAATAAGGTTGTGTACTTGGTAACCTGTTTTCTGCTTTTAATTCCTTCAATTGAAATTAGCAAATAAAATTTGTATGTAGATCATGGATTATGCATCGCTGCCACATTTCTGTAGAAGAGAAGGCTCTGGGTCATCCAGACATTCAGAGAATGAAAATAGTTATTCCTTAGATCATCCTTTCCATCAGAAGCTCTACAATCACATAAAGGAGCAATCCAGAATTCATGAAGCTGTTGAACCCATCAAGCAGGGATCATTCCATGTAGATTTTCCTGAACCTCCTGCTGAGAAAGCTGAGATTGTCAAGACTTTAGAGTCTGAGCTACACAAGTTTAAGATCAGCAATGGGAATAGCGATTGAAGATTGATTGATACTGTTGCCAATAGTGTCTTGGCCATTGTGTTCTTTGCAAGTCCTACTAACCATTTGAACTAAACTAATGTAGTACAAGAATTCCACAGTACTAATTAGCCTTGTTTATGTTAGCTTCAGAAAAATTAGTGAGTAGTAAGAATAAAGCGGATCCAAGATTTGCATTATGCCATAATGCAAGTGAGAAATGTTAAATGTGATCATACCATCATGTTTCTTCTAAGCTTAAGATTTACGGTTTTAATATTCAAATTCCTTTCTCGATTCAAATAGAAAACAGAAAACAGTTTGTGTTGGAAGTACTGAACTTAGTAATAAAGAGTACGTATATTTATGAAAAAAATCTTCTCTTCTCTCTCTCTCTTTTTTTTTTTATGCAATGGTGGAATGGAAAGGTATTCAATGAGATATGGACCTCTTATGTAATTTATTTTGTGTAGCTAAATTTTAAACTTGACAAGATAATAAGAAGAAATAGAGGTAGAATTATAAAGGTACTAACAATAATTAAAATTAAAAAAACCTTTAAAAATTCTGTTCTCCAATGATAATAATATTGACTACCCAAACATGATTGATTAAATATAAATGAGTTGAATTATTTATGTTCAATTCATTAAATGTTTGGTAAATTTAAATTTGAGATTAAATACATTTGTTTAACTAGGTATTAAGTATATGAAATTAGCTCATATATCTATTATAGAAAAATTAAAATTATATAAATTTACAATTTGTATAAAAACACTTTTGAATAGTCTTTTTTTTTTTTATATATAAAAATATGTTGTAATATTTATTTATAAATAAACTAAGTCTAGTTTAAACATTAATTTTTATATGGCTTGAGTTCAAGCTTTTAATGCTACACATTTAAATATATAAATAAAATTTATGTAACCTATTTTTTTCAAAAGTCAAATTTAAACTTGAGGTATTTTATTACTTGTTTATATTCCTAAATACTTGTTTATATTCCTAAAAGGTTAGATGGTAACAGGGTGTAAAAACATGCTTAACTCTATAGGTGTGAAGATTCGAAAAATAGATTAGGTTAAATAAAATTTGTAATTTAAATTGAATTAGACTTATTTAAATTATAATCTACATGAATTTAGGTTAGATTAGTCCGTAAGTTTATGAACCAGAATAATAATTATTTTTTAAATAAAAATAAAAGTAATATTATTTTATTAATAAATATATATGTATTATAAATTAATTTGATAAAAGATTTCTTTATTTTAAAAATAAACATTAAAGTAAGTATTTAATAATATCTAATAATTAAGGTTAATTATTATTTTAGATTAATAAAATACTAAAAAATAAAGAATGATAATAAAAAGTAAAATTTTAATTCTTATTTTAAGATTGAATAAATATATTCTCTTATATTTTATAATTTATATATTAAATCATTATATCTCATATAAGAACTAATTTAATTAATATAATTTAAATTTAAAATATATTTTTTATTTTTATTTAAATATATTTTTAATTAATTAATTGATTTGATATAAATATATTAATATATTTTAAAAAAATCAATTAAATCAAAATTCATCCGTTAAGCCGTTGAATTAGCATAATATCGAATTAAATTAAAAATTTTAGTACATTTTAAAATATATAAATCAACCATTAATTTTTTGTATCTTTTTATTTTACCATTCTAAAAGACGTAGCAAAACACTTTTCATGCATTCGTAATTTTTTTATAGTTCTGATTAGGGTTACTTGTAGTTATGAACGATAGTATATTAGTATATTACATAACCATGTTATACGTGGTAATGGTAGCAGAAATCCATGCACAGCAATAAGCAGAAGCTAGCCTGAGCCACTTGGAATGATTTCTTGGAAAATAGAGCGGCAAAGAGAAGATGGAACTTATGAAAGCAGGAGTTTGACAATTAGCATTCACATTTGCATGGAAGATGGAAACATTTTGTTATGTCTTTGAAAGATAAATGGGAGAGTTTGTGATACATAAATGATTGATCATGTGGTGCAAGGAGCTTCTGAACTCCCAAGAGAAATTAAGGCACAAAGCCAATGAATGCTATTGAATATTGGTATGTGATAACACCATTTACTGCATAGCCGAGACTGAAGGATTTTCATTTTTAAATACGCAGAGGGATTGGTCTTGGAGAATTGTCTGAGTATTCCAAGTTTTGTTCTTCTAGACGCCATTTCTTTAGTTCGCCCTCAACTACTTCCTTTGCAGAATCTGCCATCTCTGCATTTCTAAGAGCCATATCTGTTGCAGCCTTTATTTCCTCAATGGCTTTCAGGTTTGCCTCCACTTTTCTGTCCACTTCATTCTTCCTTAAGTTGATCGCTTCCACCTGAGCCATGGATGCTGCTTCTGTTCTGTCAATCAAATCTTCAGATTCCTTGATTTTCCCACTCAGTGCTGCAAACTCATCAACTGTCAACACAATCTTCCCATTGGAATCTAAAACTGAGACTATGTCTTGAGTGTTGTTACTGTCAGACATCAGCTTCATCTCCTCAATGGCTTTTTGTTCTGCTGCTTTTGCTTCCTCAGCCTGTTTCAGGTAAATCTCTAGTTTCTTCTCCAATTCTTCTGCCATAGCTTTGGATTTTTCAGCCTCTTGCTTCAGCTCTTGAGTTTTGCCTCTCATTTCTTCTTCTTCCCTTCTTGCAGCTCCTGTCTCAAATGACAGCTGTTTGATCTTCAATTCTATCTCTTCAGATTCTTTGTCCACCGCAGACCTTGTCACTTCTGGTCCACTCTGTAGTTCATCAGTTAGGGTGAGAGCAAGGGCTTCTGCTGCCTTTTCCTTCTCCTTGAGTTCCTGTTGCTCTTTCTTCACTTGTTCTAACTCTGTCCTGAGGGAATCCACTAGGTTTCTCAGAGAGGTTTCTTCTGCAGCAACTTCCTGAAGTGTTTTTGTGGCTTCTTTGATCTCCAAAGTTATTAGTCTCATAGAATCTATCTCTGAATCATGTGCCTGTTTCATTTGCTCTTGGAGAACCTGAATCTCTTCACTTGTTTCAGAAAGTTTGGCCTCTAGATTTTGTGTTAGTTCCTGGTCATACTCATTCTTCAAAACAATCAATTTTTTCTCTGCTTCATCCTTGGCATTTTGGTAGAAAGTTAGTCGTGCTTCTCTTTCTCTCATGACATTTGCCTGATCGTCTTGGGCTTGTGATGAGGCAAGCTTCAAATGATCAATTTGTTCTTTCATGGTTGCAATTTGGTTTGAGAGTTCCTGGAGCTTTTCTGAGTTCAGTTTTGCAGAACGTTGAGCCTCTCCTGCTGTTTGGAATGCAGCCAGTTTTGCCTCCAAAGCTGTGTCAAAATCCTGCCTGATTTTGTTGAGTTCTTGCTTGGAAGCATCTAGTTCCTTTACTGTTGTTGTGTACTCTTTTCTTGCATGCTCTAGTTCTTGTTTCCAAGCTTCATATCCTATAGCTTTTTGGGATAGTGCCTGTTCAAGTTCTTTGGCTTGATTCTTCACAACTTCAGCAGCTTCTATTGCAGATTGTTTAGATTCTCTCACACTCGTGAGCTTCTTTGTCAATTCCTGTAGTGTCACATTGGCCTTTTCAAGCTCGGAAAGTGCTTTTGTTTTTGTGCTCTCAGAACTATCCAGCTTTTTCTTTATCTTGTGTAATTCTCTTTGGGCCAAGAGAAGCTGAGTCTCCTTTTCCAGAACATTCTGCAAGTCACACAATTAACTGATCATGAATCATGTATAACTTCTTGAAGAATGACACTATTGATAATGAAGAAAACTGCTACAGTTGTTGTTGATACCCAAAATCATGCAAATGAAGCACTTATGCAAACTTGGAAATCTCCTCAAACTGTGTGCCTTAAGAAGACCGGTTGGGCTTTTTACGAAAAATGTATTTTTACAAAAAAGAGAAAATATATTATGCAGAAGAGCTTCCTAAACTTTCATCTGAATTTTATATATAGAGCTAAAACTAAAAAATATTAACAACATCCTAATAATAAAATCAAAGTCGTAACATCCTTAAATTTAAATGATAAGAATAATAATTTTTTTTCTATCTAAATAACAGTTTAAACACTTGAAGCTTAACAAAATTTCTTAAAAAATAAATTATTCAATTTTAAATGGCAGATATTTGTGCCTATTCTCAGGAAGGTAAAAGTGTATATACTTAACCAGCATCCAGGATCATCATGTCTGTGGTTTTCCTAGTCTGAATCTTGAATCCATGTCCTATAAATTTTCTATAAATTTTTCCCAGGAAAATTTATTATTCATGTTTACCTCTGATGATGATGATGATGAGGATCTTCTCTTAAAAGAACGTTTTTCCCTTGAGACGGCTACTTCACCAAATAAACTAACAGCTGCTTTAACAGATTGAAATGGAGCCCTTGTGTCAATCTCTCCAACCTCTCTTGGAGAATCAAAGTCCCTTTCTTGGTCTCTAACTCTGAAACTCATTATATTCTTCTTACTTGAAAAAGGTATCTGCATGCATGCAACAGATGATACTTAGCAATGAGCATTCTGGAGATAAATCTCGTCATATGAAACCTCAAGATAACAATATATTAATATCATTGCACCACATTTTAGATATGACCTGATGATCCATATAACCCAAAAGGACTAAAGTTATATGTAATGTTTACCTTAACGTTTGATGTTACAACAAAGGATATAATGAAACAGATATGGAGCCGGAGACTACTCCTTGCACTAGATCAGGTAGGGCCCAGATAATGAATTTGAAAAGTGGAGGTGTTATAATTCAAAAGAAGCTAGAGGAAAACGTGGAATCCTTTTTAAGTCCAACTTTTATTTACCTTCCTGTTGAGACCGTTGAAACAAGGAACACCCTAAAAATATGGCTGGTTAAATTTGCTTGGAGTAGAATTGGTTATATATAAGTTATATATAGCTCAATGGGAGGAGGGGTTTGTGGTGTTGACAGAAAATGCCAACCATGCAAGAGGGTTGTATTTTCCATTCTGTAGTTGGGAAAGCTTTGGGGTTCATGCGGAAATTGAGGAAGATTCAAACAAGCCATGATGGATATTACATTCAAGAGTAAATATGAGTTGGAAAATTTACCAAAACAGTTTTACCAAAGGGTCAACATGGTGCAACTCAGTCTATGATGTTTAGCGGTTAAGAATTCCTTATATGGAAAGATGGTACATCTTAAAGGAAGGGTAGCAACTCGTCCTACCTTTAGGGTTCTAAAAGGTAGGATATGGTTTTGGTCATGGAATGTGATGGACTACTTATTTTGTAGCTGCAAGCTTCAACAAAGAGGTTGAAATTTTGTCTAATATATGTAAATAATAAAAGTGTTCCAAATGATATTTTTTTTATAAACTTTATTTATCTTTTAACTAAATTAAATAATCTAATATTAATAACGTATTATTTTTATTACTTAACTTTAATTTTATCTTGAGGAAATTAGATTATCAGTTGTTCTATGTAAATGATAAATGATTGTGTGAAAAATATAACTGAAAAACATAATTTCTTGATAATATTATTTAAACAATTAAATCAAATACGAGAAACATAGTTTATTTTTTCCTCTATTTGAATATTTTGAAAAATTAATCCTTGTTTTATCAAACCTTTCCTATGTACGTCCAAGTTGAAGAGAGCAAATAGAAAAAAAGTGTGAAGTTATTTATAATATGACATAAATACTTTAAATAAAAAATAGAACCTAAATAGGAATATTTTTATTTTGATTTCCATCCAAAAAGTAATTAAAGTCAAATGAGGCGGCTTAGACTTTTCGAGGAAACTACAATAATTAAATCGTATATATAACGTCAAACTTCTCTTTCTGTTCGTCTTTTCCTTTGTCTCATTTCCCTACTTCATTGCCCTACTTTTCTACACGTCTCAGTGTCTCTGTTTCCGCGTCTATGTAAAATATAGAATTTGACGTAGATTTTCGTGTAAATTGTGTGAACGTGACAAAAGAAATACGAAGGAAAATTATTCTGCTTTTTCTAAATTTCTTTCTTCTCCATTTATTAATATACAATATTTGAGTTCTCTTTTTTTTTTTTTTTATAATCTAATTGTGACTTAGTGAGTCTTTTTCCTACTTAGATTATTTTTCACTTTCGGACTAAAGCTGTGTTTAGAAGTATTCGACAGAATAGGATGGAAAAGAAGAAAAATGCATTGATATTCATGTTGTATTGAAAACAACAAACCCATTGGTCTTCCAGGAGAGGACAATTATTATCACGTCATTTAAACAGAGGGCACAAGTGTCCCGGCCACTTATACTAGGAAAGGTGGAGCAGTGGGTCACAAAGAAGAAACCAAGAAATTTGCTTGAGGCAGTATAAATATCCATCATGGTATATATGAAGTTGGAACCATATGATGCACACACACACACCTCTTGAATCATGCATATTAAGTAAAAAATAAAATAAATCAGTTGTTAGATTGATTTCGGATAAATTGGGTCACATACTTATATATAGTTCTATATATATATATATATATATATATATATATATATATATATATATATATATAATTAATAAAATATTAAACAAATTAAATAATCATATTATTATTATTATTAATAATATAAATATTATTTAATAATAACTTTGATCAATATTAACTTTCCGATTAAATATAAAATAGATTGAATTTGACTTAATACAAAAATTTCAATCCGAATTATCTTGGTTGGATTGATTGATCAGATTAAAAAACCCATAATTAAAAATAAATAAAAATAAAGTATACAGTTAATTTTAAGAAATAGGATAAAACTTAATATTAGGTAAAGATAATAATTATAATATTAATATTTATTGAAAAATAAAATACACACCAAATATATACATTTGTTTGGGAGATACCTATATTATATATATATATATATATAAATAAATAAATAAATAAGTGTGCTCGAGACATTCATAATTTGAATATCTGTTAGGTTATTTTATATATTGTCAATTGATTTTATGTTAGAAATCTTAAAATAGTATTAAAATCAAAGTCTATTTTTTTTTTCGGTTTGGACTAAAAAATTATCTTTTTGTTTTTCTTATAATAAAAAAAACCTCTTTTGGTCAATAAAAAAAAGTTCATGTTGTACAAATAATAATTAATGTGATTTATACACAAAGAAAAAATAATAATTAATGTGATTTATATACAAAGAAAACAATATGATACTGAGTTTATACTTTATTTAGTTAAATATTTTATTTTATTCCATTTTTTGATTTGTTAAAAGTATTCTTATTTCGCCTGTCAGACTTCATCCACTCACATTATCTATCTCGAACTTGTTAGAATAGTCCGCATGTTACTAATTAATTTTATGGTATAATCTTAACATTTACTTTCTAACATACTTCAAAAAAAATTCTTCACAAATGAATGTAGACTTGATATACTTTTCCACGTTTTTTTTTCTTCTCATAGTTAGTATATACATTAAATAACCCCGCACATATACATCTATGTTTGTCATTTTCTCAAACTTCATATTTCCATGGACTCTATACTACAATTGCCTTGTGAATTTGCATGCAGAGACTTATATAACACTACAAGGCTTTCCAATCTTTGAAATCTGTCCTAGTTTAACCTTGATTATTAGTTTTTTTTGAATGCTCACAGTTGCATACAAGTGAAAACACTTAATTTTATGCATTTATGTGCCAAATATAGGAGTTTCTTCAACATTCGGGTCCATCATTTTACTCCTTGTTTTATGGCGGGTGTTTAAGATTACAAAAAAAATCGTAGTGAAGAAATACAGAGAAAATTTCTTCAAACGAAATGGAGGATTATTGTTAGAACAAAAATTGTCTTCAGGTGAAGTTAACGTGGATAAAGTTAAACTCTTCAGCTTAAAGGAATTGGAGAAGGCCACCGACAACTTCAATACGAATCGAGTACTTGGAAAAGGAGGTCAAGCTACTGTTTACAAAGGCATGTTGATAGATGGAACAATCATTGCAGTGAAAAAATTTAAGGTCCAGGGAAAGATTGAAGAATTCATCAATGAATTTGTCATCCTCTCACAAATTAATCACAGAAACGTGGTCAAGTTGTTAGGAAGTTGTTTGGAGACTAAGATTCCTTTGCTTGTGTATGAATTCATTCCTAATGGTAACCTTTTCGAGTACTTGCATGAACAAAATGAGGATTTGCCAATGACATGGGACATGCGTTTGAGAATTGCCACTGAAGTTGCAGGAGCTTTATTTTACTTGCACTCTGCTGCTTCTCAGCCTATTTATCATAAAGACATAAAGTCAACAAATATACTATTGGATGAAAAGTATAGGGCAAAAGTAGCAGACTTTGGCACATCCAGAATGATTTCCATTGATGTTACTCATCTCACTACAGTAGTTCAAGGAACATTTGGATACTTGGACCCTGAATTTTTTCAAACTAGTCAATTCACAGAAAAGAGTGATGTCTACAGCTTTGGAGTAGCTTGTTGAACTCCTAACGGGGCAAAAGCCAATATCCCTCCTAAGTCCAGAGGAAGCAAAATGTTTAGCTTCACATTTCGTTATCTGTAAGGAGGAAAATCGTGTGCTTGATATTATTGATGAAAGAGTGATGAAGGAAGGGCAGAAAGATCATATCATGGAAGTTGTCAATCTTGCAAGTAGATGTTTAGAGTTGAATGGAAAGAAACGGCCAACTATGAAGGAAGCCACATTGGAATTAGAAGGTATCCGAAGATTGGAAGGAAAGTCTAATGCAGAAGAAAGACATAATAAACTTGTTGGAAGTGAAAACTATCAGTCTTGGGATGAGTATTCTTCTACCTCCGAAATAAGGTCAAAATCTGATCTACATAGCAGAACACCATCTTTGGAGGATATTCATATTCTTACCACAACATAACTGGTGAGTATTCTTAATTTTTATGTTAAATCAAATCATTTTGGTTACACATGTTAAAGTATATAACCTTCAACTTAAAATTGTGAAGGTTATATATTTTGATGTTATGATGATACGTTGCCAAATGTGGTTATTGATATGTTTATGTGCATATTAGATTGTATAGGACGTATATCATGATTGCATAAATGAGGTGATATGCTTGTTTGTGGCTGTTGCGTTCATGGGTGAGATGCTGAAGCTGTTCACTTCATCGAGGTCTGTAGAAGGCTGAGGGCATGTGATTCTTTTTGATAGTACGTATGATGTTGGTTAGTCTCTTGATTGAAAGGTTGCAGTGAACGCTTACTGATTCGACCTTCTAGCTGTAAGGAGGATTCTTCCTTCCTTGTTGGAGTTCACAATTTTAGTTATGGTCTGTGATTGATAGTATTTTGTCATGTTCCACGCAATAATTGTATATTATTTTCGTAAAACAATAGGGTGAAAGACATATTTTATTCTTTTTATGGGTGAATATGCCTTTTATTCAGTAGTGCTATTTCGCCAACCTCTACATCCTATTAATAATCACAAGTATTAATATAATAATTAATATTATTAATTAATTAATATAAACAGTTGGGAAGATGTTTTGGGTTACCAACAAGCCAACATTTCCGCCTTTTATTTTAAGGAAAATATACAGAGAAAATAAGTTATGCACTATAACAATGTAAAGAAGATTGACAGCGTGATTGGATTATAAATTATTGTGCATGATAAATTTGATGGTACTATAGTATTTATATTAATAATTATTTATGTAACTCTTTCATGGATACATATATAGAATAACTTAAACACAACAGATGGATTTATTTATCAAATTTTAAACCTTAATTATGGATTTGGGATAGTTCCAACTAATATTTTTTGTTGGACTCTTTGTTTTTAATGATATCAACCATCAATTCATTATATTTGGACGAGTTATGTAAAATTATAAGGACCTTTATCATTTGATATTTTTAGTTTTAATTATGATGTTTGTAAATTAGAAAAAATTTTGAACTTCATTTTCATTTATTTTAAATAAAAATCATCAACCATTTTAATGAAGATATATTATAACGTGTGAGATCTATCTAAATTTCAAATTTTAAGAAAATTTTATTAGCTTATTACTTTTATTGATAATAGTACAAAAATGATTTTGTTGTACTTAATAAAATAAAATAAAAAGAGATAAGTCCATTATTTAAAAATTTTCATAAAGTGTTAAGAATTTAATATAACACTAAAATTCATATTTTATGTAATGATAACGACGGAGAATATAAAAATTATGAACTCTAGCAATATTTTAAAACTAATGAAATCTTTAATTAAGTTGTTTGTCTCAATATACTTCAATAAAATAGAGTTACTGAGAGGAAAAGTTGATATTTGTTAGAAGTTTGTTGTACTTCATTAATTGAGGTACACATGTCGTTGTATCGTTAAAGATATGTTTTTACTTCCAAAATATATATAATAAATGAGACTTCGTCAAATTCTATTATTTTCAAGATACCTTTTGAAACCTTTCATAATTTAACTATTATTTCAATGTTTCTAATATATCCTCTCATGTATTTGGATGTGTTGCATTTGTTTATCGTTATAAACATCAACACAACAAATTAGCTCTATGAGTTATTCAATGTGTTTTGTTATTATCCTCCAATTCATCAAATATATGTTTAACAATAAATATGAATTTTCATAAAAATATAATATATTTTTCCTCCGAGTCTGATTTTCAAGGAAGAAACCAATAAAAAACTCAAAAAATCTAGACTTTAGAGTATATAACCCATACTCTAGAGTAAAATATGGATTTAAGTGATATAATTTCATATAACTAATCTTTAGGTAAAGAAAAAGAATATAATAGAAGAAGATCACCACAAAAAACTTGTATAGATCACTACAAGAAATTTTAATATTACTGACGGTTAAAATCCGTCGGTAATAACAAAAATTCGTCAGTAATATCCATTTACCGACGGATTTTTGACAGTAAAAAATCTGTTGAAAATTTGGTTGTCGGTAAATATTACCGACGGATTTAATAGTCCGTCAGTAATTACCAACGGATATATCCGTCGCTAAATATTTTACGAAATTACCGACGGACAGGAATCCGTCAGTAATATTTTTATTATTTATTAAATATTTTACTTATATAACCCCATATTTTACTTATATAACCCCTTCCCTTTATATTTTTATTATTTATTATTAATTATTTTCCCCTATTACATTTTTATAGGCTTCAATTATTATTGGATTAAGATAATTGTAATTGGCAGGATTCACATAAATATATTAATAAAAATAATAAAATGCACATGAACCTCTTAGTGAAGATATATTTATTAATATATTTTAATTTATATTTATTAAAACCTTGATCTGTTTAGCCATGATAATAAAAGTTATGACTCATTTTATTGTGTCAAAATTGTGAGTATATCATTCTTTTCACTCTTCATTTACAAAGACATATGTACTATGGGTTTAACATTTTTTTCTTGGTAATATTATTTAAAAAAAATATATCAAATACGAGAATTTTTTTATTAAAGTTAGATAATAACAAATATATATATGTATAAATATATATAAATAACATGAAATAAATACTTTAAGTAAAAAATAAAGGAAATATTTTTATTTTGAATTCAATCCAAAATCATCTTTAGCTGTATGGTGCATCCAAAGAAAGGATGGAACATTTTTATTATTATTATTTTTGCAAATTGCTCTCGTCCATAAAAAAATGTCATGTAAGATAACTAGAAAAGCAGTAATCATCCATCTAGCTACTTCATGGGAAAAGCCAAATGACGCGGTTTAGACTTTTCGTTAAAACTACCATATGACGCCAAATATCCCTTTCACTCATTTCTCTACTTCACTGCTCTATTTTTCTACCCGTGTAAGACCAATTCCATGGAAAAATACATCCGACTTGCCTTCTACCTTGGTTGTAAAATACATAATCACTTTTTTTTCTTTTTTAAATTGTTTAAATAACTTATTATGTCATTTAATATTTATTTAATAAAAAATTATTTCAAATAACTAGTATTTTATTCAAATAATTTAATAAACAATTTTATTTTTGAAGAACCTTTTTTTTTCGCGTCATAGGACGGAAAAGAATAAAAATGCATTTATATCCAGGAGTGTATAATTATTATTACATAATTTATTACAGCCCCACACTCACTTTTTTTATTAAGAGTAATAATACGTATACATATCCTATTACTTTATATGTATATATATATATATATATATATATATATATATATATATATATATATATTTACTTACAACATCATATCTCCTATAAATTTATTAATTTTTTTCATTCTTCTAAAATCAAATATTATTTTTCTTTTGCTAATAATCAGCGCTCTTATTCAAACGCGTTATTGGGAAGGTGGGGACAACCCACCAGTGGCAGTAGGAAAGCAGTGGGTCATGAAGAAGAAACAAAAAATTTGCTTGCTTGACGTAGTATAAATATCCATCATGCTATATATGAAGTTGGAACCATATGATACACACACCCCTCTTGAATCTTCAGCCAGCCACAATGATTCTGAAATTCTTAATCCCTGTCATCCTTTTGGTAACATGCCCCGTACATTTACACGTATCTGCACAACTTTACCCACCAATAGCAAAGCCTGGCTGTGATTCGCGATGTGGAGATGTGGGCATTCCTTTTCCGTTTGGAATGAAGGGTTCCGATTGCTATGCAGGAGAGTGGTTTGAAATAGAATGCAGAAGCACTTCCAGCAACCATTACTATTCCGCACCTTACCTCAAGTCAACAGGAGTGGAAGTGACATCCATTGATGTCCAGAGAGGCACGGTTACAATCAAACATCCGATTTACCGCAGTAACTGCGGAACCAAAGATTCTCCGCCGGTCAACCAGTCGCTGGAAGGAAGTCCTTTCGTGTATTCAGAGGAATACAACAAATTTGTTGCCGCAGGTTGCAATATTATTTCCTTTTTGCAGTTAAATGGGTCAGAAGCTAGTGGTTGTGTGTCCATCTGCGACAACGAGAAGAAGGTGGATGATATCGGGAAAATGAAGCTCTCAAGCACTGATTGTAATGGCAAGTACTGCTGTGAGACTTCCCTGCCACTGTATCTTAACGAGTATACCACAGAAATAAAAGGTTTAAAGGAGAATGGAACGGGTCATCATGAGTGCAGTTACGCCATGGTTGTAAAACAAGATAGGAACAGCTACCAAGACTATACTGGTGATCCCCTGAAAAGCTACTACTCTCTTACTCATGGTGCGGTGAAGGATCTAGATATGGTCCCAGCGGTGCTTGAATGGGAGATTCTGAACAATTTGGACCTTAAACTCCCTGCAGGTCATCACTCTCACTGTTATGACACGAATGTTACATCTTCGCGATATAAACGCTCAGGCCGGAGATGCTCCTGCGAAGTAGATGCTTACGGTTCCAATCCCTACGTTGCTGGAGGTTGTAGTCAACCTGGTAAATATACCTTATTATTGTTCGTATTAGCACTTACCAACAACAACAACAACAACAACAACAACAATAATAATAATAATAATAATAATAATAATAATAATAATAATAATAATAATAATAATAATAATAATAATAATAATAATAATAATAATAATAATAATAATAGGACATTAAAATCTAATATGTATTTTAAAAAATATTTGCTGGAAATGTTAGGGAAAAATGACGAAAATGCATTCTATTATTATAAATATTTGATTTAAACTTTATTCTTGACATAAATTTTTAATGCCCATATCTTTTCAAATTTTGCTCCATAAAATTACCACACAAAATATATTAAATAATGTAAATGCATATCTATCCAATAATTTTTTTTATATTCCCAATATTTTATTGTATTATTAATTAGCTATTATTATCATCATTTAATCAATGTTATAAATAATATATTTATATTTAAATATAATATTTATGAAATTATTTAATGTTTTTATTTAATTTTTTATCATTAATAAGAAAAAAAATAAAAGAATAAAAAAATACTATACAATAAAATTTTATATATAAACAATATTAAATCAATCTAGATAAATAAATTGATAAAAAAAATATTTAAATAATTTATTAAAATATTTTTATTTATTAGATTGATTGGGCATTTGTCCTTGATAGCATAAATCATTCTTGACATTTCAGCAAATTATCCGGAGGCCGAAGGGACAAGTGGAGTAACAATGTCTATCCTTAAAGGTATGAATGAGGTTTGCTCTCCCATTGGTTTGAAGTTTATAATGCAGTATTATTAGTATATTACTATGAAGGGTAATATTGAAATAAAGTTATAATTATTACACTTAGATAAGTGAACTACTGTCAATTTGAAAAATTCTGGAAATGCTTAAATAATATATAAATGAAATAAAGGGAGTATTTGTTAATAAAGTGATCGTTAAATAATTTTAGATAGACATGAGTTGAATTTGTATTTTTTTTATTAAATACTCATTATCTTTAATTGTATTGAGTTAAATTACGCCTCTGTTACAGCTTTTTTTTTTTAATATTTTTTATTAAAATTTATGATTTCTTAATAAAAATAATTGAATAGATTAAATAATAGTTATATTATTAATGTTAATATTATCTAATAATTTTGATTAGAGTAAGTGTTAGGTTAAATATATAAAATTTATCGCCTCCTAAGAAAATTTAATCCAATTTATTTAAGTTGGATTATCTAATCTAATGACTAAAAAAGTTCCTTTTAAAAATAAATAAAATAGAATTTAGATTTGTAAAAAATAAAATAAAAACTTAATATTAGATAAGATTAATAATTATATTATTAATATTTATTGAAGGATAACACATACATGAAATTTGTATGCTATATACAGAGATATCCCATTATATATAAAAAGTGTGCTTTAAATATCTATTATAACTAAAGTAGAATCTATGTACAATATAAAAATTATATATAATATATTCTACACCGATATTAATCATACTCACTGTAATATTAACCTTTTGCTTATAAAAATATTATATTCTTTCGTTCACGTTGAAATTCATTGCATTTTCCCATGTTGAATATAATATAAAATATTTTCTACATTTACTATTTGGTTATTTTTAAAGGATTAATATTTACTCAATTTTTCAATTTTTATAAAATATGAAATTCGACTAATTTTTTTGAGTTCTACATGATTATAATATCTTATTTAAATACTATTACGTGCTTAAATTCTTTGGCAAGGTTTCGTAGCCTAATCGGCAACTAGTAGAATTACACACCTAATATATATGTATAGTTTTGTCATTTCTCAAACTACATTTTCCTATACAGAATAACGTGTGTTTTTCCCTTTTATTCTGACTAATTTGCTTAACAAAAATTGTTAAAAAACAACATAAACTTCATATTTCGTGGACTCTACTATAATTGCCTTGTGAAATTGCATGCAGACATATATAAGAGTATAAGGCTTTCCAATCTGAAATGTTCTTAGTTAACCTTAATTACTTGTTTTTTTTTTTTTTTTTTAATGCTCATAGTTCCATATAAGTGAAAAGACTTATTCTTATTTATTTATGTGTCAAATATGTAGGAGTTTCTATAAGCTTTGGAGCCATCATTTTACAGCTTCTTTCATTGCGGGTGTTTGATGTTGCAAAAAGAACCACGCTGAATAAATACAGAGAAAAAATCTTCAAACGAAATGGAGGATTATTGTTAGAACAAAAATTGTCTTCTGGTGAAGTTAATATGAATAAAGTTAAACTGTTTAGCTTAAAGGAATTGGAGAAAGCCACCAACAACTTTAATATGAATAGAGTGCTTGGAAAAGGTGGTCAAGCTACTGTTTACAAAGGCATGTTAATAGATGGAACAATTATTGCAGTGAAAAAATTTAAGGTCCACGGAAAGATTGAAGAATTCATCAATGAATTTGTCATTCTTTCACAAATTAACCACAAAAACGTGGTCAAGTTGTTAGGAAGTTGTTTGGAGACTGAAATTCCTTTGCTTATTTATGAATTTATTCCTAATGGTAACCTTTTCGAGTACTTGCATGAACAAAATGAGGATTTGCCAATGACATGGGACATGCGTTTGAGAATTGCCACTGAAGTTGCAGGAGCTTTATTTTACTTGCACTCTGCTGCTTCTCAGCCTATTTATCATAAAGACATAAAGTCAACAAATATACTATTGGATGAAAAGTATAGGGCAAAAGTAGCAGACTTTGGCACATCCAGAATGATTTCCATTGATGTTACTCATCTCACTACAGTAGTTCAAGGAACATTTGGATACTTGGACCCTGAATTTTTTCAAACTAGTCAATTCACAGAAAAGAGTGATGTCTACAGCTTTGGAGTAGTTCTTGTTGAACTCTTAACAGGGCAAAAGCCAATATCCCTACTAAGTCCAGAGGAAGCAAAAAGTTTAGCCTCACATTTCATTATTTGTATGGAGGAAAATCGTGTGTTTGATATTATTGATGGAAGAGTCATGAAGGAAGGGGAGAAAGATCATATCATGGATGTTGCCAATCTTGCAAGTAGATGTTTAGTGTTGAATGGAAAGAGACGACCAACTATGAAGGAAGTCACATTGGAATTAGAAGGTATCCGAAGATTGGAAGGAAAGTCTAATGCACAAGAAAGACATAATGAACTTGTTCGAAGTGAAGACTATCAATCATGGAATGAGTATTCTGATACCTCAGAAATAAGGTCAAGTTTTGATCTAAACAGTAGAACACTCAGTTTGGACGATGATATTCATATTCTTACCACATAAATTGAGTATTCTTAATTTTTGTGTTAAATAAAATCATTTTGGTTACACATAATAAAGTGTATAACATCAAATTTCTAACTACCAAAACCTTGAAGGTTATATATGCTGATGTTATGATGATGCGTTGCCAAACGTAGTTGATAAGTGGTTGTTATATACGTTTTGTTTGAGGTTGTTGCGTTCATGGGTCAGATGGTAAGGCAATTCAATTCAGCAACGTCTGTAGGGGGACCGAAAGGCATGTGACTCTCATTATGAAGGCTACCACGTATATGATGGACAGAAGAGGTTTATTTTTGGTGCTTACGTTCTTTTTAACTATGGATGATGTTGCTTAGTCTTTTGATGTAAAGGATCATGCAGTGAACATCCCTGGCAACAACTATGGCATCAGCAACTTGTGGTGTCCATAGTCACGCCTACTGATTCGTCTTTCTATCTGCAAAGAGGATGCTTCCTTCTTGTTGGAGTTCACAATTTTAGTTAGGGTACTGGGCTGCGGAGGAGTTTTTGGTTTTCTTTTGTGAAACTCATCAACATAAAAAACTGTATTTGTATCGCATGCAACGGTGTATAATTCACAATTCCACCAACAGGACAATGACAACAGTAATATATATATATATATATATATATATATATATATATATATATATATATATATATATATATATATATATATATATATATATTAAATCGAAAGACACAATCATATGCATCTTACTCAAGATAAGACAAAACCTTAGAAAGTTATAACTTTCATATCAACCTGTCACAAAAACAGATATTCCTTCTAATATATTTAGACAAACCTACACTGGGCACAAGCCAATCAGAAAACCCGCCTAAAGGTAAGGTTAATGCGTACAGCTTCAGCTTTTGCACGCTTGGGCACAGAGTGAATCCAATCTCGTTGGGTATAGCCTCTCATCACTAAAAGGGACCCGTGCCTAAGTCTAAATGTATGCTGATCAGCATCATGGCTACCCTTCTTTAATCTCTTGCTGGCAGGTTCATCACTTACATCTGCAAGATTCACAGCAAATGATAACAATTTCATGCACATCCACATCCACATAAAGGTCCACTATATTGTACTCTATACATACACATATAGAAAGACAGAGACTCTATAGTCGTGTGATAACTCCAATCAAAATTCATACCACAAGATTTTTTGCATGGCTTCTTCTTCAAAACAAAGTCACGTTCACATCCGAAAGTTAGAGACGCAATTTCAGGCGTTGGTCCATAAAGCTTCTCATCATCAGAATGCCAACCAACATAGTCATTGCCACCATTGTACCTATTTAAGAGTAAGCTATTAAAACTACTCCCAGGGAGAGCTTTATGGACCTTCAAAATTAGGTAGAAGACATATTAAGTAACACAATAACCTTGGGCCAAAAACCATCACTCAAATATATTGTAATTGTTACAGAATTGATGAGGAATAATGTTGATTGAGAATCATTCTTACAGCATCCAACATGTCTTTGAGTGGTGGGTAATCATCCCAAGAATATGCATGCGGCTGATATCCACTGTAAGTTAACTGGGTAATTCCTGGAGTTGCAACATAACATGTATCTCGAGGCTGCAGAGAATTACATTACATAACATCAGGAACTTGCGGTTCATCTATCCTATCCAAATACAAGAGAGTAATCTCTAAGTTATGACTCATCCTATCATGTCAAAATTGTGTGCGTATCATTCTCTTCACTCTTCAGTTACAAAGACATGTATGCGGGGATTCATTGGTTCAGGACCCATATCTCAATAATTTTTATCTCACCCGCATTAAGATTGATATTGGACATACTAAGTATTTAGGGAATTTGAAAACGCATTTGTTAACATTTCTTTTTGGGAAATGTTTGTTTATTTTTTTAAAAAAAGTTAAACTAACAAGATTAAGTGTGTTTGGATAGGTGTTTGCATGATTAATTTTGCTTAAGTTCATTTTGGACTAAAGTGATTTATGTCTAATGATTTTACTCTTAAAGCAGTAAACATAGTGTAAAATCTTCAATTCACTGCAAAAACTACTTGTCATCAATTCTAATGCACCCGAGATTTGGAAACAAAATCAATTTTACCAAACGATAAGACATCATATATATTGAGATCATAAGAAGCAAAATTGATTTTGGTGCTTTCCACCAAGAAATCAAATACACTCTAAGCAGAAATAAGTTTATCCAAACGGACAAATACCTTTATTTCATATTTACACCAACTTACATCATAACACCACAAACTATAATTTCAGAGTTCACAAACTTGATAAGGGTAAAGTAAAAAGAAATTAAGCCCGTTCAATAAGAACATACAACTCCACATAAAAATTTTAAGATAAATATTACAAAAAATAAACAACGTCAATATACACATAGGTTCTAATTAAACTCCAAAAGCATGATATTGTTACAGCTTCTGCAAAAGTAAAGGGACACATACGAACCCCAAATTTTTTATTCCGAAGCATATTCAACAAAAGATGATATTTTTGTGGAACCCCGCGTTTCAGAATTACTTGAATTTGAAAGAAATGTGGGAATTATATGAACCTGAAGGAAAGATTTTCCGAAGACACGAATGGTGGGTCTAGTCCATGGGATGTGTTTGTCGATATATTGAAACCATTTCCATGACTGATCGGAGGGGATTAGCCTCTGAATGTATACGACGTCGCTTCCGTTTCCGAGATCCACCGTTTCCCTTTTCACAGTGTCGTTAATAGGGTTCTCACCTGACACCGCCTTCAGCTTCAACACATTCATCGGGGATGGCAGAACGTTTTAGCCTCTTCACATTCTAAATTCGAATGGATGAAGTTTGCAAAGATGTCAATTGAAATGGTTTGTTTATGCTTTATTGGATGAAATAGTTATGGGTATTTCTACTTTATGTAAAAAATAATCATAAATCAGTTTTTATTCTTCTTAATAAATAATGCACATTTGGTGAGGAAACATACATTATTCTTTATTATTCTTCATAATTTCAAGGGACTTTTACATCAAGAACGTTGACATCACCATATAGAATTTCACTTTATATCTGATTCAGAGAATTCAACATTAAACTACGTCTTAACAATGTAATTTTTAGTTTGTTAACGGCTATTCTTTAAAACTAGTTAAGTAAAAGCAAATATAGAAAAGATCATAAATATTTTTATGTAATTAAAAAACATATAGATAATATTATGTCTTGGTGAATCAATAAAAAAGTGCTCTAGCAAAATCTTTATGTTTTGGCTCCGCAAGTCTGCATTTTGATTCTTGAAACTGTCCTCCACAATCATCCATGAGTGTTTTTTATGGATTGAGAAAAATGAAATCTGATCATGGGAAACTCCCTCGTACACATCACCATTGAAATCTGATCACTGTCCGTAGTGTCACTGCCACTCTTGTTCACAGCAAGATTTTGGGCTAGTGTTACACTTTGACTTACCCTAATAAAAAGCAGAGTAAATGAACAATTCCTTTCATTATTGAATAGTAAAATTAATTACTTTCATATTTCTTATACCTTTCCAGAATTATCATCAGTCTTGTTTATCATGAATGCTACTTAAATTTATAAATAATAATACCTTTTAAATAATAACATTAAATAGATTTTTTTTTATATTTAAATCTATCAAAATAGTGCAGCTTTTCTCGTATATCTAAGTGCAGAAAAAGTCATCTGTTTATTTTTCTAAAATAGGTACCTTTTTATTAAAATAACCAGATTTCAGCAGTTTTTTGTCTAGTCTTGTTTATTTAAAAATGCACAATGTTCTAATTATTTTGTCTAGTCTTGTTTTTTTAAAATAAATAATTATTTAAAAAATTACTCATTTCAGAAATAGTTATTTCAAGTTTAACCAGAATCCTATATCGTGTTTACAAGGTACTTAAAACAACCATTATCTTTTAAATTTCAACAAGTTAAAAAGTATTGTATAAGTTCATTACTAACAATAGAGAAATGGAAGTATAAATTAGAAAGCACAAGAACTTCTCTTTTCTTAACTTAGGTGAAAATCAATACAATACCATCAAAACTTACTCAATACCCAATTAATAATCATTTCTAAAATGAAAGGCTAATTTCTACTTTTGGGGGGAAGGAGGGTATGTAATAGAAGGTAACAAGCTTAGCACACCATAAAGCCCAAACATGCCATGAATCACCACTTGTTGGTTTCAAAATGCAGCTTCTAGAGGCTTTTGTCTAACTGGGGATGAGGCATCACCAACTCACTGCTACATTTCATTGGAATATGCATCAATTAATGATTCTTTTTTTTTTTTTTCATTTTTGGGTAGAAATATATATGCAGAAGTTAAGCAAAAGCAAGACTAAACTACACATGAAATGTAACAATTGTGATCTTGTTAGAGATTTTCACTGAGGACAATTGCAATTTCTGCACTATGTTGCAGGAGCAACGGGTGTGGCCAACTTGATGGTCAATTCTAGTTCCCCAGACTCTACTCCACGAAGCCTTAACCAAACATTCTGCACCACCTCACCATTAACACAATTGATACTGCTTTCACGAACAAGACAGTTTTCACTGTCAGGTATGACCTTCCTTAAGGTTGTCTCACCAGAGGACACTCTTAAGATGTCTCTTAATCTGGCTGCAGAGACTAATGGTTGAAGGTTAAGAAAAGCATTTCCCATCTTGTCATCAGCCTTCAAAAGATCTTTATCAAATACTTCCTATTAAAAAAATAAAAAAACAACTCAGTTATAGAGTAGCAGAGCAAATAAACAGTGTCTTGTATGGTTATCCAAACAGTGCGTTGTATTAAAAGAGGATAAAACATGTTTAAGATTCTTATCTTTTTGTCAAAATTGATTTTAGTTTTGGTTCTCATGGTTGACTTCAACCCTTTACATGGAACACTATGCTAGAATGAGGGACAAAATTAACCGATTATAAAAATAAGAGAAACAAAAATCATTGTTTATAAAGTATAGAACTAAAACTAATACTAACCAAAATCTAAAGCACATAAAACACAATTTATTCTTTTAAAAATATCACCAGAAAAATCACCAATCTATTTCACAAGCACTAAAGGAGAGTATCTTCCTTTCAAAAAGGACTCATAAACTAGAGATTGAAGAAAGCAAGAACGAAGGGTCATACTAGATATTTGAAACTCACCAAATTCAGAACACCCAGGGATTCTGTCAGAGTGAAATTTAGCTCTTCATTCCAAACAGGATTCAAGCAGCTATTAATTACCTTGGTCTTTGCAGTCTGGTACAGTTCAGAAGCATTTCGAGGTTAAATAAGTTGCATAAAATTAATGTCAACAGAAAAAAAGCTAAAAATGAATCCTATTTACCTGGTTCCCTAGTTTGAGCACAACATAAGGATCACTGGTCTTGAAATCCCGGATCACCAACCTTTTCCCTTGCACAACAATGACTTTTAGCACCCCCAGTTGTTCAGTCATTTTAGTATACTCCTACAAACAAGTTAAATCATTAATAAAAAAAATCCATACCACAGTACAAATTATCCATCATTCATGTAGGAGACAAACACACGAATAACAAAGCAAGGAAGCCAAGTGCTTGAGATAAGGTGGAAAACACTTCCTTTTACAAAAAATTGCAACTTATCAACCCCAAGACAAAACCAAAAAATGGAAGTCTCATTTTTCTTTTTCCTTTTAATAAGATTTGTGCAGTAAAATTACCAGGAAAAGAAATCCTTGTACGCATAATGAGAAACGAACTAAAAAGGATAATAGAATAAACCAAGCTGGAGAAGGGAGCTTGCAGTGGACAGCAAAATACTAGTTACTCTACTTTTTTCTGGAAGAAAGTTACTGTACTTACTTACCCATATCAAAAGTTGAGCTTTTTCAAGTAACTAAATATTCCAAATTTGCTACAGTAATAATAACAAAAGCATTTTGAAAGCAGAGAAGGGGAAGTACCGACAACAAAAACCAATAGATCATTGAACCGAATGAGAAAAAAGAAAGTGAGGAATGAACGGTGTATTCCTCAGTAAATCAAAAGAAAGAATCATGGGTAGCAGAAAGATCCCGATCCCAAAGGCAAGTGAAGTGTGTTTGGCATTTGACATCCAACTTTAAACATAAGAAACAGGAAAAGGATAAAAAAGCAAAAGGGTATATCCCTTTGGGAAGCTAAAAGCCAGAAAACAAAAGAAAGAGAGACACGAAGGAAGTTAGAACTCACCAATGGATATGTGTGTGGGGTGGCTTGGTTTGGGAAGTGTGTTAATATTGTGTGTGTGTGTGTGTTGCGATGTTGTGAATCAAAAAGAGAAAATGATGAGACTTAAAGACAGTGGAACAACCTCTTCACCGGTTGTCACAGGTGGGTTAATGAGAAGGATATATAAAGACAAGAAAGGTAAGATTTACACCTGTCAGTCAAAGGATATGATTATGCATTATTATAAGATCGACTGTGTTGGCCGCAGGATTGACCAGGCTAAAACTAAAAAGGCTTGGTCTTCTTCTTGTATCCCAATTTAAAATTTAAGAAAAATTTTAGAGATAAAAATATTAAAAAGAAAAAATTTAAATGAAACCTAGAAATATCATGATTTATTTGAATAATTTAAAATTCGATGTATAATAATAAAACACATTTTATCATGTTTTAATGTTACTTATTTATTATTATGAAAGTGTAGTGTAGCAGAGTGTGCGCGTTTCGTGACTGGGTTCAGTGCTGACTCTGACAACGGCCTTGTTATTTTGTTTATTCACGTCACTCACTCAAGCACTCGCAACCGCGTGCGCCACACACCAAGCTTTTCCTACAATCTTTGCCACCGTCACCACCAATAAACAAATCAAATTATAAATTATGGTAACTTACCAACCCTTTTGTTCTTTGAGAATTTCAACCATTTTTTTAAACTGTTGTTAGCTTGTAACTTAAACCGAGTCCTGCCACTTTTGTTTATCATGTACAGATATTAGTAATTTTTCATGAATTTATTTACTTTGTGTTTTGTTAGGCTAATTGTTGGACGTTAAATGAGAAATCTATGTTACCATATACTTCTAAATTTGAATTTGTATAATTGTTTAGTAACATGAGTAGAAAGGTTATGAAAAGGATGCTATCTCATACTAACTTGTAATCCTAGTTTTTAAATAACTTGACGTTTATAGTATTATTAAGTGTGATCACTGAAGATAAATTATTAAGTAATTTGACATTCATAATTTTGATCAAGTATAATTAAGTATTATTAATTTTTAAAATTCAAAATAATAAATTTTACTTAAAAACTTGTTGAGACAGTGCAAAACTATCTATTATTTATTAAAAAAGTGACTAGGTTTTTTTACATGCAAGTAAAATCACACTTTTCATTCGAAATACTATGCCAAAGACGTAAATTATATAAATCATTCATAGCCACAGACCATTATTATGACAAGGTTTTATATATATAAAGAAATACACATGTACTGTAAAAATTAATAATGAATTTTCAAGAAAAATTACACACAAAAATTGTAGGTAAATGTTATTAAAATAATTATTTTATTTTCAAATATATATTTTTTTAATTTCGTTATTACGATATAAAAGAGTTAGGAACAACATTTTGATTCTAATTAGACAAACTTTTATATAAACACTTGAAGAATACATTTTTTTATAAATTAAAACTAGATTATGGATGAATTAATCTATAACTCCTATTAAATTTTCTGAAAGCTAGTTTTAAAATATGAAATTTCTTTGCAAGTGTTAATGGAAACTATCTAAATATGATCAAATTTATATTGACAAACAAAACAGATGCAGTGCATCAGTCAAAGTACAAAAGTTCATAAAATAAAATACCGCAGGTTCAGAAACCATGTACAACACAAAACAACAAGCAGCCGGTGGTTAGATAATCTTTGTCACGGATGCTAAGACTACAAAAGTATGAACAAACTACAGTTACAAATACAATTATCCCCACATATAGCTGTACATGTTGCCCCACTCAATGAAATATCAATTGTGTTGGAGGGATGAAAACATCCTCATGAATCATATGCTAAACCTATCACCTACTCTACGTCATTTAGCACAACATAACCCTAAAAAAACCCTAAACCACCACTTTTTTTTCCTTTTTTCTAAACGTGGGGATGACAACTGTTATATTACATCTACAGGCTGCAAGAAATGCATAAAACATCTATTAGTGTGTCAATAAATGGCAGTCATCATCCACACTGATACCTATACTTGCACTGAAACACACTAAATGCTGCCACAGCACTACTGCTACTGAAATGCTCAGATATTTGTGGTACAACTGACAAACTGCTCACCGCTTTTGCCCTAAGCTTTTCTTTCCCGAAGGACGCCTCCATTTGCTCTGCATCATCCATTCTTAGTGATTAGGTTAAAAATAAAATGTGCTAGATTTTATCAGGTAAATAAAAGTAGGTGCCACAACTCCACAAAGGATGAGTAATTTACCAGCGGCTCGTCATCAGAAACTTCAGCAATTTTGGCACCATCAGGACTTGCCGACTCTCTAGTTGATTTTTTCACTTCTCCGGGACTACTTCCCCCATCGCTGTCATTTTGTTTCCCTTCAGAACCTGATTCTTCTCCATTATCATTTTCTCTCAAAGCCCCTCTTGATTCATTGACATCTATCTCTTTTGAACTACCTTCTGCATCATTATCTTGATCTCCTTGTGGGACACTCTCTTTAGAAAGCCTCGCACCATAATCCTGCTTCTTTACATCTGATTCTTTCTTATAACTTAAGTTCTTCTCTTTCTTGAGTTTCTTTCCACGTAAAACTGATTTTGCTTTCTTGCTAATTTTCTTCTTTTTATTTATTATTACATCCGACCCTTCGGCCTGCTTCGCTTCAGAACCACCTAGAATAGAAAATCAAATAAAATTTATAGAGAGAGCAGACAATTAATTATATTTATAGTTCATGAGACTCCAAGCATATTAGTCATTTCCAAAAGTAATTGGAAAATTAAGAATTAACCATGTCTCAAAAAAAATTCTCACTGATCATAGCATGATAAAGAGATAGTTGACATGATGCCTAATGAAAGAAAACTTAAGTTAAAACCTATTTCAGATTCAATATCCCAAGCAAAATATATGCAACTTAGGACTATGTTAAGAATATGAAAGTGGAAAGCTTCTATTAGGAGAAGGAAACATTTATTACATAGTAAATATGAAAGTCATTTTTTTTTCTTCCGTGATAAAAACTTTCCATCTTGCATTCTTACCACCAGTCCATATGGATGATTTTAACAAAACCTATAATTAAATGAGTTTGGTTACTAACTTCTTCCATGCTTTCTCCTCTTAATCATCCAAGTGCCTAATCAAAGGGTGGAAGATGGCAAGCGATCCATCTGATAACTATCAGATGGAGTGGAACCAAAATCAAGGGATGGAGATGGAGCATCTTGGGCAAGAGTAGCAAATCGACAAGGGTGACCTTGCAATGAATAACACCGATTGATTGTATGACTCAATTTGTGACAATAATCACATCTGGGACGACCCTTTCCAAATTTGCAAGGGCAGTTACATTCATCACGCTAAGATACCAATATATAGAGTCACTAGAGGCGACAAAAGTGGATAAGTTGCGCAACAAGCGCAACAGGATGGACCAAGCAAAGCTTAAGGTGGGCAGAGTTGAGAACTCCAAAATCTTATACAAACAAATGAATACACTTCAAGACGTCCTTATAAAGCCATCAACATGAAGAAGGTCTGGCATTGCTCTAGTTCCCAAGCGAGATTGGAAGCATGAGGTGACAGTTCATTGAAGTCATATAGAAAAACATGATCTTTGCACAAATACTCAATCATGGAACCCTCAAGGCGTCTAGGAGTAATGACACGAGATTTTGACAAAACACCTTAGAGACAATGAGTGTCATTTATATACAGCAATCGGGCCTATTCCCAAACTCTAGAACATGTCCCATGAGTACAAAATATTTGCTTTAGAAAAGGATGAATAGTATGAAGCCACAGATCTGAGCATCAACTTTGGAGTAGTAAGGGTGATCTTTTTCATCAATGGAAGTCATTATCTGAGTAAGATGGTCAACATAATCCTATCCCTTAAGCCAGGGCTAAAGATAAAAAATCTTAGTGTCATAATTGGTTTCATCTAACTTGTGAATGGAAAGCAACACATTGACATCGTCACTATAGATGGAAGAGTTAGGCCTAGTAGTACCAAGAGAGGCTATAGTTCCACGGAAGAGAGAAAACGTCCCCAAAAAGGTGAGAAATATAAAATGTGCTTCAATCACAATGGCAGATACAAATTGTGACAGAGGGCGGCAAAGCAAGGCCAATGCTGGTGATTGTTGCCAAAAAGGGGGGTAGATGTGCTGCCACATGGGATGGCCGATGAAGAGAAGAGAAAGTGGCAAGACAAAAGTGATACGCATGAGAGCAAGTGGCTGTTCTGCTCAGTGCAGGACTGCTGACCGTCAAGGTGATTCAGGCGGCGGGTTGTCTGTTGGAAAGGTGGCAGCGACTGATAGCAACAGCAAGGGCAAAAACACTGGAGAAAAGAGAGGAAAAACAGCCAAAAATGGGGTACAGAGAAGAGGGAAAAAATTTCAGGAAGACACAGAACTGATTTAGGCTTTAGATACCATTACTGATAATATCTAAGTTTTCACAAGCTCCAAAAAGATAACAAATATATAAACTGCACTAAAAAAATTGAAATAGGCGATATGAGAGACTTTTTAATACTCCCTTAACCTATGTCTTCCAAACTAGATGAGTCCACTAGAATAAGTTATTAACATAATGAGCTATAGACTCTCATACCATGATACCACCTTATATTTCAATTTAAAACAAATTGAGAAAAGGGATGACAAATTTCCTTTCTGACGTAGAGACTGTCTATTTATCTGAATGGATAGTACATCTAAACCTGGATAGTTGACCCATATTTGATATTGTTATCATTATAATAACAGACAGGCATTGGTCAACAGCCAGCATGCCTCCTTGGTAAGACATGTAACATACCGAGCACCTATTCTACAAATGACGTTTAAGAACAAGCATGGAGATATATAACCTGCTAGGGGATGAGAGTGTAGTAGTTAAGTTTTATATGGTACAAATATTCTTTCTATTTCACAAAGTTGCATTGAAACAGAACTACCAGGTTTCTGCAGGTCTTGAAGCATTAAATCCAGATCCAATAAACAGATTTGCATAAATACACACAAATATCATCACATGTAATCAATCAAGTGATGTAAATGACAACCAATATGTGCATCAAACCTTTTAAATTACATCACCTGAGTTAATCTCAGCTTTAGATATAAGAGTATCTTCAGGGTTTGATAACTCAGAACTCTCTTTGGCATTCTCCTGATGCAAATTCATTTTTAAGGAGCCTCTTTGTCCATGTTTTGCATGCTTGCTAGGAGATTTCTTACCGTTAGCTCTAAACACCAAAATGATACAAGTTATAATGATAGAATAATGAATAAAATCATAAATGTACAATTGAATCTTATTTTTCTACTAACATTTGTTTTGTCTTTTTACCACTAGAACTTCTCTGCTTCTTCTCAGTAGACCTATAAAATAATTGAGAAAAATAACCCACAAAGGATGACAGCACATTCAGAATGGGATACAAGACGACCAATTAAGCTAGAAGAAATAAAACACACCACTCTTTAAGCCGATGAACATTCAACTTCTTCAAAAATAGTGGAAATTTTCATATTCAGAATGTACAGCGAAACATATTACTCCAAATACAACTAAACTAAATTAATTTGTACAGGAATACTTACAATTCACGGGAAGATGGTGTTTTTGAGGGTTTTAGCTTCTGGAAAATGCATAATATAAAAAAGAATCAAACTTCAAAGATATTTGATATCTTTTAGGGGGAACAGAAGAACAGGAGAAGTGTGCGAGAGAAAGAAAGAAGAAAAATGAAAAATTGAAGACCTTTGTCGCTTTGCCACCCTTGTCAACAACCTCCCATCGCTCCTTTTCCAAACAGAGCACTTCGACATCGCCATCATCATACAATATCTTCCACATGACAAGCCATATTACAATTATGTCAGAACTGTAAGTTAGCAGGCAGAATCTTTGCAACAATTCAGAACGTTAGCTTACCACATGTTTCCTCTTCGAAGAATCATAAGACTTAACAGTGCCTTCATAAAATCTGCAGTATATCAGTACATCAAAATGGAACTTAAATCAGAAATCCTAGGAAAACGAGAGGCCATAGGGGATTTGAGAAGCTTGTTTCTAGGATCAACTGAAGAAAACATACAAAAAAAACCTACACTGATAATTAATCCAGAGCCAGTCAAATATTTAAAGCAGTCAATCAGAACAGATGCAACACGAAAAACTTAAGAAATAAGCAAACTAAGAAAATTGCAGTCAAGGAAAGAAGCTAAATCCACGAGTCATCTTTAGGGATTGTTGTGGTCAAAATGCTTCAGACATATAACTAAACAAAATAAAAACACATTTTTTCTTCCTTGTCTGTCTTTGATAAATAAAAATGGTAGCATCAATATACCATTTTATGCTTTTATGACTGATCTCTCACTTCTTATAAAAATGGTAATATAAGAACTTACTTCTTATCCAAAGGCCACCAAACTCTAATTCTGCCGCCAATTAGATCTTCAGCATCACTTTCACCTTCCTTTGTTGTACACTGCAGAAAACAAAAAGATTAAAATCAAACTAATGTTCAAGAGACTCACAGGAACACAAACATTATAGCATGGCATAGAGACACTAATTGCAAAAACTACAACAATGACTACAAAAGAGGTGGAGAAATTTACCTTAGCCAATCCTCCAATACTTTTTCTTTTCAGCTTTTTAGCAGATCCTGTGGATGACTTGAATTTGTCACTTTTAGACTTGTCAGTTGGCTTTGAATTATCCAGACTCTGCAAGAGACAGCAAATAAGCTTAAGTCTAGAACATGATAAATTCAACTTTAAGATCCTACAGTGATATAAATCTGCCTGAGGAAGATTTCACCTTCATGTGGCGCTCTTCAGATTTGTCAGAGATTTCATTATAGCTCTTGGATGCCTTAACTTTTGCTTGTATCGAGGGCTCATTGCCTTTAACCTTTTTTCTTGGAATTGTTTTGTTATCTGTATTAGGGTTAAATTCTGCACTCGACAGCAACTTCACTCCAGAGGAGTCTTCCCCTAAAACTCTAGGAGGAGCCTTTGGTGGAGTACTACTTAACCTTGATTTTCCATGGGCAAAGGAAGACCGTTTGCGTTTAGGAACTGGAACCAGGGTTACATCTTCTCCTTTTCGCTTTTTAATTGTTGTCCTCTCTGGATCCTTCTGCAACTTCTTACTCAATGAATTTTCATGACCGTTACTTGATTCAAAATTAGTGGATAATCCCAAGTTATCTAAATTAATTTGTCTGACCACATTTAGGATATCAATGTCATTTTCAGCCTTTTTTGTTTCAGCTGGCAAGGCCTTTTTCTTCTTTGCTTTTTTGCCCTTCGTTCCCTGAGATTTTATGCCCTTTATTATTTTTCCAAGGGAGATTTCCTTTCTACCTTTTTCACTGTCCTTTAAAGCGTCATCCTCAGCTAATTGAAATGGAACCTGTCGTATGGATGAAACATTATCACTTAATTCAAGACTTACACAGCACTAAAAAATGCTTTTAACTTTACCATTTGCATCAAACATACCATTTCTAATTCAAGTGATTCAAAGTGAGCCAAGACACTTTCATCAGCCAACCAGGATTTCTCTTTGCTTACCTGCCAAATGAAATGACACTAATAAACATTTCTTTGTAATTAATAGAAATAAACCGAGATCTTACATATATGTTCAAATCAGTCAATGAAAATGGCAACAAATTCGAGTTTGATGTACAGAATAAAGCTTATAAAAACAACCCCATTTACATTCCATCAAACAATAAGATGCTATCAACAGTGTAATCACAGCGAAGTGTGTGCAAATGTCTATATCAGATCTCTAGCATCACAAAATACATAAGTTTAATTAAATAAAAAGATCAAGTACCTTATGTTAAGCCAAAATAACAGCAAAATCTACAACTTAAAACACAAACATTCAAAATATTTAAAAAGATTAAAATTTAATGAGGTAATATGATGCAAGCTATTGGCAATAACAATGATGCAAATCAATCTCATTTAATAAAAGTATCTTCAAGAATTAGCAACTAATTTGGGAGGCATTTTGTATAGAATGAGTAACAATTGCAATTTAGCATACCAGAAGGAAACTATCCAATTTGACAAGAAAGAAGAATACCATGGGGCCACTTTCCTTCTCACATGCTTTGTATAGCATTGGAGGTAGAGAAACTGAAGGAGACAATCCTTCTAAATCAACATCCTTCGGTTGTAGTCGATTAGTAATTGCTAACCCAAGGTCACATATGGCATGCGAATTCTGGCCATTCATTGATAACAAATGTAAGATTACAGCCTCATTGTTTTGACATTAGCAATGTGTATATATATTGCAAAAAAAATTATTTATTTTCAACCTTGGATTTTGATGCATCGACCACATCTTCAGATTGCTTAATACTCCAAAAGATAGAAGTGATTGTAGATATAATTTCCTTCAGATTGTTAATAGCTACTTCTGACCTGACATCATCATCTCTTTGCAACAGCATTGATAGTATCAAGTGTAGCTGCCTGAAAATTCAGGACAAAATAAAAATCCTATAAGAATGAGAGTTCACTACACGTCCCACATTTTTTATGCTCACAAACCAAATCAGTAAATAGATAAATTTGAAGTGTTACAGCCAAACAAAACTATGAAAACAGACCACAAGTCTTGACAGTGTCAAACAGGACAAATAAAATATAAATTAACAGGAACTTGGGAAAACAAAAAAATCATTACTACAGACGCACAAGTGAGATTTAAAACTAATCCAAAATATGATTTATCTGAAAACTGCAACAAAAACAAACTTTCAAGGAAAGCATGTGACTTAGTTTAAATTTTTTTAATCTGCATACAACTGTTGATAAGCATTATTAATAATACAAATCATAACATCGGTATACACCACACTAAGGGTGTGTTTGGGGTAGCCACGAAAGTTAAATTATTTCAATAATTAATTGTAAGTATAATTAATTATTCTTAAAATCAATTTTTTGTTTGGGTAAGTTTGCTTAAAATAATCAATGAGGATGAAAAAATCAGCAATTGCATGAAAAAAAAAAGTATGAATGAAACCAAAAGGAAAAATAATTATTGAAAAATAATCAATAAGCCACAAATTTTCAGATTCATAAAATCAGCTAATTTTTTCAGAGAAAAAAACACTTCCTACAAATTTTAGCTATTAACATACAGCTGAAATACCAAAGCTAAATCAAGCTCCCCGACCCCAGCCCCACGGCCTAAGTGAAGAAACAAATATGATTATTCCACAAGATGGTTTAAGCTTAACTTAATCCTACAAAACTGCCTTGTATGATGAGGATTGATCTTATTTATATACTATATTTTGACATTATCTCTAGTCAATGTGATACTTGTGTTTTCCCCCCAGTACACCCCCTCACATCGAGCATTATTGGGCTTGGGCTTGGTACATGGATAACATGGTGAGTGGCCCTTTTAAAAAATATAGGATAGGCTCTAATATCATTTTACAAAGTGGTTTAAACCCAACTTAACCCAACAAAATCAGTTTGTAAGGTGAGATTGTCCTCACTTATTATATATTGTATTTTGGCACTATCTCTAAGCATTGAAGGGACTTTGGTTTTTCCCAATAAATATTAATCCTGTACAGAGAGGTCCTATATGGATGAAGTAGTACCTGTATAGATTATCATATGCTTCAACAGTCTTGCACTCATCAATATTGGGGCAGGATGTGTTAGCAAGGGCATGAACTAGGTATGCAAGGATGTATTCAGGGTAAGTGGTCAAGGAATTTGTATCTGATTGTCCAGAAAGCTGCCAAGCCCTTGCTTGGTGATGCATGTGAATAATGTCGTCCAGGTTCTGCTTGTCCTGCATTAACAAACACAGGTCATCAAAAAGACAATTGTCATTAAAGCAGGGAAATTTTGCAATTGAAAAAAGAATAATTAATCAAAATATTACCTCTGCAAACTCCTCTGGCTTGCAATCCTTGGATCCAAATATGTTTAAAATAAAGGCACATGCATATTTGGCATCTAAAAGGTTGTCCTTTATATATTGATGAACTTTGCTTAAGAAAACCTTCTTAGCTTGAGGGAAGCCAATCTATCAGACCCAAAAGCAGACAGAAACGGTTATTTATACATTGAAATTAAAATTTCAACAACCAATTTCAGCATACATGTAATTTTGTCTTGGTAATAATGTAGTGAACAAATCATAAATGCTAAAGAAATTGGGTATACAGAAGGAGGAACACACCTCTGTTGCTCTTAGAGTTAAGTGGAAAATATCAACAGGTATCTTATGCTCCCAGAGCCTAGACAAACGAAGAACTGCCTTTGCAGAAGCAAGCCGCAAATGGGCCTTATCAACTAAGCTGCAAGAGGACACAAATGAGTACATTTAATCTAACCCGCAGAACCAATTTGAAATGAAAAAGAGAAAAAACTGAAATTTTAAGACAATTAATGAAAAAATCTAGCTCTGTGAAGCTGATATACCTTGACTGTAGTTCCTTTGATATTTCACCATAAGACAGCATGTTTCTCAGGATATCCAGAAGACCATCTATACCAGGACGAATATGAGCATCTTTTACTGGCAAGTAGCTTTTCACTATGGTTTTGATGCCATAGATCTGCAGTAAAGAAAGAAAAATGGTCAAAATGGAAAACTAACAAGCACTATCCAAAGCACCTAAAAAAAATAGAATAGAATATTGTCCTACCTTCAAAACACAAAGATCACTTTTATCATCCCAAGATATTCTAGAGTGATCTTCTTTCTGAAACCATGAAAAAGCATTTAAATAGAAATTAAATACTTCCATGCTTACATTTTAAAGGAGCACACCATCAAATGGAATTTAAAAGGCTTACACTATCATTTTTCAGAATCTTGTTTATTATAAATTCTTCAATTTCACTCTCTCTAGTTTCGAATACAGGCATTGCAGTCTGTGCTATACACCCCAGAGACTGCAATACTGCAGGGAGATGTGTTTTCTCTTCCAGCATATCAACAAGTCTCTGCAAATATGGTGAGAACAATCAAAATACGGGGAAAATGGCCTGCTTCCTTTGAGACCCAAATTACATTTGCACCCTTCATTGTTGGAAAACTACATTTACCTCCCATACTAAGTAGTGTTCTTATATTCTGACACCTTACTTAAGAAATCACATATACACCCCTTGCTATTTATGTACGGACCATATAGTCCCCAAAAAATTGACAAAGGATGGGAGTTAGGCGTAATTTTTCAAACAATAAGGGTTTACTTATAATTAGCACTAACTCAAGATCAGCATAATTATCCTGTAACAAATAATTAAATATAAATGAAACCTTGTACAGAACAGAAAGAGACTTGAGGCCATCATCCTTTGTAATTGCAGCCAGAGCGTGCACAGCATACTTGGCCTGTCTTCGACTTCCTTCTAAACATAGTCGCTCCAACGTAAGGTCTACAGAACTGCATGAAACAAGGAGCAATAGGAATGTTATAAACGGAAATGGGTATAAAGCGTTATCAATTTTATCGGTATAGTCTCTCAATAAGGTCTACAAAATTGCATAAAACATGGAACAATAAGAATATTATAAAAGAAACTGAATCTAAAAGAATTATCAAATTAAAAGTGACACCTTGATGTAACTGCGAGCTGTTCACGAATAGTACCACCAGCCTTAGCCAAAACATTCAGAACACCTTCTTTAATCATATCATTATTATCCTTAAGTAAATTTACCAGCTCCACCTCAGTGCCATTAAAAAGATATGGACAGAAACGAGCAATTATCTGCATGTCATCATTAATCAACCAGAAAGTTGGAAAACAAGATTCCAGTATTTTAAATTCTCCAGTCCAAAATGACTGAAAACATGACACTGCTTGATGACAAAATCATAGATGTGTATGAAATAATAGAAAGGTTCACTGCAAAAAATACAAGCATCCTAACTCGCGGCTGTTTTAAAATTATTGGGCCTTCACCTAACAGCTTTAATAGAATAGATGAACATGCTTCATGATACCTCTTTAAAAGAAGCACAATGCATGTCACACCATTCCCACAAACTAAATCCTAATCATAAAGTGTGCACTTTCTCTACATTTTGAGCTTAAAGGGACTCCACATGTGAGAGTGTTTTAGAAATATAAAAAAATCATTAATTTGCCTTCTCTGTTACTCCCAAAACTTCTGTTTCTGGGATGAAGTAATCACCCACTAGCAAAGACATAAAGCTATAGACAAAATTTAGGATTTATATATTTGCCAACCCCCACCCCCTCTGCAATGAACTAAAGTGAAAATTGTTTAGCAAATCCAATACATGATACAAGCATCCAAAAATCAAGTGCAATAAGTCAATAAATCTAGAAATGGTATATTCTTACCACTAACATACTCATACAATATTGTATATGCTGATCATTCTCTGCGGATTTATGTGTGATGATTTCTGAAAGAATAGCTTTCACATGCTCCTTGTTGAAAAGTAAATAGGAACACTTTATATAGAAGGTATTCAGAAATTCGTAGAGCTGATGATTTTCACCAAGTATTTTAAGGAAATCATCCTGGAGATAAAAAGTAAATAGATAACCAACATCAGTAAATAATAAACTGCAAATTATAGTTCCTTTTTTCCATAATAGAAAAGGAAACATAAAACTGTTAGAACAAATCATAATCAGATATTACCATTTGGATGTTCAAATACTACTCTCCTAAGTACTAATAAACTCCCAACGTTTTTAAGAGCTCATTGAAATTACAATGTTATCGTACATGTAGTTCATCTAATTGGCACCTTCTTAAAAACGTTCATACAATTATCAGAAAAATAGATACAGAGACATAGAAAAATGCAGTAGAAACAAGTTCTGAAGCTTATTAATCTATCCCACAGGAATTGGGTATGATAGCTTCACCTCAAAGATCAATAACCATGCAGTTTGCAGCTATAACTTCTCCCATTAGTATATCTAAAATCATATCTATCAGTTCTAGATTATATTACCCTGTATAAACGAGTTTGATGGAAACTAGTATTTGGATCAACAAGATCCGTCAAAATTTTCCAGATATTAGGTTCTTGTAACTGATCAAGAATCTGGAAACTCTCCTCTGCCTTTGTTGGGTCAGCAAATGAACGAGACATTACACGAAAACAGTACAGGATCTTTTTTTGGACCTCAGGAGTGTCTTTTCCCTGCATTTAAATGAAATCAATCCCTTTTTCCCATCAAATATCCTTTGAAAGTTCATCTTTGGTAACATACCTGATTTGTCTGCCTCAGAGCTAGATACTTTTGCATTTCTTCCTGTAATCTGGTACCACAGTTGCACCATGAGAAGTGAAAATTTGAGACCAGGAGGAATATAAGCCATTACACTGGTAAAAAATGTACCTCTGTTTTTGCTCAAGTATATTTTCAAGAGCCTTGACCTCCACTTTATCAAATCTAGAGAAAATCTCAACCCAATGTTTAACTATATCATTGATTGAAAACTCTGGTGGAAACAGGGATTCACAAAGAATAGATTCAATTACATCTGATCTGCAGAATGAAGTGAACAAAAGAAATATCAATAACTATAGCATTCATTTCTCAGGAAACAAAAACAAGAAAATTAAAATATATCAACAAGGAAAAGAGAGAAACAAGCTTAGAGGACTACAACAGTGTAGACAACAACCTCTGTCAACTTTGTACAAGTATGTTGAAACTGGAAAAAAATATCAAAGCACAAAATATACACAAATCAGAGCAATAAACAACTTGAAAGTCATTGACCTAGCACAACAAAGGCTTTTCTGAATGACAGGTTATCTATAAGGAGGGGTCATTTGAATTTCATCTGTTGAATGTAGAGGAAATAGTGTTTGAAATTAATCTCCCTTGTGTATAAATCACACATAGAGTAATCTATTTATAATAGAGGTACAACTAAAAGAATAACCAAAAGTAAACAGAATAAACAAAAGATATTGTGGTTAACAATATCTAACAATATCTTAACAATATCAAACTATATCTAAACAATATCTAACACTCCCCCTCAAGCTAGAGCATACAAATCGTATGTGTCAAGCTTGTTACAAATATAATCAATTCTAGGCCCCCGTAAAGACTTAGTGAAAATATCTGCTAACTGATCACTTGAGTTAACAAACTCAGTCTTGATATCTCCAGACATAATCTTTTCTCGAATGAAATGACAGTTAATCTCAATGTGTTTGGTCCTCTCATGAAAGATAAGATTAGAACTAATATGAAGAGCAATCTGATTGTCACACACAAGTGTCATTTGAGTGACATCTCCAAATTGTAACTCTCTAAGCAATTGTTTGAGCCAAACAAGTTCACAGGCAGCTGAGACCATAGCTCTATATTCTGCTTCTGCACTGGATCTTGCCACAACACTTTGTTTCTTACTTTTCCATGAGATCAAGTTACCACCAATGGAGACACAATATCCAGATGTAGATCTTCTATCTGAAGGAGATCCTGCCCAATCAGCATCTGAGTAGCAAACAACTCTTGTATGGTTATTAGAACCATATAACAATCCTTTTTCAGGAAATCCTTTAATATACTTTAAGATACGAATGACTGCATTCCAATGATCTTCACATGGTGAATTAAGAAATTGACTTACCACACTGACTGCAAAGGAAATGTTAGGACGAGTAACTGTAAGATAATTCAATTTTCTAACCAATCTTCTATACTGCTCAGGATCAAATATAGGCTCCCCCTGATTTGGTAGAAGTTTAGTATTGGGATCCATGGGTGTATCAACAAACTTTGAACTCATCAACCCAATTTCCTCCAAAATATTTATGGCATACTTCCTCTGAGATATAACAATACCATCATTGGATTGTGCCACCTCAATACCCAAAAAATATCTAAGTTTGCCAAGATCTTTGGTCTGAAAATGGTGACAGAGATGTTGTTTCAACTGAGAGATGTCATGGTTGTCACTACCTGTAAGAATGATGTCATCAACATATACTATCAAATAAACACATCCAGCACTCGAGTGTCGATAAAAGACAGAATGATCTGCTTCACACCGAGTCATACCAAATTGTTGAACAACCTTACTAAACTTTCCAAACCAAGCCCTAGGAGATTGTTTTAGGCCATATAGGGATTTGCGAAGACGACATACCATCCCAGAAGACTCCCCCTGAGCAACAAACCCAGGAGGTTACTCCATATAGATTTCTTCTTGCAAATCACCATTGAGGAAAACATTTTTAACATCCAGTTGATAAAGAGGTCATTGTTGAAGAGCGATCATGACGATAAATAAACAAACAGAAGTCATTTTGCCACAGGAGAAAAGGTATCTCCATAATCCAACCCAAAAATTTGAGTATAACCTTTGGCCACAAGATGAGCTTTGAGGCGATCAATAGTACCATTAAGTCCAACTTTGATAACAAACACCCACCTGCAACCAATAATAGATTTCTCAAACGGTAACGGGACCAATTCCCAAGTTCCACTATTATGAAGAGCACTTAGTTCATCTAACATGGCCTGACGCCAACCAGGATGGGCTAAAGCTTCACGGACAGTTTTTGGAATGGTCACAGAAGAAATAGAGGAAAGACATGTATAAAAAGGTAGTGATAGTCGATGATAACTCAAAGCAATATAATGGGAAGAGGGATTACGTATAAAACGAATACCTTTTCGGAGGGCAATGGGAAGGTCAGACTCATGTGTCAGATCCGGAGGAGACAGAGTAGTTGGCACTTGAGTGGAGTCACATGATGATGGTTGTGATTAGTTTCGACAACTATAAATTTGAAGAGGCAGTGGAGAAGAAACTGACTGTGGAGCAGGAACTAATGGTGAAGAAGACACAGTTAAAGGGTCACAAACAACAGGAACATTAAATGTACTAGAAGTGTTGACAAGATTGGATGAAGATAGAGGTGAAGATTGACTTTTAAAATAAAGAGACAATTCATCAAAGGTAACATCTACAGACACAAAATAACGGTTAAGAGAAGGAGAAAAATATTTGTATTCTTTTTGTGATCTTGTAAACCCTAAGAAAACACATTTATGTGATCTAGGATAAAGTTTGTCAAGACCAGAACTAAAATTATGAACAAAACATGTAGACCCGAAAACTCTCAGAAGTAAAGGATGAAGTGGTTCATGAGGGAATAAAATGGAATGAGGTATTTTATTATCTAAAACCGAAGAAGGCATGCGATTAATGAGATAACACGTAGTAAGAAGAGCATCACCCCAAAAATGTTGAGGAACCTCTCCATGAATTAAAAGTGCGCGAGTTGTTTCAATAAGATGTCTATTTTTACATTCAGCTACACCATTTTGTTGAGATGTATAAGCACAAGAAGTTTGATGCAAAATACCGTGAAAAGCCATGAATTGTTTAAAAGAATGAGAAAGATATTCACGATCATTATCACTACGCAAAACTCTAATAGAAACACCGAACTGAGTTTGAATTTCATTAAAAAAAGTTTAAAAAATATGAAATAATTCAAAACGATTTTTCATCAAAAATAACCAAGTGCATCTAAAATAATCATCAATGAAAGTAACAAAGTATTGAAAACCTAAAGTAGACTTAACGTGGCTAGGTCCCCAAATGTCAGAGTGAACCACGACAAAAGGGGACGAAGCACCACGTGTGAAATTACGAAAAAAGGAAGTACGATTATGCTTGCTTAATTGACATGACTCACACGCCAAACTAGATAAGTTGGACAAGGCAGGGACAAACTTCTGTAACTTGGCAAGACTTGGATGACCTAACAGAGCATGAAAAAGAGAGGGAGACTCCATAATTGTACTAACATGTATAGAGGGACGGAGATAATAAAGACCATGAGACTCACATCTTGTGTCAATCACCTGTTTCGAACTCCAATCCTGTAAACACACAAAATTGTTAGTAAAAATAACAACACAATCAAGAGAACGAGTTAGACGACTGATGGACAACAGGTTAAAAGGAGACTCAGGGACATAAAGAACATTATCAATGGTTAAAGAAGGAAAAAATTTAACCGTTCCAATACCATGAGATGATATCAACCAGTGTAACAGAAGGTAAATGATTTGGAGATTATAAAAAGGAGAACAAAGATTTGTTACCAGTAATATGATCAGTGGCTCCTGAATCAAAAACCCAAGGACCAGGAGAAAAGGATTGGGTCAGACCAGCAAAATATGTATTTGTATGTGTGACAGATGCAGTTGAACTAGAAGACTGTTGATCCTTATACCATTTGAGAAATTTGTTGAACATAGCAGGCATGTCGGATGCAACAGAAGAAAGAGGATCCCCAGCAAATAAAGGTGAGGAAAGATTGGTCTGAACAACTGCAGCAGATCGAAGAGGACGACCATGTAATGCATAACACTTGTTAATCTTGTGACCTAATTTGCCACAATGTTCACACTTAGGACGTCATTTTCCCTGTTTGCGAGGGCGAGTCCGAACATCATGATGGGATGTCAACACAAAAGAACCATTAACAAAATTGGAAATAGTGGAAGAAGTCTTGAAGAACGGGAGAACAAACCCTAAAACAATCCAAAGTAATTCAATCAACCCACGAAGCACAAATCCAAAATAAGAATACTAAAAATAAGTTCGCCAAGACTAAACGGCGCAGGAGACAACGGACGACCAACTCCGATAGTGGTGATCTCAGCAGCACGGTGGTCACTTGACCGAGACAAGCAAAACCATATGTCACCGGTCAAAAAATGAAACTCCAGCGAATTCTCCGGCAGCTGCGGATCCGGTGACTGCTCCAGCGGCAGCGGTGACAACAATGTGAACCAGTACACCAGGTAAGTTCCCAGGAAAGAGAGGTGAGTCACTAATGGATACACTTAAATACCAAGTCTTTCCTTGTCAGAACTTTCCTAGACATGCACTTTCACACTACCAAATAAAATTCAGTAACAAAGATAATTCTTTTATAATGTGGAGGATCAGTTTGCCAGCAGCGGTGGGGCGGCTCTAGCAGCGGTGGGGCGACTCCAGCAGTGGACAAAAGGTGAAAAAAATTTCAAGATAACCTTAAGCTCTAAATACCATATTGAATATAGAGGAAATAGGGTTTGAAATTAATCTCCTTTGTGTATAAAT